GTCATAGAAATTAGCATCATCACATTCTTCAATTCCAACTCTTAAACCATCTCCACAAACTTCCTTACAAAGCCAAGGTTCAGATGAGACATCAATTTACCATCCTAAAGTAGCACATTCAGAACATTTACCATTAATACATTTTGTACATTAAGTCTAACATTAATATTTACAATCAAAACAACCATCAAATTAGATGTCATTTCCATCCTCACACTCTTCATCGCTAATAATTAATCCATCTCCAAAAATATCTGGACAAGGTCGTATAGTGTTTATGTCACAAGTTTAACAGTTAGTTGGACATTAGAATTGACAATTATAACATTTATCAACTAAAATATTATTACCATCATCACATTACTCATACCCAACAACAGATCTCCACAAATTGGAACAGATTCATTAGATATTAAATTAAATCCTTATCCACAAGTATTACATGTATTCGTATTTAATATTAGATCACCATTATCACAATATTTATAACATTCTAAAAGTGATACATCAATATTATTAGGACATTAAATACAAATATTATTTTATGTGTATCCATTTAATAATTTACAATTGGGCAATTAACACATAATTGGATTCTTCAATTTGATTTAGTTTACAAAAAAATCCTACATTGTTTAAAGAATAAGTAACATTTATACAAGTCAAACAAACCATTTGAGATTTGCAAGCTGAACAACTGGGTTCACTTTTAACACACAAAAATTTTGGTACATCAAAATACTAATTTAGTTAACTTTCGTCTAAAGAAAATTAGAATAAAAAGGGATTATAAGAACTATTTCAATTAGTAAAGTTTTTTCATCATTACATCATAGACCATTCGAGAGAGTAACTGCATTCAGTGTTGATGTGAATAATGCATCCTATTAATCAATTTAATAGATGAACTTTCGATCTGAAGGGAATAATGGACCAAATAATACATAGAAACCTATTGAAATACTATGATGAGGACTTAAATGTTGATGGACTCTTCTAAATCTTGCTTATGCCTAAATGAACTAACCACCAAATATTCTTAATTCTCTCAAATATGAAAAATATCTACACTTATTTAAATATTTATATATATGAATTAAATAAGGGTATCAGATCCTCTTAAAAAATTTTAAAAACTTTAAGAAACTAAAGGTAAATTCAGGGTAATAATCTAATTAAAATTGATTCACATCTTCTCTTGTCAATAGTGATGAATCTATATTTAATTAATTCATTACATGGAGTTTCATCATCTAAATCCTTACAATAATTAGAAATTATATTCTAATGGGGTTGATTACAAGTTGAAATACATGTTCCATCTCGATATCTAAAAGTATTTGGTGGACATGAAATGCATTTGAAATTTACATGGCAAGTTTAAAATCATTTTTTACATCTCTAAATGTTCAACAAATAGATTATATTGCTCAAAAAAAATAATGTGTCACTAAGAATTCAAATATAAAATATTACCTAAAATTGCAAATAGATGAAAAAAAAATAGTATATATAGGCAGTGAAAACACTATCAATAATATATTTATAGGAACTGGAATAAGATTCATAATGACCTAGAAAGATCTCCCAACATTCCTTAAATTTGTGCAATTACATTCCAGAACTATTATTATATATAGGACCAACAAGAGTAATTACATTCAAAATATGAAATGAAAGAGTGATGATTCCATAAATTTAAATTTGAATTAAATTCCACAATCTATTGGAAACCCATTGAAAATGATTATCGTAATGCTTACTTTCATATAATAACCCTCTACATTTTATATTAAACATATCTCATAATTCCTGAGCTTTGCTTAATTATTTCATATAGCTCCTAACTATACCAAGAATATAGCACTCTTTATGTTTTGTGTCAAACTCTATAAATGGCAAGAGGCTTTAGGGCATTACTGTCCAATTGATATGAGTGGCGACCTCACCAAACAGATAATTCAGTCGTCAGTCAATAGAAAATGAACATTATAAATAAATAAATTATTTCATATATGGCAATTGTTTAACTATTTTATGTATGATTATACACAACTACAGAATTGTCAATAAATTTTTGGTCATAGATTTTAGACAATAATAATCTCTATAACTATTGGGATCGCTAGATATTTTATGATTGACTCTAACATATCCTAATTAGAAATTATCTAAACTAAATAACTTAAATATACTTGGACAAGCATTGCAAAATCCATTAAAACTTAATGGTTAAATAGAATCCCATTTTGATCTACACCCAAAATTTTTAACATAGTATTAATCTGATGGACATGGTGGGCAAATATGTATGTGTTATAAAGTAACCTGCAGAACATTCATTTTATTAAGGTCCTGTAACATGACTAGCATGAAGGATAACAAATGATTTCGTAATACATTTAATTTATGTTCCTTATTGAAACCTAGCCATTTCCATTTGTACTAATCAGAGAATAATTTATAGTATTTTTAATTCATGAATTGCCCTTATTATTTTTTATTTCTAATATATTTGAGATGTGTTGCACTTTGCAAATGTTAAAGGAAACTTTGCTTAGGTTTAATAAAAGAATGGAGGAGATTTTAATAATATACACAAAGTAATTATTTATTGAGTAAAGAAAGTCTGAAAAATTCAAACTTCATACTAATCTCAATTCAAAAAAGTAAAGTATCGGTTTTTAAATATTTTCTAATGAGAAAATTTGGAAGATTTTTTTAGTCAGTCAATAAAGGGAGTTATGATATTATTGAATTAGAGGATTAACAATACTTTAGTTAGAATCCTAAAATCTGCCTTAAGAATGTACTTACACACATCTTAAAATTATTGTGACTATTTTGAAAGGAAATAACCTGGAGATTTGGGCCTCAATAAAAATGAATTGTCTTGATAAATTAGTTTTAAATCTTTTTTGTTTTAGTTTAAAAACAGATTAATTCATTAAATTAATTAATGAATAATTTTCTCAGAAGAAAAAACATAATAAGAATATGATGTTTTAATTAAAAAAAATAAATATTTTAATACAATAATTATAAATATACAGAGAATACCATTATCATCTTAAATGGTCTATTACTTTAGATGTATTATTTTTCAAAATACATTGTGAAACAATATGGTTTACCCTACTTAATTAAAAAAATGATTAATTCAAATATAAATAATCTTAGAAATATCATAGGTATGAATTAATACAAAAATAATTGATGTTTAAATATAGATATAGATTAATCAATATAATAAAATACTTGTATAATTATTTTTTTATAAAATATTTTTCTAAGTCAAAAAAATTGATATTTTATAAAATCATTAAAATAATTTCAGAATATAAGCATCATTTAATAAAAATATTCTAATAATTCATTAAGCATACTTTTTAACCCACATTCTAACTGTTTTATTGTATAGGCTTCTATCATTTTAATATATCCATGCTATTTCTGGTTCAATTGGATTATCCAGAAGTGGAGAATCTAAGATTGATTAAATACTCAATAAAGCTACATTTAGGCATTCGAATACTTGTTTAAATAGAAAGAGCTGCGTTCCAATCATCCATGAGGATATCAAGAGAAATTTCTCCTAATTAATTAATGTTTGGATGATAAATTGGAGTCTTGAACATTATTTTTGGGGCTTAATAGGGGTATTCATTTGGATATTAAAAACTTAAATTAAACAGCCCATCTTAATAAGGTGTCTCTTATGGCCCTTCTATACTCGCCCATAAATTGTATATATCTTTTTAATCAATAAGCCCAATTTTAATATCAGAGAGTTACCATAATTTAAAGGTATTTATTTCTTTTAATATCCTTTTCTATCCATGCCTTAATACAAAAATATTTGAAGCCATATTTTTTATTATTTAACTAAAAAGATTTTTATAAAATGAAGGTGTAATAAATTAAATGCAATTATAATTAATAGAAATAGAATCTAATCTAATCTGATTGTAATTATAATATCATATAATTATAATTTATATTTTAAATATTATAATGTATCACTCGATTAAAGAATAGGAATAGGTGATATATTTTTTTCTGAATTTTTTACCTAAAGCATACTTATTATAATTCTTTTTTAATCTCTTGGATCTTATCTCTTTATGCGAACAATACTAATGCACCTAAAATAAAAATTATCCAAAAAGCAACCATAGATAAACATTTAAAAGGAGAATAAACTAATAAAAATGCTTATATACTGTCAAAAACCCCCAGCAAATGTGAAACAAAAGGCTAATGAGCTAAGAGATACAAATAAAAATCTCGTTAATTAATAAAATCATGTAATAATGAAAATCCTGCCAAAATGCCATTCTGGTAATACTTATGCAATCAATGTCTAAAAAAATAAATATAGCATAAATAATAATGGTTAATTGTTCTCCAAATAAATAAATTCTTTTATTGAAGAAAATTTATTTATTTTCATTCTTTAACTCTTATTAATTTCAAACTACTGCAAAATTACATATTTATCCTACTTTTAAGTTTCGAGAATTAAAAAATGAGATGAGTTAATAATAATCATAAATTGTTCAATTTACACATATGCCGTATAATCTTCATTCGTATAAGTCTCTTATATAAAACAAGATCTTTCATTATTCCTCTCCTTTTATAATTTAGATTACTGTTATGGATCATAAATTTATTAAATTTTATATTTTTTGTACAGTAGGCTATTTCAAACCCCTATTTATTATATCATTTTTATTCTGGTTTAGACTTTAGGTTTATTCTTAAAAGGATTCTTTATTCATAATTTTTTGATGATAATCTTATTATAAGTTATTTATTTAGTTTAAATTTGAATGTTACATATGTATTTGTTCATGATTTGACCAAACTTACAGTTTTCAAGAAGTTTTTTCCCAATTAGAGAAATGGTATTTATGCCTATTTAGCTAACTAATGATATCATAATTAGCAAAGATTTTTATTTTCTAAAAGACTTTCCATTTCTTGAATTATATAAAATTTAATAAATCAATTATCTCTTTACTTGAATTGATAAATTGTATATTTCTGCAATTGACCCATACTGTTTCTAATTTATGATTAAAAGTATTTAAATGACACTAAAGTCTATTTATTTCCTACATTATTACATAATAATTTTCATGAACCACAGTTCTAATCTATGAAAATACCATAGATCAGCTGTTATTAATAATCAATAATTGAAAAACATTAATTATAAATTCTTAATTTGTATCATTCCTTTTTTCCTATTGTTATTGAGATAATAATTAAAATGTAAGGATTCTATTAATATTTAGTTTAATATTTTTATTTTGTATTCTTAATGATATTTTGGTAAGATCATTTTAACCCAAACAATATGTTTTTAATAAAAATATTTTATCTAAATATTAAAAAAAAGTATAGATTAAAATTAGATATTATTATTGGAGATGACCTCAAAACATCACTTTAATTTAATCAAATTTTAAATAATCTTATTCTGTGTTAAATTTTAAGATATGACAGGAATTAAAATTTTGTTGCAATGTATATCAAAAAAGGAATAAAAGGGATTTACAATTATTTTGCTTTTTCTCCTTAAATAATCAACAATAAAAGTTAATTCTTTTAAAGAAAAGACTTAAGAATAACAGAAACTTAGTTCTGTTGAATTTTTAATTAAAAAATATTTATACAAGAAATTCTTTTTTTTTTTTATTTTGATTTTAAATATTTTTTAAGATCTTTGCTCAGTTAATCATTAATTTAGTTAAAAAGTAGATTTATTATTATTATTATTATTACTCCAACAACTTGATAGTAATTTTAATTGAAAATTTATACTATAAAAAATAATTAAAGTATTATAAAATTAATTCTATTACGTATCAAATTAGCATTCAATAACTTAGATTTACAAAACCCTGATATTTTTATAAAATATAATTTTCATAACTAGGAATGCTTTAGGATTACTATTGCAACAGATATTTCTAAGTTAATTTCTACATCACTTAAACTACGAAATATAAAATCAAATTATTATGAATTCATCTTTAGAGAGTATATATTAAAAATCTTAATTAAAAAAGAAAAGAGATGCTTAATTCAAAATGATTTATCTCTTTTCTTTAAATCATTCTAAAATATTTTCAATAAATATTATTAATGCAATATTTTTATTATTTTAATCAAAATTATTAGTTATATATTAAGAATCTTCACACGAAATGACTCATGCTCAAACTTAATATCAGAATATTGATATGCTAATTAGAAGAAAAAGAAACATTTGAATATTAATTATAATGAATATTAATTCTTGATAAAATAAAATACTCATTTGATTTCTAAAGCCTTTAAACACTCATCTGATATATTAGAAATAAAATACTTTTTCTATTTTTAGTCCATTCATGATTAGAATTAATCGCTAAAGCTTTTGAATAAAATATCAAAGCTTCTTAATAATGTTTCTGATCTTGTAAACATGCACCTAAAATTAATACCATAGACGCAACCTTTAGATCTTAATGAATCTAAATGATTTGGATTGATTTATAGAGAATAATCTATCACTTTCATTGCTTCATTATACTTTTTTAATAATCTTAATGAATCACCTTTATAATTAAGATATATGAGTACCTTTAGTATATAATGAATGACAATGCTTAGGATCTACTTCTAAAGCTTTATCTGCCCAAAGGATTGCTTCATTAAATAAACCAAGCATTTTTAAACTCTCCGCTAATCTATTAACATATCATTATACCTTTACTGTATAATGAATTATAATGTCTAGGATCTAGTTACAAAGCTTTGTCTGTCCAAATGATTGCTTCATTATAGTAACCAAGCATTTTTAAACTGTCCGCTAATACATTAAAATATGATCATACCTTTACACCATAATGATAATTAATGCCTTGAATTTAAAGCTAATGCTTAATCAAATATTTTAATAGCCTCATCAAATTTTTTATCATTTAAATATAGTTTATATCCTAATTTATTAATTTAATACCTCTTTAATACAATTCTTCTGACTTATTTAGATTTAATTTAGAAAATTAATAATAGTTTAATTCATTTAATTATAAATCAGACAATAATTTCTAAATTTAGCTTTTGATTTCATTTGTTAATTAATATACTAATTAAATGGTTGTAAATTCAAATTATCTGAAATGTATACTTTATGATAGGTAAGAATTAATTTATTTAGAATTTAAGTTAAGCAATTATTATTTAGTTATTTGATATTTAGATCTAATTCCATCAATTAATAATTAGAAGTCATGATTAACCAAATCAAATTATTAATTCATACTATGAATTAAATCAGCACATTCCTTTTCAACCCTTTAAATATGTTCGAATAAAAATGGCAATTCTTCTTAATTTTGAGGATGTGAAATATGATTTCCATTTTTTATACATTAATGACAATATAATCTCTCTCCTTTACAAGATTCATCAAAACATACTAATGTAACATTTTAGGTATGCTCAGTATTTGGACATTTGATAGTGACATCATGGTATTAATTCATATCTACTTTTATTATTTAATTTATTTTTATTAAAATGCATATTATAATTAAAATTGAATTTGTATATTAAATTTATTTTATTTTGAATTTTTTAATTGAATTAATTATTTTCTATATTTTACTCTTTATCTTTAATAATCTTGATTCTTTATAAAGTTGTGATTATCTACATCCTCTCCTTAATTTATTATATTTATTTGAAAAATCATTTTTTATTTCAATCAATAACATATTAAGTCAATATTTAATCGAAATTCATCTGATAAGATTAAAATTAATTTCAATTAGAAGAAAATTTAGACAAAGAAAATAACTTCTTATTCTCTATAATTATTTAAAAGTTTCCTTGATTGGCTAAATAAAAAAGTTCTTTGGAAATTTACATATCTGAATTCATATTCCTTATTTTCCCATTAAGTATCCTATACATAAATACATTTTTTAATTTCAAAGCATTTTAGACTATTATTTTCTACTTAGATTAATACATCTTCTTTAATGCTCCATAAAATTCTTTTGACTTAATTGAAAAACCTCTATACCTAAAATGCTTCTGTTGTTTTCCTAAACTATTTATAAATTATGATTCAGAAATCTTTATTCTTAATTTCATATAATTTATGATCCTCAATATTCATACCTGCCCCTAGGATTTATTTTAATGATGATTAAATTTTGATCCTTTGGAATTTTAATCAAAGATGTAATTGGTTAATAGTTGTATTAGATTATCCTAAATATCACTAGTATAAACGGTGATATAAAATTATTTGATTATTCATTAATAATAATATTTAGATGATCAGTTTTATTTTACAATTTCTAAAGTTTAACTACCAGATTAAATAAGGGATAAAATTATATTTATTAATTATAATTTTAAGATAATATATAATACTAAAGATTTATTTTTACAATTAATGATTAATTTCGTTATTAAAAATAGATAACTTTTATGAGTTGCTCTATTTTGTTATCAAATTCTTTTTTATGTTTGGACATATATTGTAATTATATATATTGAATCCTTTTGAACTTTACTCAATATATTAATCAAATTTGTTGCTTTCATCTATTTTAAAATCACAATTCAGAAAAAAATTCAAGATATTTAAAAAGCTTAAGAAAAAACATTTTAAGCATATTTGTAATATTTTTTGAAATGATATTTTTTGAAGAATATATGATGTAAAACAAATGAGTGAAAATCTTAATTTTTAAATAATACTCTAATTTGACCATTTAATTTAATTAATATAAATATAATATTTAAAATTAAAAGGAAACAAATTTGATAACTTATTTTATTTTTAAATATGTTCATATGATTAAAATATTTAAAATTATTTAAAAATATTGATATTAATCAATTTAATCAATCATGTATTACATATCAAATAAAAAGAGAAGATGTTGTTGATTATTTTTACTTTTCTGTTTGATTCTTATATCTTTAAATTAATTATTATAATCTAATTTTGATTTGATGTCCATATCTTATTAATGGTGCCATTATACCTAAAGATAGAAGTCCAATCTATCCAAATCCAATCAATACTTGAGATTCTAAGCTCAAAAAATGTGTAAATGTTTCTTCATAACAAATATTAAGTAAAGTAAACATTATAATAGGTAATTCAAAAATTAGAATTACAATTAAATCAATCTTTTCGTTGACCATTGAACCTAGAACAATAATTGTTAAATAAATTGAATTGATCAGTGATAACAATAATGATTATGTTAATTAATTTTATTAAGATCCAATTAATATTAAAATAAATAAGAACTTTTTAGCAACAATCAAGCCTTCATGACAAAGACTTTTCCTTTTTTTTAATTCCATTTTTGAATCCTTTAATGAAAAAATAGACGAAATTAATGCTAAAATACTTATTAAAAAAGAGTATGCTAGTATGTCTTAAAATTTATTTCTTAAATTATTCTCTTTTTAAGAAAATAGATACAACATCGTTTTAAATAGGAGATCCCAACTATTTGCTTTAATGGCATACACAAGTCCCTTTAATGATATCAATTAAATAATCCCAAAGCACAATTGATTAATTTTATGTATGAAGAAAGCAACCTATTATGAAAGATATATCTTCTTATTATTGTAAATAAAAATTCTAATTTTATTGTATTAATTTTTAAAAAACACTCTTAAATAAATCTTGGATGTTACAAATAAAACTGCTACTATTCCAACTTATACAATCTATCCTGATAAATTAGTGATTAAGTCTGAATTGATATTATAAAATATAAACTTTCCAAATGCTTGTATTTAGTCTTATCCTATAATAAATTCAAATAAATCAAGAATCTTAAATTTTTCCATAATTGGTATTATAGTTACTACTTCTGAAGATTCAAAATAAATCATAACATTTTCTGGAAAATTTGAATTTATGTATTTTAAATTAGATTAATATTACATTGTATCCAATACTTCAAAACATTCAATAGGATTTCCAGACAATAAAATAATAAAGCTAGATACACCAAGGCCAATAAGCATATACATATTTAATGAGCTCATTTTATGAGATATCATTCTTTATGATTCAGTTAATACTATAGGATTCTTTAATCGTAATTAGCATAATTAGTTTTCTACTTTAAACCCATTATTATCAATTAATAAAGTGTCAAATTAAACCTAAAAGTAAAGATTAGTTGTTAGTTGTTACAATAGTTGAATTTAAAACAAGTAATTGACATCTTATACAAATATAGCATTTGGTTCAACTATTACTTACTAATAAATTATATAATCCAGGGGATTTACATCAACAAGATAAGCCTTTAAACTTTTTGTTAAGTTTGAATAAGAATCTTGTAATTTGACCTTGCTTGTAATTTGCAATTAAATAAATTATGAGTCATAAGTTTGATTAATGAATAATAAGTTGAAATGAGGAGGCTTTATTTCAAGACAATAACTTGTTTCAAAATCTATTTATGTACATGTATAATTGATCTCAATTTCACATTTCTCTGAACATCCATCTTGAGAAACTTGATTAAAATCATCGCATTCCTCTAATTCTGACTTGGAACCATTACCACATATATCAATACAAAGATTATTCATAAGTTGGTAATCTTTATAACATTATAAACATTATCCATTATAGCAATCAAAACAATTTAAAGGACAAGAAAATTCACATTAATAGCAACCATCAAACTAGATTTCATTAGCATCATCACATTGTTCATTAATTGCAATAATTTAATCACCACAAATTGAAATGCATTAATTATCAACTAAATAATATCCATTTTCTTCACATATTTATATTTGAGGATCTATACATTCCAATTGATCACATATCTAACAATTATCTTTACATGAAAATTAGCATTCATGACAACCATCATATTTTATATCATTACCATCATCACATTATTCAGTCTCTTCTATAACAATTCCATCTCCACATATTGGAGTACAAACTTAATTTTAAATCTCAAAATACTTCTAACATTATAAACAATCTAAATTTCTATTACAAAATAAGCAATTTTAAGAACATTCAAATTTACATTAGAAACATCCATCATTACTTTCATTATTCTAGTCATCGCATTATTCAAATGATAGCAATGCAATTATTCCATCCCCACATTCTGATACACATTTAAAATCAATTAAACTTCGTCCTTCAACACATTTAAAACAATATGAATTATTGCATTCTAAACATTCTAATTAACAACTGAATTAGCATTAATAACATCCATCAAACTGTTGTAAATTAGCATCATCACATGATTCATATTCTTAAATTATACCATTTCCACATATAGGTATACATTAACCATTGTTAGATAATTCATAATGATCATCACAATTATAACAAATATTTTAAAAGGAATCTCTACAATTTTAAGGTTTTTAAAATACACACAATTTATATTAATATGCAAATATTCCATGATTATCAATCTTAAATTGATTATAATCATCTAAGAATAGAAAACCTGTATTCATAATGACATGTTGAAAATAGGTATTACTTAAAAAATTATAAATTTAGCAATAATGCCCTTCTTCCTCTTAAGTTGAATATGGACTTAAATTTTGACTTTTGTCTTAATGACAATTAAATTCACATTAATTATCAATTAATTAATATGATGAGTTGCATTTCAAACATTTTCCAAATTAGCAAAATTCACAATTTTAAGGACAAGAAAACTAACACTCATAACATCCATCATATGGCTTTTAATTTCCATCATCACATTATTCTGAAGAGACTACTATTTAATCTCCACATTTTGGCATACATTATCCCAAAATAGTATTTAATGTCCAAGGAGATAAACATTAAGTGCATAGACCCTTTACACAATTAGCACATCCTTCATTACAATCAAAAATATAAGAAAAACAACCATCAAAAGGGTTTATATTATTGTCGTTGCAAATTATGCTTTCATCTTATACTTATTATTTTTCTGCATCTGTAAATACCTCAAAATCTCTAATTCCAAAAAAGTGAGTTGTGCTGGTTGGAGAAGGAGATTCAGAGAATTATATAGTAAGAGTCAAAATTTAATCATTACTTATAAATTCTCCTAAAAGAATTTTATCTAGTCTTAAATAAGAACCACAAATAATATCATTGGTAGTAATAATAGAAATAGATTATATGGAATTATCTAATAATACTCCATCAGCTTCTACCCTCATAGTAATAGATCCTGTGACATATGCACATAGAAATTTAAACTATATCTTAACCTTTGTGTGTGGTTCAGATAAATATAAATCAATTAAAAGTATTTTTGCCATTTCAAATTTACCATAAAATTGAAAACCTAAATATAATTTTAATATACTTCCACAATCAGAAATCCCATCAAATAGATTAAAATCGCTTTTCCATCCCTAACCATCCATTAAAACAATATTATTAAAATATGCCAACACTCTATTCCAATTTAAACAGTTTTCATTATTATCACAGTAATCGCATCCTTTTGGACATTTATATACTGATAATATGAAATCAGAAATTCCCCATGAAGCTGAAATCTGTAAAGATATAAGTGTCACTATAGCACTGTTACCATTATGATAAATTGTTTGGCTAATTGAATAAACCTATCCATTAGTACCACTACCGCAAATTTATGTACCAGTTGAAAGATTAGGATGGTCCTTGTATGCTTAGGCTCCATCAATAAAAAAAATATAATAAGAACCTGTCCAGGGATCCAATCTATAAATAGCATTTTGACGTACCTCCAGAATTTAAACTCGAACTTCACCCGGTAATGAGGAGGTAATACAAAAGTCTTTGTGATAGCTGTTTGATAATTAAAAACAGAAGGACCTCCAAAAATCATTGAGGTTCCACAATCTGTAATTTGATTTGATGACATAGTCTCATATGATTTCCAATCTAAATTATTATAAATAGAGTTACTATCATTTGAATTGAATGGGGTAAAAAAGGATCTGCTAATTTCTGTTTATGCTAACGAATGATGGTATATTTGATTTAGTAATAAGATATTGATAAAAATAGAAAAGCTAATGAAGCATTGAGGTACATCTTTTGCATAGTACGTTAACAATGTTAAACTAATCATGTTCTGTATTATTTATTAATAACTAAATTTGCTGTAAAATATATTAGAATGTAAATTAATTGGTTATTATGTATCTTTTAATACATTTTGAATTAAATCATTAATAATGCAAGTTAGATATTAAATATTTATAATTAAGAAAGTAAAGAATAATTGTTTATGAATAATCATTATTTCAATTACAAAGTGGATTTCTTTGATAATATTTTTTAGATACTCAAATTGATTGATATTAATTAATTAATAAATTTGCATTTCTTTATAAATAAGTATTAAAATGATTTTATAATATATACTTTATATTAAAACCTTCCAGTCAATTACATTGTTAAATAACATTAACAATAATTTTTTATATATTTTAAACTACTTAGTTAAAGCTTCATTTTAAATGTTTTATTTCTTTTCTTTTATGATACATATTGCTTTAAAAAAAATATAATTGGATGATAGCAAAAGATGTGGACAATAAAATTTATATTTTTTTAATAAAACCATTTGAATTTTTTTTAACTAATTAAGATATTTTTATTGAATCTTGAAGAAATAGATTGTGAATTTTAAATATGTTTAAATATTATAATGTTATAATTTCTTAAATTCAAACTAATCAAATTAAAAATTACTCGATATATATAAAATTTGATCTAATTGTGCAAAAAAATTAATTTTAATAAATAACATATGCTTATTTTATATTGATAAAAATTTAATATTACAAATTTTTTAATACAATATTATTTCTTTAATTTTTCCTATATAATTCAAGAATTTTTGAAGATTACAAAAATTTAAAAGATGATTTACAACATAACAATATCTTCTTTGATGATATGTTAATATTTTTTTTCTTATTTATTATGATTATTAATAAATAGTTTGTATTCCTAATAAAATTAAAATCTCAGTATTCAAACAAATTAAATATAATGATTTTTAATGCATATAAATTGAATTTTATAACTACTTTCTTTGTAAATTTTAGTAAAATAATTTCATCCTTAAACTTAAGAAATCCTTTATGTATTTATAATATTCTTTTCCTTTCATATTCTTAAAAACAATTATATTACATTTAAGGAGTAATTTAAAGCAAATATTATGCATTCTTTTATTCAATTAATTCTGTTGAATTAAATTTATCACTTCTTGATACGTAGATTTTATTAAAAATTTTGACTCTTTCAAAAATTAATTTCTTATTTACTTTAATCATTAATATTGATTATTTAGTACTCAAATTTAAACTACTGAAGAGCAAACGGTTCAAAATTTTAATCTCAATTTTTACATCATAATAGTATTGACTCAAACTCTCAATAATTATTTCAATTAACAAGATATTAAATATAAATTTAAAAAACAAACAATTTTTTTTTAAAGAAATGTTCAAAATTAATTAAATTTTTTCAGCTATTAAAACTATCAAAGCAAGCATTAAATGAAAAAAATTATTTAAATTTAATTAAGCTTTAATTTTTCAAACAAAGAATTCTTAAAAAAATTGTTAAATCACTAAATATGCTCTTTAAAATATCAATAAAGTTGCCCTTATTGCAGCTAATCAAGGATATTTATTTTTAGTAAGGGGACAAAAAGTATAGATCAAAAATTTTTTTCCATAACTTTTTTTTTTCAAAAATTCTTTAAAAGTATATGAAACGAAAATAGAAATTAATGTTTAATCAAGATAATATAGAATTTTTATCAATAATGATGATATTCCTACCAAAAATTAAATAAATTCTTATTTAATGACTTCACAACTTATGACTAATGGTTATTCCATAAAAATTTCAAATTGATGAAGTTATAAAGTTCTTGAAAAACTACTATGTTTAGACAGAGATAAAATCACATGTTAAAATCTTAACAATAAATAGAAATTATTATTATATTTATGAATTATTAATTAGAAGATCAATAATTAATTTTTGAACAATAAAGTTAATTTGAAAATCCTTAATTCTATGATGGAATAATTTGGGATTATAAAGAAAATCCTCCAAGAAAAATAAGGACAAATTACTAAATATCAATTACAAAGACCTTAGAAATTTTATATCTAAGAGATGGGTGTATTATGAGAAGGTAATTAAATACATTAATTATAATTTATTATAGAGATTAAGTTAAAGACACTTCAAATAAACTTGAAATTTTAGCAAATTTAGAATAAATAAATCATTTAAAGTGGATTGGTGATTATGGATAGAATAATTAAAAGATTTCAAAATGGATTGCAACTTGGAAGGGAGAAGTTGTTTAGAATGTCGGCGGTTAGTACAATGAATGTGGAAGAAAAGAAGGTAAATGGAAAGAAATAATTTAAAATTATTGGGGGTAATTGAAGATGATTTATTTTATAGAAAGGCTTAAGTTTATGAAGTGGGTAGATATGAAAATGGATTACGATAAGGAACTTGGAAGTATATTTATGAAGATTAAGAGATGTATTAAATCCATATTAATCAAAAGTGGTGGAGGAGAATATAATTTGTAAGGACTAAAGAACGGAAAATGGATGGAATTGTGGGAAGAATTTTGGCATTTTTCATAAGTAACTTATTTTGGTGAATATATAAATGGTATCAAAGTTGGTAAATGGGAAATTTGGTACAAGAAGCAATATGGAGATTATTAAAGTGAGAAGATGTAAAAATATTGGGTGCTAAATTATTATTTTGTAGTGGGGGTGGATTCTATGATGAAGAAGGTAATGGATATAAGAAAGGCAAATGGGTTGAATTGTATAATGGATTCTATGATTCATCACAAATAACTTATCATGGTGAATATAAAAATAGTAAAAAAGTTGGTCGTTGGAATATTTATTTTAATTACGGAGAAAATAAAGAGATGTAAAATCTAATAAAATTCAATTTGTTTAGTGGTGGTGGATCATATGACGAAAGAGGTGATGAGATTAAGATTGGTCATTGGATTGAGTTGTCAAAAGGATTCTTTGATTAATCACAAATAACTTATAATGGTGAATATAAAAATGGTTAAAAAGCTGGACGATGGAATATTTATTTTAATTAATATGGAAACAATAAAATTATGTAAAAATATAAGTACTTCTTATGCTTAGTGGTGGTGGGTAATATGATGAAGATGGTAATGGAATTAAAATTGGTGATTGGATTGAATTGTCGGATGGATTTTATGAGTATTCATAAATAACTTATAATGGCAAATATCAAAATGGTAAAAAAGTTGGTCAATGGAATATTTATCATACTTAATTTGAAAATAAAAAAATTCTGTAAAATTTTTAGTAATTAATTAAATTAGTGGTGGTGGGTCTTATGATGAAAAAGGTAATGGAACTAAAATTGGTAAGTGGATTGAGTTGACAGATGGATTTAATGATTATTAATAAGTAACTTATATAGGTGAATATCAAAATGGAATAAAAGTTGGTAAGTGGGATATTGTGTATTAAGAATAAAAAATGTAAATTATGATATAATAATATTTATTTTAGTGGTGGGGGATAGTATACTGAAGAAGGCTAAAAGATTGGTTTATGGACAGAATAGAGTGAAGGATTTAAATATGATTCATAAATAACTAATAATGGTGAATATAAAAATGGTTCTAAATAAGGTAGATGGGACATTTTGAAAGAAGATAAATAAATGTAATCGATATAATATAGTATTATTAAGAGGTGGTGGATTATATGATGGAAAATGTGTTGGAATTAAGATTGGAAACTGGATTGATTTGGATGAGGAGTTTTAGGATGTTAAATAAATAATTTATAATGGAGAATATAAAAATGGTATTAAAGTTGGTAAATGGGAAATATATGACATTAAAGAAAATTATTAACGAGGAGAAATAAATTATGAAATATGAATAATTTATTTTAATAATAATAATGGAGATAAAATTGTGTTTGAAAATAATTTATTAAATTATCTTGTTTTAATATTTTGTTAGGTTTTGATTTAAAAATTAATTTTACATTTTGATGCATTTTTTTCTATTTTTTGTTTGAATAAACACTAATTTCTCTCTACAATAATTTATGCACTAATTTAAAATACAATTGACATATTTTAAGCTATTTTATATATTGCTTTAGTACTATTACCAAGTTGATATTTTTTAAAAACCTATTGAAAATAATATATAATTTATATAAAGTATAAATCCTCTAACACATTTAAAATAGAAAAAAAATTATTATCCATAAACTCTTGATCTTTTATTTCTCACCAAATACTCAATAATCATTAATTTTTCAGGATCAATTATATTATATTGAATTATCAGCATTTCAATCTTGTTTTTCTAAATTAAAAAAATACATTTTAATTGTTGTCTTAAATTCTTTATATAAACAAAGGAAAAATGGCTTGCCAATTTATCAAAAAATATCTAAAAATAGAATTTCAGTAAGGTATTTGATTATTCATTAAATATTATCTCTTACACAAATGTGGTTTGATGATATTAGCATTAGATTTCAAGTTTCAATCTATAGAGATATATTAAAAATGAATTTCGTTAGGTTAATTTTTAATAAAATTATTCTGATTGGATTTTCTACTGATCACCAAAGATAACTTTTTTGTAGATATCCCACTCAATAATATTAGGAATGATGAGATTATTTAATAACAATCTAAACATATAAATTGAAACCAATCTTTAAAAAAAATAATTATTAAATTAATAATATAAATGAAATATTCTTATAGGATAATTAATTTTAGATTAGAATAAAAATAATTATCAATTTAAAATATATTTATATTGAAAAGAAATGATAAATTGAAAATAGGAAAATTTTGGATGTTCAGAAAATCATTGTAGAAATAATGAGGAGCTAAATTTTTAATTTGATTAATTTAAAATAATCAAGGATAATGAATCAAATGCTCAAATTCTTGATAATTAAGTTACAAGCAACCAAAAATCAATAGGACTATTTCTTTTTGGGAGATTTGGTCTTTGGTGATTTCTAAAAAAAATGAATCTGCTCTTGTACAAGATACTTTATAATATTCATTTTTATTCGTAATTGATCCAATTGGTTAGAATGAATTTAAATCTTTTTAATCTTTTTAATCTTTTTAAACTTAATAGATTATAAATTTAAGTGCCTCATGAGGTAAGCAACATTCTCTTAGATAAAAATTATTGATTGTATATTTATCCTTTGCTATGATAAAGGTTTAATTTTTTTAATTTTTTTAATTTTCTTAATTTTTTTAATTTTCTTAATTTTTTTAATTTTCTTAATATTTTTAATTTTCTTAATTTTTTTAATTTTCTTAATTTTTTTAATTTTCATCTATGTATGTAATTTGAAAACAAGGATATGTTATTTTTTCTTATTTACATAATTTTTCTATATCTTCCTAAACACCTTAAATCAGTCCTATTTCAACATCATTCTATTTAATATTCATCAATACATTATTATTACAAAATACAATATTAGGTCCTAAATAGAATAAATCTTTACTTTCAGCTTTATAAACTTATGGATTATTTTATGTATTATTTTATGTATTATTTTATGTATTATTTTATGTATTATTTTATGTATTATTTTATGTATTATTTTATGTATTATTTTATGTATTATTTTTTTTTCCTTTAAAAATGAGCGTCATAGATTTATATTAGCAACAGCACCAATTAATATACCATTTTGATTCTTCAGTTACCTCCCAATCATTTTAATCATTCCCTACTGCCCTTTTCGATATTTGAAATGAATTTTTCTTACATGGACAAAAAAAATCATAAGGTCTAATTGATTTTTATTTTTACTTTTTATCTTGGATAATATATATTAGTTTATCAAAGGGGATCTTATGATTCTCATTAGGCTTAGCGTTTGTTGTCATTTTTTTAAAGAAAAATTAATTATCTCAATTATATTATCTCTTAATAATTTTAAATAATGAAAATAAAAAAATATTCTACCAAGTTTATTGAAAAGTCTGATTATTAAAATGAACATGATATCTCGAATTTTTAAATTAGTAGTTCAAATAACTCTTTAGGATTTAGAATTAATCAACTTAAATAATGTTAAATAAATAGTTAAATTATGTTATCGATCAACTTTTTTTTAGTGAATAATATATATTTTTGCTCAACATTCAAGTATTGATGGTTTTTGTATTTTATTTTTCTAGATTAATAAGCTTGTTCAAAATTAATAATAAATACCTCATAGGTCTACTTAATTTTATAATCAAGGTTAAGATTAAGCTACTAGCCCCAATATTACCTAATATTTTGGCAAGAGTATTTTCTTATTTAAGGTATAATTCAATCAAAACCTATAGGTATAGAATTAAATATACAATTAAAAATTTAAATAAAGAATTCTACTTTTTATCTTTGTTTTTTATTATTCTTATATAATACACTCATAATTTTTAATTATTATAAGTTAGCATTATAGTTTTCAAATATAATATGCTTAATGAAATAATTGCATTAAACAATTGCTTCTAGGTGCACATTTCATTGAATTACAAATTAGTAATCAAAAATTAATGAAGTTAATTGAAAGAAAATTCTCCTTCAATTAGCAGAACAAGACAATATTTTTTTATTAGTATTGCTTAAATTATAGATAATGAATTGCTAGAATTAATTTATATCTTTTTTACCTCCATCTAGAAAGCAGATTTAAGAAATTAAGTTAATTATTTTAAAATAAGCAAAGAAAATGATGTAAATCATAAATTGATTTTCTATTATCTAAATAATATCCTAATACCATATATAAAATACAATCAAAAATTTTCTTAGTATTTGCTTACTTATAACTCTTTAGATAACTTATTCCATGTTATTAAGTACTAACCATCATTACTTAAAGTTCCAAAAATATAATTATCCTCAAAATTGATAACCTAAACAGTTTAGGCATATATATCTAAATCATCATTGTGATATTAGGTGAATTTTTAGGATTCTTTGATATTATTATTGAATTTTATGATATTCAAAAAATAACCATTTTTATTTATAAGAATTTATTTTTCATAATTATATATTGAATGAAAATATGGATAACAAAATTAAGCTTCACCTAAAACTTAAATATTTTTTGTTAAGATATATTCCTGATTTTTGTTTTGAGTATAAATATTTAAGTTTGCAGATGATTCTGGTTAGAAAACAAATATGTTATTATTAATATAGCACAATCTAAATCCTGATTAGTTAACTTAAATTAATTATTTTACAAACCAATTAGAAGATGGCTTTTAGTTTTATTCCATAACTAAAATTTATTTATCTTCACCACAAGAAATCACTTAACTACCCTATTGATTTATTGATATTCCCCATACAATATTTCTATGCTCCCTGATTGTTTAAAAGCAAATCCATTACTAATTATTTTCAATTTATTAACTCCAAAATTTAATAGAGAAATCAGCACTACAAGAAATAATTAAATCCTCTATAATTGGACGTGTTAATATACATGAGATAGATTAAGTATGTCCTATAAATTTTTATAAGTATTTTGACCTATTTATCAAAGCTGTTGACCATAATATAATGTATGAATCAAAAGATCCCGAAATAAATAATCTATTTGATTTAAAAAAACATAGACTTGATACTCTTCTTTTATGACAATTAATTTGCTGTATTAATCTTAATTACTTTTCATAAATTCTATAAATTTCAATGTATGATTAGCAAGAAATTAGTAAATAAGAATTTTCGGTATTGATTGCAATTGCATGAGAAATTTAATCTTTTTTTAATGTGATAGTAGAATCGTAATACTTGATATCTGAATTACTCAAAATTGGTATCATGATTAAAGGATTAATTTATAATCTTAATATTTAATTTATAAAAAATAATAAGAAAATAAGAAATAAATTTCATTATTAAAAAATATTTAAATCTATTTGATCATTAAAAGTAAGTTAGAATATCTAATTTACAAAAATAATTCAAGTTTTGGAAAAACAATTAATTAATTATAAAAAATTGAGCAATAGTTATTTTTTAATTCTATAATAACTAAGTATATAATTTGTATAAATCTCAGGTCAATAGAATGTGAATTATTTAAAATGATAACACTTTTTCTAAGAATTATGGAATAAAAACAGAAAAATGTAAAGATTATCTGACTTATGTGCTGTTACATTGAAGAATTATATCAAAAAAATAAATAGAAATTATATTTACTTTATATATTCATTAGATCTAATTTAATTCAGTATGAATTTATATCTAACTCAATAAACACTATATTATATAAAATATTTAATTTAATCAATTATAACATTCTGAATTAAAGTTTTAATCATATATCAATTAGTCTTCAATTTAATGAATAGTATTTTTCTGCATTTCATTTTCTTTTTAATTCTATTTATAATTCTTTCTGACTCTTTTTTCCAATTTGTAAAATTAAACTTAATGTAAAAAGTGATGTCAATATTAAGTTTGATATACCAAATCCTTACCAAATTCCTTTAGTACCATTTCCAAGTTCCCAATCATAAGCAAAAAAGGAGACAATAGGAACAATACAGTTTAGAATGAACAAACTAATAATTTCCAAAAAATCTTAAGTAATGAAGGTTTATCATCCTTTTCCACTTATCTCTCTGTATTTGTCAAATGATGGCAAGAGAGAATAATAATGAAAAAAAATTAAATGCTTCAAAGAAAACGATTAATTAATATTTATAATCACTGATATTAATAAATTAATAATATGTCATAATAATACAAAGGTTTATATGAATTTACTCTTATTATTAACTTTCTTTCTAAATATTATAAGAATTTCTAATTATAATATTCAAATATACTCATATTTATAATATCCTTTATCTAATTGATTAAAAATAGATTAAAATGATTTATAGTTTAAATAATAAGTCAAATGAACTTCATATCATGTTCTTATTACTTTATCGAATAAAATTATATACATTCATAAAAATAATAAAAAAAAATTTATTTTAATTAATTAATAGAAATAGGAATGGACTAAATTTACAACAACCAAAAAGAATTATAAGATCCTTTAATAATTCTTAAAATGGAAAATGATAATTTGAAGACATATAATAATAAATAAGATTAGTAGATAGTTAAATTACAGAGTGATAATAAGACATTAGGATAGGAGATAGATGAATTAAAGAGAGAATTAATTAATCAAAAGAATTAATTATAATAGAATTATTAAAAATAATAATAATATGAGTAAAATTAATAGTAGTAAATGGAAAAGACATAATAATTGGATAGAATGTTAAAAGAAAAAATTGATGAAAATTTAAAATAAGTTAATGATATAAAGGTAAAAGAATTATATATTTAAAATTTATAAGCTGAAAAAACATAATTAGAGTTACAAAAAAAGGACTAGGATTATCAGATTACAAAATTAACTAATAATTTTAAAGAAATAGAAAAAGAATTATGGAAATTAAAATCTATTGAATTAAATGAATAGCTATAATAGAATATTAATCAGAAAGTATCAAAGAGTCAGTTGATTATTTAAGGAAAAAGTTTCAATAATAATAGTATGGATATTGAAGGATAGAGCTTTGGTAAGAATTTTAAACAACTTAATAATAATGATGAAAACTATTCGGTTTTAGAATATTATATCAAATAAAATAAAGATTTGAATAGAGATTACTAAACTCTTCTATTCAAACTACAAAATTTTGATTAAGTATCAAATTAAATTAAGAATTCCTAAAATGTAATAAATTAAAACAACGAAATCCTATTAAAAATTAAAAGGATAGTGAATAATCCAAATGGTATTTCAATCTAAGAATTGAAAAATATTGTAAATTCAAATGAGACAAACGATTTTTTTAATAGATATTTTAAGTGTTGTGATGGATAAAATGAGCTTGTTCTTTGTAAATAAAGGATTTGTATATATCATCTTAATTGCTTATATCCAAAACTTATCAAATAAGGACAATTAGCATTGAATAATTGTGATTGTGGATAACCATTTCCTATTTCAATATTAAGAAAAGTGAATTCTGTTGAATCAAAATGTATTTTGGATTAAATATTGGACCGTCAATTATAAAAGTTAATATCTTAAATGATAAAGGAAAAAAGATTTTTGCTTTACAAATGTCCCAATTTATTTTGTAATTTTTAATGGTTCTTCAGAAAGGATAAATCAAGTTCAAATCAAGGATCTTTATCATATTGTCCAAATTGTTAGATAAATGTATATTCTGAAATAAAATTAAATTGATTATCATCATAAAAATTTTAAAAATATTATTTTTAAAGTTGCTTCATTATATATATTCCCTCTTGTTAAGCAGATATTAGTAATCTGAATTAGTTTGTGCTTAATTTAATTATTTAATATTCTAGATAGCTAATGGAGAGTAGTTAGATTAAATATAAATAAAATAATTTATTTTTTATGGTTTGTAATTGTAGAGATATAATTATAAAGGAATGAGATAGAGAAAGCTTTAACTTAAGTAAAAATAATATCTTATATAATAAATATTAGACATAGCTAAATTAATTTAGATAGTTTTTTTTATTTAAAACAAATAATACTAGGAAATTACATAATTTTATTAAAAGGATGGCTTCTTTAATTTATAACTGAAAGAATTGGAACTAAATAAAAGAGGAATTTGAGAATTTAATTAAGGTTTTCTTTATTTAAAAATAATTAATTAAAAAGGACTCTTGAATTATTGACATGTGTAATTATTTGTAAATTATTTATTCAATTTTTCTAATGTAAATGAATTTAATATATTAAAAATCATGGACCCTTAGCTAAGAGATGAACATAGGTAACTTTTAGAGAAGAATCAAAAGTAATTATTAACTTATGGAACTTCTGGCTTTAGAGAAGAATCAAAATATTTGAAATTTGTAGGTTGGAGAGTGGGAATCTTTATTGGATAAATGTCTAAGAATACAACATTAAAATTAGGAGTTATGATAACAGCATCACATAATAAGATTATTGATAATGGTTTTAAGATAGTACCACCAAAAGGTGGAATGCTTTCAATTGAGGAAGAATAGAATATAGAAATATTTTATAAATCTGAAGAAATTGTATAATCTGAAACATAATATGATACTGGAATAGTATATGTTGGAAGGGATACTAGACCATCTAGTGAATCATTATGTTAAATAGTTTTAGATGGAATCAAAGAAGCAGGAGCAATTGGAATTAATTTAGGAATAGTTACAACACCATAATGTGCATTTTTAGTTTATGCAACAAATTTAGGATTAGTTAATTAAATAGAATCTAATTAATAATTTTTTGTTGAGTATTTTTGTAACATCTTTTTACAATTAATTAAAAATCCAATTAAAGGAACTTTAGTTATTGATGGAGCAGAAGGTGTTGGAGGAATTTGGATAAAATATTTTTAAGAAAAATTAGCAAATGTATTAACAATTTAAAGAATTAATTATGGAGATGAACCACATTTATTAAATGATGGTTGTGGTTCAGAATTTGTATAAAAAGAAAAAAAATTACCTAAAAATTTTGTTTATGATCCTAATTATAGATATGCATCATTAGATGGTGATGCTGATAGATTAGTTTATTAGTAATAATTATATAATATCATAGTTATTTTGAATAAAATAAGTTGTAAATTATTGAAGGTGATAGATTTGCTATATTATTTGCTATGTATATAAAATAATAACTTTAAAAAAAACCTGATTTAAAATTATCTATAGGTATTATATAAACAGCATATGCAAATTCGGCATCAACAAAATATATTACAGAAAATTTAGGAATCTATGCTAAATATGCACCTACAGGAGTCAAATATTTACATAGAGTTGCTCATGAATTTGATATTGGAATATATTTTGAAGCAAATGGACATGGAGCTGTTATTTATAAAGATCATGTTTTATCTTAACTGAAAGAATTTGAACTTTTTGAACTTGAATTGTTTTTAAAACTATCAAATTAAGCAGTAGGAGATGCCATTATTAATATATTAATGACTGAGTTTTTATTAAATAAATTAGAAATTACTATTTAAGATTGGTTGTTAATCTATTAAGATTATCCTGCACTTTCAACAAAGTTATATGTAAAAAATAAATAAATCATTAAAACCAATTATGAAGAAACATCTTTAATTGAACCAATAGGTATAAATAATTATTAATTAAAAGATCTTAAATAAAAAGTAGATGAAATAATGTCTAAATATGATAATTCATATAGAACATGTATTAGACCATCTGGTACTGAAAATGTAGTAAGAATTCATAGTGAAGGTCCCTAAGTTGAAATTGTGAAGGAAATCGACTTTAGAATCAATGAATTGTTAAAATCATATATGGAAATATGATAAATTTATATAATTTGCATATTAGTATTGTTATATTATATTTTTATTGTTCTCTTGATAAGAAATTAAATAATAATTATTAATAGAAAAAAGAAAGAATTGTTTTTCTTTTAATTTAACAAATGTATATGTTAGATATCTAATTTATATATTTGTTTGTTGAATTAGTTGTTTAACTTTCAAATAATAAATAAATGAGTTTTTAAAGTATATTTAATTAAATTCATTATTTATTATTAATAATTTAGATCATTAATTCATAAACAATTTAATTATTGATAAATAAAAACATTATTTATAACCCCATTTTTTATAAATATAAATGAGAAACAACGAATATGACTTTTATGTAGATGATCAAATCTATCTTTAAAAATATCAGTTTACTCTAAAATGCAAATATCACACAAAAATTTCAACTTTAAAATCGTATTTGTAAAAATACATCAAAAAAAATTTTGACATTATTCATAATGATGTTACTCTAAATGAATCTATGACTTTGGATGAGGTTTTCTCTAGATATTGTTAAAATACAATCATTCTATTGATAAAATCAGATCCAATGATTGATGTCTTAGTTAAACATTCAATTCAGTATCAAAATTTAAGAAAGTCAAGACCAACTTCAAATGAAGGTGTAGATGAAATATTACCTATAGAAATAAAAAAGGAGAAAGAAGATATAAAAATACAAGATTTAAATAATGAATTAGACACATTATCAACTACTACTACTTAAAAAAAATGTACTAATTGTGGGATTTAAAATAAAATGATTGAGAGCTATGAAAGTTCTATATCGAATTTAATATAAGAAAATGAATAACTATAAATTAGGATGAAATAACTTAAAGAAGAAAGAATTATATGTAAATAATAAGAACTTCAAGAAGAAAGAAAAAATAATAAATAAAAAGAGTTTATTACAGTAAATAGCTACAGACAACTAAAAAGATCATGATTATATCAATTTTTTCATCATATTTGTAAATTCTACTAATGATAAAGCTCCATCATGATTTGCATCAACTTCATTCATAATTTCTATCCAATAATCATTGCCAGTCAAATTACATTTAAATGCTTCACTCAATTCTTCAACATTTATATTACCAGATGCATTCTATAATAATTAATTTTAATAGTACTCTATCAATCAATTTAAATGCTGTTTCAATCTTTGATTTTTGCAATATTGCTTATTTATCAATAGCCTATGCTAAAAATTATGAATAAGAAAGAGTATCATCTTCATTACATATTTTATTGGATTATCTTTCTGCTGTTTCAGAATCAAATATCTTAAGCATAGCAGTCTATAATTCTTCTACATCAATATATCCATCATTTTTTGAATCTATAGATGTAAATACTTCTCTTAATTCACTTAATTCTTCTCTAGAAGCTAAATACAATACTATTAATTTAAGTGTTGCTTCTTATAATTTAGATTAACAATTATAATTCATTAAATTAGTTAATACTCTTCTTAATTAACTATCTGTAACTTAAAGTTCATAATTCTTAACAATCCATGGATCATTTAATGCTTAATCAATTGTAATTCTTTAATTAGGATCTTTTACTAAGATTTTCCTAACAAATTCTTTTGATTCATTGCTATTTTTAATCCAATCTTATTCATCAAAAATAAGAGGTTTTTTTAGAACATTATCAATAATTTTTCTATTAGTATCTCCACCAAATGGAGGATACCCACATAATAAGATATAGGTTATAACTCCAATAGCCCAAATATCAATAGATTCATTATATTTCTTTTATTATATTTCAGGTGCTTAATAATAAGGATGATTAACTGAACTATGCATTTTATGAGAAATCTTTTAACACATACCAAAATCAATCAAGATTGCTGATGCAAATTCTGAACTTTTTTCAAGCATAATATTTTCAGGTCTAATTTCTCTATGTGCAATTCCATGAAGATGACAATAATTTACAGCATATAATAATTATCTAATAATTCTTGCAGCATATGCTTCAGAGAATATTCTTCTCTCTTAAATTTTACTAAATAATTCTCCTCCTGAATAAAAATCTGTTATTATGTAATGAAATCTATCATCACTATAATATTCATTTATTTTTAAGATATTTGGATGATCTAACTTTTCTAAAATATTGACTTCTGATGATACTCTTTCCTCTTCTTTCTCAGTAGCATTCTTTTAAACAATTTTAACTGCTCTCATGATTCCAGTTTTTTTATTTATTACTTTACGTATTTCTGAATATTATCCTTTACCTATTGGTGGAGTTAAAAATTAGTATTCTGTACTAACTCGACCCTTTTTTTTAATTAATAGGTTTAATGCTAACACAGATGGTTTCACTATTTTTATGTGTTATTTGTTTACTTTCTTATTTCCTTTGATAATCTTATTCGAATTCTGCTTAGCTTTTCATCATTTTGTTACCCATTAATTATTACTAAGTATAATGATATTTAATAATTTTTATAAAATTCATAAAGGCAATCATCATTTCTATATTATAATGGTTTATTCTTACACTGCATGAGAGGATGAAAGTTGTCACGAATCCACAAAATATCAAACAGCTCCCTTAAATATCCAATAATAATTACCAGTTATTGTTGATGCCAAACTATATCCAATCAACCACATTCCACAGCTTAATATTGTTTATATAATTACAAAATTAAAAACCATCCTTTCCCTATATTACCTTCCAAAAATCTGAAATACTTAAGGATAAAATCCAATCGTAATTCAGCTGCTAAAATCATCAAAGCAAATAAACTTTATAAAAGCATGTGTTATACAATTAATATGTCATGAATATCCATCTCCAAAAAGCAAAAAGCTCTAAAACAGTGATTACATCCACTATAGTTATGGCTATAATTGCTGCAGCACAAGCAAGATTCATAATTCTGACAATAGTTTTAAGTGGTGTTCCTGATTATGGTTATGAGCTCATTTTGATAAATACTTAATTAAATTAAAATATTATTTCAATTAAATAAATCCTTCACCCTATTGATACATCCAATAACTTTTTCTCTAAGAGTCTTAATTGTTAAATTAAATCCAGCTTTTATTTTAAAATCACCATCTAAGTATCCTCTAATTATTAATTTTCCATCTTTTTAACTTATTCTCAATCCTCCTAATAATATTCTCCCTTCTTATAACTATGCTTCCTTTTTAAATCTGAATAAATATATAAATAATAATACATTTTAGATTGGTATTAATCTTCCAATCGTATTGATTTAAAAACAATATAATAATCTTCATTAAGCAATTCTATATATTTAAGGTATGTAATCAATTGCTTTTTAATCATTGAATGTTTATTTAATTATAATTCTCCTATAGACATCTATTCATTAATTGGTAATAATTAATAATTTTCAAACAAATCAAAATCAAATAAAGAGTTTGTATTTGACCATTTGAGAAATTTACTGATATCAGTATTCAAATCAAATTGAAACCTATATTATAATAATTATATAAACACTTAATCTGAATGAACATAATCTTTTGCATGAAATAATGTGAAAAATACAATTCAATATTATTGATATTCTAAATGTAAGTATCACTATCATCTATAATATCAACTAATTCTGTGAATTTTTCAAGTGCTTCTTAAGCATATAATGTTAAATCATCAATTCTAATTGAATTAATATTAGAGAAAGACATCATCCAATTTTCTACTGATTATTATTATTATGTCTATTGTACTAAATTATCCAAATTTTATCTAGATTACTATTTTATAATAAATTTATCTTCCTCTTTTTACTATACTGTTTAATTTATTGAAGGTGATCTTACGATTGGCAATTATTTATTGGTAATTGTTTCTAATGTAAGGTCATTCTCATTTTTTTCATCATTTTTTTCTGCTTAACATAATGATTAATCATTAGAATGAGTATGATCTTGTGCAATACCTAAATTTTGGATTGATTTAACTTATCTATTATGCCTGTATTTTTCCTTAACTTTCCTCCGCAGGATTATTGGATAAATTCACTAATTAATGTGATGGCACTTAAGTAGAGGGCTTGCTTTTGAAAAGAAAAAGACATTCTTTACACTTAGTCAAATATGATCCCATTTTGATGTTCAAAGTTTATAATTTTATAATCCTATTATGTATTTTATAATCAATGACAAAATCCATATAAATTGTAACTATAATTTCAAAAATTAACTAAAAAAATAGAACTAATCCTATTTATTAGAACCTATTATGATATAATAATATAATAATAATCTTTTTATCAAACTTATTCAGCCTCTAATTAAATATCATAATATAATCACATTTCAAACGATCGTTATTTCCCTAGAAGAAACGGACTTAAGAATTTTTCAGAATCGCTTTTTGTTTTACTTTGATCTGTTCCAAAATTTATGATTTAAATATTCTTAATCATTGGGGATTCACCTATCACTTATTAAAATATTATGCCATCTTTTTTTGGGTATTCACTAAATTAATAAACTTCATACTAAAACTCTTATTCTTTTTAAGTAGGATCAGTCTTAAATTTAATTCCCAATGCTCTTAAATAAGCAACTACTCTCCTCTCTATTTCTAATTGTTGTATGTTGTCACAATGAAATTAAGGCAATAAACTATCTAAAGATTCGACAGACTCTCTCGTCAAGTCTTCAAGAATTTCAATTCTAGATCTTGTTAAATCCTCTCCCTTTCTACCATATTACATAGTTTGTAATGAAAATAAGAAATTTGTTAAATAATGATAAGAATTTCATATTTATAATTAATAGTCTAAACTATGCTTCTAACAGATATTAGTCTTATTATTCAATTACATTATTAAGATTAAAATAATCAAAAATATTTAAATCGTTTTCCAAATAAGATACAAATTCTCTTAATCTATAGATAACAATCATTAATTACAAATAAGCCATTTATTTCTAAATAGATTCATTCTATTAGAAGATTTCTTTTAATGTGATGTGCTTTTTGAAGATATTCAAAATTAATTGTGTTAAAATTTGATGTTGACAGCATGATTCTTTAAGATATACTTTAAATTATCATAGCAAATGTTTAAAATTGACCTATTTAGATAATTTTTATAAAAATTAGAATGCTCCAACAGAACTAATTGCTTGTATCAACTATTTGAATATTAAGATATATTACTTATTCATAAAAATTGTTTAAGTTTTAATGAAATCTAGTAATTAAACTTAATAAAAATTAAAGAGAATTTAATGTAATTACGTATATTGAATTACAATCAATCAGCCAAAATTAATATATTATCCATTTTATATACCAAATGAGTATAAATTACAATCCTTCTTAATTCATTAATGATTCATAATTATTTTTAAACAAAAATAATAAAATTGAGTTCTTCCTTTTATTCAATTTATTGGATCTTTTAAAAAGAAATGATAACTTTATTAAAATCAAAATGTGAAATGTAATGATACCTAAAAGTTATTTAAATGAATAAGAATTTCAACTATTCATCTCATTTTATCAATTATAAAAGTTTCACTAATTATTATTCTTATCTAAGAAAAATTAAAAATAACTTTTTATCTTTTCAAATTTAAAATAATCCTTTTTGGAGTTTAAACTCACTTTTATGTCAGAGAGACATGAATAATGAACAAGTTCAGATTGTTTAGATTTCTATTGTATATAATCTAGTTTAAAGTATAATATGTAATTATTTTTATATAATAATATATGCAATAATTATTGAAGGAAGGAGGGAATAGAAATCAGAAATAAAATTAATTTGAATGGAGATCTATTACTCCTGAAAGAGAATTTGGTTAAATGTTGTAAGGTAAACCTCTTATAACAGAACCAAATGAAAATAAACAAACTGCTAAATCAATGAGTTAAGAAAATAATATTAATAATCATGATTTCAAATAAAAACATACTAATTTAAATAAGTTGTTAATACCTGATAATTAATAATAGAAATTTTAGAGACCTTTAAATTACATGTAAACATCATTAAAGAAAATGTCAGAAATTGGTTAACAAATAAATTCAATCTTACAAAAATTTAAATAAAATAGGATTCATCGACCTCAATCAGATTTAAATATGTTTGATAAGCATTCTATGATGAAAAAAACTAGTTAAAATGATATTAGTCTATCAACTAATTTGAATTTGAATCATAGTTATATTGATAATCGAGGTACTGAAACTGAAAGATCATATTTTTAATACAAAAATCATAAAGATAATGGAAAATAGTAAAATAAGGATTAAAAAGATTATCAATTCCTATTCTAAAATAGTAATAATCAATTTTAAACGAATTCTTTAAAAAAAATAATTGAAAAAAAAATAGCTTTAGCTATGCAAACAAATACTAATAATAATTTATATAATGATTACAAAAAATAAATTAATAAAGAATCTAAATAAGATAGATCTTATAATATTTAAAAATATATAACAAATAAATTCTTAAGAAATTCATCATGTCTATAACAAAATGAAAAAAGCGATAGAAAGAATAAATAAATGTCTAGTTATTTCTCATAGAATCATTATTCAAAAAGTTAATCATCTTTTTTAATTGAGAGAGAAAATAGCAAATCAGAGAATACAACTAGTCGGAATAACAGAATTAGAGTTTCAAGTTATATTAAAACTCCAACTAAAAATACTAGTGATCTAATTAAACAATTTAGTCCTAGATTTATTTCTTAACAATTATCATCATATTAAGTTAGTTCTAGTAAGATTAATTCATTATTATCATCTATGAATAAAGACATAGAAAAGATATAAACATATAATAATATTTAAAATTTGAATATTTATCATATATAGGCAATTCCACTATTTTTAAGTAATGATCCAAATTAAACTCATGTAATTGTTGGATGTTCTGATTTATCAGTACGTGCAATCAATTTATATTCAGGTAGAATATAAATTTTGGGTAAACATTAGAAACCAATTAGATCTATTACAAAAATTGTAATATAACAAAATTTTAAAACTTTTTATTCCTGTTCTTTAGATAATTAAATAATTCAATGGGTGAGTGAATCTATGCATGGCACCTATAGATTGAAACATTCTTGGAGGATGAATGAAGTACCTTTATAACTCTATTAAACTGAAAAAGGAGTTTTGTATATTGTAACAGCCAATTTTATTTTCTATTTTTCGTCTGTTACAAAAAAGTAGATAACATATCATGGAGTATTTAATTGTATGATTTAAACATCTAGTAATATTTTGGTTGCTATTGATAATTTCATTTATAAATTATAAGCTGATTCTTTGTAATTGGTTTGTACCTCAAAGAAACCAATAAAGAATATTATATATGAAGAAGGTTTACTTTATGTACTTTAAAGAGATGGAGTATTATTAATCTATGAAGAAGCAAAACATTTAAAATTTAATTCAGAAATTGATATAGGAGCTATGAATATATTTAGTATGCAAAATGGTTAAATTATAATCTAAACAAATGATAGTGAATTTATTATTTATTCTTAGCAAATAAGTAAATCATATCAGATAGATGGTAAAATCAAATGTCTATTAGCATTATAATAAATTTTATTAATAGGAAGTAATAAGAAATTGATTGAAACCCTCAAATTTTGAATATTATATTTACTTTAACATATTTTCTCAAAAAGTGTATAATATTTTATCAATATTTGTGTATTCATTATTACAATAATTAAATATATTAAATAATTAAAAAAAACTTAAAAAAATATATTTCCTTTTTGAAATATAGATATATAAATAATTCAAGTTAATTATCTTTCAATCAATTATTTATAAATTCCATTTTTTTCAATTAAGTCTTGATGTCTACCTTATTCAACAATCTCTCCATTTTGAATAACAACAATTTTATTTGAATTGATAATAGTAGATAGTCTATGAGCAATAATAATAATAGTTTTTTGCCCAGTTGAAACTAATCCATCTATAGCTGACTATACTTAAAATTCTGATTCAGAATCTAATGCACTTGTAGCTTCATCAAAAATAAGTATTTTAGGATTCTTGATCAAAGCTCTTGCAATAGCAATTCTTTGTTTTTATCCACCTGATAATTTAACTCCTCTTTCTCCAACAATAGTATCTAGACCATCTGGAAATATTGATTTATTGGAAACAAATTCATAAGCATTTGCTAATTTCATAGCATTATCAATATCCTCTTATGTGTATGTTGAAACTCCATAAGTAATATTTTCTTTTAGAGTTCCAGAAAATAATGTTGGTTCTTAAGCAACAAAGCCTATAGTTTGATGAAGCTTTTGTTAATTGTATTCTTTAATATCAATATTGTCAAATAAAATTTATCCTTCATTTGAATCATAAAATCTTTCTAATAATTAAACTATTGTTGATTTTCCACTACCACTCTATCCTACTAATGCCACAACTTCTCCTTTTTTAATCTCTAAATCAATTGATTTCAAAGTAGTCACATTAGATTTCGTTGGATATTAAAATGTAACATTTTTAAGTGTTATTTCACCTGTTATATGTTAAGCATCAAGTGATCCATTTTATATTTTTACTGGATGATCCATAATTGAAAATATCTTTTCAGAAACAGCAGCTGCAGATATTATCTAATTCATAAATCCACTTACAGCCAATATGGATACTAATTTATATATAAACTTTGATATTTACTTGTCATTGTTAATGTATATAATACAAATGAACTTAAATCTCCTATTGTTAATTTATCTTCAATAACCAAACTTCCTCCATAATATAAAATAGCTAAAATAACTGCATATCCTAATAGAATTCCAATTGACATAAATTAACTACCTAAAATGGCTATTTTATTTCCTATTCCATAAACTGTTGATGTTGCATTTTTATATTGAGATCTTTCTTTCTCTTCAGTTGAAAATGATCTAACTATTCTCATATTACCAAGTACTTCTGATGCTATCTAAGTTGATGCTGCTACTGCTTATTAGTATTCTTTAGTTAATTTTTTATAAGATCTTACAAATAAAATAACTATTATTGTAAATGGAGGAATAACACAAAATAATACTAATGTAAGATTCCAACTGATAAACCACAATAATATTAGACTACCTACAAATTAAACAGCATTTTTTAAAATCATTGATATTGAATCATTTGCTCCTTTATTTATTACAGATATATCTGAAGATAATCTAGATAATAATTCTCCTGATCTATTTGTATCATAGAATTCAATATCTTTTGTGATTAATTTTTAGAATAATTCATTCCTTAAATCAAAAGTTATTTTTTCACCTAAAATATTATAAGCATAAGCCCTAACAAAAGTAAAGATGGCTGATATTATAGTCAATATTATGAAATAAAATGTTAAATTATTTAGATCCTCTTTTCCATCTGATTTTGTTATTGAATCAATCATTTATCTAAAATTAAATATTTTCTTACCCTGTCAAGTATGGAAGTGCTACCATTGAAAGAGATGTTATTAATAATCCAAAATTGCCTAAAAATAGCAATAATTTATGCTTCCAAGAATATCCAAGTAATCTCAAAAAATTTGATCTTTTTGGTTTATTTTCAATAGAAATCTCTGATTCTATAGCTGTTCTACTTTTCTTCTCTTCTTATATTTTTTAATAATCGGCATCGAAATTCATTTTCTTTTAAATTTTATTCATGTTTACAATTTAATTTATAATATAAATATTTAAGAATGGAATTCCAATAATCCAAAACTTTAAATTTTTAGATAATTTTCTTTAAAACATTTTATTAATTATTAAATATTGATTGACTGATGTTTAAATATAATACATGATGAATGATTCAAATAGATAGTTAAATTAAATCTTATAGACTTTATAAAATTCTAAAAAATCTAAGTTTTATAATATCTATTCTAAAAACAATCTTTTAAATCTAAATTTTTATAATATCTATTCTAAAAACAATCTTTTAAATCTAAATTTTTATAATATCTATTCTAAAAACAAAATAAATAAAAAATAATACATATTAATATATAAAGATCTTAAATAAAATAAGATGAGATAAAAAGAATTTAAATAAAATATATTTTTTTAATTATAGATTAAAATATATATATATTTATGGTAGAAAAATATAAAGTCAACATTGTTTTATAACAGATTTAATTTTCTATTATATAGTCGAAAGTGTTTTCTCATCTCTTTATTTTTAGACAAATAGATTAACAGGACTCTTTGTTGTTATTTAATCAAAATTAAATGATTAATTATTTCTTTTCCTCTTGAATAACTATTGTTATGTAACATTAGTCACTTAAATTTACTATCCACCATTTGAATTTTATGTAGAATTAGTCTAATTTATATTATTAGTTATCATTAATTAAATATTTAATTATTTCTTTTTGATCTAATTTTCTGATCTATTCAATTTACTATTTTAATTTCCAGAATTCTTTGCAGATCCTAATTCAACAGTTTTATTATTGTATTTTTATTACTACTTTTTAATTTACACAGATTTAAATGGATATTATTAATTCAAATAAACTTCTGCTAATTAATGATTAGCCCATTTAGGAGAATTAGGTTTATATTTATTAGTAGTTGAAATAGATCTTAATTTTCTCTTATGAGTCTTACTTTAAGTTTCATAAATCTAATGTTCTGGCTCAACATTAAAATTGATTTATTTTGTATTTGAAAATTATTATTCTTTCATTGATCTAGTTCTACTCTTCATTCCAACATATTTAGCTTAAAAATTAAATAAATTATTACATTTTCTAATGATTGGAATAACAAATCCACATTTTTATGATTCAATCACTGGTTTAAGTAATACAATCTCAAAATGACCTTAATCCATTTTCATTTTTGCATCTTCATCAATTGCCTATATTTTAAAGTAAATAAATACTTATTTTGAAATGTCATAAAATCTATTATGAACATTCAACAATTAATTAATTAATGGTAAATCTTTTGGCAAATATAGATAGGCTATTTCTAATGCTCTTGATAAATAATTCTCTGCTTCACTAAAACAGAAAGATTCAACTTTCTAAACAAATTTAGACTCTGTTGATGTACAATATAAGGAAATCACAAATAAACAAATCATATGTAAATATTGTTAATTTGTAGGAAAGTCCAAAACATGGATAAAATTGCTTAAATTCACTGGATTCATTTGGATAAAGAATAATATGTTGGCTCTATGAATATATGCTTATGGACATCCTGAATACACTAAATCGTAACTCTTTAATACTAATCATTGTACTTCTTATGTAGCTTAGGTTTACATTTAATAACCCTAAACTATTGTTTGATGTTTCGGTTTTAAAATGGGTATACTCTTCTTTAGAATTTCTTCTAGGACTTATTAATGTATTTAACTCTGCAAGTATTTTTAGAGATCTATTAATATTTTTGAAGCTTTTCTTATTGCCATTTTAGCAAAAGCCAAAGCTTCAGAATGTTGACCACTCTCTGAAAGGATAATACAGCATTGCAAATAACAATGCAAACGTATAATTGAAAGGAGATAGCCTTCTTAATCTGTTCTGGGTGTTTTTTTTAAAGCCAAAATGGCATCTTCAAAACAAGTAAATGCTTATTCTAACCAACCAATAGCATAAAAGACTACTCCCAAATTTATTCTAATCATTAGAAAATAGTGAATTAATGGATTAGAATAAGAAATGGCAGTTAGTATTTATTCTGCTTATTTTAAGTGATATACACATTGGGAATATTGGTTAGCTTCAAAGTCTTATATACCTAATTGAATAAAGTCAATTAACTATTATTCTGCTTAATCTTCATTAATTTTAAGGACTTTATTGTTCCTTTTTTAATTAGCTTCTATGATATTAAATATTAAGTTTACATCCTTAACCATCATCATTATTATGGATAATCTCTACAGGTTAAACTTGATCTAAAATTTATTGGAGAATATTGATGTCTGTTGAAGGAGGAATAGGGTTTTGTTTTTTTTAAGCATTTGAGACTAGATTATTTAACAACTTTGGAGATTTCAGTTCTTGCATTTTTTATTATAATAATATATATAAAATATAGAAAATATAGTAAATATCTTAGTAATTAATAAAGATATCTTTAATAAACAATAGAATTATGATGTCTATAAAATATACTAAACATAACCCATTATTATAAATATTATTTTATATGATCAGTTATATTATGTATTAAGTTGTAAAAAAGCAATTATCAAAAATTGCTTTGAAAAAAGAGTCTTAATTTTATTTTATTAATATATATATTCAATGGGATTTTTCGATTATTTCTTTGGAAAAAAAAAAGAACCTGAAAAATAAGCTCCTCAACCACAACCTGTTGTTCAATAGCCAAAATCAAATAAATAGATTGAAGAAGAAGTTTATTATTTTTTATTATATTTAGAATTGGGTATACGCTTCAATACTTTAATATTTGATATCCCCAATCTGGAATATTACTATTTCTGAATTTGTAGATTAAAACTGCATCGTTTTTGATGATGAAGAAGAGAATAAGTTAGAATATTAAGCCTTATTCAAAAAATACAAAAAGATGATGGCCAATCTTATTGACAATATGATGAATGAGTTAGGTGTAAATGAAGAGTAATTTGCTGAATAAGTAGAAAAAGGATTAAAACATCCTAAAGATAAATAGGTATTTGAAAAACTATTAACAATTGATAACTTTTTGGTTTTCAAAACATCAATGATTAAGAGAAACAAAGAATTAGAATTAGAAGCATTAAAAGAAATCGAAAAGTAAGATCAGAAAAAGTATATGATACTTATTATTTATTAGAATTTAAAAAGGATAAGCTGTTAATGTCTAAAATAATCCAAACATTAAATTACTTGAAATGGAAGCAGAAAAGGCTGAATTAGAACATGCTTTGTAAATGTCTTTAGCAGTTGAAGAAGAAAAAAAGAAGATGTTAACAGAAGAGGATAGATAATTATAAGAAGTATTAAGGTAGAGCTTAGTTGAATTTTAGTAATTAATTTTATTTATTTCTTAGATAAGGTTTAAAAAAATAAAGAGATGCTTTAGAACTCAAAACTAAGGAATTAAAAAGAGCTAAAGAAGAATAAGAATAAAAAGCATTTGAATTAGAATAATAATTAAGATTATAATCATAATAATAATAATAATAATAATAATAATAATAATAATAATAATAATAACCATTATAATTATAATAATAACCAATTAAATAATAAGTTAATCTAAATTCAGATGGTACACCTACTCCAATTCTAAAATCTGTAAAATATATATCTAAATTTAGGAATATCAATTATAAAGTCAAGTTTAATAAGGTCCTACTATGGCTGAATTTTATTAAGTTTAAAATAACAATATTCCCTAACCAGAAAAAGTAGAATAAGTATAACAATAGAAAGATTCAATACCTATTTTATAATCTAAAAAACTTGATAAATTATCGCATAAAGCTGTTTTACCATCAATCTAAGGTTAGGCTTAACCTATAATATAATAAGCAGATTCAGTTATTTAATTTGAAATGGATGTAGCAGTAGATGATGTTGGTGTTAAAAAATCAGTTATTGCAAATTTAGCTTCTTAAAAGACTACTGAAATAAATAATGTTGAATAAGTTGAAAGTATAGAAGATAGAAAAAAAAGATTAATAAAATAAAGGGAAGAAATTAGAAAGAGAAAAGAGGAAGAAAATAAAAAGACTTTAGAATAATATAAATAATAGCAAGCTAATGTATAAATTTATTTTGTCTTTTTAGGAAGTAAATAATAATAAAGAAGATGATGCTTTTTCAATCCAAAGAAAAAATACTTAAGATGAACTTCAAAGAAAAAGAGAACTATTAGAAAAGAAGAAAAATGAAATTAAAATGCAGAAAGAAAAAATGGAAAAAGAAAAAAATGAAAATTAAGAATATGATGTTGATTTATCATGAAGAATCAAAATATAAATCATTGTTTTTTCTTATAATTCTCATCTTGTTATTCCTTCTCTTAATATAATATGATATTCAGTTTTATTAAAGAAATATATTCCTTGATTTAATATGAATTTAACTATAAAAAATTATATATTCGTTTTATTTAATGAATTAACAGCAAGAAGAAGTAGAAATATTTGAAAACCCTAATTCCAATAGAAATTCTGAAGAAATGAGTAAATCCATTTTTTCCACTGTTTTTGCAATCATTTACAACTTCAGTTGGGGAATGCTTTTTCTTATTTTTCGACATTACAGTAATTAATTTTTGGTTTTAATTAAGAGATGATTCTGAATGCCAATTGATTGATTCATGGACATAATACACAGAGATTGTTTTATTTATTATAGCTGGTTATAAATTGTATATACTTTAACAATGCTAGATTTATTGAATTACCAATTTAATATTAGACTAATATATAATGGAAGAACTAATTGTTTGATGTTGTAGATTATTTAGAATTATTTTTTAACATAGTTATTCTAATAGGATTAACTGTAATCAAATTTATATTTACATTATTAGTATGCTTATCTTTAGAACGAAGAATGTTATAATCTAAAGAGATTTGTTTTAGGATACTTAATTGTTACATACTTAATATTATTAATATGGTTGATATCATTCATATTTATTATTTGCAATAGAGAACAATTTAGTAGAAATCAATGATAAAATAAATAAATTTTATTTACATTTATCTTTATAGAAATGTATGAATTAGGCATTTTATAAATTATCTATATAATGTTAATTGTTCAAAAAAGATATAATAAATATTAACTCAAAGGAAATATAAATAAAAATTATAATTTATTTAGTTTCTTATTTTAGATTAATTTAAGAACCTTGAAAATATGTCTATAAATGTTTAGATTCTATTAATAAATTTATAAATTCATTTATATTTTCTAAGTAATTTATGTTGAGTAAAATGATTATTTATATAAAACCATCATTTAATTGAATTCTCATGGAGATGAGTTTATAATATTTCAATTAAGTTATAATTTTGGATATTGATTTGTTTGATAAATAATAACTAATTATAATATACATTAGCAGATACTTTAATAAAAATACAAATGAAAGACACTCATTTTTTTATTATTAAATATTAATATCCAAATATAATCAATAAAATGATACTTACGAAATACATTTTGGATTGATTTAATACTGATAAGCAAATTTGATTAATTTATGATCAAGCAAATATTATTTATATTTTTAAATATTATATATAACCGTTGAAATTCATGAGCTAACAATTTTATTAGACATATGTACCTAATCCATTCATTCCTACATTTAATCCAACTATAAATTCATCAAGAATTGATTATCCATCAACTAATTCTGCTAAATAAGTTGATATTAAAGAATCATCAAACGATTAGATCTAACAAAATAATGTTATCACTTCATCATTTAGTTTAAATCCTTAAACAAATAAATCAATAGTACTTAAACGTAAATTAATACCATATAATATTTAGCAATTTTAACCAATCAAGATGAATATCAAAGAAAGATTAATGATTTAGAAAAAAGTCATAAAAAAGAACTTAGAGATCTTGAATTTAAAATGCAATAATAATTAGATTCACTCTTATAAAAAAGATAGTAAGATGATTAATTTAAATAATTAACTGATGTACGACAATAGATAGCTGAACTTTAATCAACATTATAAGGAAATACTTATGGTAATCCTTATTCTTAATAATAATAATAATAACATCTATTTTATAGTCAAAATGAGTTGGATAGATTAGAAAAGTAATTAAAAAAAAAGAAAAATAAAATTAAACTCTTCAAGACTGAAATGGATAGTCTAAAATCAGAATTGTAATTAAGATAATAAAAAATAACAGAATTAGAAATTAAATTACATTACTCAGAAAATAAACCAATTATATAATAAACCCCATTACCTAAAGTAATAACTGTACCACAAAGTATTCCTTAACCTACCACAATTATATAAGATTCTCCAGAATTAATTGATAGAATTAGAAGTCTTGAATTTGAAAGAGATGTATAATTTTTTATATTATTTTAGTCATTACTTTAAGAATTGAGAAGATTTTAATCTACATTTTTACCTGTTTAAAAATAATAACAATATGCATTTCCATCTGTTGATGAATGGAATCGACTTATGCATGAATATAAAGTATTAGAAAATGAAAACAATAAACTAAATACAATAATTTTATAAAAGGATGACTTAATCAAATCTTTAGAATAAAGAATAAGTGTAGAACTTACTAAATAAAGTGCTTTATAAGCTTAAGGTCATTAACCAAGAGCTATATCTGTTTTATATGATCCTTAGGCTTAATAATAATCATCTAAATCATAACAATTGTATCCAATAGCAGTTTAAAATACTGAGCAACAATCTAATATTGAACCAACATTACAAAATCCTAATGCCCAATGAATTTATTATTTATAATATTCAATTTAAAACTTATATATATATAAAAAAATAAGTGAAAAATAATAAAATAATTATAATTGTATTCAAAAGATTTAGCAACAACTATCTCTTTTTTTTTGCTATTGTTATATTTAATCAGTGTTTGTCGTTTGATTAGTTGTAGTTGATTAATATTGGGATTCTTATGTTTGAAATTTTATTTAAGATCCTCTTCCGCTTATAAATTACTATAATTCTCTTGGTGTTTCACTAATAGATTTCAAAGCAGATATTAATTATGCTTCATTTAAATAATTTTCCCCATTTTCATCAGGTTCAGCTTCTGAACCATCTAAAGAACAAGGTAATGATTATTTTCTTAAATTACCTCCTGATTATCTTTAACTGATTCTTTTAGAATTGGGACTAGAATTTTGTTTAGGTTTTAAATTTTCTGAATCAAGATATTATTAGAATCTATAACTAAATTATTCTTTAATATCTGATTTACTGCTTGATTATTAAAGTGATCTTCTTATTGATTTTCTATATTCTCCAGTTAATTCATCAATATTCATAGTTTAATCAATTTAAAGTTAAAAGTTTTATTCTTTAAATATTTATTTATCATATTTGATTCCCTAAAAATATATATGAGTTAAATAAAATACATTCATTAATAGAATCTTTTCCATCATTGATAATTCCTATTTAAGCATAGTCATTTATTTTTCAATCTATTCATAACTAAGTTTAATATTGATTTTGACTTTATTAAGAATTAATTTGGCTCTTTATGCAAATTTTAATGTTTAAATTGTTTTTTCTTCATGTTCTTATGCTGCACTAACTGCACAAATGAAAGAAGTATTAGAATTACCACCCAAACATTCTTTAAGAAGTAATGTTAATTTAGAATCTCTATAAGGAACATGCTTATTATTTTTTCTACTAGATAAAGCCATTATACAATGTCCCAAACAATGTAATGATTAATTAATTTTTTTAGTTTCCTCAAGCATTTAACCTTTAGCAACTGTTTTGGCGAGTCTTTCACTTCCAGCCAAATCAATAAATTAGATTTTAGATGTTCTCTATGATTTATCCTTCCATTCAACAAGCAATCTATAAATATATTCATTATATTACTCAATTGAGAAAATAACATGTGATCTACTAGATCTGGAATTAAATTGAGTTGCTCCAATTGCTCTATTGTAACTACCAAATGCTACTAATTCCATGAGATCATTGACAGATTCAACTTGAACTTCTCTCACTCCCATCAACTTTGGACCATCAGCTATTGTACTAATCTAAGAAATATAAAATAAAATACTTTGAGATCTAATTTTTGATTGTTAGTTTTATATTATTAGTTTAACAGATCATAAATTTGTTCATTATAGATCTCAACATAGTTGGCCTTAAGAGTCACTTATTACAATGATTCTTATTGTTTAATTTTTTGATATCCCTAAATTTTTATTTGATTGTACATCAACAATTTGATAAAACGATCTAGGAAGTATACCAGAACTTTAATCAATATTAAACTTATTATTGAGAATCTGTTCTATTGTGCTCTCTGGTCCTAAGATTGTATATGTTTTGCCAGATGATGTTGCACCGTAAGCAAACACTGCACTATTATAACCTTGTAAGCTTGGGATATTAAATATAGAATATTACAAAAAACTAATTTTAGGTAACATAATAGTTTAGAAAATCTCTTCTTAGAGTGTCATAGGAGGCATGATTACATCAAATTCAAAAATTTCATCTTATTTTGTATTTTTATATGTAATTGCTTCTTCTTCAATAATCCAATTAGGAGACTTGAGATTAAGGAAAATTTACAGACTCTTCTTCTGTAGCTAAAATGGACTTAAAGCGAATGACAACTTTAATTTGATTGTCCATTTTATATATCTATAAATAATAATAATAATAATAATAATCAATTGATCAGTTATTAAAACTTAGTTCTTATAAGACTTCTTGGTCTCCCTAAAGCTTTACAACTATTCTTATTATTAGGAGTGACATTTTCATTTTCATCAAGTAACTAAATTTTTTTAATTTGATATATAGATCTTGCTGGTAATCTCTTTTCTATCACAAATTCTGTTTATACTCGTAATCCTGCTATTTTTGCATTGTTCTTATAAAATGTATTATTACGAGATCTAACAGGTTTAGGTGTAAGACAATATGATTTCTTTTTATTTTGATGATAATATTAGGTTATACTTTTTTGAATAGTTTGATTTCTATCTGAGATATCTTTAATCATTTGTTACATCCTCCTTCGAAGTAGATCTGACATATAAATGAATCTAGGTTCTTCAAATCTATTTCTATTATATAATGAAGACAATAATAAATATTTATTTGTTTCATCTTACTCTAAGTCTAAGCAATTATAATGCAATTGTTATATTGAAGGTTCTTTTAGAAAGTAAGATTACTAAATACGATGAGTTTCTATGATATTATTATAGATTTTGAGAGTAGTAGTTCCTGGCTTTTTGATTTCCTTTAAATAAACTCGTATGCAATAATCATAGATTTACTCAATTGACAAATCTAATGATAAAAGTTCTTCAAGTCTTTTAAATCATTAAATATACCTTGTATATCTTCTAAGATATAAATTTCTAATGTGTTCATAGTTTTTATTTTGAATTTGTTGTATTAATGTATTGATCTGATTTTCAGTAAATAAGGATTTATTCAACTTTAAGTATTTTTGGATTTCAAATTGTTGAATCTCATTTAATGACTCTGGTTATGTCAATAAAACTATCATGTCAAGTCTTGCAATCATAATATGCATTCCCATTGAATAGAAAATACTATTAACAGATAAAGAATAAATTAAATTAATGATAAATCTGTTCCCTAAAATATAGAACAATTAATATAATCAAAAATCTTTGGGAATCTTTCTAATTCTTTTAAAATGAGAAGTAATGATTTTTGGGCTGAGATTATGAATTCATTTTAGGGGACAATTTAATTATATGTACATTTAACAATTGATTAGAAGAATAGAATTAGTTTGGATTAAATAATCTAAGGATCTTGTCAAAGAATTAACATTCATTTTTTAAAATATGAAGAGTTCTTATTTATAAGATGTATAATACACTATTTAAAAAACTAATATAATAAGATAAAGTTAAGGATAATGTAATTTTCACTTCTTGTTATGATGCAGCAAAGTTGATTGATAAAATATTTTACAGTTGTTAGAATGTTGTGATCGCATTTGCTTAAAGAAAATGAAGATAATCTAATATTGAAATCATAAATAATTTGTGTGTCAACCTACTCAAAGTTATAATAGTTTTTATAAACTGATCATTCTAAACACTCAAAAGAACTTCAATAAATTAAAAAGACATCGATCAATAGGACTTCTACTGAATTCATCAAAGAATTTATTGATGTAGATGATAAGGATATTCTTAAATGTTACCCATGAAGAGGAATCAATTGTGAACATTTGAAAATTAATAAATCTAAGTGTCATTGTTCAATTCCATTCTATTATTCTACACATGATGACACTATTATCATATAAGTGTAAGAATATTAATTAAATGGTAGATTAATATATCTGTCTTGATGATCAAATTTATTTTCCATATTGAAAAACTATTAGTAGCTAATGAAGAATATCCCTATAATTATCAACCTAAATTCCATATTAGATATAGCATATAATTAATGTAAAATTAATTAATGATCATGTCAAATAAATTAAGAATATAATTATTCACATTAATTAATGAATCATTTTAAGTTGAATTTCCAATATCCATTTTAAAACTACATTAAAACTTAAAATATTTGAAGTTCATATTGATGAAATATTTAGATTTTGTATATTTCTAGACTAAAAAAGTAACTTGGATTCTTTATTATACAATCTAATAAAGCAGGTATGGAATTAATTTATAGAACCTTCAAAGAAAATCATAGCTTTAAGTTAACATTTGATTTAAAGAATGTCGAATTTGTTGATTTCTGGCAAGAATAAATAAAATTGATTATATTGATTAATTAAATAATTTATGGAACCTATTGTTAATGAATTTTCATAAGTAAATGATGATTCAGTTGAAAAAGAGAAAGCTTAAATTACAAATATAATGGTATTTGAAACAGCAGGAACACTATTATTAATCTATGGAGCATTAGCTACTGAGTAAAATAATCTTATAACAATAGAACCAATTTTGGTGTAGCTCTTGTTTATTTCATAGGATTAATCGTATGTGGAAGACTAAGCGGAGGGTACTTCAATCCTATTTGCACATTAATAGGATATATAGATGGATCAATTTCTAAAAAAAAAGCCATGTATTATGTTGGGGCATAGACAATCGCTAGTCTAATTGCAGGAATGTTATTGATGCCAATGTTTGCATATAAATAAACATTACCATATTTTGAAAGGTATTAAAAATAATAATTAATATAGATTACCATCACATTAAGTATTTGGAACATTAATGTCTGAAATAGCTGGATCTATTATATTCTTTACATTTATATAAATTTAGACTGCAGAAAATACAAAAATAACAACAACTCCTATACAATCTGCTATTTTTGTGAGTGTCATTTATTTTGTAGCAAGATAGTAAATAATTAATATATATTTAGATACACTGCAACAATGGGAAATAGTCTATTTAATCCATCTGCTGCTTTTGGGTATTATATTAAAATATATTAGATTGTAATTATTTTATGGAATTTATTATGGAAAATGGGATTAAATGATTAATTTATTGATGTATGTTCTTGGTCCATGGATTGGAGCATTGTTAGCAATCACCTTCTTTTGGAAAATCTATACTCCAACTCTTGTTAGTAAATAGACAAATTGAATTTCATATTAATACAATATTAATTTTATACAGTTATTAACAAATGCACTACTCTGAATAAAACTCTATAGAAAATGATAATAGAATAAAATAACTATAGAAAAAGAGAGAAGCAATTTAAAAATAAACAGAAATGAGAAGAAAAGAGATTGAACAATATTCTGATTTAGATTATGAGTATCAATTTCAAATAATTGTGTTAGAAAAATCTAGAAAGAAAATGAGATACTCATTTAGGATAAATATAATGTAGAATAGAGAGCAGCTAAATTATAAGAAGTTTATAATGGTCTCAAATTGAGTGTAATGAAATAGTAATTATAATTCAAATTTTATAGAGTTGGAAAAATATAAGTTTCTGCTGATGCCTTATGTAAACATAAATAAAATATCTATGAACATATGGTAAGACATAAATCAAAGGAGGCTGATATATTTTTATTAACTACAAACACAAAACCTAAAGATTACTTTTAAGTCTTAGAAGATAATTTGAATTAAGGTCCATTAGTATAAGAAAAAGAGAAAGAAATGGAAGCTTTAAAATTATAAAATTAGATTTTAAAAAATGAATTAGAAATACATAAAAATCAATAATAATACATCCGAGAATTCTCTAATAATCCTCATATAGATTAGGATATAATTAAAAATATGGTTAATGAAAATCAATTTAATAGAATTAATACAAGTAAAAATGAAAGAAGCAATAGTTAATTGAGTATGGAAACTAAATAAATAATGGACTTTTATAATGAAAAATAATAGACTTCTTCTATGTATAAAGAATAATTGTAATTTGGTTGAAATTTATAAATTAATTCATTTAAAATATTAATCTAATTCATTACTTAAACATTTTAATTATTAATAAAACTCTCTACAACATTTACATTATAAAATATCTTTAATTTCATTAATATTAAATTTAATTAATTAATTTTATTTGATTTATACTTATTCTTAAACTTCTACATCCATTTATTATTATTATTATTATTATTATTATTATTATTATTATTATTATTATTATTATTAATTTTTATTATCATCATTTTCTTATATTTTTTTTTATTTTCTAGGTCTAATTACAATCTCCTCTTTTTCAACATTATTATTTTCATCTTTATCTTTTTATTCATCCTCATAATATTAAAATTTATTTTCATCATAAAACTTATAATTAGTTTATTTCCAATCTGAAATACCATTTAAAAATTCTGCATAAAATTCTTTTTTTTCAATCATATTACAATGTTTTTCATCTAATTTTTTATTCAATTTTGGAATTTCTTCTTCTATAAATTCTTGAACATCTTTATAATTAGTTTATTCCAGTAATAAAGACATTCCAAAAGTTCCAAAACGACCAGTTCTACCAATTCTATGTAAATATGTTTCATAAGAAGAAGGTGTATCAAAATGAATAACCAAATCTAAAGTGTCTACATCTATTCCTCTAGAAAGCTGTAAATATAAATTAAAATTAATACTAAATCTGTTGAAATAATCAAATTTGCCTTGTTTCTTTTTAATTAATGCATCATCTTTATTCTATCCGATTAAGTTAAATCTCCATGTATAAGTACTGGATTAAAACCTTCAGCCTTAAGATCCATAAATAGATTTTCTCCTCTAACTTTGTCATTATAAAAAATTATAGTTTACTTGATTGATAGCTATTTCATTGTTTTAGCAATTGCTTCAGTTTTTGATTGGTATTTTGATTTATTTTCGTCATCTAAATTTAATTTAATATAAAATTATCTCAGATTCTCTAAACATATTTCTTCATTTGATTTAATTAATTTAGGATTACTCAAACATAATTATATTAAACCAATTATTTTAGATGGGTATGTTGCTGAAAAACATAATATTTAAGGTTTATTTTAATCTTAATTCCTACCTACAATATTTGCCAATATTTTCTTAAAATGTGGTTAAAAAGTATAATTTTCATGTAATTTATCTGCTTCATCTAATACCAACAATTTTATATTGCACAAATTCATTAATTTTTCTTAAATCATTTACATAATTCTTCCAACTGTACCTATTAATATAGTACATCTTCTTGTTTTAAGAACATCTCTATCTTGTTCTACAGGTAATCCTCCAATAAATAAATGAGATTAAAAATAATCTTTTTCTACTCCTTCCAATTTATTTACAATTTTTGTTAAAATATCTGTAATTTATATGGCTAATTCTCTTGTAGGAACGATTATTAATGCATATGGTAAAGGATTCTCAAAATTTTAAATTGTATTATCAACAACTAAGGATGATTGAATTCTAGCTTTTCTTTCCTAAGCATCTTATTATATTTCAAGTCCAAATTATAACACCTACACTAAAAAACATAATGTCTTTCCAGTCCCAGCTTCTCCTTAACAAATTACATCTTCTTTTTACAATATTGATGGAATAGCCTTTTATTAAATTAAAGAAGGTTTCTTGAAATTCATTTTTTCGAATGCTTCTACTATGCATTTGTTAATACCAAAATTATTAAAATTCATTTAAATTATTAATCAATTCATTCATTCAAATTAAAGGTGTCATTATATTTTATGTGAAACCATTTCAAAATTACTTATTGTGTTTTTAAGAAAGACAAAAAATTTAATATTAATAATTATATGACATTCAAACTTTTTATCTATCTTGTTGTTTTATTATATCTAATTATTAAATGATAATGGGTTATTGTGATAAAATGAATAATATCTTTATTAAATAGATATCATCGCCAAGACCTTCTAGATTAAACAAAAATATAATGATAATTGTAAAATATTAAATGTTATTAATAATATAGTTTTGATTATTCAATATTGATAAAATTACCAAAATATTCATTATTTATAAAAATTATTAAAATACATCAATATTTTATTAATTTACCATTATATTATTAAATAAAGAATATATACTAAAAATGAGTAAAAAAACGAATCATTTTGAAAAAGGATACTTCAAATAATCAGATTTAAGTAGTTAAAAAAGGACTGATTGAGATCTATTCTATTAAAAATGTTAATTTAATTAGATATAATAATATTTGTTTTTTGTAAAGAGATTTTAAATAGAAATATCAATTTGCAAATTTGAGAATCTTATTAAAATTTCAATTTAATATACTGAATTTTCAGTATATTAATAAGAATTTGAAAAATATTATAGAGAATGTGTTGAATTATTTTTTATTATAAATCTAGACTCATATGATCAAATTAATTATGAAATTATATCAATAATAGACTAATAATTGTTTGTAATTATTGATTATAATAAAGTAATATATTGATTCATGATTACCAATATATAATAATTACAATTACTAGTATTTTAATTTTATTACTTTAATATTAATGATTTTGAAGAATAAAATGTATTCTAAAACATATCAAAATAATATCATAGTTTTTACATTTTAGATTTACAAATTACCATAAGTTATACATTTATAATTAAAATTAGCATACTATAAAAGAAATAAAATAAGTAGTTTGATATCTCCCCCGATTTCATAAGATTTATTATTTAGAGTAATACTAATTATTAATATGTCAAAAATTTTGATTGAATGAACTATAACAGAGTCTTATAGGTTTTGGTGATGAGGGTATAACAAATGAAGGACTTTACACAGTTGATGTTTCGCTTGGACAAGTTGTTATTCTTTTTCCAACATCTTCATAAATGATCTTGTTTGATTTCTTTTACTGTAATATTCTTTATTTCAAATCGAAACAAACTTCATGCTTTTACAAATATTATTTAGTTAGATGTTAACTTTAATTTAACTCATTTTTCAATTACTCTTTATATTTCTCTATTTTAATAGATATAGTTTAGGTTTAAGCTAAAATAATACTAAATTTTACCTAGTTTTTCACTTAAACTCATAATTTACTTTTAATATTCATTTTAAAGAATTTAGTTTTATTGTTTAACTTCATTGATTTGCCTAATAAGTTATTCTTTTTCATCTTTAAAAGCAGGAGTCTTAGGTTCTGAATCACTTGGACAACCTATATTTTGAACATTATGATCTTCATTCTCTTAGAACAAACTCAGTATTTACATTATAGAATAACTCATTACTATTATTTATTAAATTTTTTGTCATAAAAATTAATGTACATAAAAAGTTAAAAGATATAACTTACTTGTAGGAAAATAAAAACTAAAAGCAACATATATGATAATTATATTGAATGATGAAAATAATTATTATCATTAAATACTATAAAAACAGTTCTGGTCATTAGTACTATACTTTGATAAAGAATTAACATATTTTAGTTTTTTGATAATATTAAAAATTTATTATATAATACTATATTACAATAATATTTTGTCAAAAAAGTTACAAAAATAGATTAACACTCTAATGATCATTATAAATTCTACAATAGATTTATTATGCATATAACAAACGTTATTTATTCTGAATTAACAATCAAGCATAAAAATAATTTGAAGATTTATTTATATGTACTTTATATAAAGTAAAAAAATACTATAAATATATTTATATAATATGATATAAACTCAATCAAGACTGAGTTCAATTATTATTAAGTTTTAGAAATAATTATTAATAATATTCATATAGATATTAATATTATAATTTATATGATTAACTCATAATTATTTGATTCAAGAAGAGAAATTGAATAATTTAAATTATAGTTAGGGAAATTAGAAGGAATAGTTAATATATCTTAACCAAATTCAAAATAAAATATAATCTTATTGAAATAGTTATAGAATAAAGTGAATAATTTAGAATAGAATTTAGAATAGAAAGTTAATGCTATGTGTTCTAATGTAAAATTGTATTTGATTAAGATTATAATTCCAGACATCTAACCTTAAAAATTACCAGAGTTAACTGAAATGCAAAGAAAAAGGGCAGTTTCAACAGATGTGCCAAACCATAGTATGAATATAGAAAAGAATATATTTTTATAAGGAAACAAGGCAAGTAGATATTCAAAAATGAATAATTTTAAATAGTAATCAATTCTAAATGAGTATAACGATGATTCGTTAAAATAAAAGATAGATCTAAGTTTTGAATAATCTTAACAACATCATTAAACTTCTTTTTAAATCATTCATAAACCATAAAAATAAAGAACTTAAGTATTACTATTTGATTGTCCAGCTCCTAAACCAATTAAGAAAGTAGAAAAAAAATAGTTTTAATTTATGATTCAAAAAGGCAAAAGAATTTAGGCTGTTGAACTTTTAGCATTCAGATAAAAGAATTTACAAGAATGGAATCTAATAAATGCAATTATATAAAGAATGGAATCTATTAATATTAAATATCAATGTCCTACTTTTTTTGTTGATGGCAGATCAATAATTCATTTAATTCATTCAAAAAGAACCATTACTTTATCTGATATTGTTAAATGCATATAAAATAAAGATGAAATCATTCCATATTTATTTCCACGATTGTTTATTGGACAAGATGGGTATGAATTATCATTAATAACAGCTTAGAACGAGCAGCTGAAAAAATCTAGGCTGCATTTAAAGGCTATATATAATATAAGAGATTTTAAGAACTTAGAACATTATATAAAAGTGCAATTTGTATATAAAAGTATTTTAGGAGAAAGCAACAAAAGGAGATGACAAAATAAAAAATATTTTAAAGAACAAACTCCATTTATAAAGAATTCTTATAAAGATAAGCTAATTTTTAAGTATAAATGATAATTCTATATTAGGATAATTGGAATCAATATAAATTGTATTAAAGAGTGGAAATACACTTATCATCATTAAATTATTCAGAATATTAGAGGTTGACTATGGATAAATTTATATAAAAAGAGAATTCATAAATAAGTAGGATTTTTAGAGCAATAGATCCATAAGTAGAAATTATATATATATGTGCATATGAATAAGATAAAGATATATTAATGTACTATGAAAGAGTAAGATTTATTCATAAGATAGATTTTTGAAATGCATTAAGTTTCATTTAAAAGAGTTAGATTTTTAACTCCTGAAAATGCTGATAAATTCAATACACATATGAGTTTATTATAGAAACTAATCTATTCTCCAAAATGTTTAAAATAAATAAGAAAAATAATAGAAAATAAATTAGCTATGATAATTCCAGGATATCCTTCAAATGAATTTATTCAACTATGTCATATGTTAAATGTACCACTTTATAGTGGATAACCATAAAATCATTTATTATATTCTAGTTAATCTGGAGCATAAGTGTTATTTAGTAAATGTAAGATACCAACATCTCCAGGAGCATCTGAAATATATGATGAAATTGAACTATATAATACATTAACAGTATTGATAGTGAAGAATAGAAATATAAGAATTTGGATTTTTAAAATAGATTGTTCTTTTGGAGGAAGAGGCGTGGCTACAATTAATATTAGTACAATCCCTGGATTAAATTAATTATTAAATTGTAATGAACAAGAATTAGATGAAAATACAATATCTGCTATCAAGTATAATATAATAATAGATAGGTAAATTATCAAAACATAATTACCACTTAAATTAAAGATTGCAGTTAAATCTTTATATTAATCATATAAAGAATATATAACTGCATTTTTAACTTCAGGTGGAATAGTAGAAGCATTTCCAACTTAAGATAGATTGAAAATACAAAAAACTTCAATTAGTTTTCATGTTAGTCCATAATATGAATTTGAAGAAATATGTACATATGATAGTTATTCTGCTCATCATTATGTATAAACTCTACATTGTAAAATATTAATAATATTTAAATAAAGTATATCCATCAATTACTTAAGCTATTGATAATAATAAAATTTATGAAGAAATGATAATATTTTTGAAATAAAAAAAAATGTTTGGATATTTCACTCTTCATTTAATTTTATTTGACAATCAATTTTGGGCTATTGGTTTAGATAGTTACTTAAATATTGCTACAAGTATCAATTTTTATTTCAGATGTTTAAATAAAAAGTAAACTCGATTTTATTTATATTCTCCTTATGTTATTCATCCAGGATTATAAAAAATATCAATAAAGTAACTTTTTTCAACTTGCAGAATGGATTAGGTATAATATGAAACAGAATATTAAAGAGGTCAAACTTTCTTATTTACAGACATATTGTAATCTTGTATGGTTTAAATGATTTCAGTGCATGAGAATATCCAAAAATGCATTTCGTAATTTGATGAATAATTAAAAGTGCTTTTTAAAATTGGAGGATAATTAAATGTAAATTATGGAGAATCCATATATGAATCTAGAAATGATTCAATAAATATTTTGGATGTTCAGGGAGCTTTAAAAATGCTAAGAAGAAAATTATTAAATTAACAATGAAATACATATTACTCTAGAAATAATAAAAAGAAAAATAATTATTTTAATTTTAGCATTTAAAGATAATTATTTTTATTTTTTCTTTATAAAATAAATGATTTAATATCCTTTCTTCAATTTACCACCAAAATCTCATCAACCAATAACAAACATATAAAGAAAATTATTAAAAGATTAATATGAATTACTTTAAAAAGATTTGGGATAAGGAACTTATGGAAAAGTAAAGTTAGCCATAAATAGAGTTAACAATAAGAAATGTGCAATTAAAATAGTAACTATAATATTAATTATAATAGATCTCAAAAAATTATATAAATTAATACAATGCTAAATAACATATTGACAATGAGATTAATTATCTATAATGTTGTAAACATAAAAACATTGTTGAATTTATAGATAAGTTTGAAGACAAAGAAAATGTTTATATTGTTTTGGAATATTGTTAAAATGGAACCCTATATGATTTGATTAAAAAGAAAAAGGTTTTCAGTGAAGATGAAGCTTTTACTTACTTCTATTAGATTGCTTAAGCTATACAATATCTACATGAAAAAGACATTGTTCATAGAGACATCAAATCAGATAATATTTTGTTATAGAATAACACAGTCAAATTATGTGATTTTAATTGGTCAATATATTTACCAAATGGAGGCAAAGCTAAACCTTGTATTTGTGGAACTACTGAATATATGCCTCCTGAAGTTATAAAAAAATTGAAACATGACAAAGGAGTAGATGTATGGGCACTTGGAATCTTATTACATGTAAAAATTATTATACAAAAAATAGTATATGCTACATGGGGAATTACTATTTAAATCAAAGTGTAAGGAAGAATTACATGAGAAGATATGTAATAAATAAATGATTAAATTTAATGAAAACTTATCTAATGAATGTAAATAATTATTACAGTAAATGCTTGCTCATACAAAACGATTTAATATTTAGTAAGTTTTGAATTCTGAATGGATAATTAAAATGCTTACTACTAAAAATATATCACATCCCTTAGAATTAACTCCTATTAAAAATAGATCCAGTGCATATGAATTAACTAAATTTAGTGTCATTTCAGAATCCACTTGTTTCTCTAGTTCAAAATTCACTACTAAATCTTATGATATTGAATCTCCATGTAAATAATCAAATAATTGGGTAAATTAAACATTCTAACCTTAATAACCTTTGAAAGTTAATAGCACTGCCTTAGATCAAAATATTACTGCTTTCAGAGTTGAAAAAAGATAATTTGACTGAATGATCAAGTTTTATTTAATTTAATGTAATATTATAAATCATTTTTGTTAAAATTAATTATTTGTATCACAAAATGGAGTATATTGCATATACAGATGCCAAACTTAAATTTATTGGAACTCGAAAGCACTTTTTTAGAGATAAATAATATTATGTGAGTGTATTTGAGGATTATTTTGTAATGGGGATTGTAAATCATTCCATTTATATAAAATAGACAAGTGATACACAATAACCAAAGTATAAAATCAACTTTGATCTCAGCATTAAATTAAATTGGGACTTAAAAAAACAGAAAAACAACATAATTATTTAATCCTTTACTTTTCCATACAAAAATTCATTCAAGACTCTATATGCTAATCATGACGATTTGATGAAGTAACTTTTATATTGTATTACTTTATTTTCCAGATTCAAAGAACTTCTTGGTCTATCAGTAACATATGAAGGCATAGGTGATCTATATATTCCAATTTCATAAATTGGGAAAGGCAGTTCAGCCAAAGTAATTTCTAAATTAATTTAAGGTATACAGTGCTTAAAATATTTTGAATTAAAATACATATGCAATCAAAGCTATAGAGAAATCATTTTTAAATTAAACGGAAAAAGGCTAGGGTTTAGTAATTTTTTAACTTAATTTATGAACTAGGCAGCTTATAAAATGGAAGTAAGAATTCTTAAAATCCTATCTCCTTATCAATAAAGCTTTCTTAACTTAAAGGAGATATATGAAGGAGATTAAATATATTATTTGGTAACAGATTATTTAGAGGGAGCAAGTCTTAGTGAAGAAATAGAAAGTGCAAAAGTAATATTTCAATTTATTTATAGAATCTCCCTGATCGTAGATTACCTATCCAAACTATAAAAATATTAATGTACAAATTATTATCAAATTTAGCTTTGCTACATGAAAATAAAGTATTTAATAAAAATATAATGAAAGATTATCCACAGAGATCTCAAACCAGACAATCTTATGTTTGCCAAAAAAAATGATTATTCATCATTGGTTTTAGTAGATTTTGGATTGGCTACACTAGAATATCTTGATAAGTATATCTTTAAAATGAATATTAGATTTCTATTTCCTAAATGTGGAACTCCAGGATATGTTGCTCCAGAAGTTCTTACTTTAAATTCTGAGAATAAATACACAACAAAAGTAGATATTTTTAGTAGTGGTTGTATTCTTTATAAATTGTTGACTGGTAAAAGCATATTTGGAGGCAAAACATTTGATGATGTTTTAAGAGCAAATAAGAAATGCTATATTGATTTGGATCTTCCTCCTGATCACATTTATTTGACAGATCTTTCTCTAGTAATTAATAAAATATATAATTGTAGAATTTATTAAGTTAATTATTAAACAAAAATGCAAAATAAAGAATAACTGCTAGATAAGCTCTTCGTCATCCATTTTTTGATTAAATTAATGATTAAAGCACTTAAGCATTATCAATTTTTGTAACAAATGTGAAATTTAGTCATAATGGGAATTTAAATTTATAATGTGAAGAATAAATGTCTAAATATGATATTGAAGAGAATTAGATAAATAGTGAAATGAAGGAAGATGAATAAAATACTATTTCAATTCCTGCAACAAAAAGATGTTCATTAATGAATGAATTCTAATCATAGTCTAGGTCTCCAGTTAAATTTTATTAAAAAGAACCCTTATCTGCAATAAGATGTTTTAAATTGTTTGACTTGGCTAGTCCAAGGGGAGATTCAAATGAAATTGAAAGTGAATGAAATATGAAGTTGAATTTTCTCAATTAAAAAAAAAATATATATATAAAAATTATTAATGATTTTCTTAAATTATGAATTAAATAATTTAATAAAGTATATTTGCTTTGATAAAATTAAAATCTAATAAAATTCGAGTATTTAGCAAACCTATTGTGAAAAATCTATCTTAAAATTATTTATTTAATATGGCAGAAATCGACTTGACTTAGCCATTTCATGCATATACACTTGAAAAAGTGGTTAGTGCAGTATAGACTAACTTATAGACGTATATACAATAGTTAATTTAAGGGGTTTGACAACAGCTGAAGCTAATGCAAGATTAGCAAAATATGGTCCAAATGAATTAGAAAAGGAAGAAAAGGAGAGTATTTGGGAAAAGATAAAGGAGTAATTCGAAGATAATTTGGTGAGAATATTGTTATTGGCTGCTGTGATCTCATTTGTAATTTCATAATTTGAAGATCATGAAGACTCACATGCAGTGCCTCCATGGGTTGAGCCATGTGTTATCTTTACAATTTTGATCTTAAATGCAGCAGTAGGCATTTGGTAGGATTTAGATGCTGAAAGAGCAATTGAAGTAAAAATAATGATTAATAATTTAGGCATTGAAAGATTTATAATCTCCTCATGCAATAGTATTAAGAGATAAAGAATGGGGTTAAATTGAAGCAAAGAATTTAGTTATTGGAGATATTGTTGAAATTAAATAAGGTGACAGAATTCCAGCTGATTTAAGAATGGTTGAATTAAAAACAATCACTTTGAAAACAGATTAAGTATCTATAATTAATTATATTAAAGTCAATTTTAACAGGAGAAGTTAATCCAGTTAATAAAATAACTGATTTAGTTAAAAAAGAAAAAGCAGCAGTTTAAGATAAGATCAATTTCTTATTCTCTGGAACATTGGTTTCAAATGGAACAGCAATTGGTATAGTTTGTAATACAGGAATGAGAACAGAAATTGGAAAGATTTAATAATAAGTTTAAGATGCAGCTAAAGACAAATAGGAAGATGATGATCCATTATCAAAAAGATTAGATGAATTTGGAGATAAATTAGCTAAATATGTCACATATATTTGTATTATTTGTTGGGTTATGAACATTGGTAATTTCTCTGATCCTGCTTATGGAGGAACTATTATGGGAGCATTATATTATTTTAAAGTTGCTGTTGCATTAGCAGTTGCTGCTATTCCAGAAGGATTACCAGCTGTTATTACTACTTGTTTAGCTTTGGGAGCTAGAAGAATGGCCAAATAAAAAGCTATTGTTCGTAAATTACCAAAAGTATAAACCTTGGGATGTACTACAATTATTTGTTCTGATAAAACTGGTACTTTGACCACAAATGAAATGTGTGTTAAGGAATTAGTTCTTTTAACAGGTCAAGATGCATCATCAATGCATGTTTTCCCTATTGAAGGCACATCTTATCATCCTGAAGGAAAGATTGATGGATTAGAATCTAAATTAGTCTAAGGAAACAATTTATCTGCAAATTTAAAGAGATTATGTTAATCTATGGCATTATGCAATGAATCTAAATTATTTACAGATAAAGGAAGAGTTTAAAGAAGTGGTTTACCAACTGAAGCTGCATTAAAAGTTTTAGTTGAAAAAATTGGAAAATATGATAAATCTTTTAATAGTAAACCAACTTTAGAGGCTCCTGAATAATATAATGAAAGAATTATTGGTGAATTTAATAAAAGAGCCACCTTAGAATTTACAAGAGACAGAAAAAGTATGTCTGTTTTAGCATGTTCCAAAAATGAAAAAGGAAATGTTTTATTCATTAAAGGAGCTCCTGATTATTTATTAGAAAAATCTAATATGATTCTAAATTAAAATGGAGATGTAGTTCCATTAAAGGCTTAAGATAAGAATTAATTATTATAAATTGTTAAGAATTTAGCAGAAAAGGGATTAAGAACATTAGCAATCTGTGTTTAAGAAGAATGTGGTTAATTGAGTGATTATGATGGACCTAAACATCCAGCACATAATTTATTAGTTGATACAAATAATTATAAAGATTTGGAAAGCAAACCAATTATTATTGGTGTTGTTGCATTATAAGATCCACCAAGACCAGAAGTTAAAAGATCCATTGAAAAATGTAGAGAAGCTGGTATCTCAGTCATTATGATTACTGGTGATATCAAAGAAACAGCTTAATCAATTGCTATGTAGATTGGTATATTACATGATCAATCCTAATTCCCAACTCATTCATTTACAGGATTAGAATTTTCAACAATGGGAGAAGAAAAATAAAAGAAAGTACTTTAATAAGTAATTGGAAGACCAAGTGGTTTAGTTTTCTCTAGAACTGATCCAACACACAAAAGAGAATTAGTTAAAATATTAACTGGTTAATTGAATTAAATAGCAGCTATGACAGGAGATGGTGTTAATGATGCTCCTGCATTAAAATAAGCTAGTATTGGTATTGCTATGGGTATTTCTGGTACTGAAGTAGCAAAAGAAGCATCAGATATGATTTTAGCAGATGATAACTTTGCAACTATTGTAAGAGCTGTTGAAGAAGGAAGAGCAATCTATTAAAATATGAAAGGATTTATTAGATATATGATTTCATCAAATATTGGTGAAGTTGTCTCAATTTTCACATCATCAGCATTAGGTATTCCTGATGGATTCAATTCAATCTAATTATTATGGGTCAATTTAGTAACTGATGGTCTCCCTGCTACAGCCTTATCATTTAATCCACCTGATCCTGATGTTATGTAAAAACCACCAAGAAAACATGATGAACCAATTATCACTGAATATGTATTCATTAGATATTGTGTTATTGGAACCTATGTAGGTTTAGCCACAGTTTTCGTTTTTGTTTATTATTATTTGGGATATGAATGGGCTGGTGATGGACATCCAATTGTCACATTCCATTAATTGAGAAATTGGGCTGAATGTCATCATTGGGAAGGATTCAAAATTGCCAACTTTGATAAATACGATTTTTCTAAAGATCCATGTTTGTATTTCTCTTGGGGTAAACAAAAGGCATCAACTTTAAGTCTTTCTGTCCTTGTTGTCATTGAAATGTTTAATGCCTTGAATGCCTTATCTGAAGTATATTTATTTTATTATATTCTTTATAGGATGGATCATTATTAAAAGTTGGAGTGTTTGCAAATCCTTATTTAATTATAGCTATTTGTGGATCAATGACTCTCCATTGTATGATTTGCTATGTTCCATTATTTGAAAACATCTTTAACACTGTACCCTTATCCATTTAAGATTGGTAATTTAATATGATTTAATATTAGGATTTTAATTATAGCTGTATCTGCACCTGTTGTTTTAGTTGATGAGGTTCTTAAATTCTTTTCAAGAATCAGAAATGCCAGATTGTTAGAAGAGAGAAAGAAAATATAATGAAAAATTATACATAAATAATAATAATTTACAATTTAAGAATGTCTTTTTAATAAAACTAAATTTATTAATTAAAGAAATAATTGATAAAGGTCATACAACATCAAAAAAGTTTATTCATTTGTCATGAGTTGGAAGGATAGATTGATGTGATAAATTATAAGATCCATAGAATACCTATACAAATGATTATCAATTGAGATTATATATATTTAATATATATTAAGATTATTCTACTAAATTAAAATAATAAAGACTATTTCATATTGATGTATATTGATTTAAAACTTGTACTTAAATAATAAATTTTGAATTAATTATTATGAATTGTAGTCTTACTTTATTTATTTATTTGGAATAAAAATATAAGTTATTGGCAAAGATAATTAAAAAATATCATTAAGTATTAATAATTAATTATGATAAAATAAATATAAAAATATGATCTGATCTATTAATTATACTTAGATGGAATATGAACAATTAAAATGCCATATCTAGTTTATAAAGCTGAAGAATATGTCATTAAATATGCATCTACTGATTCTAATAATCTTTAAATTATTAAAAATTATGGATAATCTTGTTTTTGCATGATGAACTTTCGTATATATAGTAAATCATATGATAAAATGGTATATTAATAAAATTCATAAATATATAATATATATATGAATGATCTAATTAATAAGAAATATTAAGTTCTTAAATTTCTACTATAAAATGTATATAATTTTTTATCATTATATAGAAAGAATACTTAATAATTAAATTACTAATTTTTTCATTAATAAAAATATTTTATGATTATACTATTCTATTTTTTCTTGTTAACTGTTCAATAAATGGATGTTGAATTCGATAAAAATTATTTTTGGACCTCAATTGACAAGGTTTAAGACAAGAATATATATCGAATCAAAAATTTAAAGCAGCCTTATTATTATGTTTAGGTTACTTTGTTTCAAAATGATTTGTCTTTTTTCCTTATGTATGATTTAAATTAGATTGCATAACTAAATTCATCGAAAGGTGACTACATAAGGTATTATATTTATTAATGAATACGTTATTATGAAGGGAGAAGAACCAGATTTCTGAAAATAGAACCTAATGGAAATATAATTTACATTAGTACATAATCCAATAGTACTAGTGGATATTATAACATAACCATTTGGGGTAGCAAAGAAGAGTACTGTGATAATAGTTGTTCATATAATGGAAAATGCACAGTATATGTGAGTACTATAAAAGGATGATGGATGTGAATGCAAATCTGGTTTAATAGGTACTGATTGTCATTAAATGGCTTTGGAAATTTAGGATGAATAAACATAACTTAATCTTTTTGGAGATGAGATTTAATTTTTTTATTTGAATATAGATGATTACTAAGAAATGGATATTCAATTAAGATTTAGCGTAAAAAATAAGTTGAAAATTAGACTGACAGTCATTAAGGAATTGAAATTATCATTCAATTAACTGAAGCAATTATCTTTCCAAGTTAAACCTAATTAGATAATGAAAGTAACTTTATCAAAATATTCAAAATATATGAATCTTAGCCATTAGATTTAATAGTAACAGGCTCTATTACTTAATAGGATAATATTTAAATAGTTTTAGCAGCAAGATAAATAAATGGTCTTTTAAATACATTTGTTAGTTCTCTAATCATAAATCTTTCAAAATACAATAAATATGAAAATACAGTTTCTATTATTGTCATAATTATAATTGTAATTGTTATATCAGGAGCTGTGATTATTATTATTGTTATGTTTTTTGTATGTAAAAATATTAGAAAGGGAAAATAACTAAGATAATAAGAAAGAGAAAGATAAGCTAGATATAGAGATTAATCTGGTAATCCTCATTAAGATTAATTAAATCTTTTCGATTTTCTAACTCCAGTTTTAATTAATTAAATAAATAATTAAGATAATTGTATTATTTGTTTATGCAATTTAAATGATAATTAAGAGGTTAGACAAACATGTTGCCAGTATTAAAATAATTTATGAATTTAGTCATAATTTCCATTCAGAATGCATAAAAGAATGGCTTTCAAAAAATAAAAAAGAATGTCCTGTATGCAGAACTAATATAGCTCCTAAAGATGTTCCAACTAATCCAATTCCTAATTAATGACTTAGATCTTATTTTTAAATTAAAATTAATCAATGTTTCAATAATGAAAAATAATTAATGAAAAAAAAAAATTTAACATCTATTGATTTAAGTACATCTATCTTTTCAGGTAAGAGCTAGAAAAATAATTATTCAATCTCAAATCCTTAATCAAATCGAAGTCCAAGTTTATAGAAGGCAATTAATAGATTAAAATAGGATAGTAGAGCATCCTTAATTGGGATTAGTACAATTAGCTAAACATAAGTATCAATTTTACTGATATTAAGATTCCTAAAAGAAGAGGATATTATGAAGTGAAAAATAGCCAAAATACTTATAGAATTAGTCATCCATACTAAGAGCCAAAAATAAGTCTTGATTAAAATGATCATAAAAAAGAAACCATTAGAAAAATATTTTCTTTATAAGCATATTGTAAAAGCCAATCAGCTTTATAATTGGCAGCTTAAAAATATACAGTAAAAAGAACTACAACTGATAATTCTTAAATTTTTAATTCCCCAAGGCCAAAGTTACTAGATAAATTTAGTAAAGAAATAATTAAATGTAAAACTGAAAAAGATGTAATAAAGTAAGTTCTAGTTAAAGAAGTAACAAAAAGAATACCAAAAAAATCTAAAGAAATTAATTATGAACTTGATACCATGTTTTAAAATTATGAAAAGTATGCCCAATTATGTTTATCTCCTAATTCATTCATTAATCAACCAATCATATATAATGGTTATTTTAAAATATATACTTAATCATAAAAGGAGTAGATTATTTTAGATTAAATTGGAGAAAAAGAAAAATCTTTAAGTGATGAATCAGAAGCATATAAGGATTTTATTGAAGAAGTAGATGAAGCTACAATTTAAAGAGATGTTTATCATAGTAATTTGAGGAATCCCTTTTTGGATGATAAAATTACTGTTCGTTCAATGAAATAAGCTGGTTTTTTAAAGAGAAGACCAACAGATATTCTATGATAATTTATATCTAATATCTTTCTTATACGGTGATATAACAAAACTTATTTGAATATCTGCTTTACTTATAAATACTATCTAAAAAAAATAAATAAAAAAACTCTTCTCATCTATGAGTATTTATTTTAAGAGACCCCTATTTATTATCAACTCCTTCTCTTATAAATCTTGGAGTATAAAAAAGGTATTCATTCCTATCCTAATAACTTTTGTTATACAACTGATTTGTATATAGGTAATTTTGTCTAATTCTCAAATTTATGATTTTCAAAATTTTTATATAATTCATTAACAATAATCTCCTCATTTATATTGTTTATTATTGTACTAAAAGCAATTTTGGTTTTCTTTTCTTAATAAAATTAGCATTCATCACTATGCCTTTCTTTTTTTAATTTAAAAATTTGTGATTATTTTCTTGCAATAATTTTTTAGCTTCTCATCTTCTTTAGTTAATAATTATTTAAAATAAAAAAAAAAAAATAATTTATTTCGAATTACTCAAAATTATATTTATAAAATTTATCATTTGAGTTTCAAAATTGATATTGTAATAATATAATTATAAATAAAATCAGTGCAATTATAGATATTTTGAGCTCCTGGCTTTTCTTACTGATGTTCTTTTCTTTATTGAATGGTTAAAGAGTTAATAGATACTTTTAAAAGTTTTATTTAAAATTTTTGTTTTTTTATTGTAATCAGAAATCAATACATGAAGATTAAATTATGGAAAAAACTTTTTGAATTCCATTGCTTTTTCAAATCCTACAATTTAATAATTACAAGAAATAGAATTTTAACCTACTTATGTTCTATTTTCAGCAGGAGCACCAAATAACTTTATTTCAGTTTCACTTGTTTACCTTAATTATTAAGATGTTTAAAATTATTTGCTTTTATTAAATCCATCAGATTTTTAAAATTAAATTCTTTTATTAGAATCATGAGGAATTTTGATATCTGCTTTAAGAGAAGGTTCACTTTATTTTGGATAACTCTCTTTTCTTTTAGAAACAGGAGAGTCTTTATTAGTATTTAATTCTAGTTCCTAAGGATTTAAAGATACATTTTCATCTTCATCAAATAATATATCATCTTATCCTTAACTCTATTCTAATGCTTTTTACACTAATTTTAATTGCTTATTAATATTTATGAATAATATACATGCTATATTTGAAGTGCTTTACAAGATCTTTTAACACATCTCTTCTATTTTTATCTATTCTATATTTTTAAATTATCTTTTAAAATCAATTTTTCAATATCAGGTTTATAATTTAGTAGTTTACAATTATCTATTTAATGATCAGATTAAGAACATATCTAACATTTTTGTCCAAGAATATAAGAATTAAATAAAAATAAATGTCTAATTTAATGATATACTTCATTCTCTTCTTTATTAAGTTAATTTAAAAAAGTAGTTTATGAGATTCTAAATACTTTTGTAAAACTTCGACTAATAACTGAAAATTTATGAGGTTATTAAGTAAAAAATGATTCTTCTCCAAAATATTTACCTTTTTAAAGTTCTGCCATTTTTTATTAAGATTTCTATTCATAAATTTCAACTTTTCCATAATCCAAAAAATATAAATAATTATCATCTAATTAATTTTAATGATATATATATTCATCAGGACAATAATATGCAGTTTAGAGAGAGTTTGACATTTTCTTAATAGTTTCTTCACTAAAGTTATGTGATATAATTTTGCAATCCTAAAGTAGATTTTTAAAAACATTAAGCATTATTTCTTACTATAAAAATGAAGATAGTTATTCAAGAATACTTTATAACTAAGATTAAGTCTAAAGTTTATTACATGATATTTTGATTATTAATTTCTTTTGATACATCGATATTCTAAATAACTTCTTGCTCTACTTTATAACTGATCTGGAACTGAGTGTTATTACATATAACAAGTCAAAATTCTTAGCATTTCTCTAAATTGATTTCAAATATTTATTACTAAAATTGCCTTTTTTATTTGTTAATATTTTAAACTATAGTTCCTACTTAATTTAGTGAGAATGTAAAAACTGCACATGATAAAAGCATAAGAAATATACAACTAAATGCCTCCTCATGATTCTATGGTGTAATATCTCCATATCCAACAGTAATCATTGTAACAATAGCCCAATAATATGAGAAAATATATCTAATTTATTTTGTATCATCTTATAAATTTTTATGAAGAATCCAACTATTTTTTTCATATTCCATTGTTGTAATTCCTATATAATGCCAAATACATGCCATAAAATGGGCAATAAGATTAATTGTTATTATTAGATTGATTAAACTGATAATTTCTCTTTGTATTTCTGATAAATTTAATAATTTAACTATTTTACCAATTACTCTTTAAAGTTTAATTAAACTAAAAGCACAAAAAGATATAAATATTAATATGCTTTCTATTTTCATAGTATAGTATACTAAAAATAAGTAAAGAACATCTAAAATAAAAGAAGTTTTCAAATACTTTTTCAATATATACTTTCTGGTTTTGATGATCTTGGAATTATAATGAATTTATTACATTTCCTTTTTTTATGATGGCAATGTTTAATTTTAGTATTATGTCAATAAGAAAAAATATAATAAACAATGACATTTCTTCAATTCTTAAAATAGGGTAGGATTGATCAAAGCTCCAAAAAAATGGTATTAATATAATTAAGTTTAAAATCACAAAAAACATAATTATATCCCATAAAATGATGAATCTATTAGTTGGATCGATAACAAATGAAATGGTATTCTTTTAAATATTTTTTTTATCTTAAGTATATTTTTCCTAAAATATTAGATTACTCTTAATTTTTTCTTTTTAACTCTAAGTTAGAATATAACTACGACAAAGCAAAATATTTTTAAATCTTTTTACTAAATTATTTATCTTAATGAGTTGAAAGATATTTCTTGTTGCTTTTTGTTAACATGGTTATGATTTAGGAAGTTCTATTTAATCATCACAAATTGGATTTTCATAAGTTATTTTATCATTGCCTACATTTTTAATCTGTTCTTGTTTCTAAAGAACAGGCAATTTTCGAAATGGTTTAAAATTATCTTAATATTGTTCTAAATTATTAAACTAATCATACAGTGCTCCAATGTTAAATTTTGTAATGAAGGATCATTAATTTGAGGAGATAGCTATTAAAATAGTTTCAGATCAACTTAGCTTCTTGGACTTAAAGAACATACACTCATAATTAAATAAAAAATCGATTATTACTCTTCTAATTAATTATTTATTTCTGAATAACTTATAAATTAAGATTAATTTATCTATCAATTGAAAATTATCATCAGAATAGATATTTTATATTAAAATTAAAAGCCTTTATTGTGAAACCACTTTTATAATTTATTGGTGTTCATTTTAATTATTATAATTGAAGATAGAATTTAATAAAAGAGTTTTAGTATTAAAAAAATGTTTTGTTACAATTTATCAAAATTTATCCTATTTTATAAATAATATCAAATAAATAAAATATTTAAATTATTTATCGTAATTTAATTATTCATTTCATTATTCAGTGTTTTTTTTTCTTTATTTTAATGCTAGTTTTTCATATACCATCCATAGTACTCCGCTTTATATGCATTTTTTAATTAATCTAGGTAAATAACCTTAATAAAACCCTTTGAGACCTTCAGTTGATTATATAGTTCTTGCCAATGTTAATAAATTACTCTATTATAAATTAAGATATTACACTTTTGTTTTATGCTTACTATCTTATTCTTAAATTATCAAATGGGTATGTAACCAAAATAGCTAGAACTGCTGCACTTGATCCACAAATTGCTACTACAATTGAGTTTGTTTTTGGATCTTAACCTTTTGTGAATATACCACTAAAATTTAATAAATTTCTATAAATTGTATATTAAATTCCAGAGAAAGGTACATCTTTTAAAATTGCAGCAAAAACACCCTTCAATAACAATAAATTTATACTCTATAAAACCCAAAAAAACCTTCTTCTCTTGCAATCTTGATGAAACATTTATCAATCTTTCTGTATTCATTATTACCAATAATTTGCATTTTTGTTCTCATTACAGCTAATGGTGTTGAAGCTATAGTTCCCGCTAATTTACTAGTTGAGGCAATCATTAAATTAAGAATACTTTAAAGGTAGACTGGATAATGGGCAGGAGGACTCTTTATAATTTTAAAACTTTACCTATATTTTTCTATGCCTGAAAAAAAAAATGAAAAAGAAACAGTATTTTTGGCTATTGATAAAATGGTCCCCCTATAAAAACCTCTTAGACCTTCTTATTTATAAATTTAGGAGCCAATCAAAGATAACCCTTTGAAATTAATATTATGTTTAGAGTATCCAGTTGCAATCATTGATGTTTATAGAACTTCTAATGGTTACAGAATTAAAGTGGCACCCACAGCAATTTAGAAGTTTTTCATATTTAACATAGCAGGTTTAATATTTTATTTAGATTCCATTTCTGCCATTTTAAAATTAATTATTATTTATTTTACAATCAAAATTATCATAATACTTAATTTAGTAAATCAAAGAACCCTTAAAGACTGTTTTAAGAGATTCAAATAAAATTAAGAAATAATTGAAAAAAATTATATTTGAACCTTATGCTAAAAAAAATATATAATATAATTTGAAGAAGAATTAAAAAGTATAAGAAAATAGAATTAAAGCAAGATAAAGATAACATATTTAATATATTGAGTTACTTAAATATAGTTGATAATAAAAATATACCATTAATCAATAGAACTTCTAATAAAGAGATAAAAAGTTAAATGTAATAAGAAAATAATTATTAAAATAAATATAAAAAACAATTTTATTTTTTTTATGACTTCTTTAGAGGAGGTAAATGAAAATCTAAGATAATAAATAATATAGTTGACATTTAACTTAGAATTAAAAGATAAAGAAATAGAATAACTGAAATCTCCTTCTAAATTATCAAATCAATTTGAAACCTAGACATTAGAATTATAAATAATATAATATAAGCATTTGTAAACTAAATTAGAAAATGAAAATGAACAATTAAGAATTAAATTATCTCAAATGATAACTTCTTAAGTAGAAACATAAAAAACACTTTTAAAATAAAAATAGTAGATACAAAATGTAAATAAAAATTTATTTTCTCTTTCTTCATAAATTAAAGAAGAAGATAGTCCTTTAAAATAGGTTATCAATAAATTAATAGATAACGATAAGGAACCTCTAATTACATCAAATCTAGATATAGAAACTTAACTAAAAATGAATGAATTAAAGCGTATTAATAATTAACTTACTAATCGAATTCAACAATTAGAAGAAAAGTCATAATATGTGATAGCTAGATAATTTTAAGATGCTGCAACTATTTTAAAACTTAAAAAAGAAAAATAAGGATTGATAGATCAATTAGAGCAGTAAGGATAAGAATTATAATAAGAATTGTAGAAATCAAAGATTACAGCTTTTCCTGATATTGCTTTATCTTTCTCAGAGATATACTTAGAAATACCTAATATTGAATAAATTAAAGAAAAATTTGAGTAATTAATCTAATAAATTTTACAATAACTTTTATAATAAAACACAAATTGTGAGTTTGGTGAATCACTTGTGAAAACACATAGAAGTAGTTCTTCTAGAAGAATAGATTAAGTTTAAAATTAGTTTAATGAAATATTAAAATATTTAAATAGAGGTTCATAAAGAATTAGAGAATTTACTTTAGAAAATTAGATTTTTGAATCTTTCATCTACGAAAAACCTCAAATGAATGATAAATCAATTTAAACTGATAAAATTGAAAATGATGCTAGTGCTGAAAATTTTTAGAGTGTACTAATAAGAAAATTAGAGAATAATGTATAAAGTCCAAGATTTTAAGATGAATACAAAGGAATTGATGCTGAATAATAAACTGAAGATATAGATTTAAATTAATTCCTACTTAATTCTATGACTCCTTTAATGTTCTCAGCTATTCCTTAACTTCATACTGAAAGTGATATAATAGAAGAATAGTAATAAGTACAAGATAGAAATATCTTATGTTCTAGAAATGGTATTAAAAATGATACAGGATTTGATGAAGGATAATTAATAGGTATTGTTGAGCAATTAACACTGTAATTAAAATACACAAAAAAGTAATGGTATAATTCAGTTGATAAATGTTTAAGAGCATAAGAAGAATTAGAAAGATTATCAGAATTTGAATCATAATACAATCATTTAAGTTAATAATATTTAACATCTAAGAAAGAATTAGCAAAATAGAAAAATAAGTATCAGTAATTATTAGACAGATATTTTGAGATTGAATTAAAATGAATAATTTTTATAGTGTTGCAAATAAAGTTATATATTAACTTTTATATTAATTTTATTATAGAGAATAATTTTCATAATGATTTTTTCTTTCAAATTAATTTTATTTATAATTTTCATTAAAATATATATCTATATTACATTAATCGAAGATATAAGATAATATTTGAATTTATCAACTTTTATAGAACAATAAATTTTTGTTATAAAATCATTTATAAATATATAATAAACTAATAATATAAAAAATTGTAAATGGCATCTATAAATATATTAACTGGCTACATAGTAGAATTATTAAGACAAAATCAACATAAAAATAATTAATTTATTAAATTTTTCATTAAGTCATTTAGGACTTTGATAATGATTATTCTAATTATGAAATTTATTATTAAAGATCTTTTATTTATTTTTATAGTAAATCTCCAGTCTCTACTATTTATGTAATCTAGAATTACTCGTATATTGGCTAAAAATAAATAATTTATTACTAATTTTTATTAATAAGTCTTTAAATTAAAGTAAGTGAATAAACATTCATTTTCTAAAATTTTCATTCTCCAACCCTTATTTAAGGATTTTGTTAAATCTGAATAAAGCTTTAATAATTCATTTTTCTTCTGAAGTTGACCATCTAATTAGGATATTTTCATATCTTAAACTTCTGAAATTCGATTAATAGAACTAGATTGTTTAATCTACTTAGAATAATCATTCAATTTAACATTAAGATCATGGATTATTTAATCTCTTTTAAATAATTCTTTTTCTAATTTTTAAATCTATTCTCTATGTCTATCTTCTGCTATATCATTTTGTTATACATCTTAAAGTGAATGAGTTAATTGTTTATTTTCTTATTCTATTTAAATACGTTTTCTCTTTTCATCATCTATTTCCTACATTAATGTATTTATTTTTTCTTCATAAAATTGCATTTCTTTTGATTAAATTATATCTTATAATTTTATTTAATCTTAATTTTAATCAACCTATTTTTTTTTTTCTTAAGTATTAAGTTATACTGTTTATTTCAAAAAAGATCCTTTTGAATTACCTTCTTGTTTTATTATTTGAGTTTATTCTTATTATTTAGATTCTAATTGTTATTTGATTTCATTTTATTATAATTCTTCTTATTATTATTGTTTATTAGTAAGATCACTTTCTTATGAATATGAATCTATTTTTAAGATTTTAGTAAATTCAATAGATTCACCTATAATTTCTACATCATCCAATAATTATGCTTATTCTATAGCTTTTATTTCTTGAATTTTATTTTTCCATTAATTTAATGAATACTATATATTCATTTTTGATGAACATTTAATACATTTAGATATTAGTGTGTTTATTTTTTTTCTCAATATAATTCTTTATTTTATTGATTTTTTAAATAAAAATCTTTTAATTGCTCTTTTTATTCTTATTAATTTTTTATGTAATTCTTTTAATTTAGTTTTCATTATATTTATTTATTTATAAATTCTAAATTATTTTTAGATTTTCATAATGTATTTTAATCTAAACTCAATTAATTTAGTATCAAAATACTCTCTAAAATCTTATTTCATAAATAATTTAGTCTTTCCTATTTAAAAACCTAATTAATTTTATTATTCTTTCAAAAATTATCCAATTTATTAATTTTCACCTAAAAGTTTAAACATTTCTTCTATATTTTTAATATTTTTTGGATTTTTATTTACAAGATACTAATATTTCTTTATAAAATCAATATGTTTTTATCTTATTTCATATCCAGCTTTTCTTATTTAAATTGCTTCCATTAATCCTGCACATGTCATTTATCTTTTTACTTCTTAAGCATCAAATGTTAAAGGTTATTTAAAATTATTTGGTTTAATACATCTAATATATTTTGGTATCGATTAATTTAATAAATTAAGTAAATCTTTCAATGAATTCTAAAATTTAGTAATTACATTGTTTTATTTCATATTTTAATTATCATTTTAAATATTTGACCAAATCTCTTTTAAAACTGGATTAGTACTATTAGGTAATACTTTAAAAACTTCAGAATTAATTGAATCTCTATTTTTTTCTACAAATCCTGCTACATTATAAGCAACAGCACCAGCAAAATGTTTTAAACAAAACCAATCAAATTTTGCAATTCTATGTAATTTTTTATCAAATCTAGGTTCAATTTCAGCTGTTTATAAATCACTAACCAAAACTAAATGATCTTTAGGTAATTGTTTAAGGGAATTCAAAAATTCTTTATCTCCTCTATTTAAAACAATAGTTTAATCAATTAACATTTTATATATTGAAATTTATGAATTTTCAATTAATTCTATAATTTTTTTATTATCTGGAAATTTAATTTATTACCATTTAATTGATTCTTAATCATATTCTTTTTACTCTGTTACAAACATCTATTAATTAAAATGTTATTATAATTTTTCATTAGTAAAATTAATATTTAATTACTCAAAACTATTTGAATGCAAACCATTTGCATCTGTAAATATTTCAAATCCAAATATATCTAAAATTCCAATCATATATTATGTTAATTATGGTTATTATTATTAATTTGAAAAACTTAATGATTTGATATTCAATAATTATTCATTAATTTTATTTATTAACCAATTAAAAAGCTTTTCATACAAATGTTTTGCTAATGTGTCTCTAGAACTTTAAGCACTTTCTAAATTATTATTTCTAGTTACTATCTCCTTACCTACAGAAGTAAATACTTTGCATATTAAATCTTCTAATTATTAAATTGGAATTCCTAATAATTAAGATGCTAATTTAAGTGAATCATCAAGTTTCAATTTAGATTTTATAGAATCATATTCAATTTGAATATTTCCAAGATGTAATAATCCTGCAAGAGTTTAATATATATATTTCTTTTGATCTGGACTAAAATTTAAATTATCTAAACATTTATCAGTTTCTTCAAATTCTTATTTCTCATTTCTTTAATAAGATAGATCTCCTCCTTTTAAATATTCATATTGTGAAGGAGATTTAAGTCCTTTTATATTAATATTTATATATACTTAATTCTGGTATTTATGATGCTATAATTTAATAAAAAATGTGATAATTCCTTTCTTATTTATTTATCTTAACAACTCTACTTTTTTCTAATAAATAATTATCTACTTTAGCAGTACTAACTCTTTTAGTATCTGGATTGAAATATAAATGCATAAATTTTCCAAATCTACTAGAATTATCATTTCTAGCAGTTTTAGCATTACCAAATGCTTCAAGAACAGGATTAGAAGCAAATATTTATTATTCAATAGTTTATCCATGTTAAATTGTTCTAAATAAACCACTTCTTGATTCAGCTGCTAAATATCTCAACAGTATTTTTGTTGATTCTGTTTTTCCTGATCCACTTTCACCAGAAATAATCATTGAACATATTCTTAATTCTTTCGTTTTAGTTTCAAACAATTAATCAAATGATAATTAAGCAATTTTAAATAAATGAGGTTCAAATTCATTCTCTCTAACACTTGTTTTCAATTATGCTTAATGTTATCCTAACTTAATTTTATAATAAGCAATTGTTTCTTGATTGTAAATATTTTATAGAAAAACATAAGGATTTATAGAAACTAATATAGAGGATCCAATTTATGTGTAAATTAATTCTTTTAGATATCTAATTCGAATATTATGAAGACAATTGAATTCATTTAAATCTAATAGACACTAAGATTTTCATAAAAATAATTATACTAAAAGATCTTATATTCCTTATTTAGCCAATGGATCAACTCTAAATTTTGTAGCTGCTTAAGCTTCATTTAACCTTTCTATTTTACAGATTTCTTTTTCATCTTCTACCCAAACTTCATCATCAAAACTCATATTAATTATAGAATGATTATTAAAATAAAATCAAAACCTAATAATCATCTTTTCTTTGTTATTAATACCAAGGTTATTATAAGCAGAATATAGTTTCAAATTATATTCAATTAAAATATGATGACATTAATTTTTGTGTATACACAAGTAAATCTTTAAAAAATTTAATTAGAAATTAAAGAATATTTTAACAAGAATTGGTTTCATTAAATCTATTATAATCTCTTAATAGTCAAGAATAGGATTTATATGTAAATTATTTATTGTATGATTAAAACTTTATATTATATTAACTCAATCTGTCTTTCCTTTCTTTGAATTCCAATATGTTATCATTTAAAATACTAGTGTAAAATTCAAGGTTACACTGATAACATTGAGGAGCTAAATAAAATAAATAAATATATAATTTACTATTAACATTCCATCTGTTGAACTGACTAATATAGTGAAACATCTTGCAGCTGCTCCAGCAAATTATAAAAAGATTGTTATAAAAGCAAGTTAACCAGTATCCTTATTTCTAAAGTTTGACCAAATTTAAGGTAATCTTGCAAACATAACTAAAATATTATTTTTATGATATTTTACTTAAACATATATTTATGATAATAGCTAAGTTAAATACACTATTAGGAATAAGTCCTGTGAATAATGGTAAGTTTATTCCAATAAAAATAGCAGTTCTTATATAAAATTATCTCATTGTGAATTATTTCTCATAAATCTTATAAAGTGCAACTATAATCACAGTTTATATTAATATGGCAACATTTTCTGCATAAAGTTTCCAAGGATTTTATTTATGCATATTATAAGCAATAGAAAATGAATAAACAAAGAGCTTAGATTATATTAATAAAATACTTCAAAGAAAATTGAATCAAATGATAATCCAGTTACTTTTGATTTTTGTACTATCTTAAAAATCTAAGGTGCTTTCAAAATGACTGATAAAGCTACAATTGAATAACTAATTAATTCAGATAAAGTCTTTTTAATGCATTCAATATTTAAGAAATCTTTTTAGAGTACTAATTTATCAAAGCATTCCTCTGAAAATATGAAATATACAGATTTCTCATTCTTTTCTGTACTTTTAGAATAACATGTGCATAATAATGATGCATATAATATCACTAGGACTGCAAAGTATTTCATAAATTAAATTTATTTATTGNCACAAGTAAATCTTTAAAAAATTTAATTAGAAATTAAAGAATATTTTAACAAGAATTGGTTTCATTAAATCTATTATAATCTCTTAATAGTCAAGAATAGGATTTATATGTAAATTATTTATTGTATGATTAAAACTTTATATTATATTAACTCAATCTGTCTTTCCTTTCTTTGAATTCCAATATGTTATCATTTAAAATACTAGTGTAAAATTCAAGGTTACACTGATAACATTGAGGAGCTAAATAAAATAAATAAATATATAATTTACTATTAACATTCCATCTGTTGAACTGACTAATATAGTGAAACATCTTGCAGCTGCTCCAGCAAATTATAAAAAGATTGTTATAAAAGCAAGTTAACCAGTATCCTTATTTCTAAAGTTTGACCAAATTTAAGGTAATCTTGCAAACATAACTAAAATATTATTTTTATGATATTTTACTTAAACATATATTTATGATAATAGCTAAGTTAAATACACTATTAGGAATAAGTCCTGTGAATAATGGTAAGTTTATTCCAATAAAAATAGCAGTTCTTATATAAAATTATCTCATTGTGAATTATTTCTCATAAATCTTATAAAGTGCAACTATAATCACAGTTTATATTAATATGGCAACATTTTCTGCATAAAGTTTCCAAGGATTTTATTTATGCATATTATAAGCAATAGAAAATGAATAAACAAAGAGCTTAGATTATATTAATAAAATACTTCAAAGAAAATTGAATCAAATGATAATCCAGTTACTTTTGATTTTTGTACTATCTTAAAAATCTAAGGTGCTTTCAAAATGACTGATAAAGCTACAATTGAATAACTAATTAATTCAGATAAAGTCTTTTTAATGCATTCAATATTTAAGAAATCTTTTTAGAGTACTAATTTATCAAAGCATTCCTCTGAAAATATGAAATATACAGATTTCTCATTCTTTTCTGTACTTTTAGAATAACATGTGCATAATAATGATGCATATAATATCACTAGGACTGCAAAGTATTTCATAAATTAAATTTATTTATTGGATAATCATAATTTTAATATAAATCATTTTTTTATTATTATTTGTCATTTTATTATTGATAATTCTAAAATTCTTATTATATATTTAATTAAATTTAAGATAGATTTATATTGAATGACTCTTATTATTGTTAATAAATATAAAATCGAAAATATATTTCTATTTATATTCAAAATTAAATTACATTAATAATGACAAATGTGTATATTTATTATAACTAATTAAGCTTGAATATTTTAGAGGTTTTACATGTCCAAATTCTTTATCATAATATTCTCATAATATAGACTAATATTTTAAATTTATTAAATATAATTGCATATTATATCTAAATAGTTTTACTTCTATTTTAATATTTTATATATAATTGGTATCTTTTATAATCAGAAGGCATAATTCTAAAATAAATGTTAGATGGAAATTTAAGAAAATGTTAATATTATTATAAAAATGAGACCAAAATATTAGCAAACTTAGAATGATAGTAATTCTTAAGTTAGAATTAATATTAAACATGTTTCAACAATTCAAATAGAAGTATTAAAATAATCAGGAGAGAAGGTAGAGGAAAATGAAAAGATTGGAGTTTATATATTTGAAAATCTAAATAAATAGATATTGGCTTCTTCATAAGGATTTATTGTGTGGGCACAAAATGAAAAGGTTTTTTAAATACCTGCCACTGAATAATATTTTACAATTGGAATAATCTATAAAAATAAGAGCGATATACCAAATCATGTATAAAATATTATTAATTATAAGTAGGAAGAATTTGATAATACTACAACTCCTACTTCTTCATAAGTATAACATAATTATGTTAAATTGAATTTTCCTTAACTTGCTAGTAAGAATTGTTAGGGAGATATTTAAGTATTAAAATGGAAAGTAAATGTAGGAGATTGCATATCACCTACAATGGTTTTAGGAATATGTGCAGATGAAAACTAAGAAGATGTTATTGATTTAAAATCAAATGTTAAAGGTCGAATAATTGAATTAGCAAAAACTAAAATTATTATACCAAGAGGATAAGCATTATTAGTAATTGATATTACATAGACTTGCAATCATTTGAAAATTGAGAATAGCTATTGTCTTATTTGTAATGAAAAAGTCATAAGAAATGATGAATCATTAGATCTCAATTATTCGGATGATATTTCTAAAAAAATTTCAAAAGAAATTGTTCTTGATATATTAAAGAAAAGAAAACTCATAATGGTACTTGATCTAGATTAAACTATTTTACATGCCATAAAAGTAACAACAGGTTTTAATAAATATGAATTTTGTGAAAAGCAAAATAAAATGATGTAGGCAAATAATGAAGTATAATTTAATGGATTCCAATAATTAGGATTTAATATCTAGGAACATTTTTTAGATATGTCCTGTGATGAATAAAGCAAATTTATTATTAAATTAAGACCATATTTTGAGTAGTTTTTCTTAACATTAATACCTCTTTTTGATATATTCATTTATACTAAAGCAAGTAAATCATATGCAGATTTCATATTAAACTTTATAACTCATAGATTAAATGAATTTATTCCTGAACATCAACCTTTCTTTCCTCCATAAAGAGTCTTATCTCGTGAAGATACTATATGTACAAATAGTAAATCATTGAATAGACTCTTTTATCCAGGAATTGCTACTAATTTATTAGTAATTTTGGATGATAATGCTGGAATGTGGAATTAATTCAAAGAGAATCTTATATATACAAAACCATTCATATATTTTAATGAACATGGATCTATAAAAGATGGATAAGGAATTGCAACTGATATTGAAAAAGATGTAGAAATATTTAATAGGAATGATTTTTGGCTTTATACAATTTCATAAAAATTAAAAGATATCTCTGATTAATTTTGGAAGCAAGTTTAATAGGCTTAAGATGATCCAAATTTTATTGTTGAATTTGAATAGTAGGTATGGAAGACAAAAAAGGTAAAAACAGAGATTATTGAAGATACAAACATTAGATTGGAAGAAAGAAATCTTTTAGATTTAATAATCAATAGAAAAATTAGTGTTTCAACAATATATTTAGAAATGAGAAGAAGTGTATTGAGTGGTGTTACACTATTTTTTGCTATATCTGAAGCACATGAAGAAACTATAAAGAGAGGATTAGAATAAGCAAAGGATAAAGCTGTTATTTTAGGAGCAAAGGTTTACAGAGAATTTAAGGAAGATCATTTTGTAGGTTAGGAAAATAGTTATGTTATTACGGTTGGAAGGAGAAAGATTAGAAGTATTATGATTGCATAAGAGAAGAGTATTCCTATTATACATTATAAGTGGATTGAAGATTGTGATAATTATTTAGTTCGAGCAGATTATAAACTTTATATTGAAAGAGAAGATGGAACTAATAAAAATTTAACTGAAGAAGATTAAAGAGATTATGTATTAAAGTGTTAGTTAATAAAAATATGAGGAGTAAATTATTTGTTGAAATTGATTTTAATTAAAAAATAAATTTATTTATGTATCAATACTATTCATAAAGAAGCTCTATTTAAGAAAACGATTATAATAGATCTTTTGGGAACATGCTTAATTCCACTAAATCTGATACTCTTTAGACTGATTAAAGACATTCAGGATGTTTAAATCGATTACAAATCTTAGTCTAAGAATTAGATAGAATGGCTGAAGCTTAAAAGGTGGCCAATTAAGAAATAACATAATTAAAATTAGAACTGGAATAAGCTAAACAAAATAATTAAACTCTGGTTTTAAATAATGGTTTTGATTCTGAAATACTTGAAGAATTGAAGCTACAACAATAAAAATTTATCTAATATAAACAAGTTAAGGAATAATAAATTGAAGAATTAGAAAACGAACTTCTAAAAATTCATAAGCAATTTAAGGAAGAAAAGTTAATTAGAATGGATTTAAATCAGAAGTATGAACAGAAATAAATGGAAGTTGAATATTTACAAAAATAACTATAGAAAAATACTTAACAAGATTAAGATTCAAATGATAGTGGTATTCTTAATTAATTACATGAAGATGTAATTGAATTATAATGTCAAAATAAAGAACTTAAAAACATTAATTTAGATTATCAATAAAAAATAGAAGAACTTTTAAAAAATTAAAAAATCTTAGAATAGAAGTTAAAACAATAATAAATAGATATATCATCTTAATCTTCTCCCAATAAAAATTAATAATCTTTAACTGAATAAAGAACTATTCCTATATCAAAATATAATAGAACTCAAACTATGTAGCCTATGTATTACACAAATGAACAAAGTTCTAATTAATAAACAGCTTCAAGATTATCATTTAATATACTATAATAAAGATTATCATAAGTTCAAATAGAATAGAACAACAATTCAGATAATCTATAATAAGATACTATAAGAAAAGATTCATTAAGAAGTAAACCTAAACCTGTGGAAAACATAAAATATTCAACAAGTAAACTTGTTTAGTAATGTTGATTGAATATTTTTTATAATTTTAGTAATCATAATACATTCCAAGTTCCTTTCTAAGCTTTGGCTAAAACTTTATGAGCTTATCTTCTAATCTCAGAATCTGAATCCCTATTGAATTTTTCTAAAGCTTCCATAACTTCTATTTGTAATCTATTAGGAGAACCATCACAAATAATATGAAGAATTCTAGCTCTAATTCTAGGATCTGGATCATCAACTAATTGAAATATTCTAATCCAAAATTCAGGAACATCTTCTTAAACCTTACAAGGACAGAGTTAAGAAGTTGCTGCCAATCTAATATCATTATCTTCATTTGTAGTATAAGCTAATATTTCATATACATCCTCTGTAATTTTGATTCTTTAAAGAGCATCTTTTTTGGTTTGATGATCTGATTAAACGTTCTTACTTTTATTAGCTTTACCCTTTTATTTCATTAATTTAATGAGTATTTTAGTTTATTGTATTTATTCTTCGAGAAATAATTCTTTACTAAAATTAAGATAAAGTAATTCTAATCAGAATTTATTTAATCAATAAATGATATTATTAATTTTGTTTATCATTCAATCAATCTGACTTCGCATTTAAATAATCCTACAGAAAAGTGATATTAGCCGTCTGGATTAACTTTGAAAGCAAATTACTATTATATAATGTTTTAGAATTTACATGACTACTTCCTACCTTCAAGATAGTAATAGTATGTTCAGGACCATTCCAAGTAAGAATTAATTTATCATTTTAATCAAAATTAAATCCAACTTTTTTAGTATTTATAGATGTATCATTTGAACTAAATACATCTAAATTTAATATTTATTTATTACACCCTCCATGATAAATCAAATACAAACCATGACCAGACTCATTCCAATCATGAAAACTAAATGCTCTTCTTCCTTTCTATTTTCTTTCATTTATATCCATCACTCCAACATACAAATTCTATTATTCCTATATATATATTATACTCCTCCTCTTTCTTTCACATCTATAGTTAAACTTTATATTTGATCCTTCTCAAGTTATTATTAGATACAAACTAGACCCATAGCATTTCCTTTTTCATAAACAGCTTCTTCTCTAATTGTCACAGAACTGGCTTTGAAATTTTGACTCCATGCAAAATGCATTCTACAATACCATATTCTATTGGTACTTTTATAAAATTAATGGACTCTATAAATGTTAGATATGCATGTAACTTTATAGAGTTGCATTACTTAATGTTTTCAAAGCAGATTCTGCTTAAGTATTCAATTCTTTTAGGATAATATCATTTTCTCTTTTCCATTTTTCTAATACTTTTTATGGTCCCAATTTGTTGATTTTTAACACATGTAACAGACCTTAAACATTGAGGGATTATGGAGGATTGGATTCATTTAATTGACTTAGAGCTTAATTAATAGAAGCTTTATCTGCTCCTAATACATCATAAGCTTCTATAGTTCTATTAGTTTTCAAAGAGTATATTTACTTTATTAAGTTTTCTTCAAAAATTTTAATAGACTCATGCATCTATACAGACCTACTTTAGATGGCCTTTACTAGTTCATCTTTATTAAATTATTAATTAATTTATTCCCTCACTTGTTATGGAAATTAAGCACGAATCAATTTCTAGAACTCAGAGTATAGTTGATGATCATGAGCTTTATGTGGGTGATTGTCATTTTTCGCTTTAAATAACCTACTTGATTAATCACATTTAGGATCAATGCATATATATTGTTTTTCTTGATTTTCCTTATGATCATTATTATCCATTTTTAATTATAATTATTTCTCTATAAATTTAATTAATCAATATTTTATGATTATATTAGTCATAATACATAGAGAAATTAGAATCTGCAATTAATATCTTCTATTTAATAAGTATACATATAGTCATAAGATTTTTCTATGTTTTTTTAATTAATTAGATATAGTGTTTAAATTTTATTTGGTTTTTCTAGAATACAATAAAACTAATTTGACTATGAACTTTAATTTTTCATTACGATTTTTCTATAAATTTATTTTAGAAATACATAAAGTAATCAACCAAAAAATGAATAAAATTATGCTCTCATTTAGAAGCTCATAAAAGCAAAATCAATTTTTTACTGATCAACTTCCTATGTTAACTTTTTTTTATGAAAGGGTCTGCATTTTTGGATCAATAAGTGCAATAATAATTTTTTCTTTAGAATTCACTTACCCTATAGGATTTGGGAATAGTAAATATCTTATAATTTGTTTACCTTTGATCTTTTTCATATCCTTTAAACTAATTAAAAAATACCCAAAGTTATTCAACTACATTTTACCTTTTAACAATCTTTTAATTGGCTTAATCTACAATATTACTCTTTTATTTGATTTAATTCCACACTTAAATTTGATGATTGGATAAACAGTTGTTTTAGTATAGTTTAGTTTGCTTTTAGGTTCGAACTTTGTATTAAATATGGCAATTATTATATTTAACTTTTCAACTTTAATTCTAGTTTAAACATTAGTATAGAACTCTTTTAATGGAAATTAAGTTATGTTAATATTAGGTATTAAAAGATTAAATAATTTAGCTTTGATTTTGTCCTGTTTAGCATATTATTCAAATGAATATTAAAAAAGAGAATTCTTCTTATTAAAATAAAGAGATGAAGTATAATATGGTAGTTTGATTGAACAATTTAGTATATAAGTAATGAAAATCAAATTTGATCGAAAAACAAACTTCCTGAAATTAGAATCATAAAATTAAATTTCAAATGGATACATTTTCTCTACTTAAGAAGATTTTAGAAAGTTCATCAGATAAATTTTAATACCAAAATAATAAAGATTTACTATGATTTAATCAAAAATATCATCATCAAGAATAAGGAGTGAATATTTACAATAGAATTCCCAAGTTAGATTTACAAGAATATCAGTTCCAAATTTAGAAGGTTCTGAAACACTTGAATAAGTGCTTCATAAATCATTCACAGCAAAAAAAATTGATAATTTTGATTTTTTATAAGGTTATGATTCTAATGCAAAATGTGATTATAAAATAAAAATCTACCACACAATTGAAAAAGGAGAAGCAAAAGCAATGGTATTACTTTAATAGAATGAAGTAAAAAGAGAACTTATAAAAGTGAAATAATAAAGAGATTATTTAAAGAAAATAATTTAATAATTTCAATAGTTATTTGAAATTCGTATAAAATAATTAAGTTCACTTATAAATCCTATTAGATTATATAACTAACCTATTGTATTTTCAGAAATATAATTTAGATTAGTTCAATTCATTTCAGAATATTTTTCAATATGTATAAATAAAAATGATATACCTAAATTAAAAATTTCATAAATAAACATTTAAAGCTTATTATAATAAATAGAAAATCCTTTAAAAGATTATTTAAATTATAAATAGATTAAATTTTCATATCAAACAGATCACAATTTAATTATTATTAATGATACTTATTTAATCACACATTTAATATTAAGTCTAGTATGTTTTCTTATTTAAAAATCTCCAATTTAAATTAATTTATATATAAATTAGAAAAATGAATCAAAATTAAAAATAGATAATGTTGATGAAATTATAATTAAATTAAATGCTTAATATAGTGGAACTATAAAAAAAGTATTTGAAATAGATTGTTTTAATTAAATGATAAAAAAAGTAATCAAGATTATAGGACCAAAAGGAGAATTCATAAGTAAATTAGAGAATTCTTAGTTTGGTTAGGAAATAAACTTCGAATGTGTAATATTTAAGAATATTAACTCTTTTAAAGCAATCGTATTAGAACTCTGAATTTCATTTATCCTTAAATAAATATAACTATTAATTTTATAATATAAACTAAAATCTGATCATAAGTTTAATAAAAATTAGACAAAGAATGGTCTTAATTTATATATTTTATGAATAATTAAATATAATAAATACAGTTGTATACATGATGACATAGTTGCCAAAACTTATCTAAGAGAACATATTATTTGAATGCAGAGGTAAATTATAAATATTTATGAAGAGTTAAAGTAACATTAATCAGATAATATCATTTTTGATAAGACCATGAAAAGTATAAAAATAAATTAATATAGAGGTTTCGTTTTAAAAGTTGGTCCTACAAATTTATATACTTATAACAATTCTTAAGAATTAAATATAAGGGGTTCTAATTTATACATATAAATATATGTGATTGAAAAATTAAAATTCATTCTTGAACTTATTTCTAAAGATCAAGTATAGATATTTATAATTTATACAGTCATATAAGATAATTGTAGGCCCTAATTTTCAATAAGCATACACAAAAAATAAAAATGAAGTGAAAATATCAAGTGCATTCATTTTAACAAAAAAATGGATTATTTTAGGATTTGATATAGATAGTTTTTTTAAGGTTGGAGAGATGTAAGTTAAGATGCTCAGTATTTAAACTCTATGTAGATTGAAAAAGATTTATGAATCTAATATAATGAATAAATTAAAGTAATAATAATAATATATAACAAAGTGATGGTTAATGTATTATTTAGAAGATTTGTGAAAAAAGAATTTTGGAATTATTACCTATAAGTAATAGAGCTTAATCAGAAAAATTAGAAATTAGAAAAAATTAAATAACTAATTAACTTCGAAGACTATCTGGTGTGTCTAATTCTTAAGAAAGAAATATATAGAGTTAATCAGATAAAAAATCCTTTTAGCCAAAATAAATTAATATGAATTTTTAAGAACAAACTAAACCAACTAATCAAAATGTATTAAAAGTAAAGTCTACATCATATACTTAACATTAGAGAAAAACTATTTAATTATAAAATACCAAAAATCCATCTAATATAAATAAAAATTAATTTTAAACAAAATAACTTATATTAGAAGATAATAATACTATTATTAATTCAATTCAAGAACAATAATAATAACCATAATAAATATTATAATCTCAATCTAATAGATCAAAAAAGTTACCATAAATGGGAGTTACTCTTACTAAGTAATATTCTTAAGAATGTCTATTGGAGAAGACAATTAAATTAGCTACAGGATTATAAGTAATTGAAGAAGTTGCTTCCACTAAACCACCTATTCATTAAAAATCAAATTCAACTAAATAAAGCACATAAATATAATTATAGAAAAAAGCAGTTTAAAGTTTTCTTAGGCATAATCAAGAGTTTTAAAATGGAAGTAATTATACTCATGATCCTTTTGATGAATAAAAAATAGATAATGATTAAAAACATAAACAATCTTAAATTAGTTCTGGTATTAAGGATTTGTATTATGAATGTGACAATTCTGAATATTAAACAAAATATGGTAAATTTTCCAATACTTTTACACGACCTTTGGGATTATCATCTTATAATCATAAATTAGTGTCTCAACAATCTACTAATTAGAATCAAGGAAGTACAAATGAGTATTTTTACTTAAGTAGTTAATAAATAGAATAAAATTATAGTGTTAATTAAACTGCAAATGAAATTGAAGAATAAATAGAAGCACCAGAAATAAAAAGTAAAATGACAGAAGAAAGTTTTATATCTATAAATGGTCTATAAATTAAGTAAGAAGATAGTTAAGAGGAACTTGCAGTCTCAAAGTTTGAATGAATAATTTTTGTATTTATTAAATAGTTAATATCATTCTCTTAATCATAATTAATTAAACAATTATATTAATTTAATAATTTTTAATAAATTCTTTTGTTTCCTAATCAATAAAATATTTTTGATTAAAGAACTTTAACAAATACTAATAATTACAATAATAAGTTAGTTTTTAATATATTTATTCATTTCTATTTAATATATATATCAATCATTTCTCCATCCTATATAAACTTCATCAGTTCTAAATCTTTGAGTTACAAATGTATCTTTGAAATTAGTAGGTCCATTTGAAAAATACTCTAAAATGCCTAATATTTAGATTTTAATTAAGTACCAGTATAAGCAATCATAGCTCCATTATCAATACAATATCTTTCATCCATGGCTCCTATCTTACCACCTCTATCTTTGACCATAATAGATACCATTTCTTATAATCTTTCATTACAACCAACTCCACCAACTATAATTACATCTGTAGATTCACAATGAGACATGGCTCTTTCTGTTACTTCAGTCAACATTGCAAATATAGTTTCTTAAAGAGTAAAACATAAATCTTCAGTAGTTAAATCTCCAGGAATAGGATTAACCCATTTTCTAATGAGATTTTATTATTTATTCTTTCTTTTAGCTTTCTCATTCCCAGCTACTTCAGGTAATTTAACTTGTGGAAATTAATTAACGACGTCTTCCACAAATGTTAATAAACCACTAAAACTCATATCCATTCCTTTTACAACATAAGGAGTATCAAGAATATAATTTTTACCTTTTTTTGCTAATTATTCTATATTATATCCTGGAGCAGGATCATTACTTATATTAACTAATCTTGCAAAACGATCTAAACAATTACCAACAGCAATATCAATTGTTTCTCCAAATACTCTATATCTATTTTTTGAATAAGCAATAACTTGAGTATTCCCTCCACTTACATAAAGAACAGCAGGATTTTGACATTAGGTAGCTAATCTTCCCATTTCTATATGAGCAACACAATGATTCACTCCTATTATTGGAATCTTATAAAGTAAAGATAATGTTCTTGCAACAGTAGCACCTATTAAAAGAGGTCCATGCATTCCAGGACCTTTAGTGTAACAAATAAGATTAATATCATCTAATGTAACATTAGCAATTTTAAGCGCCTCATCTAAGACTTCTAATATTTTATTTCTATGATGTTATGCTGTTTCTTTAGGTACAAATCCAGTTCCTGGTGGAGTTATATAAGTTCTTCTGGGATTAGACAAGATATTTCCATCTTTTGTAACCACTCCAATTCCAATTTTATTGGCACTTCCTTCAATACCCAAAGCAAGAAATTATTTATTCATAAATAAATTAATGTTCATATAATTTTATATTCTTTAGCCTAATTATTAAGATTAGCAAATTCAGATTCTTTAAGAATTACTTAAATTCAATAACTGGAATTATTCTGTTCAGTTGAGAATGCTTATTTATAATTAAGTAATGCTTATATCTTAATTTTGGATTTGGAAGTATTCTAAGTATATTTCTTAAATTTATACCTCCTGAGCAAAAACAACACAAATATCAACTTATAATTAATCATATAAAATACCATTATCTAATATTCAATCCATTTAAAATATTGAAATGTAATATGAAACAAAAAATTTAACAAAATGATTTGTAAATTCAGAACTCCAAATCAAATAAGATTTAAATTACTAATAATACTCTCAAATCCTATTTAGATTCTCTACTAAAAATTGAAATTTTAAAACTTTTATTTGCAATTATATTAATGTTTTTGTAGATAATATTTCTTAGATTATTAAAGAGAATTTGTCTTTTTTGAAAAAAATCATCATCTTTCAAATGTTTAGTAATACGTTTATATGAAATCATTTCCAAATTTAGTGAACCATCTATATTTTCTAATTAATCAATCTCTTCTGAAAATTATCAATCTTGAACAGCTCTATTATTTTCATTAAGAGTTATTTGGATATCCTAAAATTACTATCTTAATGAAAAATAATTGTTATAAAATAGATAAATTTTATTCATGTGATAGTACTGCATGCAACATCAATATAATTAATATATCGTTAAATTTGAAATTCTTATATGATCTCTGAATCAATAGTTTATGTTTGGGGAGGTATAATCTCTATTAAACATTCTAGCTGACAATGAAGGATAATTAGGATTGGGCAAGAATCGAGGATCCTCATAATACTACCATATACCAAAAATTTGTCATTATAAAATAGGGTTTATCTAGGTTTCTTGTGGCAAGGATCACACTGCCCTTCTGACTTAGAATGGTTATGTTTATACAATGGGTTGCAATGAGCACAATAAATTAGGACATGTCACTAAATAATCTCTATAAGCACCTTAAAAAATAGAATAACTTAGCAAGTACAAACTTTTATATTAAAAGAGAGTTATATAAGTCTCTTGTGGTTACACACATACAGCATGTATTACATCTGATGGATCCTTATTCACTTGGGGAGATAATTCTAGTGGTTAATTAGGAGTTAAGTAAAATGGTAATTTGAACAAAGTAAATACACTTACAAATTGTATTCATGTTTCATGTGGCAATAAACATACATTAGTATTAACTGGTATTTTAGCATATAAATAATATATAAGATGCTTAGGAATGCTTTGGATTTGGATTGAATGATAATTCTCAATTGGGAATCTAAAGATTGAAAACTATTATTGAACCCACCAAAATAAAATTACCTCTTTTATAATAGACTTGTGCAGGTAATTTATTTTCAGTGTTCTTAACTTAAGATGGAATAGTATATATTTGTGGATTAGGTTTTGGAAATTTATAAAAATTAAACTATAAATGTAATGAGTTCTATATATTAATAGAAAAATTTATTAAAATAGATGGCAAAAGTACTCCGATTGGTTTGACTTCAACAAATGAATTAATATTTTTTGAATTAGATGAATAACTTATGAATATTAAAGATTTTTGTATGGGTGATTTAGTTGGAATGTGTATAGGAGATAAAGCTTATTAATGGTAATTTGATCCAGAATAAAAGAGAATTACATAATTAAAATCGATTGATTAATTAAACTCAAAATAATTAATACATTTTTCAGCTGGAAATAGTCATTTGATATGTATTGAATAGAAGGGATCCTCATCATTTATTGAAAGTGTTTGTAGTTCAACAACAACTCTTAGAGGGAAGCATGAAGAAAGAAGTAAAAGTAACTATACTGAAAAATAAGATGGAACTTATAATTAAAAAATTTAATAATTAGAAAAATAATTAGAGGAAAAAGATAGATTAATTTAATAAATGAAAGTAGATTACCAATCTAAAATATAATAGATACAATAAAAATAAAAAGAGATGGAAATTTAATTGTAAAATAAGGATAAAGAAATATCAAAATTGTAATTATTTTAATTAAAATATTAGAACTATTGAATTACATCGTTTATAAGAAGTTAATTAGAACAAAAATTCAGATTCAGAAATATTATAATGTCATGTACAAGATGAGGGAAGTGAAGATGAAGATGAAGATGATGTCAAAGTCTTATAGAAATAAACATCATTACCATATTAATAACCCAATTTAACTTATCATCATTCTTCCCATTCTTAGTTACATAATTATACTAATCAATAATAAGTAAAGAGTCCTGTTAAAACATTAATATAAGAAAATAAATATGATGATAATCTTTAGAAAAATAAATTATGTAAAACAGATCATGATAGAGAGGCTAAGTATTAATCATTTGTAAAATAAAAAAAAAAAGAAGTTTTAAATGAAAGACCTCAAAGTTCTATTAGGGAGAAGACAAATAATAATAATAATAATGAGAAAGCAAATCTTACTACTATAAAATCAAGATTAACAGATTTATAGAAAAATAAGGAGTAACTTGAATAAAGAATGAGATAATTTGAGGATCGTCTTAGGGAAAATAAATTATATACAAAGTGATTAGATATATAATAATTAGTATAATTCAATCTGATTACTTTCTTTCAATTTTTTTCTATATAAAACTAAGGAATGTATAAGAAATGTTTTCACTATAAGTTCTTTATCTTTTTTAAGTTTGTTCTTATAGTACAACTTATTTTTGATTTTATTGTTCCTTAATTTCTGTATAGAGAGTCTCAAGATTGTCTGTTGTTGGAGCATCACTAAGAAGATCTAAGTCATCTATTAGAAGATCTGGATTTAATTTTGGTTTAAGGGAGGGTTTCTTAGGTTCTTTTTCAAAAATACTTACATATTCTTCATAAGTCATTGAAGAATTCAATCGCTTTTTTGATTCTGTCATTTTATTTATATTATTCAAAATCCATTTAATTAATTAAGTATTTGAATGATACTATTAATTAATTTTAATTATGTTACAGTTCATAATATATATAATTATACTTACATAGAGTATTGAAATGAAAAACAATTTAATATTAATGAAGAAATAGAAGTTTTTATATGTGATAAATTAATACTGGGAATGGTATATCATCTTCTTGGTAAACGAGTGACTTTATTCTTCTTCTTTCTTTTAAAATTAGGATCATTTTTCTCCATTCCTGCTTTCACCTTCTTTGATTTTGAAATGGATTCATCCACTAATAAATTATCAATTTATAAATTTTCAGACAAATGGAAGTATCTGATATTATTTCCTATGTAATGATAGTCAGCAAACCTCTAATTGTCAATTAATCTAATCCTACAGGATTCTTTCCTTTCAATGTCAATTTCACTTTGCTTAAATGTGTATTCATTCTAACATCAACTCCTGTAATTGTTCCTAAAACAACTGTCCCATTTTTTAATTCAACAATGACTTGCTCATTCTTGAGCTTCATTAGAAACCTTACTAATTTCATTTGTTATTATTAATAATATTAATAATTAATAATAATGAATATTTATCTCAATTGACTTTTAATTTTTCTTTATCTCTCATCTAATAAATATTTAATTCAATATTTACTATTATAGACTTTATTATAAGAATAGCTATGCTTCTCCAAACTACACTTCCTAATCCAATAGCAATACAAACAAACCTATCTTATAAATATTCAATAATACCATTATTTAAGGCTCAAACCATCAAATGTATGCATTACAGGTCCTCCATATTATACAATTACAAATTAAAGCAATCCTATTAATATAATTGTCGTGTAAACTATCCAAGATCTAAAAAATCCATGAAAAATATTAAATTCTAAGTATACCATACGAGAATTAATCAAATTAAATATTGTAATCATAACAAATAGATTGAATATCATCAAAGACTACTTAATAAAATATTAAAATACTTCATTCAAAAATATGATACATACAGTAATGATATATACAGATAATATAATGATGTGGATTAAAATAAATCTATCGAATATGAATCCAGTTTTATTAGGAGGATTTTAATACTTCAATTAAGAACTTGGTGTACAATAAGATAAAGCAAATGTAGAAAATAAATCATTAATTAAATTTATCCAAATAAATTAAAGTGATGATATAACCATCTCTCCAATAACTGCTGAGATTATTAAAATAATCATCAATGAAAATTATGATGTGATCTAATATTGAACTAATCTTTTGATTGAATCAATTAGGTTTCTAGTAAATATAAGTCCTTTAAAAATAGAATTAAAATTGTCATCTAATAAAATAATCCCTGAAGTCTTTCTAGCAGCTTCAGTTCCTGCAATCCCCATACTATAACCAATATCAGCCTGAGCTAAAGCAGGATCTATTAATATGAATAATATTATTATTTACTATCATTTGTTCCATCACAACAGACTCCTACTACATGACCCAATTCTTATAATACTTTGACAAGATTATATTTATCTTGTGGTCTAGCTCTACTCAAAACTGAAATATCTTCAACTTTTTTTTTAGAATTTTCAGTCTTTCCTCTTAATTACTAAGAAAAATCACTTCCTTCCATAACAATTGAGTTAGATGACATAATTCCTGCTTTGATAGCGACACTTTTTGCGCTCGTAGAATTATCCTCTGTAACTATAACAACCTTAACTCCAGCTTATTTAAATCCTTGAACTGCAGATATTGTTTCAAATCTCAATGGATCTACAAATAGTAAGAAACCTAATAATGTTAAATTCTATCTATCATATTCAAATTTATTATTCTCTATCAATTCTTCAACATTTTCATTTAATAAATCGACATCCCTATAAGCTATACCTATGATTCTTCCTTTTTGACATAATTCTGTCAAAAGTTACTCTATATTATCCTTTATAACTTTATCAATTGCAATAATCCCATTTTTCTAACTATAAAATTGAGTTGACCAATTTAATACATGTTCAGCTGATCCTCTTACAGCAATTCTATTGTTATTAATGATGATTGTCTAATAATTTAAAAATTTATTAATACTTATATTTTTCTTACACAAGTAAAAGGGATTTTTTATGTCACTTATTTTAATCTCTCCTCTATATTAACCTTTATTTTTTTAGAGAAATTGACTAATGCTTATTCAATATTACTTTCATATTCTGTTTCTGGATCATAAGACTTATTAATAAAACAAGAATCAATAAAAGCCTATTAGAATTCTTATGGATATAGATTAAATTGTGATGAAGTTAACTCTTCTATTGTATCATTCATAAAACTATCCACAACTATTCTATTTTAAGTTAAAGTTCCTGTTTAATCAACAAGTATCTTAATGATAAATAATATAAAAATACCGAATCCATAAAAGGTAGAATTTCTAATTACTAAATATTTCTTACCAAATTTTATTAATATAACATCAATTTAACCGTCTAAGCTATTTAAAAATAGAAATGAGTAATTATTGCTTTAGAAGCATTTCCAGATTTTAACACTATGATTAGATTAAGTATATTTGAAAATGTACTAAATCTATTTACATTCTATTCACTATAAACAAAAATGTATCTAGTAAGCAATATAAAGATTATAAATATAGTTCCAAAAAATCCAATTTTGTCTATTTTATAAGATATTTTTTCAATTGCTTATAAAATAGGTGTTTTTTTCTCCACTTATAAACGATTAATTTATATTTTATTAGCTTATATTTATGAACCAACTGCCAACACTAATAATTTACCACTTCCTTCTACTACTTGAGTTCCTGCAAAGAGTAAATGCTTCTGTAGTTAAATTTTCTATTAGGATTCAACTGCATCTTCTAATGTAATTTTATGAATGAATTTCTATTCTCCTGTTAAGAAGGATTCCTAAATAAAAAATAATGAGCATATTTACATCAATATATAAATTATTTTATTCTACAATTAATCCGTCAACATAGATTTAATCATTCTCTTTTAAAATTACCACATCTCCTACTACTAGATCCTTTGCATTCATACTACACTCTTATCCATTTCTTAAAACAATTACATATTTCGATGATTCATTCAAAATTAAATTTTATATTTTTTTTTCATCTGCATATTTAATCTAAATTTAAAAATTGATATTAAACTTGAAATCCAGATATTATTAGGTTTAAAAAAATTAATCCAAATATAAATAAACTTTCGATCCATTCATTTGTGTAAATTCCATTTGTTGATAAATATTTAAAAATAAATGCAATTGATGACAAGGATAAGAAAAGTATTGATTTTGGTTTCTTAGTTTAATTTATTATTTACAAGTAGAACAATCTAGAATATTTTCAATGAACTTATGGAATCTTAATTTTCTTTCCAATTCACTCCAAATTCTTGTTGACTCTATTCTATAGCATTATCAGATAATCCTTCTTAAATGTTTGATTTTAAAGAATCTTCAAAATACTTGGTTGAATTGAATTCTATTAGATTATCTTAATAATCTGAAAATAATCCAGAAGCTAATATCTGCTATAATTTTTCTTTAGATACTTTAAACATAATTTATTAAATATAATCTAAAAAATTCTTAATTAATATTAGTGCTGTTATGTATTCAAAATTTTATTACATTTTTCGAGGTTTTTCTTTTAACTACATCTGGGAAAATGATATGAAATGATATAAAATTACCTAGATATCTGAAATATAAAAAATATAATTTATATTTAATAATTTTTATAACATAAATAAAATGTCTGAGTTAATTTTTGTCTCCTATAATAATATTAATGAAAAATAAATTTGAGAAAATATTTTGGATATAATTTGAAATGAAAAAGAGTGGAAATTTGAAATAATCATTTTATGATCAATCTAAACTAATTACATATGAAAGGTTTATGATAGTTCTTTTGAAAATGATTTTATCTATTATAAAATATAATAATTAATGTAAACACATCACTTACTTGCTACTCTAAGAATTGAAAAACCAAACTAAAAGCCATAATTCTTGAAAATAATGAAAGATCATAACATTGTTAATTGCACTAATGAACAAATTGATTAGGCTTGGGAACATTGTTAATAAAAAGAATATAAATAAGTTATAGAAGTTTTATAATAACAGAGATAGAGAAGTATTTCATTAAATTCTCAAAAAATCTAAACAAAATTACAACCACTTGTTTAAATATTTGATAAAATGGATAATATTAGAAAAAGAGAAGGTAATGAAAAAGAAATTAATAAATAATTGATTGCCTTAAAATTTGAAGCAGAAAGAAAATTAAAAGATTTTATTAATGAATCATGTTTAGATCGTAGTTTTACTCAAGTATTATAAGAAAAGATAGTAGAATTTCAAGGAGAAAGAAATAAATTAAATGAAGAATAAGGCAAAGAAGGTAGTAAGAAAGCATAATAAAGATTGATTGATCGCTAAAAGATTAGATCTGCAAAATAATAATAATAAATTTAATTTGTCTTACACAATGATGATAATAAAATAAGAGCTTAAGCAATCTGTACAAAATTACTTAATACTTCGGTCCCTAGATATAAATCAACATTGAATGATAAATAAGAATAAAGAATAAATAAAATAATGAATACTAAGTTTTTATTATGAACACTTAATCATTCTATAATATGATCGCTGCCATTTCTTGATTTTTTATTAATTTCATCAAAAGAAGGAAAGTAATTTGATCCTAAACTTTATTCAAAACTAGGTTGACTTCCTCTAATAACTTAAATCTTGATTTCCGCTATATTATCATTAGAATTAGTAATCTACATAGGTTTAATATGGGGAAATGTTCTAACGATTTCATGTGGGCTTTCATCTGCAACTCCTAAGTCTCCTATTGAGAAAGTTACATACTATGTTACCTTAAATAGATTCTTCAAAAAAGGGATGTAATAGAGCTTATTCTGGAGAAATTCTTTTATTTGGATCTTTTTATAACATTTATTTCAATAAATCTAAAATTTCATTAGAACAGCTCTTAAGATGGTTATTACACTTAAATCTTTTATTATTTTCAAGAATTTCATCACTATTATTCCCACTAAATAAAGATCTTCTACTTAGAAGCTTATAAAATATAGCACCTAAACTAAACATATCAACTTTTGTTGTATATGGATATTTATCAATAAACATTTCTGGTGCAATATATCCAGGAGTACCACATAATTGTCGATGAGGAGTTGATAATGGGATGGCTAAACCAAAATCTATGATCTTTACTGTCTCTACATTATTTGATTCTAGAAGTACTAAGTTTTCTAATTTTAAATCTCTATGAATAATATTAAGGAAATTTAAATAAGATAGTGCTTTAAGGCATCTCTAATGGTTTTTAAATAATCAATACAATCATGACTGCCTTTATTTAAAATATGTTCAATTATGTCTTTTTTATGAATTAATATAGGGTTTCACCTTTGAGCAATTCCATTATAATATAGTATGACTTGTCTCCTTCATAAATATCAACCATTTTAACAATTGAATCATGTTCGATTAATCTCATTAACTCTATTTCTTACAATAAACGATTCTTTGATATTAAAATCTCATACATATCTTTCTTTATCATCCCTTTTATAAATATAATCTTTTCTGATGCATTTTGATGCAAATTCATAATGTGTTATCTTATTAACAACCTTATAAACTTTACATGAAGCTCCAGATCCAAGCATTTCCTTACTCTCATATATTGCTGATATATTTCCAAAGAATATGCGAGTGTGTAATTCTCTATACAATGCTTCTAGATTATTCTTTTCAGCATGAAACCATTTAAGGACTTTATTATATTTTATGCCAAATGCAATCAATTAATTTTATTCAGTTTTCCAAAAAACTAAATTTTGGAATGTTAAATCAAGGATGTACTTAGATTATTGAAAGTTTACTGACTCTTTTAGTGTGAAATTTTTCTTACTTGTGATATTTATATGCGATTATCATCAATTAAGAGATGATAATGTTTATCTTTTAAGAAATGCTTACGTTAGCATCTAATTTAAAAGGAATTTTGATCCATTTATTATAACATTATTATTTATAAATAATTTAAAAAAATAATAAATCTCATCACTCAAATTATGTCAAACCACTCAAAATTAGTATATTCATAACTTAAAAATTAATGATATCTGTATAACTATATATTAAATAATATATCTCAATTCTTCAAAATTCTTATTTCATAGAGATTTGTAATGATTTTATTTTATTTAACAAAATTCAAATAATAAAAAAATAAAAAGTTTTAAAAATAATATTTATGTACTTTTTATTGATTATATATCACTTGTTCATCCAATTAAATAGCTTAATTCATAATCAGCTTTTAATGATTGATCAACAACAGTTTTATTATTTTTATGATACTCCTCAATATCTACTAATTTATCTCCAACAACTTGATCATATCCAGTGTTTTCTAAAGCCTTATAATTGGCTATCAATTTGGTTAAGTTAATATATGAGGGACAATATAATTGTTGTCCAATAATGCAATTGTTGGTTGGATGAATAATCTAAATAAGTTAAAAATAAATAAATTACTTTTTCAATAAAAGAACTATTAAGTTAAGCTTTATAATTATTTCCAAGACTATCTTCAATTAAATGTATAATAGATTTGAAATCTATATGTTTATGTCCTTTAGCCAAGAGTAATTTACCAGCATGATCTCCTGCAAGAACTCTTGCAACAATTGCTTCTAAATCTCCTGTAAAGATTGGAGCACATGATTATCCTGTAGTTTTGAAATAAATGCTTTATCCATTATATATTCTTTGAGCAATTTTATTAGTAAATGTGCTTTAAGGTCCAAATGTAATATCAGATCTGATTCCAACTAATTGAGGAATGGATCGACGACCTTCAACTTCTAAATGTTTCCATTCATCAATTTCTTCTTAATGATCATGTTCAACTGGAGCTACATAAGCCACAGTTTTGTAGTTTCTAGTCTTGGCCAAATCTAGAGTGGCAACTAATAAGTTTTTCTTGGAAGCTGTAACTTAGTAATAGTCATGGCTCACATAAAGGAGATTATTGGCTTATTTAATTACATCATGTAGATCTTAACGATCACCTACTTTGAACAACTCAATCTTGGTTGAGAATTATTGCTTGAATTTAAGTAATCTTTGAACTGTGAAGTATGTTGGGAAGATATCAGCACAAATGATCTTCTCATACTTACCACTTTCAGCAGCTACTTTTAAGAATCCTTAAGCAATTCTATTGCTTGCATTTAGAAGCAGAAGAGACATATCAAATAAAAAATTATATTTAGGATTTAATATCTAAGTAAATTTATATATACATAATCTCAAAGTCCTCCAGTCTTTCTTGTTCTAATTAAGTAACACTTGAATTCATCTACTAATTTGGTGAGTTATTGAGCTTCTCTTTACTTCTGCAATTTCTATACTCGTTAAATTTAGAATTGTTTTTATCTCTAATCAAAGCTATCAAAATTATGAACTTTCTTTGGAGTATAATGTGTATTAATTAAAGTTTATTGACTAATCAATATATTAAATAATACATCTGACGAATGAATGAATCATCATCAAAATAATCAAAATCACTTTTAGGAGTTATCTTAACTTGAACTGTATTTTATTATATGCTTAACATAGGTTATCTTTTACTATTATTATTATTATTTTTCTTTTCAATTTCTTCAATAACTTTTTACACTATGATGTCAACATATCTATCTTAATCAATACTAGAAAGTGAATTGTTGTTTGAATAAATAGTTGGAGTCTTTGATATTTTTAAATAAGGTTATCTATTTTCCTGTACTTCTTCATTCGGTAATTTTAGGAACACTTCCTTAGTATTTATTTCATCTTATCTTTCATCAATTATTGAAGAATTGCTCTCCTCAGTAGTAGTCTATTTGTCTTTTTTATACTCTTTCTAACAGTTCTGGAATTATTGAATGAATTATCTAACTTCTGGACTAACAGAATCTCTATAGTGTTTCATATCAGTTAATAATTTGTTATTAAATTATAAAATAGTAGTAAAATACATCTCAATTTACTTATTGACCTTCTTAATGTTCTTTAAAGACTTTTTAATACTCTTGGATCTTCCTATTTCAATTCTTATTATTATTTAAAATATTGCTAGAATAATTTTATAAATAATATAAAAAGATGGGTCTATTTTACCTCTTATATCATAATTTTATTAAATATTTGAATCCTATCTATCTATATATAATTTAATTTTATTGAATTTCCAATTAAAGTATTTAATTAATTCTATATAACATTCCTCTCTCATATTTAATAATTTTTAATTTACAAATTTTTTTCATATTTTTATTACTTTTATCTAAACCAATAACATCAGAAGGAATAAATGTTTAATTAACCTCTTTATAAATATCTAATCCAGTATAAATAGTTATTTTACAAGTATTATTATGGATCCATTAAACGTAGAACAACACAAGTATAAATACTTATTATTAAAGAATATCTCAAAAAAAACTATAAGTATTAATATATTTTAACAAATTACTAATTAGATAATTTATTAAATAGATTAGTAAGAGAATAAAATACATATCATGAATTTCATTTTACAATTTTCTCTAAACAAACCTTAAAATTTTCAAAATCTTATTACTCTTAGAACCATATATTGAAAACCTTTTATTATTCATCTTAAAAATGAAAATAAAACCATTATGTGCCTTTATTCAACTCAAATGTTAATCCCTTTTTAATTGTCCTTATGAAATCTTAAGTTGAGTTTTAATTAAGTATAATGAAGACACATTAATCGGTTAATTTAATTAAAAAGAAAGGTCCTTGAAATCCAGCCTGATGCCACAATTAAGTGCATTTATCAAACTCATTCAAACTGGTAAATTTGCCAGTATATAAAATCTATTCTAGAGTTGGAAACAATCTCTTTAAATAGGAGAAATTAAGTTGATCTCTTTACATTAAATAAATATATATATATATTAATATTCAATTATTTCTTTAATTACCTATTAATTTACTTAAGAAGATATCTGTGTTTTTCTTTTTTTACTACTTTGTACTCTATCATGAATTTCTTAAGCACATTATCAAGAAACTTTGAATTCCTACAGGTATATTGAGAACTTGATTCCACTATGAACATTATTCTTGGTTTTTCTCATTAATATAAATTTATTATTATGTATTAAGTGTTTATCCTGCAATAACTTTCTCCTACTTTGTTATCTTATATGTTTAACATGTCTCCTTTTATTTTCTAGACTCCTTATTCTTTATTCTTTCATTTTTAATCCCTATCAACTTCAATCGCTGTTTTGGCTTTATAATCATACAATAATTTCTAATTTGTCTTTAATTTTTCCAGCTGACCATTCAAACTTAATATTAATTTACTCTAAATCTAATCAAAATACTCCATATTCTATATATAAGACAGAATAATTGAGTCTGCTACTCTAGAAACTACTTCTATTAGTCTTGGTATCTATGAACTTAGTGATTTTTGATCTTTTTAAACATTAAATTAAATCCTTGTTAGTTTTAATCCACTTTCTCCAAAACTTGAGTAAGTAAATTAAAAACCCTCTAACATCTTTAATTGCCTTCTTCTCATTATTAAGACTTAGATTGATCTCTTAATACTATAAAATTGTTGACATTTCTATTTCAAATTTGTATTTATGATATAAAATTATATTTATAGTAAACTTTTTATTTTTATCAATTCCTCAATTATGATATCTGAATTAAAATTATACTAAAGAATAAAATCTTAATGTTTATTTAAACAAAATTAATAGTTTCTAATAAACTTACTTTAATCTAAATATTTGTTTAAAAATCATATTTTAATTTATAATATTGATTAAGTATCTTAATAAAGAAAATAAAAGATTTATAAATCGATTATATAATAATAGAATTAAATTTGAGATAAAAACAGATTTCAAATTAAACAAAATAAATAAAGAGCATTTCAAGATAAAAATGTAGCGTTAAAATTTTTATATCTTTTAATCAATCTATCAATAAGAACTATTTAACTTTATAATCAATATGCGAAAAAACTTTATTTATATTTACAAAAAGATAAAAACCATATATAATAATTGTTTAAAAATTAACTCTATAAAATATTTGTTGGAATATTTAAATATACAATAGAATTAAACTGTATAATTTTTTTAAGATTTTTTTAATTGCAATATATTATATCAATTCATAGTTGAAATGAATGGGTTTTCCATATTCATTATTTTACACATAAATTAGTTGTTTTCAATTTTTATTTACTCAATTCCAATCATATCTACTATTATACTCATTAATTTCTTAAAAAATTATTAATTCTATTCCGTATTTTTCTTTATTGGACCTTTTACTATTATTTCTAGAATAGATTCATTCAATTAACGTACAGAAAAGGTGCTTACCTTATAATATTTACTTACAGAAATCATTAAGATATAGAGTAATGGTATATTTGTATAAAAAGCATCTGATTTTAGATTTAAGGAAAATAAAGCTGCATTGTCTCTTAAAATATTCATTAATAGAGCACTTAACTTATTATAATTAAGGGATTATATTTTAAAATTAACTATAGATTTTGGTTTTACTAATAATGCTGCAAGAAGATTTTTCAATGATTCTGTATGGTAATGCTATCTATCAATCTTCTTTAATTTCTTCAAAATTCCTTTGTACAAAAGTGGATACATATTATTTTCAGTGTAAGCCTTTTTAGTAGTAATCTTTAAAATGATCTATGTATCCATTATGGAATACTTCCAACATTCAATAAATAAATGTTGATTCTTACTTTTCCAAAAAGCATTGATTTAAAAGGAACTCTTAAAATCTTGGATTTTATAATGTAAATAAGTCATTGTGGACATCTTTTATAAAGATAGTTGAGTTTCTTTCAAGAAATCTAAAGGGTTTTCATGATACTCAGAATAAAATGATTTGTTTGCATAAATAACTTTAAATTTATCCCATACATCATTATAATTGAGGATGACTAAACTCTCTTTAATCAAATCATCAAAAATAAAATATTAGTTTAAGTTTTTTTCCTTCCATAGAAACTAATACCTTAAACCTTTAATTCTCTAATATTCATTATAACAAGTAAGTATCGTGAATAATAAAAAGAGTATGAACATAGGGTTGAATTCAAAAATAGATCTAAAATAAATACGGGTTGATATAAAAATTGCATAAAGAATAGCATTTTGTATAAGATTCTGAGTTATATTCATATGCAAACCCATTTGAATTGCAGTGTCTTCTATCCAATTAATTTCAGAATCAGCTAAATTCTGTATCCAAAAGGGGATAAATTACATAATTGATGCTTATAAACTAAATGATAATACTATAGTGCTAACTATTTTATACCATTGTTATCTTATCACAACTTTGTAAAAAAAAAAAGTGTATAAAATGGTCAAAATAATATATACAATTGATAGTACAATTTAATTTTTTATCATCCAATATCCTGCTTGAAATGCATAAGAAATAATGGGTATAATTGTATTAATCTTAAAGCCATGTAATATTTATGGTCTTTGGCTTTCTTGATATCTTTCCTCTAATAAGGAATCTGAAAAAATTAATGAAAATTTATTCATAATAATCAAAATAATATTAATTATTTTTATATTCCTATTCTACCATAAACCTAAAGAAAAAATATTATATAAATTATGATAATCAATTAATAATTCTGAAATTTAGTAACTTTCTCAATTTTTATAATTTTACTATTCAACTCAACTTAAGTATTAATTTATTATTTAAGTGATTATTTTCATATCTAATGGAATTTAATAACATAAATTTAAACAAATAATTAGATGGAGAATGTCTGATGAAATTTAAATATTTTTATAATCAAATTAAATTACAATTTTAGAAACTTTATTTTTATATATTAGATAAATAGTGATTCTCAAATATTAGAGTATTAAAAGTAGTAGTAGAATAAATCTATTCTTTATTAATCTCAATTTTATGATATTTATAGATTTAGAATTTAAATTATATGATTAATAAATATGTCATATTTAGACACTTAATCATTTCTTAAAGCTTGTAAATTTATATGATTTGTTATATTGTTGGGTTCTATTGTATTCTATTAGAAATATTAGTATTTATATCCTTAATACCTTAAATTATAAGGGAATTAATTAATATTAACATGAGTTCGAAGCGAAAGTAAGTAAAATTAGAGTCAGAGAAAAAGATTAAGCAAGAGGAATCAAACTATGAGGATTCATTCAATGAGTCAAATGATGAAGAACCTAAGAGTACTGGGAAACAGAAAACTCGACATGACAATTCATTATCTGTGCTCACAAAAAAGTTTGTTGAATTAATTAAACATTCTGAAGAGTTGACAATAGATTTGAATGTAGCAGTCAATGATTTAGGAGTTTAAAAAAGAAGAATTTACGATATTACAAATGTATTAGAGGGGATTGGTTATATTGAGAAAATCTCTAAAAACAAGATCAAATGGGTTGGAGCCACTGATGATCCTTTATTGGAAACTGAGCTTCGTTAAATAAAATAAGAATTAGAAGCCTTATAAGATGAAGAGAAAACAATTGATTATTGGATAGAGTACTTGCAAAAGAATTTATAAGAAAAGTTCTAGAGTGATCCAGAAGTGGCTAAATACACATTTCTCACACATGATGACTTTAAAGAATTATCAAAGAGTTAACAGACTGATCATAAAGGAGAGGCGCTTTTTATAATAACAGCGCCAAAAGGAACTTCTGTAGAAACTCCTTAAGAAAATAATCCTGAATATCCTTATTAGGTTTATTTGAATAGTTCCAAAGTATAAGGATAGAATAATGAAATTTAAGTGTATATTTGTTCTGATGAGAATTACCCAATAGAATATGAGAAGAAGCAAAAATGACAAATATTTTAATTTAATATAATTTTATCATAAATTATGACTAATTTCAACTAAATAATTTCAATAACTTTTACTAAAAATTAAAAGAAGTGGAATTGTAACTAGATTTAGAATTATAATAATTAAATATTGTAAATAGATCTGAAATTTATATGATGTTGTTTTTAAATAAGAGAATATAGTCGAACTTTTAATTTTAGCTATTAGAGATACTTAGTAGATATTTCTATTTACAAATTGTGAGAAATATAATTATTTTATTATGATCACAACTTTTTAAATAAAATAAGTATATTTTCAATATTATTGTTTAATTTCTTTTGATTATTAAATTTAAAATATCAAAATTATGATTTCTCCATCATTAATGTCCCTTAAATTGAATTAATGCCAATCAAATTCACAATAATTTATTTTATATCATCTTCAATCAAATAAAAAAATTCTTAAATGTTTCAGTATTATCATTATTCGGATTTATTTTTCTTTAAAAATTTTATAAGCTTAAGCTAAATGAATGAAGCAAGATTTATTTTAAATAAAAAACATCTTAAGGTGTATTTATTATGATTTTCTTCAATTTTTGAATATCATAGTAAATATCTGATTTAAATAAACCCTTACATCTAATGTACTCTATATTTGATAGATAGGATAGAGTGATGTTTATATTAACCTCCATTATAGCCTTAAGAATCCATTAAAAATATCTAGATCATTTTCTTAAATAGACATGACTTTATTATTGCAATCAAAAAAAGGATTTCAATTCTGCAAATCATGTGTTTTTCATTTGTATAACGAAATTAGCATTTAAATCTTAAGGGAATAGTTCTAATAATTTTTTTATTGATTGATAATTGCAAAGTTATCAAAATATTAAGAGCTTTGTTAGGTTATTCTATTCTATTTGATTAGATGAAAATCTTGAGTTATAAGATGTTTATTGTCATTCTTTTTACATATCATAGGGATTATGATCTTATCTAAAATATATAAAGATTTTAATTTTATTTTAATGTATTATTGCAATATATGAAAACTCATCTACCCAAAATATTCTTGGTACCTCTTGCAGCCTTGAAGTCATCACATGGATGTCTATAGAAGGAGATGATTTTTTTGCCCCATTAGAATTATGAGACCATGTAACCCTTTAAATTGATATCATCTTTTGATCCTGGAATCCAATTATGAGTTTCTGTTAATTCTTCTAAATCTGCTTCTAAACCTGGATAGAAATCATAATCCTCATGAACTAATGATTTAAATTAAATATAATACTGACATAATCATTTCTATCTCCATATTATTCTAAATCTAATAAAGCCAAGTGTTGATCCAAATAATAATTACTCCAAACAGCACTATGGAATGTAAGTTCATTTTCTAAATCTTCTAATTCTTTGCTTTAACTAGACACAACTTGATGACAGATACGCTCAACATCATATTCCTTATTTAATAAAGTGTCATGTCCTTTTTAAACTTTATCAACTAATCCTTCAGTTGTGATCTAATCTTTCCAATAATTCCAATCAATTTCCTATTCATCGAAACACAAGCAATACTTGAGCAGCACCCATAGAAGGTTTTGAATAGAAATTAAACAATGAACTCAATTATGATGCATAAAATCTGCTTTCTAATGTATTAGCTTTAGCAGTCAATGTTTACAACCATTTATTGATACGATCAAGATTTGCTGATGGACGAGCAGCAACTGTTTTGCTTCTTGTTTAATTAACAATTAATCTTTTCATATCTAAAATTAAATATTTTATGTTAAAATATTCATCATTCAATAACTTCCTCAATAGCAATTTCATCATATTTAGATTAGAACATTTTATAATACTCTATTGACATCAAAACTAAATGTTTTTATGGATTATCAAGTCTTGTTACTTTAGTATTAAACTCTTTCATTTATTTTGTACAATATTTTTTAGCTGTCATCAAATCAGGAACATAATCATAATCAACAGTTTATAATAAATTTTCAATAAAAGTTGGTTTTATGTGATAACGCTATTTGCTTATGTGATCAATGCATTTAAATTCATTATTCTCTGGTAAATAATTTATTGATGTGATAATATCTACACATTAATCACTTTTTGTATAAACCCTATATACATTCTTTTAACCTGGAAAAGTAGTTTTATCATATTCTTCAGACAATTTCATTACAATCTAATTTTTACATTCTACTAATTTATAAACAAGACCTAATGCAGGCTATTTTTAACATGTCACTAAATGAGTTCCTATTCCAAATATATCTATTTTATGTCCTTTCTTATTAAATTATATAAGTGCTTCTTCATTAATATCATTTGATGCAGCTACTTTAAGATGACTAATATCTTTCTAAAATTAATCTCCATATTATTTAAATAATTCTTTTGCTTATCTAATTATTTATTATATTTAAATTACATTGATAATTATGCTAAGTCTCCAGAATCTAAACGAATTCCTTTAGCTTTTATTCCAGCATCATCTAAAGCAAATGCTACAGCCAAAAAATTTGGAACTCCAGATTTTAATGTATGATAAGTGTCCACCAAACATAAGAAATTATTTGAACAAGATTAAGCATAAGCTATAAATGATGCTAATTCACCTTAATTTGTTTTAACTCCCATTTTCTTATGATATTCAATTGCTCTCAACTTTATATTTATACCATTTAATTCTGCAGATTCAACATCATTCAATTCAGAAAAGGATGTTACAAATGAATGTGCTATTGTACCTGATACTGGTATTCCCAATTTTAATCCAGCCATCATATTACTTGTACCATCAAATCCACCCAAAAATGAATATTGAGTTGCACTCATACCTCCATCAGGTCCCTATGCTCTTCTTAATCCAAATTCTAGTAAATGTGCTTAACCTGCCAATTATCTCATTCTACTTGCATTTGTAGCTATTAAAGATGGAAATGAAACCAAATTAACTAAAAATTTATTAATCTTTAATACTGACTGCTGTTTCTATGAGTTAACATATACCTTGTGGTCCTTCTATACTAATTAAAGGTTCTTTAGGAAAACAAATTGATCCTTCAGGCATTGCTCTAATTATAATTTAAGAAGAATCTAAATTCTTAAGATATTCAAAAAATTTCGGGTTAGCATCTGATGGCAAAATACTTTTAAAAAATTATCATATCTTTATACATACTTCTTTTTCACATATTCAATTTCTTCATCTGTAAATTTGAAATTCTTAATATAACGTACAACTTCATTTAAACCAGCAAAGATGACATATTGGCCTCCAAATGGACATTTCCTAAATATTAATTCAAAAGCTGTCTAATCATTTTCCATTTTGTTTTAGAAAAAAGAATAAGTCATTACTAATTTATATGAGTCATTTAATAGAGCTCCTAAGATGTCTTAATGTCCTCCTGTTTATTACATTTCAATTAATTAATTATTAAAAATGAAATAAATGAGAGAGAATTTCCATATTAAAATAAGAGCTGAGTAAAGATAGAAAGAATTTGCAAAAAGGAGAATTATCAAATTATAAGCTACTCCTTAATACTTTAGATAAGCAGTTCTAGATAATCCAATTAGCGAATTGTTAAAAGAAATTGATTAACCAGATTATTTGTAGTTCATCTCATTTTTAAGTTCAGTTGAAGATTATTAATGCAATAAATATATGGCAGATTAAGGGGTTTTAAAGGTTGTAATCGAAAATACTATTAACCTTATGAAGAATTATAAATAGAGCTCAACTTAAGAAGCTAGTTTAAATTATGTAATTATAATTTAAGTAAAAATTTAGTTACTTTCTATAATTGGAAATTTAATTGATTTTATTTAATTTCCAAATGATAAAATAAGATATATAATATAAAGAGCAATTGAAATTAGTAATTATTCCTTAACAGAATTTAAACTTACACTTATTTGGTTGATTGATGAATATCTTAAAAAGGAATAATTATAAGAAGAATTCTTATTTTGTGTAACAAATTTTTTGTTTAACAATATGGGTAGAAGAGATATTACATCTGCTATCTTTGATACAATTTTAAATTTGCAATGTAGTTAACCAGTTTATTTATCAAAGGAAAATTTAGATGAATTAATTAAGCATATTGGAGATGAAGATAATTAAACAGTTTAAAAAAGTTTATTCATATTAGTCAATTATTTAGAGATAATGAAGAAAATAGAATTAAATGAAGAAGTTATAATTTTATTAAATGAACTTTTTAAAAATAAGGACTACTTAGCATTATTAAGACTATGTAATATATTATATCCAAGAATATAACTTGAACCAAAGTTAATTCTATAAAGAATGGAAATGTGTGCATTTGGACTTAAATTATAGGAATATTTCACTTTGATTAATAAGTTAATAATAGATAAAATATTATCTCCTTCTTAATACTTGAAATCTTTGTAAAATATAGAAATGGAGAATTAGTGTGAAAATAATAAATCTATGATTTTATAATAAATATCTTAATATCAGGATTGATGTAAATATATATATTATTCTATATCACTAATTAACTCTAGTAATTGATGACGCATAGGTTTAAAACTGTACTTGAATCCAAGTAGGTTTCTATTTGGAGAGAGATGGTTGATATTAACTCTCTCTAATTTCTCAGGATAGTTCTTGAATGTATGAAACTTCTATAAATATTGTTTGAATCTTTCAACTGACTAGATTATGAATTAATGAGAATACATTCTTATTTTAATCTGATTTCATTCTTTATTCTAATTATTCATCTATTGTTTATTTCAGAATAGATTTAGTTTAATTCATAACAGGTATCTTTTTTTCAAAGAATTTTCTTTTGAGTTATCTTTCATGCAATTCTTTTACATTATCAAACATATCAACATCATTTTAAAGTACTCCATTTTTTGTTACACATCTTTGTGGTCTATTAGGAGTTGCTACTTCTACTTAAAATTCAGGATCAGATAATATTTAATTGTTTAATGTTCCAATATCTAATTAAGTTGTTAATTTAATTTCTGTTTCATTTCCTTATATTAAACCTAATTTTGATAAAACCATGTTATTCATAACTTATGATTAATAATTGATTTTCTTAATATATGTCTTAATTGATTCAACAGAATGATTTTTAGCTGCACTATCATTTGATTCCTTAATAAAATTCATTGCTCTATCATGATATTCTTAAGCCAATCTTAATTCACCTTGTACATAATAGAGTACTCCAAAATAATCATAAATTGTAGCTTCATTTTCTGTATCATTTAAATACCAGACATATTGTAAAGCCTTTTTAAGATATAATTTGCTTAAATGATATGATTGTTGTAATTTACACAGATCTCCCATTTATATGAGTGCTTCAATTTTTAATGTTTGATTATTTTAAATATCTGCCAGAATACGTAAAACATTATATATGTATAAACCATTATTAAACTCTCTATTTGATATATACATGTCTGCTAATAAATGTAATGATTTGCCAAAAATAGTCAGATCATAACCAATACATTGTTATACCAATTTTTTTGTTACTATTGTATTGGATTAATCAATTACTCTCTAAAGCTTCATCCAATTATCTTTCGTATATGCATTTTATCAATTCCTTTTTTAAAGTGTTCAATTAAATCAGAACTCCATTCTCCTCTAAAACAAGTTTTCTTGAAGAAGATAGAACTTAATTATGTTTCGTATTCAAATATGGTAATTTTGGAATTTTACGAGAAGAAATACTATGATTGTTAATCGTTGTTTCTATCTAAGAAGTATTTGTAACTAGTTTTGTTTTGATGGATTTCATTGATATTAAATAAATACAATCAAAATTCAGAATATTCAATTTAACTTAGTTAGTTATATATATTTTATATTGCTGTTTCTTTAGGAATATAATATATATCGATACTTATTTTAATTCAAATTATTGTAACATACATTAAAATTACAATTAAGATTGATTAATTTGAAATCTATATGATTTTAGAAACATATAATATAAATATTTTCATTAATATAATAAAACGGAATGCTTTATATATTGACCTTAACTTAGTTGCTATTTTTAGTAGTTACTTAGGATCCTGTTGATAAACTATTTGAGTTTTAGTAGCTTATGAAATAAAAAACCAAAGTCCCAAGTAATCGTTTTTGAACTATTACTTAGAATAGAAAATTAGTGAATATGATAGTTCAGACATATTCAGTGAAGGATATATTACAGTAAGTGAGTTATCTGAAGAAGATGAGTATTAATAATATGATGAAATATCATAATATGATATGGTGGATGAATCAGATGATAATGATGAAATGATGATATAATAATAAAAAGAATAATAAAGAATAGAATTATAGAAAATTGAATAATAAAAGATTGAATAATAGAGAATTGAATAATAAAGATAGGAATAATTAAAATTGGAATAATAAAGATAGGAATAGTTAAGATTAGAATAATAAATTAAAGAATAATAATTAATGGAATTATAGAAATTAGAAAGATTAAAATTAGAATAACAAGCATAAATATTAGAAAATGAAAAGAAAAAAAAGTAAATTATTGAAATTCCAGAATAATGGAGTGATGATGATGATGATAATTAAATTATATAGGTTACTAAATAATAAAAGAAAAGGAAACAAAAGAAACCAGAATTTGATGATAATTAAATATTAGAAGTCTTAAACACTGCTAAGAAAACAAAAGTTTAATCTCTTGAAGATTTTGAAGAAATGGAAAAGAAAATTGTAAAAAAGAAAAAAAAGAAAGAGTCGATTCCAGAAGATGAATTTGTGTAGAAAGTACCTGCATAAAACTAAACCTTTATTCATTTTAATAATAAGAATAATTATTTAGAATTAGCACCTTGTAGCAATAATCCTATTTAATAAAGAGCATGTAGTTTATGTAAAAGTGAAGTTGGATACTAATTAGATGATGATAATTGGTATATGATTGGTTTATAACATGGATACAAAAAGGAATTTCTTTTATTGATAGAAATAACTAAATAATCATTTGGAGATAGTCAATTGTATTTGAGTTTCTCATCTAATGGATCTGCTTGTATGACTAGTGATACTCTTAAATAAGATATTGATGTTGAAAATGTTTTATAAAGATTTTCAGGTAGATCATGGAGACATTTTATAAAAAATGAATTGTTTGCTCTTCCATAAAAGTTAGAGGGCAGAAGTTTTTAATTCAAAGCAATCTATCAAAACAAATAATTTACATTTTCTGATTTTGAAATCAAATTTACATCCAATCTAATTCAAGAATTAAAGTCTTTATCTAATTAAGAAGTTACTATTAGAACTAATACTATAGAATTTATTGGAGAATAAGTATAAATATATTTAATTAAATAGTTGTAATGCACATTAACAGGATTGATGAAATAATAAAATGATGAATTACCATTCTCATTAAAATTTAAGAATGGTGAAGCAACATCAGAACTTCTTATTCCAAATTGTTAAATTCCATTACACAATGAAATCTTGTATGGTGTTTCAGATTTATATTTTGGAGAGTACTTTAAAGAGACTTTACAATAAAAATTGAAAGGAAACTTTAGAGGAGATTTTAATGCCACGACTTCATTTGAGAATGGTAAATTAAAAGTGAGATTGGCAATGAAGAAATTTAATAAATGATTAATGCATCTATATATCACTCATGTTTTTATTTTGGCTTTTCTAGAATTCCCAATTAATTGAGATATAACACTAATTTATCAAATATTATTATTGCACCTAAAATAAATATACACGTAAATACCTCTGGTTTTAGGATAATACATCCAAATAAGAGTCATATTTTTGATAGGGAAATACAATTATAATAAGTCATGAAATGCAAACCACATCACTCTGTCTAATAGAAACATGAGTAAATAAATAACCCAATAAGAAAGCCAAATTTTAGATTTTGCATTATCCTTTTATTTCACACATTACACACTCATGTATGCAGGATATAGAATACCAATCAATATTTTGACTAATAAATTTCCAGCTCCAAAAATTGTGAGTGTAAATGCAACAAAAATTATACCTAAAATTAATTATCCTGGATTGACATTAAATTTTTGAGCAATTTATTAAAGTGGAGCTACATCACTAAAATCATCAGAAATTCTCTTAAATATCTCATCTAAATTTTCTAATTAAGGCTCTTTTTATGGTCTTTTAGGTCCTAAAGGTTGTGCTGGTTTATTTTCAATATTAGAATCTATTTATTACACTTTTTCTTCAGACATAAATTAGATAATTAATTTAACAATAATATATAAGAATATTTCATTCAAACTATATTAATATATGTTATTTGAAATTATATATAAATTAAAAATCAAGTCTTTTTCTTCTATTAAGCTTTTTGTTATAATTATTAAAGTTGTTATTACAAGAATTATTACTATTAATAAAACTTATTATCCAAATTTTATGTTTATTATTAAAATGTATTATACATTTAAGAAACAAAATTAGTTGCACTTTTTTAACTAGTTAATTTCTATTATTACTAAATTCCAACTTAACTTTATGATTTCTTTAATTATTGTGATTAGATTTATTGTTATTTAATAATATTTTGTATCTCTTCAATATTAGATTTCTATAATTATTATTATTATTATTATTATTATTGTTAAGTTTAATGTTAAATAGAGCTCCCATTAACATTTTCATGACCTTATAATGATTTTCCTTAAGATATCATTTCAGATTGCTCCTAATGTAATCTTATAATAAATTTATAATTTATTACCCATTAATAAGTTCATCAGGATTCATTCCTAATTACTACAAGTATTTTGCTTACCACTTCTTTCTTTGTTCCTTCTTTCTTCTATTTATATCATTATACAAAGCCTCTCTGTATTCCTTAATAGAAAACTTCTTATTATCATTCATAGGTATTCTTATCGGCTCTGAACATTCAATCTCTTCATCAGGAGATGAGAATTCTTTCAAATACTTATGTTTAATAGCTTAATGAACAGTAAGTCTCATCTTTGGATTGAATTGTAAAAGTCTATATATAAAAATGATATTTAAACCTTCTTAATAAATCTAAACAATCATCTGAGGCTCCTGAAAAAAATTGTTAGAATGATCTTCTTTTTTGAATTGAAACAGATGCTAGAATATTAACAGCTAAGGGAGATTCAAGTGATTCAATGTCTGCATCATTTGGTTTACCTAATAATTCAATTATTCTTTCAATTTAATTTAATGTAGATGTTCCTGGAAAAATTGCCTTACCTATAATCAACTCACCCAAAATACAACCAACACTCCACATATCTACAGCTTTAGTATAATTAGTTGATCCTAGTAATATTTCAGGAGCTCTGTACCATCTAGTAGCAACATATTCTGTCAAAACAGGAGGAGCTAAACGTTAAATTTAAATATCATCATACTACTGTCATCTTCAGTGATTGCTATACTTCTGGCTAAACCAAAATCTGCTAATTTCATGTGACATTCAGAATTTAGTAAAATGTTAGAAGGCTTTAAGTCTCTATGAATAAGTTCTCCTGAATGTATGTATTTTAGTGATTTCAAAATTTAATAAACAACATATTTTTTATGAACTTCTTCTAGTATACCTGCTCTCTATTCAATTTTATTTAATATATTTACAATCACAGCATGTAAATCTGTTTCCATATAATCAAATACTAAATAAATGTCCTTATTGTTTTCTGCTTTTATGATATTCAACAACCTCACAATGTTTTCATGTCCATTTAACTCCTACAAAAACATTATTTCTCTAAATGTTCTTTAAGCATCTGTAGCATTATGGAAAGCATCAAATACTTTTTTTAAAGCCACTACCTAAACTGTAAATAACAAGTCTTACTGTCTTTAGCTTCTTATCCACAGCCTTCCAAACTATTCCATAGGCACCTTTTCCTAATTTTTGAATGATTTCGAATTTTCTAGCAATATGAGGTTCAATTTCTTCAGTCATTTAATTTATATTTAATTTTTACTCATATGAATTTCTCAAACAACAATACTATTTATGATGTATCTAAAATTAAATGAAGAAGGATTTGAAAAGGATATATCTATTAGATCAATAAAACATCATCAAACTTTGAATCTCAAAGATCATCAAATAATTAAATTATTCTCAATTGAATAAAATCTATTTAAGTATATAAAATAATTCATAGATTATATTTTAATCTTAGAATGTTAATCTATAAAATTTATATCTAACACAATTTTAAATTATATAGTAATATCTAACTATTTTAATCGATATAATTAATGATAATCTAAGTGAATAAAAATATATTAGGTTTTGACTATTCAATTTATTTTTGGATTCATTCATTCTACACTTTTTTATTTATTTTTGTTGATTAATTGATTTTTGTAAACTTAAAAAAGAAATTAAGAATTTATCCGTAATTATATCGAACACAAAGAACCAGATCGTTGGTTATAAAGAATTTGCTAGCAATATGAATATCTCAATGTAAAATTTACTAATTGTTAACAAAACATTCAGAAACAATATTAACTATAAAAAATATGCTGATTTTGATTTTTAATAATATATTATAGGATTTTAATTTTAGAAAAACTATTATGTTTTATAATTTTTAATTCCTCTAAAATAATAATTCCGTTTTCTTTGCATTGATCATTTTTTAATTATTATTTCAATTATTTCTTTAGAAATATAAATTTTCATTTTATATCTGAATTAATGTTATAAGTTAATCAAATATAAAAATAGTTTTATTGCTTTAATTAAATTTTAATTTCAATTCTATTTTTTAATCATAATATATCTATAAATTTTTTCAAAATCTAATTTATATTTTGTAAATATTGTTTATTGTAATTTCAATTATATTTTTGATATGAATAGTACTGTTTATTCTTTATTCAAACTTTTTATTCTTTGATTGATAATCTTTTTATATTCCCCTATGCTGATTCTTAATAATACTACTTAATGAAATTATATTAAATTGAATATGCTAAAATCTAAATATTTAAATTCGCTTTAAAATTGATTTTATTTTATCATAATAATATCAATTAAAATCTTGATATATAAATGTTAAACATATGATTTTATCCTAATTTTTAGATATATATGAAAATATTAAATCTTATTTATTATAATATAATTATCTACTAAAATTAATTTTCAATCTGTTGTAAATAATTGAGGAATTGATATAAAATAGATAGCCTATATAATTAATTCATAGTAAATATAGCAAATACATTTTTGAATATAAAATTAAATATCTGAAGCTTAGAATAGTTTAGAATTTCTTTTTATAATAAAACATAAATCAGTTTAATTATGAATTAGAAAAAAATGTTTAAATTTTTATATTAAAGTATACTTTATTATAAATGTGATTTTATAATAGGATTAAGGTACAAAATGAGTTTAGATCAATTGAAAATAGTTATACAAATAAATTGATATTTTTGTGTAATAGTTCTATGCATTTGATATATATAAACTATAAAATTATAATAAAATGATATTAATATTTTTAAATTTCTATGCTTAATCATCCACTCTCTCCTCCATTACAATGCTAATCCGCTTAAAATGCTTTAGCTGTTCTACCACCTTCTGCTAATATTTCAGCAAAATAGAAAATTCATGTTTCAAATTTGCCTCTTAATATTACTGCTCAGCATTTGTAATAAGCATTTTAATCTTATGGAAATATAATAGATATTCGTATAATTAGGAAAACTCCAAATGGTAATGAATTGATGTTATTATAGGACTTCCATTAAATTTATCATGTTATGCATTTATTGCATTTGCCGATAACGAATCAGCTGAAAAAGCAATTTAAGATGGCGGTTTAGGTGAATGGAGTATTAAACCTTAAATTGATAAATAAATGGTTGTTAAACAAAGGTCTCGATCAAGATCAAGATCATAAGAAAAACATAGATAAGTGCTTAAAAGTGGTCCTATTATTCCATTAGAACAATCTCCAAAAATATAAATTCAGCTATATGTTAGAGAATTATTTGTGAATGGAATATCAAAGAACTATGATGAACCGCGAATAAGATAGGTAATACAATGTGAAAATTATAGATATTTTCTTAATTTGGTTCTATAGAGAGGATTGATCTGTATCCGAATAAGCATAATATATTTAACAGTTATATAAAATTTTTTACTGTATAAACGTTTTTTTATTTGAATTTAGATAGAATAAGCTATTTATGCTTTTTAAAATATGGATAGTATTTAGTAATAGTTTTCTACTCAAATAAAAATATATTTTTCTGATCCTATCAAAAGACATAATATCGTTGGAAATAAGTAAACACAATTTTATAGCATTTTTTTAGTTTATAATATGAATCATAATCTAAACTTTCGTCAGTATTATTTATATTTTTTCCTCCTAATTCAAATAAAAAAGTCGATCATGCATTTTTATTAGAAGTAATGTTTACAAAATCATATTATAAAAGATTTGTTAAAATAATAAATGTCGTCCTCTCCTTTGGAATTATTATCAATAAGATTCTAATTATAAATCTTACACTCTCCTTTAATTTAAAGATATTCACTAAGCTATTCAAATGAGAACTTACTTTTAATCTAATGCTGCAGATATTCTAGGAGATCCAAAATGTGAAGTTGGTATAGTCTCTATTCCAACACCTCAATAATATTAACCTCAACTACCTGTAATGATACAATAATAGTAATTTACAAATAATATGTTGATGTCTCAACAAATTCCCCCTTAAAAATATTAGATACCCTATTAAATGCCAGCTTATCAATAATTATAATAACAACCAATCATTTACTAATAAATGCATCATCATCATAATAATTATATATAAAATAATGATTAAAAGATGTAATAATAATAATTACCTGATCCAACCAAATTCTTATTCCATTAGACTTAAACTTCAAATGAACCAATAAATAAACCCTATAACTCTTAATAATAGTTGAGTTAATAAATAGAGAATTAAGAAATTCTAAATGGATTTTAAAATTTTTCTTAAATTTAATAAAGATAAGACCTTAATGATTTTTGGAGTGGTTTTATGTATAGGAGTAAAAGTCATAGAGTAGGAGTAGATGCCTTTTGTATAGAATCAGATGTAATATTTATTAAATATTAAGTAGCCTCCTATACAAATGAGTCCATAAATATAAGTCAATTATAAGGGGAATTTCTCAGATGCTAAAAAATGTGCTAATGATTCATTTAAATTCATATTATGTCCTTCTGATTCAACATAGGTAATCTGAATAATTTATATAAATAGAATAGTGCTTTCTAAGAATATATTGATTACTTTCTTGAAAAAAAGAAGATAGGAGTGGCTTAATTAGGAAATGGTATTTTATATTTGTTACCACCATGTGAAATTACTAATTCTATTATGGTAATATCTGGATTGGAATTGTTAGCAATATTTTCTGAAGAAAAAAAGAAATCCTTAAATTATACCTTAGATTATCAATGATGATTTATATAGATATTTAATTATTTCTATTTTTTTTTAAATAACTTGGAACAAATTTGTATTTATAATATATAAATTAAACAAAAATAGTAAATTGTTTTATTAATTTATTTATATATGGAGGAATTATTGGCTCTTTAATAACAATTAGCAGAGATATAGGAAACATCAACAAAGTATAGATTATCTGATAGAATCATAATTGATTTGATTGAAAAACTAGTTAAAGAATATGATTTAAAGGTTTATCATTCAACAGATGGTCAAAGTTTGGTTACTCCAAATTAGTTGTCAAAAGAGATTCATCAATTAATATTATCAAATAAGAGAGTGGCTGTAAATCAATTACCTGAAATATTGGGTATAGGATTTGATAAAATTGAAGGATAAATAGAAAAGGATAGCAATGGTTGGGTATTTTTCATATTAAATATTGATAACAGGATGTTGTCAGAATGCAAGATGAAATGATGTCTCATGATTATATTCTAAATGTTTGTGAAGAGATTAACGAAGATCTTTAATAAAAGTCAATTATTTCATTATAAGAAAGTATAAACCATTTAAATTTTATCATAAGTAATGTAGAAGTATGCACTTCCAATGTAATTTATAACAAAATATGTCCTTAAATAAGTTGGATCAGTTATATAAGGTGTATGTAATGAAGACAAATTAACAACAGTGACTTATCAAGAGATAATTACAGCAAGACTCTGTGGAATATTAAGAGCCACTTTGAGTCCTGTATCATTCTTAAAATTGAATAAAGATTTAGAAATTCAAAATTCTTAAAAGATTTGTGAATAATTGTTGTTAACCAAATAAATTGATGGAAAGATCATTTCAGGTTAATATGTAAGTTTAAGATTTCTTTAAAATTAAGAGGCTCAAGTGAAATCATTCTTTGAATAAAACTCTTATGTAGAATATGATAAACTTTATTCACAATTTTTTATTCAAAAGCCAAAGGAATATTTAAAATAGATGTTCAAAGATAATGTGATATTCTTGGATACGTGTGGTTTTAGCAAAGATGCTCTAATATCTAAATAAGATTAAATATAAGAGTTACTAATAAATGAAGGTCATACAAATCTTTAGGAAATATTACCTGTCATTTTAAGTGATTAAGATATTGAAACTTTGTTTTCATTAATGTAATTAAATAATTGTGAATATGCCAACTTTATGATATTTCATAAACCATTTCTAGATAATTTAGCTTTGGCATTTAAGGATAAAATAATAGAATCAATTTATTAGAATCCTTAAAAATTGATTGAATAACAATAAAATTAAGATGATACACCTTAAGATATATAAGCATCAGCAGGAGGATTTACAAATAAGAAAAATAAAAAATAATAATAACCATAAAAAAAGAAATAATAAAATAAATAAGAATTATTTACAAATAAAGAAATAACTGATTTACTTACTTAAAAAAAATTAGTTGAATATAATGATTGTGTAAATGAATTATTCTAGTTTTTATAACCAAGATTGTCTACTTTATATGAACAAATTAAAATTGAATTATTTGAAAGCAAGAAATCTGCATCAAGTTAAGTAATTTAAGAGATTTAAAAAAAAATTGAAGATATGGCATTAGGTTTATTGATAACTTAAAGATCATTATAAAAAATATAATAAGAATGTCATGAAGTAAATACAAAAGTATTAGTGGATAATTGTTTATTTGGATATAGATTACTAGTTGAAAATTTAGTTGTAATTACTTGTAAAAAGTATAATATTCAACTTCCATAAAATTTATTTGTTGATCCTAATCATCCTAGTGTTTTAAATGGTCAAATTAATTTTGGATTATAAAAGTCTGGAAGAGTATTTTTAAATAAAGTTGCTTTAGGAGAAGCTATTGCATTTTTACCAAAAGAGTAATAGAAGGCATTGAAAGACACAATGGAATTATATACAAAGAAATCTTTAGATGTTTTATCATAACATTAATTTTTTGATGTTTTCAATTTAAAAGTTCATTTGGATAAAAAAAATGATAGAAATCTACTTTTATTTATTAAACATCATTGCAAAGAATATATTAAATAAAGATAAAATGAGATCTTTGATGAAAATATATTTAATTAAATACTTCTAGCAATGTCAACAGATTTAGGTTTATATTTTGTAGGAAATTATGATTAATAATTTTATTCTGCTTTAAAATAAGTTGTTTATGAATAATAAAATGAAAAATAAATTAAAACCTTATTAAATAATATCATAAGTATATATATTATTTAATTTAGATTCACTTAATTAATAATTAGAAATTACAGCAGAGACTAAAGAATTATTAGAATTACTAAAGCTCTTATGATGGAAATCTTAATTATATAAATACATATAAATATAATCATTATATTAAAAAATTAATAAAAAATACTTAAATAAATATTCTTATTAAGAGGATAAATTAATAAGAGTTTTAATATTTTAATTTGTGATTTAATGTTTAGATTTCGAAGAGCCATTAATCTATTTAATAGAAAAGATGGGTTCATTACAAAATTGAAAAACAAATTACTTAAAGATGATGAAGATGAAAAATAGATAATTCCTCATTAAACTCTAAAATAACCACTTAATGTTAAATAAGAAATTGAATAGTTCATTACTTAATAAACAGAAATTAGTGATTTAGAAAGAATTAGAATGAAGAATTTAGATAATAAATTAGGTACAAATACATATTTTCATGAAATATAATCATATGAAGAAAGATTGGATTCAGATAATGTGATGAGAAGATAAATTTTAGCAAGAAGAGAACTATAAAAAGAAAAAGATTTAGCAGTTGCTCATTTATTTAATCCAGATCCTTAATAAAAAGTTAAAACACCTTGGATTCGTAATATTAATGATTTCACATCCGAAGCTATTAAATAAAGTATTATCTAAATTTGATTTTATTAGTACCTTATCCTAAACATCCTAAAATATTTTCAGAAGGTGATTTCTTTAGATATTTTGAAGAGAAATACTATGAAGTTGATAAAGTTGCTCAATTTGATTTTTCAGAATCATTATACACTTAATTAGTTTAAATTTAAACTTTGAGAAGAGAAGAAACAGTAAAGCATAGATACTTGGAATTATTAGATTGTTATTAGAATATTCCAATCGTATTTAATGAATACACATACTTTAGTAAGGATTCCAAAGAAGGTCATCCAGTTTATAATATATATAAGAGAAAAAATGAAAGTAAGAGTTTATAAACTATTTAATGAGAGCAGCAAATTAGACAAAGAACTTATTAAAGATGATGATGAATTAGTTTTTAGTGGTAAAATAATAACAGATTTGATTCCAAAACATTATGAAGATTTAATATTAGACATAGAAGTATAAATAATATGTAAATTTAAAAGGAAGAGAAATATTAATCATTATATAATGAGTTCTTACCTAATTAATCACATGATATATATGGATGTATAATTGAATAATAAGGTTTAAGTTTCTTAATTATTCGTTCTGATAAAATATAATTAGTATTAGAAAATGTATCTAATACCTTTACTTTTATTGATAATTATCTTTATTATATTGAAAAATCAGATCTTGATCTTTAAAAATATGTATTAAAATTAAATTTGCAAAATTTTGAAGAAAAAAATATTATATATGAAATTTCACCTGGAGAAAATGCAAAAATTAAAAATTTAGGAATTGGAAAAGCTGTAATAGAAATTTAGATGGCTAATGAAAATAAATTTATTGATCTCAATGGAAAAGATATTGTTTCATATAAATAAGGATATAAATACAATATAGATTAAAATAAAGTTAATACTTTTATAAGTTAATATAGATTAGAAGAATAATCAAAAGAAATTAGAACATAAGAAGGTCATCTTGTTTATGAATGCAAATAAGGCAATATTCAATCATTTTGTTCAAATAATCATTTTTTAGCTATACATGAAAGAAATTCATCAAGTTTTATACCAGATAAATTAATCATTCTTAAAGAAAAGAAGAATCATGAATTAGTCATACAAGAATCCTAATATTCCATAAATTTAGAACATAATTAAATTAAAGAGTCAAATATATTATATTTTCATTTAATATGTCCTTATAAACCATTTCAAATATTGAAATATAATATAGATATAAAGTCAATATCTTTACATTTTTCTGAATAATTTCCAGGATTTGATTATAATAGACTTTAAGTGGATAATTTTAAGATATCAGATTAATTTAATGTTTGTGTATCATTTTTACAAGATTTGACTGTTTAATTTGTTTTGATACAATTAATTGATTAAACCTAATACTAATCTTTAAGTTAAGAAGATGTAGTACTCTATGAGAATGGTTGTGCAATTTGTTAAATCATTGTTAATCCAAGTTGTTAATAATAAGTGTTGGATAATCTTTAAAAGGTTTTTTAAGAAGTTTCAGTACTTTCTGATAAAGTTATATTAAAAACTAAGGGAGCATTATCTGGTTTGATTGGGAGTTATACACATTTCTTTGTTCAATAATTTTATGGATTTTTATGTCATGTAAAATATATTAATAAATAGATTAGAATGGATTATTTGATAATTAAAAAAATATGATTGATTTACCAATAAGTTCTTATGATATTACAAAGGTTCCTAGTTTGAGAAATACATTTATAAGTTATACATTGAATGATGAATTGACATATCAATCTTAGAAAATGGTTGCATTATTAAGAGAAAATAAAGATAATGAAGTAGATTTAAAGTATTTATATTAATATTTTTAGAAAGTAATTTGGAGTTGTATTATAATAATGTGAGTCAGATATTGATGAAGCTATCTTTAGATTAACATTTTTAATGTCTATTTTATGATTATTAAGAGTATATTATCAATAATATAAAGAAATATATTTTGAAATAACATATTATTAGGAATAGTAGCCTAAAATAATAATTATGAATTTGTATTTTGTGTAATAATAACTCATTCTTAAGCAGCATCTTATTTTGCTTTGAATTCCTTCTCCTATTGAAGAGCATATTCAATAGTTCGCTGAAAGATAGATTAGCAATTCTTACTTTTTTGTTGTTGAATTAATAAACCCAGAGCCAAGGATAATAACATAATGAAAAGATCACAACAGAATTAACAAATATGTAGACTTACCAAGCCCAAGGATTATCAGCAACATTTCTTCCTAAGAATCTCCAGAAGGCTTTCACTTTTGGATCAGCATTCAATCTAGATACAACTTATGGTTTTCTAACTTGATATTGATATTTTATTAAATTATACCAAAACTTGGTTTGACTGTTTATTAATAAGGAATAGTCTTAAACCATTAAGGAGTGTAATCCTTAACATTGTTGTAAATCAATCTGCCGTAAACCATTAATAAATATAATTAATCAAAATTATATATTATGAAGTATAGCTGTGATAATTCAAACAAATCAAAAAGTTTATCAAATCTATAACTGATATCAGAATTTAAATAATTTAATTAATAGCTTTATATATCTATAAATAATGAAGAGTCAGCATTATTTTTAATGAAAGCAATAAATTTTAATAATTATTTTCTATATGGTCTAAGTAAATATTCTCAAATGAATTTAAAAGTAATTTAAAAGAATATTATGAAAATATGTGATTATTGGTTAGATAATTAATATTTTAATTTAAAGAAAGATTCCCTTAAATTCTTTAATAACTTGATATAGACAATCAATTATGATTTAAATAAGAAATAAGAGAATTTAACATATAAGTTAATTATTATAAATTACTAGTTTTGATTTTTATTAATTTATGTAGATGTACATTATTTAAACACTCCTTTGAGTTTTGGTCCTTAGAATTGTTAATATTATTGGTTACTACAAGTTTGATTCTATTTAATCTCTTATAAATTAAAGTTTTTTGATAATACTCTATTATACGTTATAAGTTATTTTTATAATTCGTTTTTGAATTCTTATCTGTTGTAGGATTTCAAAATACATGATTTTTAGTATATAAATTAGATTATCTTATTCTCAAATACCTATTCTGAATATAAATTATAGATTAATATTATGTTTTAATAATGCAGTGTATTTTGACATGCAATAAACTTAAAATACATTAGAATTTTTGATTTTTAATTTAGGCATGACTCCTTTTGTTCTATTATGTATTTTAGTTTTAGGACACTCAATGAAAGTTTCTTATAGCAATTAATGTACCTGCTCTAAATTCTCGTCTGATACAAGTTGTTTAGAGTAAACAAATTGTATTTGGAGAAGTGAAGGTTGCCAAAAGAGAGATTGTACTGAATACTATGATAAAGATAAGTGTAATAGGGTTGCATCCTGCTCATGGAATGTATCAAAATGTGAAACGTTCACTAAATGTTCTAATTACTTTATGAACGATTCTTTTGATTGCTACAAAATAGGTGATCAAAATTTAAATCTTTATTGTGAGCCTTCAGATGAAGGAAACACATGTAAAGAGTATAAACCTAAGTAATGTGGGGATGTTGAAGAAGATTGTACAGGATTTTAAAGTTAATGGAGTTTATGTTACTGGAATAATAACAGTTGTAATCTAGTGGATATACGATATTGTGATCAATTATTCAATGAAGAATTGTGTTTAATATTTGGAGAGGGTCTTGGATGTCAATGGAAAGAGAATAAATGCACAGTTATATCATGTTTAGATTATACTTCAGAAAGTACATGTGTTTTACAAAGATAAAATTTTATAGAAGATGATCCACTACTTTGTAGATGGAGTGAAATCAAATGTGAGGAAGCTTAAGATATTTCTCATCTTGATTTTTCAAACTGTTTAGTGAATTCCTTTTATAATTACATTTGGGATTCAATTAATAAGGAATGTGTTTCTTGTCTAACTTATGTTCCACCAAGTACAACAACTCCGCAACCATGATGTGAAACAATATAAATTTTATTTTAGATATATCTAATATAATTTTTATTCTTTGCATAAATATTAATCTCCACTGTTATCCATTAATATAAAATTAAAAAATTGTATAATAATATTAAAAAGTATATTTGTAATTAGATCATATAAATATTCATTAAATTTAGATTTATTCATTGTTTTGATACTAAGAAAGGATTGAACAAATTAGTAAATCTTAGTAAAATTATCAAATTGTTTAATTTTATTTGAAATAATTTGAAATAATTTATATTATACTAAAATATTTAGATATTTTGATAAATTCATAGCTTAAATCATCATTTTTAATTATAATCGAAATAATATTCATTAATAATTCAAATTTTCATTTTATCAAAGTATGTAATTTAAAAAACTGTATTTTATTAGTATAAGTTATAAATTGATTATACTAATATTATAATATATTAAATTTATTTTAAAATAATGGGTAATGCATGCCGTTGTTAATAATTCACAAATGATAATTTAGAGTTGACTTAAGGGAAAGGAGTAGTAGTTAATAAGAAAGGAGACACTATCACAATTCCTTAATAAAATGGTACAACAATATCAAAAAAAACTACTCAAAAATAGAATGATGATGAAGGTGAGGATGATGAATAACCATAAAATTTATAATAAATAGAAGTATCAATTCTAAAAATAATAAACTTATTAGCTTAAAAGAGGAGATCGAAAAAAATAAGCTAAGATAAATGCAGTATCAGATACTGTAGAAATATTTGAAAATATTCTTAAAGTTGAGAAACGAAAATCTCCATTTGATTATCAATTAATGTTAAATGCTTTTAATGATCATTTTATATTCAAATCAGTGCCTTAAAGTGATATTGAATATGTAGTAGAATAGATGTTCTATTGTACTGTTCCAGATGGTTAATTCGTATTCAAATAAGGAGATAAAGCAACTTCTTATTTTCTTATTGAAAGGGGTTAATGTTAAATTATTATCAATGGAGAATTGAAGAAAACCTTAAAGAGTGGAGATGCTTTTGGTGAATTAGCAATGTTATATAATGCTCCTAGAAGTGCAAGTGTTAAAGCAGTTGGAGGTATTATTAAATAATTTAATTATTTTTAGATTGTGCTTTTTGGGCTATTGATAGAAACACCTTTAGAAAAGTAGTAGAGTAATAAAATCAAAGAAATTATGATGAAAATCGTGAATTCATGAAAAAAGTGGAATTTTTTTGTATTTATTTTAATAATATTTATTATAGCCTTCTTAACTGAAGAACAAAGAGATGCTATATGTAATGTTCTTATTACTTTGTTATTTAAAAAGGGAGAAATTATAGTATCAGAAGGTGATGTGGCTAATTCATTTTATATCATTAAAAAAGGAAAGGTATCAATTATTAAAGGAGACAAAGAAGTGACTTAGATGAATGCAGGAGAATCATTTGGAGAAGCTGCATTATATCAAAGTTGCTAGAGAGCTGCTACAGTTAAGGCTGCTGATGAAGAGGTTAGATGTCTTTCATTATCAAAAGATGATATATAAAAAATATTAGGTTAAAAGATTTAAACAGTTAAATATATTAACACATAGAAATGGGCATTACAACAAAATCCAATTTTAGGGAAATTAACATCAATATAAATTGAAAAGATAATTTAGAATGTGAGATAAGTACATTATGAGAAAAATGAAATTATTTTGAAGGTTGGACAACAATGTCTAAAGGTTTATATAGTTTTAGAAGGTGAAATAGCAACAGTAACAAATTATTTCGTAACTATAAGATATTTAGATTCCTTCAAACAAATATGTATTCGGTAAAGGCAAAGTTTTTGGCGATCAATTCTTGAAGTCATCTAATCTAGATAATAAAATGGCAGAGAGTTTACAAGTTAAATCAGATGAAGCTATTATTGCAGAATTTGAAATCAAAATGTTTATGTAAATGATTGGAGGTAGTGTTGAATAAATGATATAAAAAAATGAAAATTCTCATGAACAAAAATATCTTAATCGTCCTAGTGCTTTATTAAAAAAAGATTATTCTAATATTACATTGGATAAACTTATTTGTATTAAGAAATTAGGATAAGGTTAATTTGGAAATGTATATTTGGTAAGAACCAATTAAGAAGATAAACTCTATGCATTAAAATGTATAAGTAAAGCTTAAATTGTGGAATAGCATTTAGAAAGACATTTAGCTGTATTCTTCTATTATTATTATTTAGTAAGAGAAATAAGTGCTTTCAACAATTAATTTCCCATTTTTAATGCAATTCTACAAAAGCATGAAAGATTAAAATTATATTTATTTTTTGATTGAGTTTATTAAGGGAATGGAATTATTTGATGCTATTAGAGAAATAGGATTATTGAATGTGACAGATTCTCAATTTTATATTGGATCATTATTGATTTGTGTTGAATATTTGCATAAATTACAAATCATATATAGAGATATCAAACCTGAAAATATTATGGTTGATGAGAAGGTATGTATTATATATTTTATATATAGGGTTATTTGAGGATGATTGATATGGGTACTGCTAAATTTTTAAATTAAAAATCTATTCGAACTTACACTATCATAGGAACTCCTCATTATATGGCACCAGAAATCATTACAGGAAAAGGATACACTTTTACTGTTGATTTATGGTCAATTGGTGTTTGTTTATATGAATTTATGTGTGGAGGTGTTCCTTATGCTGAAGATGCAGATGATCCATATGAAATTTATGAAGAAATCTAAAAGAAATCCTTAAATTATCCACCTTTCATGAAAGATAAGAAAGCTAAAAAATTTATAGAATAATTATTGTCTAAAACTCCAGAAGTTCGTTTAGGGGGAAGTTATGCTGCATTAAAGGCAAATAATTGGTTCGACAAATTCGATTGGGTACTATCTATATATATATTACTTATAAGGATAAACTCATGGACAAAGAGCTTAAACCTCCTTTTATACCAAAGAAAACTAGAATGATTTAAGATAAAGAAATACAGAGTGCTCTTGCAAATGGAAAATTAGCATCGAAAGAAATTAATTAAGTTGGTGTAACCTATAAAAAGGAGAAAGCTAGAGATCCTAATTGGGACACAAATTATTGAGATATTAAATAAAATACTAAAAAGAATATTATTAATTTTTCATTTAAATTATTAAGAATTCTATAATTTGTATTATAATATTAACATAATTGTAGAAATAAGATATAATTATAAATGAACAAATATATTTATTTATTATTCAATTATTTAATTAGAATTAATTAATAAAAATAATCTATAACACAATAATTTAGAGTAGATTATTTATTGATAAAATTTAATAAATAATTAAATTTATATATATATTTTAATTTATGAATTAACCTTATCTTCATCCGGCAAATCAAATTATTTAAGATTCAGCACCCAAAGAAACTCTGTATGTAACTGGATTGAATGATAAGATTAAACTTGATGATTTGAAATTTGTTTTGTACATACTTTTTTCATAATTTGGAGAAGTTCTTTAAATGGTTATGAAGAAAACACAAAAATTAAGAGGATAAGCATTTATTGTATTTTAAAACATTACATATGCTACAAATGCTAAAGCAGCTTTATCAGGTATGATAGTATATGATAAACCATTGGTATCTATTCCTGATATTTTAGATTATTGAATTTGCATATAAGAAGAGTGTTATTTTTGATAGAATTGAAGGCAAATTTTATTATAAATAAAAACAACATAAAGAATTGTAACCTAATTTGCCAAATGAATTGATGAAAGAAAAGAAATAAAAAAAATTTGAAGAGAAAATACAAAATAATAATAGCAATTTAAATTAGGGAGAAATCAATAATGTCTTATTGATAGAATCATTACCTCCATTTGTTACAGAAATAATGTTATCAGAATTATTTAGGTAATACCCTGGTTATTCACTGATTAAGTTGATACCTGCTAGAGGCTTAGCATTTGTTGAATATTAGAATGATGATTAAGCAACAGTTGCATTAAAAGGTTTGAGTAATTTTAAAATCACTCCTGAATGTCAATTAAAAGTAAAATATGCCAAAAAGTGAAAGAGTATACAAATAACATTATTTTTTAAAAACCTTTTTATTCATTTTATGCTTATACTAATAAAATTTCAAATTAAACTTATTTTATATCAATCAGTACTCAATCTTTTTATCATAATTTGCTAATGCAATCATAAATGCTTATAAAGGAGAAAAAGGTTTTTAAAAATCCAAATTGAATTTTCCATCATTTTCTTTTCCTAATTAAATATATATCTATTCAGGTTATTCATTAATTTAAATTAACTAAAAGTTTTTTATTGATGAGACTTTGACTCTATCATAAAAATTTAAAGTAAAACTCTTAGTTTTTTCATTCCATTTTGGTTTTCTATTCATAAAAATATGAGAATCATCTGAAGGGAATCGAAACTAAAATATTATAATTTATAATATACTTCTTATTATCTAGGTTCTGTAGGTTTGGAAGAAGTAATGAATTTCAATTAACCTAAAGTATTACGTACAGGTAATTTATTTCTTTTAGGATTATTACCATTATCATAAAAGAAATAATCATATTTTTATTTACAACTAATTTATCCAATAAAATTAGAAGATTTTCTTTATATTTTATCTTTATTCATGCTAATTATAAATTTATGAGATGATTTCTTGGCTGCTAAAAAGATTTTGCCATTTTTTTCTAAATAAAATTTAGGTTTCAATTTATTTAAACCAGATGTATTAACTATTAGAGAACACTAAACAATTCCATTTTCATTTAATGATGAAGTAAGAAATTCTTTGATACATTAAAATTCAAGAGTTTTATTAACTAAAGGATATGCTGAAACTACAGAAGCATTTGAGATTACTGAATTTTAAAGAGAAGGTCCTACTTATTCTATTTTTTTTGGACTCTCTTCAGCATTTATTTCTTATCTATTTTCTATTGGAGATTATCTATTTTATTTGTTCAAATCATTCTATTCTTAATATTCAATTCTTTCTTAATCTTCTTTTTCTGCTATTTCTTAGAACTAAATTACTGAACCAAAGTCATCCTCCTCACTTTCTTATGATTTATGCTTAATTTAATTGTCCTATTTGAAAGGAATAGTATTTTCAACTTTCATCTAAAATTGTTTGTCACAACTTAATTACCTAATTTATGTCAAATTTTTTATCATCTTGATAGGAGGCTTGATTTTATCCTAGATTTTTATGAAACTATTAATTCTTAATCATTTTTGGAGGAGTTGATGGACGTTGATCTTCAATTTAAATTTTTGGAGTAATAGCCTACTTATATAAGTAAATAAAGAACATTGCTAGCATAGTCTTCAAAGTTTATTACATCGATTCCCTCATTATTATCATTCTCGTTGTACATATTTTAAATATTAAAAATAAGTGATTATAATTCAATGCTTTTCTGTATCTAAATCAGGTATTTTAGTTTAGACTGTAGATGATTGTGAAATCTTAACACTCGAGCATTTAGTAGATATCCAATATAATATATGATCAATTTTCACTTCCCAATAACAAACTAAGTTATAAAAATAATGTGCATAAATATATCCAGCAGGTACCTATAATAATTTTTATTAAAATTACATCAATTGTATAATGAATTCTAAAAGAAATAACAATAAAAGCTTAAAAGAAAGATGATATAAAAAAAAATAAAGCAAACCATTTCTTTCCCAATTTCCTCATTTCCAAAGCACAAATAACCAAAAATCCAACATGACCCTAAAATTATGAATAAATTCTTACAGAATAAAAGAAGTCTGAATAATTACCATATTTTACAACAAAGGTTGGTACTCCTGGATCCTACCAGTAGTAATTATTAGCAAACTGTAATTTAAAAATATTCAAATGAATTGCCCTGATTCCATAGAATATGATTAAAGCTGCAAACAGTCTGAAATTTCTCACATAAAATACCCAATAGAGACTAACATAGAAAAATGCAAAATCTAAAATGAGACCAGATATCACTTACATAAGAGAAGCAAACCTAAATACAATTTAAAATTAAATATGTACCATGTATGAGAATGATATAATTAGTTGATTCCATCTGTTAAATTATGACCTATATCAAATATGCCTTTGATGTCATCTTAAGGTGTACCCAAAATTTCACCAATTTGAGTGATCACAATATAACTGAAAAAAATGAAAATTCTAAAACGAAAGTTATAGCAAGGATTATCAGGGACAGCACTTTATCTATAATCAAATTTTAAAGAGGACTCTAATTTTTAAACTTCACATCCATGATAAATTGACAAATCTTATTATTATTTATTTGAGATATGCATTTTAATAATATTATTTATTAAATTAATTATCATTTATTAAGTATGGTATTTATATTATAATTTAAAAATTTTTATTTAAAATTAGAGTAATTGATTTTAATTCATTATTATTCTTCCCCATTAGAATTATCTATAAGAAAATTGTATATTTATATAATTATATATATATAATATTCATTCTCTGATTCCTAAGGCGATTTACAACTTATCTACTAGAATAGCTCCACCAATATCAATTGCTGCACTATACAAATCAGCAATCTCTAATTTCATTTTGACTAAGGATTATGCCTATTTTTCAATCTTTTCTTCTAACTCATTTACTTAATTCTTATATTTATTCTCAATCTAAGAATTGGCTAATAAAGCTCTTTCCAAAATAGTCTGGTACTCTTTTGACATTTTGAATCTTTCATCTATTAAATTTTAATTTTGATCTTCTATTTTAACAGCCTCATTTCCTTTATTATTATTAATATTTGCATCTTCCAATTATTAAAAAGCCAAAGATTCTCTATGACTAACTAATATACTTGTTCTGATTTAAGCAATACTATTTCTTTAAATAGTTTTATCTAATCTCTATATTTATAAATCAGATAATTAAAATTCTAATTCTGCTATTTTTTGCTCATAAGTTTAAATTTTATCTTTACAATTGCATTATTATTATTTTTCATCAGCAATCTTTGTTTTAGGTAACTCACCTTTTAAAACTTTTGCTTAATCTTCCTTTAAAGATTTAATTTAAAGTTGTAGTTCTGATCTAAGCTTTTTTTCTTTCTCATAAGCTTATTTCATTTATGTATTTTATAACTTATACTAATCCAGAGTTTATGATAGTGCTTCTTCCATTTAAATATTATATTATTCAAGTTCAGAAATAAGTTCCTGTTCTTTTTGAAGTTCTTAATTTTTTTCTTTTAAAGCTTTTTATTACTCAGCTATTTTGGCTTATAATAAAACTTTCTCCTACATAGACTCTGCTAATTACTATTTACATTTGGCTAAATTTGTTCTCATACTAGCAAGTTGGGCTTTTGCTTCTTCTGATTATTTTTAAGTCTCAAATTCCTGTATTTTTTATTGATCTATCTATTATTGAAGAATTCTCAATTGTTCATTCTTTCTATAATAATTATGTAATATATCATACTACTCCAATGTTTCATTAAGCTTTGAGATTTCATCATTCTAGGGATACGTTTACTATTAAAATTTCGAATCAGAACACTCCATATTTAATATTATATTACTTATTAACTTTATTCCAATTTCAATTTATATTAACAAACTTCTAATTCCTATTCTAATTATTGTACTCTAGACTCAAAGTGTTATTGAGTAAGTTAATAATTCTGAAGCTTTCTTTAGATGGCTCTTCTGAGTAATAATAGTGGTTCTATTAGTTCTTTTTGATCCTCTAAGAAACTTGGCACATCTTCTACTGATCTCTATAAGTATTAGACTTCATTATTGTAATCGCTAAGTTCTTTTAGATTACTTTCATATTTGGATTACCATATTTATATTTAGTTTTTTAATCTATTTATTTATTATTCTGATTTAGATCTAACATTTTTTTCATCTATTTATTTTTCTGATGAAATAATTTAAGTCATTGATTCATGATTTTATCTATTAGAATCAAATTCTTTTCTAAATGATTCATCCATTTTTTATTGTAAATTTTAAACAATTTCATCTTTTTTTGTCAATTCTGATTCATATTGTTATTTTAAATGATCAAACTCTTATTATTTAAGTTTTAATGCTGATTACAATTAATCAATTAAGTTATCATTTTCATTAACATTGATGGGTTATTACTAAATTAAAAATCATAAATATTACATCTACATTTTTTAAATTGAATGCTATTTATTAATTTAATTGATTCTCTAATAGTTAATTTCTCTATTGTAATGCAGAAATAGTTCCAGATGTTAAGTTTTTCATATTTTATATTTATTCATTTTTTTCTTTGATTTAATTTTGCAATGTCTCAATTTCTTAATTAAATTAATGAATTTGTTAATTTAAAGACTCATTTAATTATTGTAATTCTTCTTTTTCATAGTTTATTTTTTGTAAATCTAATTTATTTTATTCATCATTTTATTCTGATTATTGATAATTAACTGATTTTGATTTAGGATCAAGTTGTTAAATTTTTTTATTAAGTTTAGATAATTCTTCATTTTATTTTTCAATAGTAATTCTTTATGCTTATAATTACTAATTAATTTATTTATTATCATCCTAAATTAATTAATTTTTCTTTTCTTAATCCTTTAATTAGTATTCATATTTTTTTATTATATCTTAATGGATTTCTTGTTCAACCATTTCTTTAATTTTACTCTCAAGTTATTATATGTATAAATTTTATTCATTAATTTTGATATCTTTATATATTAATTACTAGCTCTCATTTTCTGGTGTCTTTTATTTAATTCCAGAACCATCTAATTTTTTTTCAGGTTATATAATTGACTCTGTTGTCTTTTATTAATTGTTATTAGTAAATGATTCTGGACCAGGAGTGATAACAGAAACTTATGAGAAATCTAAAGATTAATCATTTGTTTCAACACTATTGTAAATTGTATATAATACTCATTCTCTAATTCAGCAATTCTAGTAATCTTAAAGTTAATCAATAATTTTGCTTTTTTATCAGGACACTTGTCTAACGCTAATGCTTCTTAAAATTCTAAGTTGAATCTTAAAACAAATCTATTGTACCTACGTTTTATTAATTCAAATATTAGGAGAAGTCAAGGTTATGAAAACCAGCACTTTTCTATCCTTTTTCTGTCACTAATATAACAACTAATTAGACTCTATTTTCTTCTAAGTTTCCATTCTATGATAGAGAAGTATTTATATTAAATTGCAGAATTTCATTGATTACAGCAATTCCCTATTGTAATTCATAGTTTTACTAAGTTTCAAACTTTTAAGAACCTTAAAAATAACTAAAAAATTATGGAATACCTTTTTTAATGACAACTTAAATCTTGCATGGAAAATGTACTAATAATTAAACATTCAAGATAGTGGCTTAGACTAAGAACTTATATCCTCCTCTATTCATTAATATATAATATAACAAAAAAAATTACAAAATTATTTAGCAACAATAATTTTATTATTATTTAATAAGAATTATGCTAAGTTATTTTACTTAATAACAAGAAAATATTAATCCTATTACAAAACAAGACTACATTAGATATGAGTATATACATAATATATATATTATTAAATGATCGAAGTTAACAATTAAAATAACCGTTTTATTATGACAATTACAATTAATAAGTCTTCTATGCAATTATTTATTAATTATCAATGCTTAAGATTACCAATATAATCTTGTTCCAAAAAAGCATGTCCATTAACCCAAGAATGAAATTAATTAAATAATTTTGTACAATCTTTACCTGCTCCCAACATTAATTTCTCAACTCCCCCAGGATGATAATCCATATATAATGTAATATCATACACTTTTCCATTTAAAACTGTCCAAACATCTCCTGGTTTATTATGTTTTGAAACTTCCTCAGCAGTATAATTTCTAAAAGCAGGTCTATTCTTTCTTGGCTATTAAACATACAACATTTGTCCTCCTTTTACTTAAACCTTTTCTCTCTTTGCCACTTCTTCCTATGGAAGTAATGGAGCTATGAATTTACTCTCTGCAAAATTAGGTTTGCTTGACAAAAACACCCCTGTGCTTTAATTAAAAGATGATAGCATTTTATTTATTTGTTCAAATGTGATTTCTGTTGATTCAGTTTTACGCCCATTTCTATACTTTTCTTTACAAATTTTCCCATCTTTAGGTTCATATGTATATCTGACCTCTTTTTAAGAATTGGAATCCATAGAATTTTTTACTCCTGGAACAAATAAATATACAAAACGATTAGCTATACACTCTTCTAATGTAAGTTTTTGCATCTTTTGAGATTGTAGCAAAATTTTATCTGTCATTTAAAATTTTTTATAGTCCATAATGATATAATTTAGGATTACAAGAAGCTCCTCTTTCGTTGCATTTAGATGTAAGATTTCATCTATTCTATCATCTGTAATAATTGAAGTTATCTTATCTTCCATAAGTAAATTGCAATCTTAAATAAAATATTTATTTTAGAATTTGAGAAATAATTCTTAATTTTAATTTATTTGTTTTGTAAATCTAAACATTATCATTTAATACCACCTGTTTTTTTGACTTAAATTATTCTATAAGGTTATTTTAGATTCTATAAAGAAATTTCATATAAATTTAAATTATTAGATTATGTTAAAGAATAATTTAAGAAGAAAATAGGATGAAAGAAATGGAATTATATTTATATTAAAATTAATAAATAAGTAACATAAAATAACACATAAAACTAAAAATTAATTTCTTTTCTGATTGTTTAACTTTGTTTGTGTTCTAATTATCATTTGATTAATTCTTAACATGATTATCTAGTCGTGAATTAAAGAACTATAATTATAGAATTATGTATAGGTGAATATAAAAAAGCAATAGAAGATTACTGATAACACAATTGATTGAAAAATGTATTCAATTAAGTGTGATTAAGTATAATATTGTTATAATATTTAACTTCCCTAGGTTAAAATTGTTTTAAAATATATCTATAAAATAATCATAAACTTATATTTTAAGAAATCCAAAAAAAGTAGTAATATAAAATAATTAATTTTCAAATTTAAAACAAAGAACTAATAAAATTGATAGGTTTAAATTATAAAAATGATTGCTAAGGGAAGTAATTAAATTTTTTTTATTTAAAATAATACTTAATAAAAAATAAATCTAATTATATATATATTTAAGTAACTAATTCATTTCCTTTTAAAACTTATTGAAATAGATCTCAATGTGAGTTTGACTAAAAATGTATTTAAAGGTTAAAAAAGAAATATATTTTATAAAAAATAAATTTTTTAATTTTTCCATTCATCAGATTTTTATTTCAATTTTTTTAATTTCTTATCTAAGATTGAACAAAAAACTTATAAGATAACATTTTTGAAATATTGAAGTTAAGTGCCCATAATATTTGAGATATATTGTAAATAATTAGTTTAAAATAATGTTGATTGAATTGCTCTGTATAAATTGTATGAACTATAATTAATATTAACATTTCCGGTATAGTCTAGTGGTTAGGATATCAGGTTTTCACCCTGGGGACCCGGGTTCAATCCCCGGTATCGGAAAAATTTTTTTGTTAAAAAAATAAATTAATCGTTTTTTCTAATCTGAAATTGGTTGAAGAATTATTTTGTATATAAATATTTAATGGAGATTTTACAATAAATAATCAAGCAATATTCACAAAACAATTTTTAAATTTATTATTGACTATTTCTTTAATCTTTTATCTAATTTCTCTCTTTTTTGAACCTTCTGCCATAATTATAGCATTATGGTCAGCTCCATGATTCCAAATATATATATCACTATTGAATTCTGATAGCAATTATCGTATTCCTGTGAATTTCTCATTTGTTGCCAAAAGTAATGCTTAAATAGAAATTTTGACCAATGGTGATAATTGAATCTAAAGTTAAATAAATATTATATACAATAATAATGATTGTGTTGGTCATTGCAATTATTGTACCTATAGCTGCATAAGACAAAGTGTTATCAAGCATACATTCTAGAAATGTACCTATGTTAAATAGTAATTCACATAAAAATAACATTGTTATGGCATGCATATTCAAATAATGAGTGTAATAATATTTAGATGGATTTGAACCTATTAAATCCTTATAGTTATGTATAAATTATTGAATTTATTCTTTGTCATTAATGAAATTTGATTGTATGTATTCTACAAATAAGAAGATCCCTGCAAATGACAAGGCTATTCTCAATGAAGCATAATACAATTCATTTTTTTAATTTTATTCATGTTCATCAAATACATGATTAATAACATGAAGATCTTCTAGAATTTCATGGGCATTTCTTGATATTTGAAACATAGTTAATATTGATACATGAATGCATAATGTGAAAGAAGATAAATATTCTAATCTTTACATTCCAAAGGGAAATGTTTTTGTTGGTTAAAATGTTTTTGCTTTGATACCACAATAAATAGCAAACACAATTACTATTGCATTTAATATACAATCAAAGCTCTCTTCTGTCAAATGTACACTTGAACTTGTTAATCCGGAATAAAAGGCTTAAACAGCAAGAGCAATGTATAAAAATGCTATTATTATAGCTTATTTATAATCAGAACTTCCAAATATGAATTTGATAAATTTTGTATCTTGACTTTGTTCTAATTCAGGTACAAAATGATCATCATGATCATCATGATCATGGTGATGATGATGATCGTGATGATGATCGTGATCATGTTCACAAAGATTATGATCATGATTATGAATATGATGATCCTTATTAGTATGGGTATCACAGCTTACATTATGTTCTCCATAATCACAAAATGTTAATGATTATTATTCTGACATTTAATTAAATAAATAATAATATTTGATGTTAATCATCATTTTGTTAAATTTACAAGTTGCAGTATACACGCGTTATGCATCTACATAAGTTAAAAATACTGCAACTTTTTAATAATTTAAAATTCATACAAGTGAAACTACAGTATCAAGATCAGGACATAAAATTAATTTAGAATAAAGTCTCATATTAGAAATAAGAAAAGAAAATATAGATTAAGTTGATATTCAAATCTATGATGAGGCAAATAAACACTTTAGAATACCATCAAGTCCTGTAATTGAATTCACTTATAACATAGCCTTTCAACTATAATGATGTGAAAGACCCTTAATTATTTGATCATTATGATTATGATATCAAAGTATCATAAAATCCTATTGTAATATAAATTTAACGAGATAATGCTACCATTTTTACATTAACTGATTTAATCTTTAGTGAAACATATATTGAATTCACTCATTTTCCATAAAATAAATAAATGTGGGGTTTAGGAGAAAGAAATTAAGTTGGATTTCGTTTCAGAGAAGGAATTTATACTTTATTTGCAAGAGATGAACCGAATATAATAGAAAATGGTAAGAGACCAGGAAAACATGTATATTCTAGTCATCCAGTCTTATTAAGTATGGAAGAAAGTGGTAAATTCAATGTTATGTTTTATAAAACAGCATCTCCAATGGATGTACATTATGAAGATGATAAAATGAAATTTATAACTATAGGAGGAATAATAAATATAAAATTATTCTTAGGTGATTCTTATCCAAGAACAGCAATTAAAAAATATCATCAATATTTAGGAGGTTGGATGCTTCCACCTTTTTGGGGATTTGGATTTCATTAATGTAGATGGGGATATAAAAATAGCAGTGTTTTAATAGAAGTTGTACAATAATATTAGAAAAATCATATACCAATAGATATTATTTGGACTGATCTTGATTATATGGATGATAGATAAATATTTTCTGTTGATAAGCATAATTTTCCAAAGAAAGATTTTTAATACTTAAAAGGATTAGGTGTGAGATATATTCCATTGTTAGATGTTGCTGTTGGTGTAAAATATGGGACTTAAGATGAAGGTTATAAAAAAGGAACAGAATATGATATTTTTTTATATTCTCCATATACAGGTTATCGCTTTTAGGGTTATGTATGGCCAGGAGATTCCTATTTTCCTGATTTCTTTCATCCTAATATCAGTTAATATTGGAATGAAATGCATTAACACTTATATGAATAAGTAGAATTTGATGGTCTATGGGTTGATATGAATGAACCAGCAAATTTTTGTGAAGGAGAATGTAATTGGAGAAATCATCATCGTGATCATCCAAAAAGAGAAGATAAATTAAATAATGAAATCATTTTTCCATACATTCCAGGAGAAATACCATTAGCTAATAAAACATTACCTCCTCATTTATTACATCATGGACAATATTTACATAAGGATGTTCATAATCTCTATGGAATAATGGATTCTTATTATACTTATTAAGCTCAAAAAGCTTTGGGGAAAGTACAACCATTTTAGATTACTAGATCTACATTTCCAGGTACTGGTAAATATGCTTAACATTGGACAGGGGATAATGGAGCATCATGGGATTTTCTTTATTTATCATTGGGACAAGTATTTTAATTTTAAATATTCGGAATTCCTATGGTTGGAGCTGATGTTTGTGGATTTATGGGTGATACAAATGATAAACTATGTTGTAGATGGATCTAATTGGCCTTCTTTTATCCATTTTTTAGAAATCATAATAATGATTTATCTAAACCATAAGAATTCTACAAACTTGGATTTCATGTTGTTTAATCTGCATAAAAAAATATACATTTAAGATATTCATTATTGAAATGGTTTTATTCAATTTTCATTCGAGAATAAAACCATGGTTCAAGTATATTATAATAATTAACTATTAGTAATTAATCCCTTATTTTTCATATTCCCTGAAGATTATCTTACATATAGAGATTTTGTAATGGATACTCAATTGTTAATAGGAGAAGAATTAATGGGTGCCCCAATCCTAAATGAGGGTGTAACAAGAATAGCTTATTTCCCAGATTCAAATTGGTATGACCTGATTACTGGATTGGAATTAAAGGGTAAATAAGATCATACTCTGTATTGTTCATACAATGAAATAGTACCAATATTTATTAGAAGTGGTTATTTAGTGATACAAAATACAAAAGAAATGATAAAAAATCTGAAATCTTTAGATAATCATTATAGGATCATTGCAGCTCCAATAAATTAAGAAGCAAAAGGAGTATTTGCAGATTTAGATGATTTTGAAGATGAAGAGAAAGCACTTGTAGCTGAAATAATTAATATCAAATTATCAGTTGAAGAACAAAATATAAAGATTACGATTTCTTAAAGTCATTCAGAACTAATTATTGATGAGATATTAATTTATGGATTAGAATGTACATATAAGTAATGTTCATCTGGGTATTATAAATATAACTCAGTATTCAAGGGTCCATTTAATATGGGATAAGATAAAACTGAATTAGTGTTAAATTGATGATGTATTTTTGTTCAATATTTAGATTTACTTTATAATTTGAAATGAAGATATTTTTATTAAATAAATATATATCATCTTTTATGATGTTTCTTATGATGTCTTTCCTTTTTATGTCTATGTTTTTTGTGTTTCTTTCTTTTAGACCTACTTCTACTAGAATCTGAAGATGAATCAGATGATGAATCACTATCAGAATCAGATGAACTACTAGATTCAGGTACTTTTTATTTGATTTCAACTGGTTTTGTAATTGTTGGTTAAATCAATTAAGGTTGTTATTAGATTTATTATTATTGTTATTGAGTTGGTTATGGTATTTATTCAGTGATTCCCCATCTCAATTCTTCTTAGAATTTTTCAACATAAGCATAATCAACTAATTTTATTTTGAGTTTTTCATTTTTATACTCAAATACTTTATTTCTATCATTGATTAATCTTTTAGCATCTCTATCATTTTCATATCTAACAAATGCTACATTTCTGGTATTACCTGTTTGACGATCAATTGGAATTTTCAATTCTTTTATTTTGCCTTCTTTTCTAAATAATTCCATCAATTCTAAATGACTAGCTTTTTCAGGTAAATTCTTTATTAGAATTGTATCTTCTATAGCTCCAGATAATGTTGCCTTTAATTCTTCTTAACTCATCTTCCCTTTATTTATGCGTTCCAATTATCTTACGTCATTACGCAATTTCTCTATTTTATCTTTCAACCACTTCTTACAATCATCATAAGATATTAACACTTAATATATTCTAGTACTCTTAGCAAATTTAATTTTATCTTCATTAGCTAATACTACTGGTAAATGAGATTCAACAAATTATTCATTATGAAAAGTGCCTCCCTTTGAACCCAAATCAACTAAACATACTTATGATTAATTATTAACAAAAATGGCTGCATGTCTTCTAGAAATAGAAGGATGAGCTAAATGAACATGATTTCTTTAATGAGATCCAAAATATAAGAATGCTGAATGTTTCATTTCTATTTTAGGTAAATTCTCTCCCTCTAATAGTTAATTAATTTATTATTTACCTTTCAAAACCTTCAATTCCACTTTAGGTATCATTTTTGATTCTTATTCAATTGGAAATGTCATTAATAACCATTTGTCTTAATCTTCATAATTATTAATGTCAGTTCTGATTTGTTCAAGCAATCTTCCTATTTAATTCTAACCCTTTCCATCTACTACTCCCCAATACTAATTGCTTGGAGTAGAATGTGTAAAGGTATGAATTAATTAATAGTTATTTGTGGCTCTTAATGAGTCTCTAATATCTGCATTTCTTCTGAACTTATCTCTTAACAATACTTCCATTATTCTTAGTCTTTATTTTGTCCAATGTGGTGGATCATCTATATGTTGAGCTATCTAATACACTTCCTAAACTGATTATGCCTATTGCACTTTAAACAATATATTTACATTAACAAATTTCTATCTCATCTCCTCATCCTAAGTTCTTGCAGATTAATATGCAGCATATACAGAATTATAAATTAATCCCTATATTAATTAATTTACACTTCTACCTAATAATAAACAGCACATGGATATTCATTAGCCAAAAATTCAAATTGATCTGTAAAAGATTCAATTCTTTCCATTCTCTATTTTCGAAACAGAAAGTCAGCTTGCTCTTCATATCTCTAGAGCTCAGCTTAAAATTAGGCATTCTTCTCCATTTAAGCAAAAAGAGACATCCTAATAAATATTTTATAATAATATTTATTGTATTAATGATATTTTTCATTGATATTTTCTTTAATTTAAAGAATTTTTTTATTAAATATATATATATGGTCTGTTAAATCGAATATCTAAATATGCCTTTTCAAATATTTATTAATTTTAATAAAACAATTATATTATAAATATTATGGAGTGGATTATATAGTCTCCTCATACAGGAAGAACATATACTTCTATTAAAATTATTGGAGAAGGAGAGTATGGGACTGTATGGCTTACTTAAAGAGATGATTAAAGTATTTTGTTTTTAATTTTCTAGATCTTTTTGCTTGTAAATTATTAAAACCTAAGTTTGCTTTATGGAGTATAGAAAAAAGTAAGAAATTTGAAGAAAGAGCATAATAAGAAATATAAACACTCATCAAAAGTACTCATGTTAATGTCGTCAGATATGAAGACTGCTTTTAGAAAGAAAATGGAGGTAAAATTGATAGATACATTATATCTGAATATTGTGAAGGTGATACTTTAAAAACATTATTGGATGCGAAAGGAAGATTAAGCGAAAATGAAGCTTTTTCAATTATGATACAATTAGCTGATGGATTAAAATATATGCATAATTAAAAAATTATTCATAGAGATATTAAGCCTGCTAATATTATGTTTAAATAAGGAGTCCCTAAATATATAGATTTTGGATTTGCAAAATATATTGAAGAATAAAAAGCAGATCAAATTTAAACTGTTGATGTAGGATCTCCATAGTATATGGCTCCTGAATTATTAGAAGAAAGTGGCTATTATGATTAAAGAGTCGATGTTTGGGCTTTAGGGATTATATTTTATTAGATGCTAGTTGGCCATTTTCCATGGAATATCAATTAGGCTAACTCATAATAAATGATCTTAAATATTATTATGGAAGATGAAAGCATCAATTTTCCAATTGAGATTGAAATTTCAGAGAAGCTAAAAGATATTATCACCTAAATGTTGTAATTTGATTATGAAACTAGAATAGATAGCAATAAACTATTTATGATGTTATAAAATTGATAATCATTCCAGAATCATCATTTTATCTATTATATTATCAATTGGAAGTTCCCTATTATGCATATTAAGGATTTTGGCTTTAAATTATTCACTCCCCTCTATTGTTTTTATGTTTGGATACTGCCTAATATATTTTTAATCTAATTATTTCTAATGATCATGATTAATAGAAAATTTAGCATTTTATTGGTTTTATTTTATCACTTATTATTATTCTATTTATTAAGGTTATTTTTTTGATGGTTCGACTCTTTGACTTTAAGTCTCTTTAAATTATTTGAGGAGTTATTCTATTTTTTTAAGTTCTTCATTCAAATGCATATTCTCTTCAGCCTTTTCTCTATTTTATCTTTAGTATCTCAAGATTTTACTAGTTTCTTCTTATTTTAATTATTTTTTTTCAGTTTCACCTTCTCCAGGATCTTATATATCAGCTATGAATTCCTCTCCTTATTCAATCATGGATTTGTTTGTAGAAATAAGATTTTTGATAAAATTTTAGTAAACTGGCAAATCTCTAAAATGAATATTGGATTTAGGATTTTATATCCATTTAGTTAGATTATAATTAATTCTTTCTTTAATTTGATCATCTGTTAATTTGGAAGTTGATTTAATAATATCTCTAATTAAAATTAATTAAGGATATTTTACCTTTCTTTTTTTTATAGAAATTCCTTATTTGGTATTTGAATTCCATTTTCTTCACATCTTTTTTACCATACTACAAATTCTTATTTTTAAATTTATTGATTAGAAATAAGAGTAATATGTCTTAATTTAGCTTCCTTTACCTCTCCAAATTATAATTTAAGCAATTTATATGTTTGAGTCTATTCTAATTGATAAGATTTCTCTCCTTCAACAACAGCCAAAACTTAAGCAATTGCATAACTTTATTCTTTTCTTCTGATGAGATTGGGTTCATTAATTTTAACAAAAGATCCTTCAATGACATTATCACAATAATGTTTCATCAAAAGATAATAAATTTGATCTCTTTTGAGTTATGCATTTTGGATTAATTTAAAATAATTATCCAATTATTCAGTATTGGGTTCTGCCATGATGGGTTTCTCGTCTATTTTTTACTCAAATTGTGGCTCTTCTTTTTGAAATTCATTTTCAGATTGTAAAGAGTCAGAGGATTCTGAATCACTAGAAATCTTTTCTAGATTGACTTTTTAAGTCTATGGATTTTATGTTTAGGAACTTTATAAAAGAATTGATCTTTTATATTCTTCTTCTTCTTTTTATTTTCTAATTTCAGCCCAAGCCTTTTCTTTTTCTAACTCTGTTCTAGCTCTCAAAAACATTTTTTATTGATCTGAAGTCATTTCATTGAAATTATAAAGAAGATTTTACTATTTAGACATTATTAATAATAATAATCATTTTTTATTTGGTTTATTTAACTTCTTAGCATTCTTATCTTTAGCTTAAGCTCCATATTTTTATTTTAATTTGGCTGTTACTTCTTAATCAATATCATCTTCAATTTCACCATCACTAACATCATCATCTTCTTTATCTTGAATTCTAACTCTAATATTTCTACTAACATTTTCTGGTTTAATATCTATAATTAATAATACAAATATAAACTGTTATCTCTTAAATTCAAATTAATGAATTAATCAATATGTTCTTTATTGAAATCTTTCCAAGTTTATTTAAAATCTTATGCACGATAAGATGCATCATTCTTAATCAATTATAAAACGAGTTTCATTTTTTCAACAACCTAAGATAAACCATCAACTAATGTTTCATCAGATATAACAATATTAGGTTTTCCTTCTAATTTAAAGAATTCCAATTTCTCATACAAATGTTCAATACCAGCTTTTACATTAACTAATATCTTTTAAACTCTCTCATATTTTAATTTAGTTCTTTCACATTTATTAATAGCATTATTAACATTGTTTTCAATCTAATAATAATAAAATATTTTATTTACTTCATCAATTTATTTTCTTGTTAAAGCTTCTCCTCCTTCATACTTTAAATCATTCAAATGATCTCTCAATTTCTATCTTTCAGTTATTAATTATTCTATTTTATCTTAATATTCTCCTTTAAGATCACTCAAAGATTTGCTAGTCTCATCCTAACTTGTAAACTTTTAAATGATATCATTAACATCTCTGAATCCAGTAGCTTCTTTTAATTTATGAAATGCTTCTTCATAATCAGCTAACTTCTATTTCTAGATATTTGTATCCACATTAGGATTAGATGATTCTTAAATAGGAATATTTGAAGTATTATATTCTACTTAAGTTTAAACATTATCTTTTTCTCTTTTCTCCAATTTCTATATCACTTTTTCTCTCTCTTCAATTGCTTTTCTCTTTGCATCTAAATATGTCTTTCTTAATTCTCTCACTGCTGCTTTCTTATGTTCATATTTCTTTAACTCAGCTTAAGCCAACTCTTTTGCATGTGTGGCATCATGAGCCAATAATAATAATTCTTCATAATCATGTTCCTTTCCTTTTAATGATCTTTCAATAGCTGCTAATTAATTATCATATCCAACTCTTTCTTCTTTCAATCTCTTTACTATTTATTCATATGTTTTTCTAATTGATTATGCTTCATTATATTTTATCATCACTTTATCTAAGTTATTTTCCAAAATTCGAATTTATCTCATCAATGGTGATTCTTCTGGAACTCCAAATTTAGTGTCACTTACTTCATTCAATTTGTCTTGTAATTAAATCAATCTTTCTTTTTTGGCTTTTGTTAAGTGTTTAGCATCATCTAATTTACGTCTCCAATAATTCTCATCTTTTATGTCTCCAGACCAAGATATGAATGCCCCTTATGTCTTTGCTAAAGAAGCACTTGCACCCTACTATTTGCAAACTCATATACTCTTTTATTTGCAATTAACTCATCTTACAGTTTCTTTAAATCCCTATTCTCTTTTTTTAATTGTTCAATGATTTCATTGTTCTTACGTTTAGTCTCTTCAGCATTATTATAAAAATTCTTTCTATCAGCATCAAGAAGTCCAGACTTTTTTATTTAATGTTCTAATTCTTCCTCAATTGAACGAATATTTTATTAACTCTTTGCTGTTTGAACCCTTGACATATTTAATTAAATTTATAAACATATATTTTTAATTCACATTTCATTCAACTATATCTTAATGGGAACTCTCTACTCTTTAATATTTGATACTCCCCCATTAATTTTGATGATTGGTTTACCTAAATCTGGAAAAAGAACTTTATTAAATTAAATTTCTTGTAAATTCAAAAATACTTAAATATATTCAGGAGACCTAATAACAGCATTAAAGTATTCTAAATTTAATTTTCTTTGTTTCCATAATATAAATAACAACTCAATCCAAAATCATTTGAATCCTGTTTTTCATAAAATAGATGCTCTTATCTTTGTAGTCGATTCATCAAATCTGGCAGATATAAAAAATGCTCATATATTATTGCAATCTTAATTAAAATAACTAAATGAAATACCATTCCTACTTATTATAAGTAAATATAATCTAGCATAAATAACAATATAAGAAATTGTTATTTAGTTTGAACTAATTAAATTGAGATAACCATGGTTTGTTAAGACAGTTGGATCTGAAATATCAGATACAGAAACAGCTATACAATGGCTTTATGATTAAATTTATAATATTAAAAAATGAAATTTAAATTTACTATTTTTATTCAAAATATTAAATTCCTTGTAGGAAAATGTAGAATTGTTTAAAATCAAATTCAAAACTATATATAATTACAAAAAATATTAAAATTATGGGAAATTTATTTACAACTAATTAAAATGTTTAAAAGTCTAACCTAATTATGATAGGTTTAGATAATGCTGGAAAAACTACAATTTTGTATAAATTAAATCCAAAAAAAATAGTAACATTTATTCCAACGATTGGATTTAATGTAGAAAAACTTTAATTAAAATAATGTGAAATTTTTGCCTGGGATATAGGAGGATCAGATCCAAGATTATTAGTTTATTGTCCAGATGATTTAACTTATAATGGAATAATTATTGTAATTGATAGCTCTGACAAAGAGAGAATGATATGTACAATCAAAGAATTTCATAAGCTATTGAGTATTGAAAGATTAAAAAACTTGCCTATTTTATTATTTGCAAATAAAAAAGATCTTGTTTAAGTGAACATAAAAGAAATTGCGAGTGAGTTTATGCTTGAAAAATTACATTAAAATTGGCATATTCAACCTTGTTGTGCCCCTACAGGAGAAGGGCTTTAAGAAGGACTTAAATGGATGTAATAATAGCATAAGTGAATTATAAATTTAGTATTATTTAATTTTTAACTTGCTTTATTATAATTTTATATTTTTCAAAGTGAGTAATAGTTAGTTAAACAGAAAAAATGTTACATTTAAAAATTAAATTCAATTCTTTCTTCTTATGATATTATTTTAATATTGGTTTAAAGTGATAAGTAAAAATATTGTGAGAGCATTCTTAAATAATAAAGAGTTTATCAGTTGAAAGCTCAATAAAATTTATTTAAAATTTGAATAATGAGCCGCGGCAATGAATTAGACGATTTGCTTTTCAAAAGAAGAGATTAAAACTAGAAATAGGGTGAAGATTTGAAATAGATTATAGAGAATATTCCTTATCCTCATGCAGATATAACAATAACTTCTTATAGTGAATTCTCTGATAACACACCATAAAAATATCTCCATAAATTAGTGCATACAGAAAATACTGAAATTTAACCTCAAAAGGTTAGACGACATCGAACTTAAGTAGATGCTTATGCAACTGATAGTGAAGTTGAATAAAGAGAATTGAAATCCTAAAAAGTAGATTAAAAAAAAAAACCTCTTCAATAATAACCAATAAACTAATAGGAAATTAAACCCCCTTTAGTACCTTAATAATAGTAGCAATTATAAGATTTCTATGCATCAGGAGGATCTTATTTAGAATCAATGACTCCATAAAGAATGAATAAGATTGTGGATTGGTCAAAATAACATGTTACACCAGGTGATGCTAAAAATATCTTTCCTTAAGTAATAGCTCCAAGTATTGAATTCTCAAATGAAAATTCTCTATCTCTTTAATTTAAAAATGTTGATTTAGAACCAAAGAAACCATAAATTCTGTCTCATTAGAATCAAAATAATTAAAATTCTCGTTTAGAGAATAGAGTATGGGAAAAATAGAAAAGATATATGGAAAGTGAAATACAAGGGATAAAGAAATAATAAAGGAAATTGGAGAATGAAAATTTAGTATTAGCATAAAAATTAGAAGAATAAGAAGAAATGACAAAATTGTTATAAGAAAAACATAAGGATTATTCATGTTTAGAAATATTAAGAGGTAAATATTTGGAAATGGCAAAGTAATAAATGAAATAACTTAAGTAATAATTGGAATTGAAAGATTAGAAATTAAAAGACTTAAATGAATAAACAAAAGGAATGATAGAAAATGAAAAAAGAATGTAAGAGGCCATAGAATTAGAATTAAGAGAATTACATGCTTAATTAGAAATAAAGGATCAAATGGTTAGAGCTTTTAAAAATTAATAAAATAATGAAGATAATGAAAGATAAAAAGCTTTATAAGAATATGAAAAAACAATGAGTGATGGCAATAAATTTATTGCAAAATTGAAAAGCTAAATTGAAACATAAATGAAAGCTTTAGAAGAGAAGGAATCAATAATTACATCATAAGATGCTTAAATTTAAAATTTATAAGTAAGATTATTAAAAGAAGCAGAATACAGAAAACAAGATGAAAAAGTAATTAATGAATTCAAATCTAAAGAATAATTACTCTATTAATAAGTGACTGGTAATACAATGCCAGAAGTACATAATAGGGCTATGGAAGAACTTCAAGCAGAATGTATAAATTAAAAGATTTTAATTACTTAACTTTAAAGTTAATTAACATAATAGATGTAGATGCATTAATTATAACATATTAATTCTAATTCTTATAAGGAATGTGAGTAATGCAAGTTATGTAAAGATGAATTAGCGAATATTATATAAGAATGTTCTTTAGAAGAGGAAGCTAAAACTATAGATGCAAATTAAAGTATAGCTCAAATTTCCAGAGAAGTTGTTACTCTATTATTAACAAAATAAAGGGAATAAATAGATCATGCTTTTTTATAATATGAAGAATAAATAAAAGAGTAGGCATAATAAATTGATTATTTTAAAGAATAAAATGATGAAGTTATGTAAGAAAATTAAAAGATTTCTGATTAAATTTAAATGGTTTTGGAAAAGAAAGAAGAATAGGAATAATAAATATTTGAAGAATATGAAAAACTTAGATAAATTAATTAAAATATATTGTCTGAAAATAAAACACTTAAATTAGAATTGGAATAACTAAAATTATAAATTAGAAATGGAACTTAAGCTCATTCTAATGAAATCTAGTCATTAAAACATGAAATTCAAGTTAATAAATAAACACTCTTATAAGCTAAATAAAATGAAACTAAATTAGTTGTTTAATAAAGCTAATTAAAGAGTGAAGAAAAGATATTGATTAATTAAGAAATGGAAAATATGAAAACTGTATTTTAAAATTAAATATAAGAATTATATAATAAACTTCATAATCAAGATGAATAAATTTAAGAATTAACTAAGGAATTATATTCAAAAAAAAAATAAATTGATGAAATGTAATAATAATAATCATCATCTATCAAAAAGTAAAGGAAAGAAAATAATTAAAAAGAAACTAAAGAATAAAATTAACTTAAGAGTTATGCTTAATAATTAAGTGATCTTAATGATGAGAAAAGCAAATTATTATAAAAAATATAACATCTAGAATAATAATAAAATTATTAAACCAAAAAATTGGATGAAGAGAAACATGATAAAATGGAAAAATTAAATTAATAAATTAAAGAAAAAGATAAAAAGAATATAGATCTTTATAATTAAAACAGAAATCTTTAAACTTTATAAAAAGAACTTGATGATTAAATTTCATCAATGAAAGATGAAATTGAAAAATAAAAAAAATAAATTTAACTTAAAAATTCAGAAATCAAATAGTTATTAGAATAAAATAAATAATTATAAGATAAAAATTAAGAAATTAATAATAGATTAAGTCTTCTCTAATAATAAATGAATTAATTTGAAAATGAAATTAAACATTATGAATAAAGTCCTTAAATACCAGAAAAATTAAGATCCTAGGCTTCTGTCAGAAGTTTTGATAAAACTCCTCATGCAGTCATTGAATTAGTTGAAGGATTCAATCAATATTAATAGGAATTTTTTCATTTAAAAAAAATGTTTACTGAAAAATTAAAGGCTTAAGAATAAGTAATTCATTTTATTTATATAGAATTTATTATCTCTATAATAAACTAATCAGTAAATTTCATAATAAAATCTTAAATTGATTCAAGAAAATAATGCTTTAAAGGATGAAATAACTTAAGCTAGTCATGGTAAACATTTTGAAGATAGAGGATCAGCATAAACTGGGGATTCTCTTAATATTCGTTCCTTCTTGGATTAAGATCATAAAAAGACCCATCCATGCAAAACACCTGAATAACACTTTTCTATAGTTGAATTAGTTTAACCAGAAATTATGTCAATTGAAGATACAATAATGATTTTCAAAGAGATTTTGAGAAGATCAGTTAAATCAGTAGAAATGATTAAAATGATTTGTCCTTTACCTGAAATTAAGGAATTATTGATGATCATTATTTAAGTAGAAGAAAAAATGCAATAACAAAGTTAAGTTACTGCAAATAAAAAGTCAAAAATCATTAATTCAATATTGGGAGCATCAAATATAAAAATGATAGATTAGTCAAGAAAAAAGAGTGCTTGTGGTGGAATGAGGGTTAAATAAAGTCATAGAAGTGAAACAGGAGTAATTGAATTTTATGAATGATTTATAAATATATCTTTTATATAATTATCATGTAATTAATCATCTTCCTATAATACAAACGTTATTTTATAATGTTTGACGGCAATTGTCATTTGGTATTTAAATTAAATAACCTTTGTCTTTATCAAAGTTATCAACATATGCTAAGAATGCTAATGGAGCTTATAAAATTAATTTTGAATTTAATTCAGAATTAGATTCTTCGAGCTATGTTTTTTTGAGATGAAGAACTGCAATCGTTAGTTTAACTATATTAGTAGATTTTGTTTTCTCAAACATTATTTATTTATCTTCTCTCACTTACATTTAATATAGTTCTAATTAATTCTCAGGTATAGATTGACTACTCTAGAAAGAAGTATAATTTAATGATTCTAATTCTTTAAGATTATAGGAATCAACAACTCCTTTTAATTTTTCCATTTTGTAAACAATGATATCTTACATTTTATCAAGATCTCTGTAAATATCTGGTTTATCTATTACTATAACCATAGTAATTTTTAATTTTTCAATTAAAAATTTAATCTACTCTATTATTTAATTATGCAAGCCTAAGAAATTTGGACAATTTACAAAAATCCCACTTGCATAAATTTCCTTTTCATCTTTATCTTCTTAAGATTTCATATAAATTAATTCACATAATTTCTCTATTAGAATATTTATGAATAATACAATCTTTAACTTTTCCCAATTAATTCAACATTTAAACTTTTTATTCCTTTGCTCTTTCAAGATCTGCCTGCAATTTTCTATCTACTTACACACTTAATTCCTCTGTTAATCTATCAAATAACATTCTTTTTGAAATATCTCTTACGATATCCTTATCTTTTCATTCTTAAATATTCATGTACATTAATATCCAAAATAATAGGTAACTCTGTTTTTCTACATTTATTCTTTTACACATGTTTGAACTTCAGCTCTTATCGAATGAGGATATTCACTTTATTGATTATCTGGATCAATATCTACATAGATTGGTTTCCAACCATAAACTAAACTATAATTGATGAGAGTCTTGCATAAAGTATCTATAATAAATCTTAATTATTACTTTTCCCACAAGAATGACTACCTAAGACTAACAATCTTGGACCAATTTTATCAGTTAACTTAAAAGACATTTGTCTTTAAGCTTAAAATAAAATGACTATTTTACATTCTAAAACATGGTTTATTTTAAGAAAATCATGCATCATTTTATGATAATTTAATTCTTCTTCATTAAAGATATATCCTGGCTAATCCTCTTTAGTCTTATATTTAATCTTTAATTTTGATGGAACCCAACAGAATAAAGAAAATGGTTTATGTGGAGGGAATTCATATAATTTTTTCTAATCATTTTAATTTATAAATTCTACCATCAATAATTCTTAACCAAAGATTTCAACAGCTCCTTCTATCAGGGTCACTTAGACGATATCAGTTGGGTCTGATATACGATAAGCTTCTTCCTCTTTCAATTCAATGATTTCCATAAAAATAAATATTAATATATATAATTTAATGGAAATTTTAAGAATATAATCTATTTTATAATATATTATAAATTCAAGGATCTATAAAAAGTATTTATATTTAACAAGATGGTTATCAGATTGATCTTATCTAATGAATAAATTAAAATATATGAAAAAGATCTGAAGAAACTTTAAATGATTTTATTATAGAAAATATTTAATTTATAAATACAAAGTTATTTAATATTATTTAAAAATATAAAATATAGAATATAACTCTATCTTTTTTTGGATAAATTAAGAATTATTTAAATTATTTAAATAAGTAAATAGAAGGGACAAATATATTATATTTTTGAATATTTAAGAAAGTCTATATTTGAGATGATAAAAAATGTATTAAATTAATTTTAGTATATTAAAAAAAGAAAAGAAAGATAAACATTTATGCTAAATTAAAATGAATTAATTATTATATATTGGATTATTTTAAATATAAAGTGAAGATTAGTATTTTATATTAATTTAAATATATATATATTTATATTAAGAGATGGAGCAAAAGCATTTGATGGTATTATTAATGAATAATATTTTAAGAGATACTATGTTGAGGAATAATAAGCATTACATAGAGCAGCTGCAGTTTATGGTTCTGGGTTAGCTATGCAATTAAACTTAGAGAGAAATATTTTAGGAGCTCCTGGATAAACATCATTTATTCATTTAGAGATTGCTATGAATAAATTGAATGATATAGATGAATTAGATTTTATGGGAAATAAGAAATTGGAATAAGAATATGTGAAAGGATTTTAATAAATATGAACATTAGTATAATGGAATTGTTAAGTTATTATCATAATAATCTCAATGATTTTCTAAGTTGTGTAATATCTGTGTTAATATGTTCTTCAAAATAAACATTCATTATAAATTCGCTTTTGTTGGCTCTTTTTAAAATTTCAGGTAAAGTCTCTATTAGTTTTTGTTTTTCTTAACAATTTAATTTGAATGATCCTACAAATGCACTTAAAGTTGCTGATGGTAATCCAAGTTAAGCCATTTCAAACCATTTTACAACAATTTCATCATAAACACTAACATCATACATGAGTAACACATGTATAAAATCATGAATCTTTATATTTTTAATATAAGAATTATACTTCTTTATATCTTTGATAAACATAGGCTAATTCTAAATCTGGAATATATTTAACTATTGGTCTTTCACCACTAGAGAAATCTCTATCCCTCATAAATTTTCCATATTAATAACTTTATATTATAGTTGAATATACTACCCAAATGTATTTTCATTTAATTTTAATAATTCTTCTATTTTGAATGTTTCAGGTGTAACTCTAGGTTTATCATTTAATATTCTCTAACCAACAGGATGCTGAATCATTCTTTAATGAATATCATATACACAATAATAACCTGATAATTCACCCAATTATGAAAGATGATTACCACTTAATAAATATTTATTTAATAAATTTACTTTAAAGGATATTTGTATGCATTTATGGCACATTAGAATAGAGTGGATAATCTTTCAAAATTATTTTTTAAGGGAGTGTGATTATTAATTAAATCTCTTAACATTTTAATTAATGTATATAAACTATGAGAATTTATTACCAAAATTATAAGGATAAGCATTTGGTATTGATATTGAATTTAGTAAAAAAAAAATTTTTTTAATTTAAATATCTGATGGAAATTAAATATATTTGTTCGATCCAATAGCATTAAATTTAGAGTAATACTTGAGAGATTTTTTTTAAAATGATGCTATCAAAATATTTTATAGTTGTGCTCAAGATTTGAAATGGTTGATAAAATAATATAAAATAATAGTGAATAACTATTGTGATTTATAAGTGTTAGCTTAAAAAGAACCAGATTAAAGTTTAATTGCATTATGGAAAAAGTATTGTGGAGTCTAATTTGAAAGATATGTAAAAAAAAGATTATAAAGAAGTGATTGGCTTGCAAGACCATTAGCTGAAGAATAATTATATTAGTTGACTTAAATTAAAGATAAGTTGAAAAAACAATCAAAGAATTTACATGGAGAGACTGTTGTTAAGAAATTAGATACAGATGAGAAAATTAAAGAATTTATAATGATTTTCAGAAAACATTTCTTATTATCTATGAATCCTTAATTTTTACCTAAGGAATGGGCTATTGATCATCAATTTATAAGAAACTTTGGAGAATTTTCCTGTGTATTATTAGAAGTTAGAATAAAATGAATAAAAGTAGGATTTACAATAGTAAGAATAACAAATATAATAAAAATGAGAATTTAATATATATAGATCTCTATATAATAATCAAATAGTTATTATATAGAGATAATTCTTATATTAAAAAATATAATCTAATAAATTTATTATTATTAATAACTATTTACTCATATGAGATGTTTAGAATCACAGATATTATCAAGAGATTTAAAATAGTTAAGAGATTAATCTTGATTAAATAATTAGATTAACAATTTAATTTATAGGATGGATATTGGATTTATTTTTAGTATTTATTATATAGTATCATATTCCTCTTATATTTGTTCACATTATACAAATTCATAAGACCCTAATAAATTACAATTATTAGATGGAGAATACATTATAATAGAACTCTGATAAAAGGCACTTTAAATAATTTAATTATAGCTGTTTGAATGAAAGAATTAAGATTACTAATAACTCATTGTTTAATATATAAATAATCACTTTAAAGTATTTTCTTTGAGATTTACCATTTTTGACATTAGATTGTTTAAAATCATTGTTTAATTTGCTTTAGGACTTTTAGTTTGGGCAAATAGACTTTCTGCAATTTGAGCTAATTCAAAACTTTTATTCTTTATTAATGATCTTTCTTTTATTTAAATCTTATTATTTAATACAAGTTATTAAATTTGTTTATTAGATGATTTGAACGTGCTATTATTTAAGCTATTATCTCTTGAGTGCCTAGGAGAACCAACAATAGATAGACAGGATGTTTTATCAAATGATAAGAGCTTAGTTAAAGGGTTTTTAGAGAGAGTTTATTTAAATTCTTAGTTGACTATAGGGGTTTCTTCAGTTTTAACATCATCTCTAGTTGTTTTTGGATAATCTTAAGAGACTTCGTTAATGTTTTCAGTAAGACAAATTTATGATTCTTCATCAATTTAAGTTAGTTATCGTGGTTCTAATATTGTTCTTTCTTCAATCAACATTTATTTGTTAAATGAATTTTGGAGATCATCTATTACTATAGTAAATATAGCTTAAAGATTTGTCTTAAATATCTAAGAATTTAACTTATAATGTTCTGCTAGTTTGAATTCTTTCAAGGAAATTTCCTTTTGGTTTGCTAATTTTAGTAATTCCTACTTATATCTGTTATGTACTTGAATAGTAAATTTGTGTTCTTCAGCAAATATATCTTTGATTAGATGATATATTCTATCTAAGAAGGTACTAGTAAGACGTTTGAAGATGTTTTCAATTTCTAAATACTTTAAAGTTTCTTTGTGTAGCCTTAACAAATCAATTTCTTGCATTGATAACTATCAATTTTAATTTATAAATATTCGTTAAAAATTAGATTTTAATATGAAATAATCATACGATTTAAGTCAGCATTGTAGTTTCATTAATATCTTATAATTTTCTAGTTTGAATCTAGAAACAAGTTTTGTAATTGAATAAATGTGATGATTTTTCTTTTGATTTTTTCTTATAAGATATTATTTACTGCTACTTTTGCTGATATTCAAAGTATTTTATTTAATAATTATGATTCTACTTTATATTCTCCAGAATTAAATCTATTCTAATAATTATTATTATCAATAAAATCAGGTTAATTATTCATATTATGAGAACTCTATTTTACTAGGGAAGTTTAATAGTTTTATAAATTTAGATTCATTTGAATTACTTTTATTTTATCTCATAATATGAATGAGATTTAATATTTGAAAAACATTACTAAAGATTTTTATATCTTATGAATATCTATTTGGTTTTTATAAATTTTCTATTTTTAAGATATTTCTATCTAAATTGATATAGGCAATATAGTTTAATTACCTAATTTATATAATATTTAGTAATAATTTTTTCTTATTTAATTAGTTATTTTTAATTAAAATTGCTTAAAATTTAGTCTAATGGATTAAGGTAAAAGAAATATATAAGTATCATCTTATAGTGTATTTGTAAATTGGAATAAATTTATATATTTTCATTCAACCAGAATGTTTATCATTTTTCTTCTAGTTATTGTTATTATTATTTGTTTATGTTTTGTTTGCCCCTTAATAAAATCCAGTTTAGCCTCCTCCTTATAAGGCAGCTCTTTATTAATCAGTCATATTCATAGTCTAAACACCGGCACCATTAATGTTAGGATTAAGACTCTAAAAGGATTTCATAACAAATGTCAAAACAGTTCTTCCAACCTAAAAATTATATTTTTATATAAATTACTTATATAGCAATTTTATCCATGCATATAAGATATGGAGTTTAGAGACGAACTAAAGTGCCGAATTTACTATTATTATCAACTATAACAAAATTCCCCTTTTCATATTTGATAAACGCATGTAATCTTGATACTGAGATATCTGAAATTCTAATTTCACATTAATGTCCTCGACCTAATTTGATTTAATCATCTGGAGTTCCTTTGATAAGATAGATTCCTCTTTAAGCCTTTTTATCCTTTTCTGATATTTATGTATTTTCAAGAATTATATATGGTTAATTTGGTCTTTCTAATGCAGCTAAGTCTAGCACTTTTCCTTTGAATCTAATTTATTGTGGCAATAATTCCTAACATACTTCACACTCTAATCTAAAAGATATATAATTATTAATACTTCTTCCATCTATATGAAATAGTATTGCCAGATTCTTTTTTATATCCTCTACTTTCTAACCATTGTTTAAGACAATTAAAATGCACATAAGCACAACTTCCATTACATTTACAAGGAGTAATAAATGGATCTTCTGGGGTTTCTTCTTCATTTAAACATATTTTGCACTATTATGTTACATTTCCATCTAAAGAAGGTGTTATTTTAGCTTCTGATTAGAAAACATCTTTCACTGTTCTTATTTATCCTTTACTGTCTNAAGATATTTCTATCTAAATTGATATAGGCAATATAGTTTAATTACCTAATTTATATAATATTTAGTAATAATTTTTTCTTATTTAATTAGTTATTTTTAATTAAAATTGCTTAAAATTTAGTCTAATGGATTAAGGTAAAAGAAATATATAAGTATCATCTTATAGTGTATTTGTAAATTGGAATAAATTTATATATTTTCATTCAACCAGAATGTTTATCATTTTTCTTCTAGTTATTGTTATTATTATTTGTTTATGTTTTGTTTGCCCCTTAATAAAATCCAGTTTAGCCTCCTCCTTATAAGGCAGCTCTTTATTAATCAGTCATATTCATAGTCTAAACACCGGCACCATTAATGTTAGGATTAAGACTCTAAAAGGATTTCATAACAAATGTCAAAACAGTTCTTCCAACCTAAAAATTATATTTTTATATAAATTACTTATATAGCAATTTTATCCATGCATATAAGATATGGAGTTTAGAGACGAACTAAAGTGCCGAATTTACTATTATTATCAACTATAACAAAATTCCCCTTTTCATATTTGATAAACGCATGTAATCTTGATACTGAGATATCTGAAATTCTAATTTCACATTAATGTCCTCGACCTAATTTGATTTAATCATCTGGAGTTCCTTTGATAAGATAGATTCCTCTTTAAGCCTTTTTATCCTTTTCTGATATTTATGTATTTTCAAGAATTATATATGGTTAATTTGGTCTTTCTAATGCAGCTAAGTCTAGCACTTTTCCTTTGAATCTAATTTATTGTGGCAATAATTCCTAACATACTTCACACTCTAATCTAAAAGATATATAATTATTAATACTTCTTCCATCTATATGAAATAGTATTGCCAGATTCTTTTTTATATCCTCTACTTTCTAACCATTGTTTAAGACAATTAAAATGCACATAAGCACAACTTCCATTACATTTACAAGGAGTAATAAATGGATCTTCTGGGGTTTCTTCTTCATTTAAACATATTTTGCACTATTATGTTACATTTCCATCTAAAGAAGGTGTTATTTTAGCTTCTGATTAGAAAACATCTTTCACTGTTCTTATTTATCCTTTACTGTCTCTGATTTCGATCACATGGTATTCAACTCTACCTAATTTTAGTAGATCCCCCTCTTATAATGTATAACCCTATACTGTAATAAATATTAATACCTTTTAAACACCATCAGCATTTTTTAAACTACGAACGATTAAATAATTTTCATTTTCTGTTGAGTTTTAATTAGGTTGTATAAAATATTAGTCTGAATCTTAAATAAGAATTATACCTCCTTAAGCTTAAATGGATGTTAGAGGTAAGTGTGCCTCATCCTTAGCCTTTCCATCTTATATAACTATTTCATTCTCTATAATAAATTAACACTTTCAAACCTTCTCTGCTAACTTTGCATGATCCTTCAACCCTATGTTTTTTAACGCTTAAAGATTTAGTCTCATAATCAAACAATCCATGAGAATCTTTTTGCCATGTAACAGCTTTCATTTCCACACTACAAATATTATGATTATTTACTAGTTCTTATTCTTTGATATAAAAGGAAGGGTAGTTGTCATTTATTCTTGTATTTTTTTTTTGATTTAATATAATTTATTATTCACATTCAAAAACTCATCTCCACCATAAATATTACTATCATCTCGTCATTAAGACTTATAATTAAGATATTCTCAAAAAATGAGCTCTATCGACCCATAAATAAAAATGTGTATTTCCTGTTTGTCAATTATAGTTTCCACTATAATTAAACGATAAATAATAAAAATAGAAGGCTGATATCAAGAAATCAAATAATAATAAAAATTGAATGGTTTTGAGATTTAAAAAAGTAAATTTTGTTTGTTTATTTTACATAATTTATAAATATCATTATGTTTGAAATTAAAGAACTGGTTTAGATTAAAATTGATATATTAATGAATAGAAATTCTAATATTTTTATAATCCATAATTATTAACTGTTTTCTTTCAGATATTTTATTCATATCAGATAATTATTTCTTTGTTTAGAATGTACTAATTTTTATTAGACATCGATGATCAGATGAATATATGTAAAAGATTGATATATATTCATTAAACAAAATTGAATACAATTAATTTAACCTATGTTTAGAAAATTAAAATATTATCAACTCAGTAGTAAGCAAAATACAAATAATTTGAGATTAGATACAAAATAGAAATTTATTTAGATTATATATCTATTTATTTTGTGGATATATTCTATTTGGAAGCAGAAATTCAATTCTACTAATACAGTTTAAAAATTAATAATAAAAAATATTAAGTCTGATTTTTAAAGAGGTAAATTGATAGTACAGAATATTAATGTTAGAATCTTAACTAAAAACCTTTAGCAGGTCTTTTGATGGATAAAAATAATTAAAATGATAAAGTAAATCAATTTTCTAAAAAAAAATAATCTAATTGGAGCTTTGAAATATCTGGAAAAAGATTAAGATGAATCATATTGAAAAAGAACAAATTGCAAGTTATAAGTAAGTATTAAATTATAAGAAACAAGTAACTCTTAGGTTAAACTAATTTTTTATGGAAATAATAGTTTCATAAAAGTTCAATTGAAACTCAATTTATTTAGTAATCTTTTAATAATCTCAAAAAATCAGCAGAAACTTGTGTCCTTAGAAAAGTGAATATAGCATTTATATAGTTTTCTAAAATAGAATATGTTAGGGGTTTTGAAAGAATAATTTGATTCTGATGGATCAATTATGATCATAACTGTTTAATTGTTTGAAGAATTTAAAGCAAATGAGAAAATAATATAGGAAGGATGCATTTATATACTACTTAATTAGAAGCTTTGATTTAATTTATATTTATGTCTTGGTTATTTAATAAAGCTTAACAGCCAGCACAACAGCTCAAATTACCAGCCTAATTTGCTGAGAAGGTCTTAAATTTAGAATTGGATGTTGACTCTAATGCTGCTTCAAAAGATGAGATTCAAGAACTATTATAACTCTATAGTGTAATCAATTACTCCTAATCTTTTTAGTAAGCCGTAGAATACTATTCTTCTATGAAATCTGAAAGATACACAGTATTTACAAATAAAATTCAAACCTTATTGATGAAACCTTATGTAAATAAAATCTTGGGATCAGAAGCCAAATAGGAATAAAAATAATTTCAATAGCAAAATGTACAGAAAGAATAAATCAAGAATAATATCTAATTTATTTAGCAGATGGATAGCAATAAATAGGTTTAATAGATGATGACTGCTGCAATTGATGAAAAGATCAAAATAGAAAATATGATAGCTGACGATTTTAAATTATAAGATCATAGAGTCTAATAAAGAATGCTAATGAGAATAAAGGTACTTTTATGATCAATAATAATTTTAAGGATCCTTCCAAGTACAATTTGGCTATCTCGAAAAGTACTTCCTTGAGACATCTAAAATTAGACATTGAAACTTAAAGTTAATAGTCAACACTACCTGATATGTAAGAACAAGGGTTAGAAAGTATATCAGAATAAGCATTTGATAAAATATCAGAAGCTGAAGCATAATAACAGTTTACTGATTTAATTAAGAATGATATTGATTCAACTGAACAAATAACTCAAACCCAAGAACTGAATATATAATCTAATCAGATTTCCCTACCGATAAAACCATCCTAGATAGAGGATTATCATTAAGCTTATTTAAATGATGATCCTCAACCTATTGATTAATAAAATTGGACACCATAACTAGGAGATTTTAGTCATCCAAAAACAAAAAAAGTTAGAGACATGGTTAACAAAAATTAAGTTCTTAAGAAATAAAAAATGGAACTGAATAACGTTTTACCATGTTGAATTTCTATAAATGTAAATTTTCTATCATATATAATTATTCTAAATATATAAAGTCTTACTTAATAATTAGTTATTTTATCTAAGGTTTGCTATGTTGGAAAATATTAATAATATTTCAATATATAATTATATATCTAAATGGGATAAGAAAATTCAAATACAAAACTGAGTTAAAATATTATTGTTTTTGGAGTCAACTTGTTACTAGATGAAAAGCTTATGGGTTCTGAATGGTAAAAGGATTAAAGTATATTTAACCATTTATTTTTATAGTTAATTGGTGTCAAGATTTTACATTGTACAAAAACAGTATTGAGAAACCTAACTAACTTTTGTGGTGTCCCAAATAATGTGAAATAATACAGCAAACAGTTGAATCTATAATTTTAAATATAGAATTTGAGGGAGTATTATATGTTTTTGAGCACACTTAAGATCAATTTATTTTGAATGAACATAGAAAATTGATAAAGTGGTTAATGAGTGAGGATTCTATGAGATAATGTTCATTAATTTTGTTGTGTGTGTCTAAATCAAATGATCTAGCAATTAATATAAAATCATAAATGGAAATAGAATTAGATTTGGAATCTATGGATTCTAAATAAGCAAGACATTTGATAATTAAATAAAAAGATAAGGATAGCAATTTATAATTTAAAAAGATTATTTCACAATTGATTAAAATGAAGAATGATTCATGATATAAATGATATTATATCTCTTAGTTTTAAATATCTTATTACATCCCCACATTCATTAATAACTTTATCATAAATTGTTAAGGTCCTGAAAGTTTTTTTATTTATATAATTTTGACATTTTTATATGCATAGAGTTTTATTTTGAAAAAACGCAAATTTATCTAAGTTTTTATTTTTTCAAGTTTTTAAATTAAATTAAAAGTTAAATTGATCTTAAACCTATAATTATCAAAAAAATATCAATTGATGAATTAATGATTTTTAATTTTATTATTCAACTTTTTACTCTTTATATATATTTAACTTACCTATATATATACAAAAATCATCTGAAACTAATACATAAGTGTTATGATTATTTAGAAAATAAAGATTAAACATTTATTGAAGATTGAAATATTAAAAAATTAAATCAATTGCAAAATTGCTTTTAAAAAAAAATGAATATATTAATCTTTATTTATAAGATGAATAATAATTTAATTTTTATTATTGAATATTCATTTTATGGAGTATAGTTTATAATGACTCAATAAAAATATTGTAGTATTTATAATTAATTTATAATATTTATAGATAGAGTGCATCATACACAATTAATGACTTCACATTTCAAAGGAAAAGGATAAAACAGAGGAGCAAAACTATTTCAATCACAATTATTATTATGAGCCAACAATTTGAAGACTTTTAGATTATTGATGCAAATTTGGAATTAACGAATGTCATATTTTTATTGGTTTTATCTACATCATCATTTAATTTATTAAGATCTGTAATTTATTGGTTAATTGTTTGATTTATATTCTATCCTTAATACTTTAAAACAATTGCCTTAAAGATTAATATAAAAAATTACTTGTTCATTGGTCGAATCTAATAATTTATCTTATTCTTATTAGAGATCTTTTTGATTTTTGAAAAGTTCTTTATTTGTCATATTGCTTAATTCAGCCAATTATTTTGGAGCTATTTACTATTCTTATTTTGTTTCAAGAACAGCTTTCTTAAATTGCTCAGAAATTAAGTCCCTTTAATTCTTAAACTCTTATAATTAATTCCTACGTTTCTCTTATTCTTTCTGCATCAAGGTATTCTCTTAAAGTTTCATCAAATCACCTAAGAGCACTAATTCACGATCTTAAATTCTTTAAGTATATTAGTACCCAAATTTGTTAATTGACCTCTAATTTCACCCTCAATTATGGTAAACTATTAACCAGCTTTCTTTTTTTATTCTCTTTTATTGATATCAGTTTTAATAGATACAATTAGTTTCTAAATTCGATCAATGTCATTTTTATATTGATCACTCATATTAATAATATTAATAATTACAAAATGAATGAATGATGTATTATAATCTGATGTTAAATCAATATATTTAATTATCTGATCTTTTATATGAACATATTATAGAACATAAGAATTTGAGAAAAAGAATTATAATCATTATATAATAATGTTTATAATTAATATATAATATAAAGAATTAATTATATGAAAAGATTTATACAAATCCAAATTCTCAAAAATGTTAATGCAAAACATAAATATATACATTTTAGATTCTAACCTATAACATTCTCTAGAAAGATACTCTAACCATTTGATTTAAGATATATTGTTCCTTAAGAGATTATTAAAATCAATGGATCTGTTTATGTTAGTGCCTTAACTACAATTCTTAAATGTACAACAACTATAATCAACCAAAGAGGAGTTATAAATTTAACTAGGACTACATTTGTGTTATAGAGGTATGAAATTAGTCATAATCGATATAATACATTAAAGATTTATTGTCTTGAACATTTTTAATTCAGATTTTAAAAGATATTAGGATATTTTATAATAATTTATCTAAATTGTTCAATAATATTGATAAAATATATGGTGAATAATATAAAAATTAAAAATTAATTATTTGTTTATGTTTCATTTGATTTTTTAAATATATATATAATATTATCTAAAATTAGATATGAAGAATCGCAAAATCGATCCACAAGAGTAAGATACTACCAGTTCAGGTTATTCAACACCAGATGAGAAATGTGTGTAAAAATAAGCTAAAATCAAACACTTAAAAAAACATGCATTTGTCAATCGGATTTCATTCTTAGATGATATGGATAAGGATTCAGAATTGACTAAAAATAAATTGGTTGGTTTTTACAATATGTTATATGTTGTGGCCTTCTATTATTTTATCATAAATCCTATCATGACATATTGGAAAACTGGATAATGGATTGAAACTTCATTATACAATTAAATGCGTCGAGATCTCTTCATGTGTATTGTAACATGGCCATTGGTATTTGATTTATCAATATGAAATAGTTCTATGCTTGGAGTCACATAGCCTTGTTGATTCAATATTTAGCAATGATGAACATACCAAAAGTGTTAATTTTTATAATACAACATATCAGTCAAATATGTATGTTTGTATATGCACATTATTTGGTCTTAACTCGAGATTGGTACTTACCTTAAGGTGCCTTTGTAACATTTCAATCATGTGTATTCTTCTTCAAAATGCATTCCTATACTATGACAAATTATAAAATGAGAAGAGAGTGGATTGATTAAGGTTGTCCAAAAAGTACTGATCCTTTTAGTTATCCTAATAATATTAACTTTAAGAATTTTACTAAGTTTATCATGACTCCTGTATTAGTTTATGAACCTCAATATCCCTAATCAGGTAAGATAAGATGGTGGTATGTTATTGTTAAATTTATCAATACAATTTCAATGTTAATTATGGGATATATGATTGTTTCCAATCATATTTATCCAATAATTTTGAATGTAAATGCTTTAACATTAGTTGATTCTATATTTTAAATGACTCTACCTCTGATATTTTTATGTTTAACCTTATTTAATATGATCTTTGAGAATTATTGTAATTTTTGGGCTGAACTTACACATTTTGGAGATCGTTAATTTTATACTGATTGGTGGAATTCTACAGATTATGAAGAATTTAATAGAAATTGGAATAGACCTGTTTATGAGTTTCTATATCGTCATGTATATTTGGAACTTATATTTGAATTTGGATTTGGAGTAAAAAAGGCATAATTAGCTACATTTCTGTTTTCAGCTATTTTACATGAATATACATTAGCAGTAAGTTTGAAATAGATTACTCCAATAATGATTATGTTTATGATGATCTAAATACCAGTAATGTTATGTACAAAGAGAATAAAGGGAACTAAATTTGGTAATTTATTTTTTTGGTGGGGAATTATTTAAGGATTACCATTAATTTTAAATTTATATCTTAGATTCAATGAATTGCCAAAATTATTGTTTGAATGAGTATGAATAAATTATATATATATATATATTTATCAAATATAATCAATTCATTTTCTTTAATTCGTAACTAAGCAAGGCTTTTTATAAAAGAATATTCCCTTAACAAATCTTTAATTGCAGTTCAATTTATTATTTGAGTATTTATCGATGCTCTTCCATTCTTTTTAATAATGCATTTGTTTATTGAGTTATAAACCCAAAAACTTAAGGTCGTTTCTCATCTTTAACAATTTAGGAATATTAATTAAAAATTCTTTGAGCATCACTTTACATCAATTATTTTGTATCAAATTTTGGTTCACCATATTACAAAACAAAATTGGCTATAAATTATATTGGTATATTTAAATACCATTAGATAATTTAAGTTTTTTAACTATTACATCTTCACTCATTATATTAAAAAAAATATAAAAAATAATCATATTGATATAATTTAAATTAAAAGTTCTTTACTTTCTTTTTCTTAAGAGTAATAGGAAAAAGAATTCTTTTTAGAAATATTAATCATCAGTTTAAAATGATTTTATATTATTGAGTACTAAGTCAGTTACAACTAATTTCATTTTCAATCAAATATACAAATTGATTTTTGAGTTAATTTATTCCAACTGGAATTACAGAGAAGTAAATCAATTTGAAATTCAATTTTTGTATTTGATCTCTTTCTCTTTAATTTTAACATTACCTTTTTATAATTCCTGAGCTTATGATTAATCTAATATAGAATTTATACATGTTGATTAACTTAAGTAAATTTCACAATAGAAATATATAGTTATACATCTTGTCTAAAATAGAAAGAAGATGGTACTTCATTTGCTCTCATTTCTCTATATTATTTTTAATTAATTAGTTTCAAACATATATAACTTAAAATGTTATTGAATTACAATTAATTGTATCTTCTTGACCTATTATTCTCTCAATTTCTACAACCAATAAATTTTCGCTAATCTTAATTTAGCAGAAAAATGAGAAATCCTATCTTCATATTCAAAAGAATTTTAATATTAATTAATTACTTTTTTATTAGCCACTTTAACTAAGTTTACAAATCTCTTACAAAAAAAATATTATATTTAGAATGTTATTTTAAGATGTATTTTTATTTTTTTATTAAGTCAATATTATTATAAAAACTAATTTATAAATTTTTATCTTCTTAATTAATATTCATTCTTCGTGATTTAATTGTTAATATAATTGGAATATATTGCAAATTCTATTAAATGTGTATTAATCAATCATATTAAGATAAAACTTTATCATATTTCTTTTTAGCTTATCTATTCTAACTTGATTTAAATCTCATATAAAGAACTACATGATTTCTATCACATAATTATGATATTATTTGCTTAGTTAATTAACTTAAATTTTAAATAGTAAGATTATAGTCACTTTGATAATATTTAATATTGGTTCAAACATATGTATTTATACAATTAAATATAATTAAATTATCAATAGAAGATTTGCAAGAATGTAAAATGATTTTGTTGCTAAAGAAGAAGAATAACAAACCCCAGCATCTTTTGAAATGATTGGTTCGGTAATATTCTACAATAAGATAGATGAGGGATTAAAATTCTTAAAGTTCTATTATTTTACAAAAATAAACAAAAATTGTAGAAAAATTTTATATTGCTTTGGCCCGACTATAAGAAGCCTAATACAAAGAGTAAAATTAAATTACTCCAAGATACCCTTTTGTTTTTTAATACTCATTCAATGAGTTAATTGTAAATTTAAATATATTATTTTTTTGTAGGTTCATCTTGGAGACCATTAAGTCTAATTACATTAGGAATAAGATTCAATTAAATATAAATAGAAAAAATTAAGGTGCTTAGAGAAAAAGCCCATATTCCATTCAAAGCCATCTGTATAAAAGCGATATGGTTTTTCTTTGTAAGATTAAAAAGACTCAAAGAATATACCAAAGAATTACTGTAAAGCTATAATCAATTTTGCATAAAAAAATTAACAATTATGCTTAAAAATTCTTGAAGATGAATTATAAGTTGCTAAATTTATTGAGTTTTTATCAAATCAGAAAAAGAAATTACTTAACATAAAAGTATTCAGTGCATTACTTCAATAATGTGAGGATCCTTCTTTAGAAAAATTTAATAGAACTTTCAGAATTATAAGGTATATATTTCTATTAAAATAGTCAAATTTTTATAAAAAAATAAGCAATTAATTATATTTATAATTCGAAAATTGTTTAATAAAATTGGCATATTAGATATAGATAATAAATACATAAAGGAATCAGAAATCCTAGAAATTTTTCTCACATAAAGAAACTTTGAAATAATAATATATTAAGTAATAAAAATTATAAAACTTTTTCTAAATAATAATAAAATTTTTAATAAGATCTTTCAAAAATAAATATTATAAGATGATAGTTTTTATTATAATATTAATTTATATTTTAAGAATATATTTATATTTTTCTAATTATTCAATTACAATCATTCTAATAGAATAATTAGATAAATTCTATTTTCTTTAATTGATATATTAATATATATGAGTAAGATTTTTGAGGATAGAAAACATATAAATTATAATTCCTTTTTCTTTAATTAAATTACAAACAATATATAATAAAATAAACTACATCGATTATTTATTTGTGATATCTTAACAAAATATTAAATTATGTTAAAAATCTTAGTCTTTGAAAGTCAATTAAGTGATGAAAGAATCTCACTTCCTGAAATTCTTTCGCAAATAAAATTCTTTAATTAAGAATTGCAAGCCTACTTATTTTATCAAAAGCATGATTTTTCAAAATAATTATATTTAATTTATTGAAATCAAATTTTTATCAGAAATTAGAAAAAACTCTAATTTATATTCCAAATATATTTTTAAACATTCATATCAGTAAAGATTCTAGAAGTCTACAAAATATCTATCAAATTTCTTCAACGTTTAAGTAGATTATAGGATAAAAGAATCAATCTATCTAATAGTTAAATTAAGAGGTTAATAGTAAAAATTTAATGAAAAAATTAGTAAAATCTTTAAATTATAAATCAAATTAAAGGAATAGCTACAATAATATGATTATTGAAGTGAATTGCATTTTTATCTAAGTTATTAATTATTTCAAAATTAATAATTTTCAAATATCTAGAAGATACCAGCCATTTAGATCATATTTAAAAATAATAATTCCATAAGAACAACTTATTTATTAAAAATCTCTTAAACCCAATATTGTCTCATTTTCATAGTCTCAATAAAAGTTAGCGATCCCTTTAGATAATTCAAAATATGTAACATACTATCTAAATAAATTGAGATCAACTGTTCAAAGCGATTTTAGAGTTACATACTCTAAACTTAAACATTAGTAAATAACTTTAGATATGGATTTATGTAGATGAACACTTGACTTAAAGTTATTTAAATTAATTATAGCATAATTACAAGATAAGTCAAATAGAATACGTTAAGAGATGTCAACTATTATTCTTAAATTCGAATTTGAATTAAATAAATGTCTAAAAAGATAATAAAAGGAAAAATCACTAAAAATTGCTAAAATTAACAGATAAATAGAATTTGGCTACTTGAATATGAAAAATGAATAAAATAGTAATAATTAATTATTACTTATTTAAATTTGTTACATCATTATTAATGCCATGTTCCCTTTCTCAAAAAGATTTAGGCACTCCATATGAACTGCATAATGTATCAGCTCTTGAAATTTTGGACTTATATTGATTATATGTGAATTAACTGACTTGACTAGCACATTCAGATTCTTCAGTGTCAACAGCTGATTATTCCAAACAACTCTTTGAAAAGAATTTGAATCTCTAAGAGATTAATTAATATTTAATACACTATGTTCCAAAAACATAGATTGAGGTGGAATCTTTTTCTTCGACAATGCCTCAAAATCAATACCCTCAAAAAAGACATGTTATTAAGCCTATTAAAGATTATATCTAGTATTAACATTCACATCAAGTAAATGTGATAGTAAATCCTTAGCTTGAGTTGAGATGGAAGTATTTTCAAATTCAATTTATTCTGTATCACATCCAATTAACATTTGATAAAGTACAACACCGAAACTCCAAACATCACATTTATTAGTATATCCTTGATTTCCTAATACTTCAGGTGCTAAATAATCAATAGTTCCACATTTTGAGAATTAAAGTCCATCATTTCTAGTTGATAATCCAAAGTCTGTAAGTTTGATGTATCCTTTATCCAATAATATGTTTTATGGTTTAAGATCTCTGTATACAATACCATTTAAATGTAAATATTCTAAAGATAATAATATTTAGGCAGCATAAAACTTTGCTACATCCTCTGAAAATTTTCCATAATGTTTTAAATACTAAAATAGTTCCCCTCCACTCATATATTCCACTACTAAATATAGTTTCTATTAAGTTTGAAAAGCCTCTATTAATTTAACAATAAAGGGACTATCCAGAATTTCTAACAATTATCTTTCTGTTTTTGCACTTCTTCTCATCCATTCTGAAGTCAAATTTCTCTTATTAATAATCTTCATTGCATATAGTTAGTCTATTGATTCATTAATAAATAAATTACTGTTCTTTTTGTGTTAAACTAACATGACTTTTCCAAATCCACCTCTCCCTAATACTTTAAGTAATTGATAGTCTTTAATACTAGCTTGATTAAGAATTGGTTCTGTATTCTAATCATTCAACTATTTAAATGCATAAAACTCATCAACAAAAGTATTTCTGCATACTATATCATTATGATGAGGTTTCAAGCACTTGTTTCCCATTATAAACAAAATATTTATATTTTAATAAATCCCCATAAACCCAAGCAGATATAAATAGAATTTATATCTATTGGAATATTATATTTGAATATATTTTCTAGTAGAATTAGAGATAGCAAATATAATTCAAATAATTGGCAGACATCATGTATTATATTAGTAGCATATTAAATTTATGATTATTTTAATATAATATTTTAAATCTAAGATTAATGTACATTTATATGAAATAAAATAAATGTATTGTTTATTATTTAATGACATATATAATTGTATCTTAAATCAATAATTAATCTTTTTTGTTTATTTCTAATATAAAATAATTTCAATATGACTAATCTCTTTTATATACATATAAATTTAATTAAAATTATATAATAATTCTAATCTTAGCTTAAATATAATGAATAATCTTAGGTAGTCCAATAAATTATTTAAAAGCATATTATATTATATTCTTTTTAGAAAAATTATAAAATTATTGTTAAATTGATATTTTTTTCAAGTTTATTTAGTATTAATTGATTAAGCAAAATAATTGTCAATTTTGTTTTATAACCATTAATAAAATTCTGGGTTCTCTTAAGTTTTCTTATACCATGGATACTTTTCAAAACTTTTAGTATATTTTACAATCTTTTCAATCAACTAAAATGCAAACTTGATAATAACAAAAAAAAATATACTTTTCTTGCAATTAATGCTACTAGCCATGTTGGTACAAAGGATAATTATGGATTACAATTATTGACAGCCTTTATTTTACATCTAGTTTTAGTTATTGGAGTTATTTAAAAAATGTAATAATTTAATTACAATCTTACATTCTTTGATTTATGAAGTTATAAATCATAATAATCTAAAAATTATTGATCTTGATCTATAGATTTACATAAAAATAAAATTGTTCCATTCTCCTCTAATCTATCAATACCTTAACCTAAAAATACTGTTTCTCTATTAGAAATAACTGGAAAATATAGTTAACTCATACAAACCTTCTATGTCTTTGAAAGTGTTTTTATTGTTGTAGCATGATTACAAAAAGGAACATATTCAGAAAACAATTCCACTTCTGTTATCAAAGACATGAGTTTAGCACAATCAGCTTCAATTTCTGCTTCCATAAGCAAAGAAACTGTTGATGATTTTGGTGGAAATTTATAGGAAATACTAATTCCATGACTATTTTTATCTAATGTCCATCCAGTAGAATCCAATTCTATTAAATTTTTTGTCATGAATTCATACGAACTCTCTATTACAGATAACCTTATGATTTAATCCTATGACAGTTGAGTTTTATCAATTAATTATATAGTTTAGTATGCCTTTAATTAATTACAAAAATACTTTGTCTAATTTTGAATCATTATCATAACTTAATACTATATTATAAAGTTCTTGGCATGAAGGACCAAGTTGAATTTCTGAAAGAATTTATTGATTTTCAAATTATTAAAAATTTATTTCTTAAGCCGAAACATCTATAATTGTCTAATTATTATGAATTTAAGGAGATTATAATTCTTGATGTTTTATTTATTCTCTTTAGACATGTGTTAACAAATTCTTTAATTATTAAGGTCTTGGTGGAGAATGTTCTATTAAAATTTATTAAAAATAGTATTTACATTCCCTATAGAAATCATAAAATTTGATCATTTCTTCATTAGTGTCCAATTATTAGATTAAATCAGTAACCTGCTCCTTATAATAATTATTAAATATGTTCTTACTTTATTAAAACCTTACATGCACATTAATTTTTCTCTCACAAAAACGTAAATCTGATACGCCTCATGGAAATCTTATCTATTTTAATAATATTCATTGATATCCTGCATCTAAACGATTATCATATAAAAAATACTAATTTTTCGAGATCAGATTTCAATTCCTTATAACTTAATTTATCAAAGAAATTACACTAGAAGTTGTCTGTAAAGATTTTATTTTTGTTTTACATCTAAGCAAATTATTTATTCTAACTATTTAGATTTTTAAGGAATTATTAAATGAATTTTATAGTTGATCAGCTAATTAAACTATGTTACAAAATTTAGATATCCATAAATTTAACAATATTGAATCAATAAGGTATTCTTTAATAGAGACTAATAATTAAATTTGTATGTAATTCAATGTGATTAATTATTACTTAAATCTAATCATAAATATATGTATAATTTATGCAATATTTACAGTAATTGTATATTCATGTAATTAATAGATAAATAAAGTTAGAGAATATTTAAAAGATACTATTTTGACTATATACTTTTAAGGTTAATATAAATTAAATTTCTATCTAAAAATTAACTTTTTATATTAAAAAATGGATTTTACAAAATATAAAATATAATATACTTTTTAAATTAACATAAATTTTCAATTGAAATTAGGAATTTATTACAATTAATAATGATCTTAATAGATAGGTATAGTTTTTAGATTATTCTATTACTATGTGATTTTTAAGATATAAATAAATGATTCAACAATCTAATACAATATATCTTTAAAATAAGATGCAAAATTAATTTATTTTATTCTAAAGGTATAAAAACTTATAAAATTATTTGGATTAACATTTTCTTCAAAATTTTGATAATAATTTGTAGAGAATATTTAATTTAATTAACAGTGAAATGCTCAAAAATTATTTACTTTCCTTTACATGTAAATATATCCTGAATTTATTTGGATTTAGTTTAACATTCAAAAGAAATTTATGTTTAATTTTAATTTAATATAAATTGGTTGACTCATTTATAAATATATTAATTATTCTATAATAATCTAAATAATCAATCACTATTTTTAGAATTTTAGTTTTGAAAACAATTCAATTGTAATAATTATATAATTTTAATGTATATTTCATGTATAAATAAATAACATTATATAGAATTAGATGAATAGAATAAAATAAATTCTTTTTCAATAATTCACATTAAAATGGTGGATCCTTTTGAAATTGTTATTCCCCTAAGCTAGCACAAGCATGGAAGTTTGATTAAAACCTAAATGATTCCAAGATTTCAAATCTATTTAATATGGTTATAATAAATACTTTTGAAAGACAGTCATAAAAGCCATTATTAGAGATTGAATTTGAATTTCTACTTCAAAATTCTAATCAGAAGTTTAGATTAAGTTTGAAATATTTTACATACTCCAAACTTGATATAAACTAATTTACTTTTGATATTAGTTGATTTTAATCAAAATTTCAGCTTGGGATAGATTAGTAGATGATAATTTTGGAAATTATCCAACCATATTAATTTATTGATGGTGAAACATCTAACTCTTATAGAGCAAAAGGATGCCTCTAGTTTTAATATTATGTAATAAAATTAATATTAAAAATGATAATATAAAATTTTGTAGTATTTAAAACATAAATATTTAAATGTATACAATTTTAATTTATTGAGTTATTTTGTGATAAATTTAAATTTGTTTTTTCCTCTTAATTTTAAATTAAGTTTAGGATTTAAGTAATGATTAGATTTATGAAATGATATCTAAAAAAGATAAAATATATGTTAGATCTCTACAATTTCTATAAATAAGCTTTGAAATTAGTTGATATGTAGTATAAATAAAAAATGAAATAAAATGATAAACATCCTATAAAATCAAAAATTCCAGTTGCAAAGGGAAAACATGCATTTGAATGTGGAGGTTAAAGTATTAGTTAAAAATTTAGGTCAGACATTTATAGTGGAGGAGAAATACGAATTCATAAAGTAAATAGGATAAGGAGCTTATGGAGTAGTATGCTCTGCGAAAAATAAAAAGAATGGTTAGATGGTAGCAGTTAAGAAAGTATTTATATGAATTAAATAAAGATTCCAAATGCATTTGAGGATTTAGTGGATGCTAAGAGAATAGTGAGAGAGATCAAATTATTAAGTAATTTCAAATTGTTATTGTTAGAGTTTTTTGATCATGAGAACATTATTTCTTTAGTAGATTTACCTAGACCAGAATCAAAAACAGGATTCAATGATATATATATAATAACAGACTTAATGGGCACAGATTTACATAAAGTCATTTATTCATCATAAGCTTTGACAGATGAACATATTTAATATTTTGCATATCAAATGTTAAGAGGATTACTTTATATACATACAGCAAATGTTATACATAGAGATTTAAAACCAAGTAATATCCTTTTGAATAAGGATTGTGACTTAAAAATTTGTGATTTAGGATTAGCTAGAGGTTATGAAACAGAGGAAGAATTTAAAACTGAATATGTGATAACAAGATGGTATAGAGCACCAGAAGTTATTTTGAATGCATCTGAATACACAAAAGCAGTTGATATATATGCAGCAGGATGTATTATAGCAGAACTTTTAGGTCGTACACCATTATTTCCAGGTAATTATTAAATTAATAATGTAAGGTGAGGACTATTTAGATTAAGTATAGAGGATTATTTCAGTTTTAGGAACACCTACTCCTGATGATATGAAATATATAGGAAATCCAAATGCTATAAATTATATTAAAAGTTTGCCTAAAAGAACAAAACAGTCATTTACTTAACTCTATCCTAAAGCAAATCCAAAAGTTTGTGAATTATTAACTAAGATGATTACATTTAATCCAGATAAAAGATATACTGTTGAATAATGTTTAGAACATGATTATTTTGATGGATTACATAATCCAGAAGCTGAACCTAGATGTGATAAAGTATTTGATTGGAGTTGGGATAATTTTGAATTAAAAAGAGAAACATTATAAAAAATGGTTTATGACGAATCTTTATAATTTAATCCTGTCAAATTGTGAAATAACTATTAATATTAATTTTCATTTCTACTAAAGATCAAATATTTTGTGATTCCAATATCCTGAATATTCTTATTTCATCTAATTTACTTCTTTTAATATATTCCTAAATATATATATACAAATTTATTACTCTATACATTATTATAGATTTTTATGACTAGATTTCCATAATTCCCATATGATTTATTATCCCATTTATTAATTATTATCTTAATATTAATCAAATATCCCTTAACAATCTTATAGAAATGGTTATATTATATCAAAGAATGGTTTAAAAGTGGGTCTAAAATTAAATGTATGAATTGAGAGGAGACAATGTATAATTAAAGATCTTAATATATTTATTTATCGAATAGCTAAAGGACAGTTTTTTAATTCTTTTGATTCTTTTGAAATATCTTCAAGTTATGAATATATTAAATCATTTTGTATTTACTTTTTTATTAATTCATTCATACTATTGTAATGAGGAAATATACTATTAAAAGATCCTTATATTCTATGAAATTCTTCTTATAAAATTACTAAATTAGGTTTAAGATTAATATTTGGTAATTCTTTACATTAAATTATACGATTAAGATTTATTGATAATGCATCTAATTTAGATATTAATTATTCATCTATAAAATTCTAAATAGATATAATTACTTACATATTATTATTTATTACAATCAAATAAATTGATTATTTCAGAAATACAAGAATCTACTTTAGAAAGTGTTAATAATATATGTTTCTATGAATTATTTTTTTATTCAAATTGCACCTCTTGTTCATGCAATTATTATGATTAAATGTATCTTAATCGTTCCAATTATTTATCGCAAAACGTACTAATTTTATATGCTCCATCATATGTATCCTAAATGTTCTCCATAGTATCTCTCAAATTAATAAGCTTGTTATAAACTGTTATACTTAATTTTCTAATTCATATTATATCTGTCTTGTTAATTAGACAATTTAAGTCATACGAAAAATTTGTTATTGTTTGCTTAATATATTTTAGGACAACAATAAAAAACGTCTTTAATTATAATGTAAAGTTGTTTTCATTATCTTTTCATTCAACAATCTATTTAATAAAAAATGTAATTCATACTCCTAATATTCTTTATTTTAATTTTTCAATAATATTAAATCAGATTCTAAATTTTTTACTTTATCATTTAATAATTACATTTCTCTTTATTTTTCTTTTAATTTTACTTATAATTATCTTTCATTTATTGTTATTGTAGTTTTTTATGATTCTGTCTAAGAAACATTAATTTATTAATTTATTTCTTCTTTTTTTATTTAAGAAGATTTTTATTAATTTATTTATTTTTCAGTTTCTTTGATTATAGGTGGTTTACTTATTTTTTATTCCTATTGTTTTGCTATCGGAAGCTTTTTATTTAAACTATTAGATTTTTAATCAGATTTTTTAACAATTGAAGCTTTACTTATTAAATCACTACTGCTTAATCCATCATTCTCTTAAATAAATTAATTAACTTTTTCTTCTAGCTACTTTTTTTCTAATTTTGAATTACTTAAATTTGAATTGTGTTTTTTAGGTTGCATTGAAAAATTAAAATTAAATAATATAAAATAAATTATTATATTAATAATAAGTTGAATATTATTCTCTTAATTGTATATTGTAATTATAGAATGTACAATATTAAACAATCATAATATATTATCATTCTTATCAGAATTTTTCTAATAATATTTTAACTTAGAATAATTATATTAATGATATATATTCATGTTTAAAAATTATATAAAATAATGTCTTAACCTTTATTTAAATTTATTATCTATAAAAAAACAAGGAAAACTTAGAAATTATTAGAGATTTTCATATACATTTTATTTAAAATTGGCTCATGAGAAGATAACTAAATACTTTTTGCTTAATTAATAATAGTCATTTTAAAGAAAATTATTAATAAAACTTCACAATTACATTTATTATAAATGATTTAAGAGTTTGAAGTAAGTTTTCAAACATATATTAGAAATTTAAACTTTCTGCACTCAATCCTTTTTTAGTTTGTTCTGTTTGCAATGGATATTTTAGATTTGCACATACTCTATCAGAATGTGGTCATACATGTATTAAATTTAGATATTGAAAGTTTGTTTTGTTTGCATTTCCAATAAAATGTATTGTCCTAAATGTCCTAATATATAAATAACAAAAAATACAATTAGAAAGGATCCTTATTTATAATCAATAGTTGATATGTTATTTCCATAATTCTAATTAGCTGATTAAATCATTATAAATCGTTTACAAAAATTATTTGGAAATAGTATTGATTTCAATGATTTATAAAATCTTCTGGTTGAAAATAATAAAAAAAAAAGAAAAAATCAAAAATATGAATAAAAATAAGGACTTGTTTATTTAGTTTAAGAAACTTTTAATGGAACCATCTCTTATGATTAATTTAAGGATAATATTTATGATGAGTAAAAGTTTAAACAATTATTGGATTATGTAAGAAAATAAAAAATAGCAAGAGAAGAATAAAATATAAATCGTGTTCCAGGTTAAAATAATACAAATGGTTCTAAATTATCAGTTACTATTATTGGTAAAACAGAATAAGATAAAAAGATTGCAAAATTAGATTGTAAAGTTACTTATCATCCAAATGAATAATAAGGATTAATTAAAAGATTAAGAAAATTGGTTTTGAAATCAATTTTAAAATAAGATCTTAGTGATTAAATTATTAATAAAAGCAAAGCCAATCTTTAAAATGTAAAAAATAAATCATTAAACTAATTAGATTGTCTTATATTTTAAGAATATTGATTTAAGAGATGATGAAGATGAAGAGTCATTATTTATAGGAATAGCTGATCCAACTATAGTTTATGAAATTTTATTTAAGGCATGATCAATTTAACATTATATTTTATAACAATTTAATTATGAGAGAGTAACAACATTTCTTAATTTAGTTTGCAATCAGAATTGAGAACCTTATATATCAAATTAGGCATTTTCTATGTGTTTTTAATATTTGATTTAATTTGGTCATCATTTATTGAACCAACTACCATGAATCAAATATCTTAAGACAATAAAGAAGGATAGACCTAAATTTTATGGATGAGTTCAGTTCATATTATTATAACAGGAATAATATTTGTATTATTTTGCACTTTGATGTGGTAGACGTAGCCATTAAAATTAGGAATGATCAAACTATTAATACGGTATTTGATTTATTAATATTTAGAGATTTCATGTATGTCTTTTTAATTAGTGGGTTTATGCTTATTATAGTTGTTATTGAAAGAGTAGCAATATTCATTACTAATACGAAATCAAATGCAGCTATATCTGAAGTAATTTAATCGAATTGGTCCAGTTTTTTTTATTAATTATTTTATTTTATCAGATATCTTTTAAGACCACTTTATATCTTTGTGATGTTACATGGATCATTGAAAATAACCAAACCTTATTATCATATGAGAAACCCAGAACTATTCATAAATTGAAATTTAAATTTTATTCATTATGTAACGAAATTTAAATTTAAAAATAATGATATTGAAAATGTTTACATACATAAACAATCCTATATTATATCTTCAAATTATTGATATTTATCAAAAATTTGTTATTAAGATTTAATTTTATTAAATAATTCAGACAATAAATTATAATTTTAAAGAACTGATAAATTTACAGAAAATCTTAATTAATTCTAATTTCAAAAGATAATTTAATATATTTAATTATCTTTTATTAAAGAGTAATAATGATTTATTAAAATAATATAGATTTAAAAAGTTTATCTATTATTATGACATTAACTTTATTTTTAAATAATTTATAGGTTATTAGTTTGATATTATAATTAAATATAATCAACTAAGTTATGCAAAAAATGCTTCTTCTTTTGAGAATAGATTATTTACAGCCTATGGATTTATACCATCATTTTCATAATTTTTAGCAACAGATTCTTGAGGTGTTGGAAAAGATTTTTCTGTTTTGACTTATCTTTTTGCTTTTTAGTTTTATTATTTATTTCCACTTTACAAGTTTTTTAATTATTATGCTTGTTTTTTTTGATTTTTAATTTCAATATCATAAATGTACTCTTTAAACATCTCTTACCAATCTGATTATCTACTTGCTTTTTCTTATTCATTTAAGATGTAGAATTATTCATCTGATTCACTTAAAGATGATAAGATTTCATTATCTTTTTATTCTTTTTTGATAACTTCTTAAATTGAAATAGGATATTCTTATTTTAAATTATTTTCTTGTTTAAATACTTCAGGCTACACCTTTAATAATTCTATCATTTCTAAAGCTTTTTTTAAAGTAATTTCTTCTAATTATTTAATTTCTTCTTCTGTTAATCCTTTTCTCATCTCTTCTTCTTATTATTTTATTTTTCTATATGAAGGCGGATCACTTACAGGTCCAGGAATTCCAGTTTCAATATTTTCAATTTTTTCAAATTATTCTTTTGTCAACTATGATATTCCTGTTTAATTAAACTCAGCTAATCTTTTTCTAATTGTTTCATCACAAACCTGAACAGTTTTACAAACTTAAGAAGTAGACACATTTTCTCCATGGTATCTAGATGATATAATTAATGCAGCTCCACAAAGTGATGATGGTCTTCTACCATAAGCCATCCAATCTAGCATCATTCTTTTAATTAATTTCATTGCTGTATCAACAATTGCCTAATATTTATCTCGGCTAAGAATTAATTTAATTGGATTACTTTATTTCTAATAGTCTTACAAACTTAGGTATATAAATAGAGGGATCTAAATATTACAGACTTTTTGCTAATTATGCAATTTAAGGAACATTGGCATCTACTTTTACAAATTTTAATAGTTTTAAATAACATTTGGCTACTTTAGTGGCAGAGTCCTTTTTTATAAGTTCTGAAATCTCTATTAGTAGATAAGGGGCATTTTTACATCTAAACCCAAAATATAATGCTTTTCAAAATAGAATATATAAAATACCTGCTCCAGCAAAATACTATCCATTTCTAATTGCATTTTCACTTTTATAAAATTTCAATAATCTCCTTGCTATCTCAAATGCTTCCTTGTACTCTTCATCAACAGCCAATTCTAGATCTAATTGTTTTAATGTTTTCTCAGTTTCTTAAGGTAATTAATCTTAATCCTAAAATCTAGTATCTTATTAGTGAGTCACATTTCCTCCATTTAAAAATTCTGCTTGTTCACAGTAATTCTACATTAATAATATAAATTAAAAATATAGATTTTAAAGTAAATTTTTTATTAATAAATCAGTGATAGTTCTAATGATTCTATTTAACTATTATTAAATTTTATTAAGTTATCTAATTTAAAAATTAGTGATTGAATTTGATTACTAATACATATTTAATTACATAACGATAAGTTTCATTAAATTTATAAATCAACATATATTTATAAAAATAAACTAACCTAATAAATATAATAATATTAATTAATCAAAAATATTAAGAGTAAAACTTACCCATTACTTAAGTTTAATTTATATTTTCAAGCATCTTTATAGACTTTAGAAATTAGAATTATATTTTGATAAACAATTTAAATTATTTGTTGATTTTTATATTCAATTTATTTGTACTCTACTTAATATATTTACAATTTACTATATTTTAGATAAAATAAAAGAAAGCTTCAAATTAGCAACCAATAATTGAAAAAGAAATAATAAAAATAATTTTATGGTAATAATTACAAAACAAATTACTTATATTAATAACACAAAAAAAACACTGAATTTAATTGAAGTAAAATATTCATATTATAATAAGTAAAACATTGTAATGAAAATTTAATCTATGTATATTTATAGAGAAAAATGATTATCTTTATAGATTCATTCTTGTTCTTTCTCTTTTATTGTTATTTTATGTATTTTGAAATGAAAAACATAAATAATATAACCATGATTTTGTTTAAATATTAAGAGAGTCTGGTCTTTTTACTTAAAGTGAAATAAGTTTATAGACTACTTGATTAAATGAAAGGAACAATTAAAGAATCTTTAATTTTGTAGTAAGAGACGATTTAATTGTTTGCTGCAAAAAGCTAAGATATAATCATTAATTATAATGTTTCCTAAATCTTGTGATGAATTATATCAATGTCGACTCTTCAAAAAAAAGTTTCTGGGAAACTCTCCTAGATATTTTTATATCTTTTTAGATAAAGCTGTTGTGAATAAGGTAATATAGTGAATAAATTATGTTTATAGGAGTCTAATCGTAAAAGAGCAGATCGTGTTTTTAATGTAGAAAATACTAAGAGAATAGTTTGGAAATACACCATAGAATAACCAATTAAATTGAAAGGAATCATATTTGATAATGGAAATGAACAACAAGAGTACTTTGGAGATGATGATGTACTTCGTGAATTAAAAAAAAATATCTCAAAGTTGTTCTTTTAGGCCAAAGTACAAGAAGAATATGTGGCTATGTAAGTGATTGGATAAGGAAACTATGCTCTAGTATTAATTAAATTCATTATTATTAGGTTCTTGAATTATAACATTTACACTCAAATCAAAAGTTTGCTTCAAAATGTATAGATAAAAAAAAACTATAGACAATTGAATAAGGAATGGTAATAATTTATTTAAATTCTATAGGAATCTGTGTTGAATGAAATTTAGATAATGAGAATCTTAAGTCCACATGAATAAATCATTAATTTGATTGAAGTCTATGAAGGAGATAATAACATATATTTAATAATGGATTTAGCTTAAGGAGGTAGTTTATATAAGGAAATGAAAAATAAGTTAACTCTATACAGTAGAAAAGAAGTCTAGAAAGTAAATATTATAATTTAAGTTAAAGATTATGTATTAGATATTATCTGGCTTATAATATATACATTCTAAAGGAATTATGCATAGAGATCTAAAACCAGAGAACATTCTTTTCAAAGAAAAGGGGAATATAAATACTTTAACTATTGCTGATTTTGGTTTATCTGTTAAAGTTGATTCATATCCATATCTATATCCCAAATGTGGAACTCCAGGTTTTGTTGCTCCAGAAATAGTTAATTTGATAGATAAAACTTCATCTTATACAACAGCATGTGATATATTCTCTGCTGGTGTTATTTTTCATATTTTACTTTTGGGAGAAGGTTTGTTTATAGGAAATGGACATCAAGAGATTTTGAGGATGAATAAATAATTCTAAGTGGATTTAACAAGAAATAAATATTAATAATTAGACTCAGATGCTAAAGACTTATTGTAAACTTAAATTCTATTATTAGATTTAAAATGATAGTCCAAGATGCTGATTAAAGATTTACAGCAAATCAATGTCTTAATCATGTCTACTTTTCAAATGAAGTTGCTCCCTAATTATAACTAAAAATGTAATAATTAATAAAATTATATCTTAGATAAGAGAGTCCTACCAAAGTTTCTTTCGATCACTATCTAGATACATATAACAGTCCTGATCAAAAATTAATGAACAAAGATAGCAAAAAATTATCAATAGTCACTAGAACACCTATATATGCTCCAAAAGCTAGTACACCTGAATTACCAAAACAAAGATCAATTATGGAAGAACTAAGTCCATTAAGTTCATTTTCTTTAGATTAGCTATGTAATGAAACTCAAAAAGAAGATTAATTCTAATTTGCTATTACTAAATGATTATTATTATTATTATATATATATTGATATATTTTAATTAAAATACTTAGTTTGTTTTTAAATATGTTTTAATTAATAATCTGACTCAAGGATGATTTATATATATTTAATAATGAATAATTTCTTTGTTTGGTTAGATATCTTGATTAATTATATTGGTCTTTGAAAGTAAATTATATATTATTTATAAGTTAATTATATTTTAAACTATATAAGTGGTTTAATAATAGACCTTCTAAATTTTCATATGCATAGTTTATTGAATTAAGTAAATCTCAATAAATACTACATAAATTTCTCTTTTATTAAGAAAATAATGTTAAGTATTGTTTTAATTATATAATTATAGTTTAAAAATTAATTATAAAAAATTTAAAAGTTCTTCTTCATTTTAATTTTTTAAATATATTATATGAGTTGATTGAGCATTAATTTTTGTATATTAATACTCAATTATATGTATCTATTGTTTGAGGATAAATAATTACAATTATTAACATCTATAATAATAATCAAAGTAATATTCTCTTATTGTAAGTTTTTTCTAAATTATGTATATATTCTTAATGATGTATTTAGAAATCTTCAATGAAGTTAGGAGGTAAATTGAAGCTGTGTTCTGGTTCTATTTCATCTTAAAATTTAGCATCTAATATTTTTTTCTAAGAATAAATATAATAAAGTTACTGCTAATTCTTCTCTTTCAATTTTTGATCCTCCATTATGTTTAAGTCTAATATGTAAATTCAATGAAATATCAGTCCCATAGATTTTATCACATTTTTCATAAGGACACTATTTAAATATATAAAAAAATGTACTTAAAAATCCCTTTTGATGAGGTTGGCAGTTCTACGTTTTTTTTTAGTTTCTTATTTTTAAGGTTAAATAAGGATGCAATGTTCTGTCATTGATTCCTAATATAATTCATAAATTTTAAGTTACTTCCAAATAATCAAGACGTTTAGACAACTGATTTAAATCTTAATCTAAATGATCAATATTTCTTGAAATTTGTTAAAAGTTCATCATAAGTGTCTCTATTGTACTTTTAATACATGTAGGTGGTTTTTTACTCAAGAACTCTATTTACTCTTTTTATCTTAACATACTAATTTTTTGTATAACTATTAATTAAATTGAGGATCATAGCATACTTAGTTTTTCTTAAATATTCTAATTATATTTTATGATAATATAAAATGAGTAAACAAAGAGAATTGTTTCAATTATAATATAATTTATATGAAGGCAAATATTCATAATAAGTTTTAGAATATTAAATAAATACAAAATGGATTATGATAAATTGTATTTGAGAATAAAAAAGTATCCTTAAAAATGGGGATTGTAAGAAGTAGAAACTTGGTTAGCTATTGCTGAATTATAAGAATTTTAATTCAAATTTATTTCCAATTAAATAGATGGTCCTCTCTTAGTTACTCTTGAAGAAAGTGATCTAATTGAAATAGGAATTGATGAAAAATCTGAAAAATTCTCAAATTTACTTCAATGTAGAAATTAAATAATATGTAGGGATTAAATAAGGTCTAAAAGATTATTCATATTTTCTAAAAGATAAACTATATTAAGAGTATATTATTTAGGGAACAATTGAAGATGATCTGAGCATAACAAAAAATTAACGTTCTTCATTGATAGCATCATATAATTATGAGAAAACTATTTAAAAGGTTGTTACTTTCTATTAGGAAGAAGGTGAAAAGAATGAAGTATAACAATATTAATAAGTGAATTAAAAATATGAATAAAATCTAAATAATGGATTGATATTGATCTTATATTAAGAACCTCCAAAATAATATCATTTTTTAAATTAAGAAATAAGTATAGGAAGAAATTATGATAATACGATAGTTTTATGTGAAGACTACATTAGTAGATAACATTGTTAAATAACATGGAATTCCAATAATTAAAATTTTTATTTATAAGATTTGGGTTCTACTTCTGGGACTTATATTTTATTAATTAATCCAACTTTGTTATAAGAATAATTTATAATATAAATGGGATCTGCCTAATATAGAATAGAGAAATTAGATATCTAAGGGATTAAATGTTCAGTATAGATGAAGATTGTTGAAGGCAATAGATTAGGATTTACTTTTTGTTTTGAATTAATAAAAAATTAGTCTAATTTAATTTTTGGGAGAAATTAATAATTATTTGCTATGGATCCTGTAATTATTTGAGTTTCACATAGATAGAATTTGAGTAATATACATGCATAATTTCAATATATTGATGATGGATTAGTAATAGAAGATTAAGGAAGTAGAAATGGTACATGGTTAAGATTGAGTGTTCCTTAATAAGTTAGTGAACCAATAAAATTAATTAATGGAAGAAAATTTAGATTAGCATATGAGAAGGTTTTTGAATGTATTGTTAATTAAAGTTGAATAGATTTAAATAATATTTTTGTTAATATTTAAGAAATTAATAATGTAAATTGTATTTTAATAATGATTCTAATCAATTTTCTAATAATTTTCTCTTTAGTTATCCTAATTTGGAAGATATCAAATCAACAGCTATAGCAACTGATCTCTTTTATTTAATTCTATAATTATTAATAATATAAATACCTGCTAGCAGTATCAGTTTCATATTCTTATCTTTTCAATCTACAATCATTTTCTCTATTTTCTTTTTCTTTAGATTTAGTTGTAATCTTTTAATCAACTTCAAATTTTTCATTTTTAGCTTATTAAATTCTATTTGATAATGAATCAATTAAACCTAAATAGATATTATTATAATAATATATACCTTCCATATATGTTTTATCTTAATTAGCCTTAACCAATTGATCTGATAATAGAGTTCTCAAATCTTCATAAGAACTTTATCTTAGATTTTCTGCTTAATCTTCTCTAATTCTTTCTGATTAAATATAATTTTCAATTTATTTAAGAATGGATAAAACCTTTCTAGTCAATACTTCACATTAACTTGGTTCATCTGCTGATGTTTAAGCTTAACTAGCTAATTGACTCAATATTTCAATTATTGATTTATAACCTTCTAAATGAACCTAGAATTGTATTTTTGTTGTTTTACATGATGTTTTAATTTATTAACTTTTTGAGCAACTTAAGCAAATGAAGTGATTCCCTTAGAATCAATATCTTCTTCTATATCTTCATCATTATATTAAAATGAAAAATCTTCTTAAAGAAATGATGGTTATGGTTATTAAAATCTATTTCTATTCTTTACCAATACATCTAAATATTTATTAAAATATCCTTTAACTTAATTAACTCCAAATAATGCTTATTCAAGATTGTCTAGAATTGTTTAATAAGTAGCTGATTCTTTTTATCTCTTTAAAGTCTAATAATCTAATTCTGCTTTCAAATCTGCAATTTCTAGATTCTTTCTCTCTAAACTAGCTACTGCTTAAACTTTTTATGGATTTAATGAATCTAAATCACTCTTTAAAGTAAGTGATGTGACAGTGCTTGTATTTATAATTTCTGTCAATTAACTCAAAGCAATATCACAGTTCTATTTAAATCTTACTATTCTCTCATCATCTCGTTTTTATTCTCCTTCTAATGTTTGTTCTAAATTTTGCATTATATCAACCAAATTAGATACAACTGGATCTTCTGTTTACATCTCCATTTGAATAGTTTGTAATATAGTCTATCCAAATTATGTTTCTTCTAGTTCAGCAATTTAATTATCAAATTCTGTTGCTAGACTACCCATAATCACTAATACAAGAAGCAATGCTTGTTTCATATTTAATATAATTAACAATAAAAATCCGTTTTCCATATATGTTTATTAATATTCTTATAAATTCGATAAAGTTACTCTAATGAATTAATATACATATATTTTCTTATTATTTTAACATACTATACAAATTATACAATATTATAATCAGTAAAGATATATATGATACAATTAAATTTGTTAAAACAAACTTATATTAATAAAATTATTCCATTTAAGACTTCTAATTTTTTAATTAACTATTTAAAAGTTGATTTAGATGTAAAAATTAGATTATAAATTTAATTTAAAAATGAACTCAGAAATAATTGAAGTGTGTTAACATTAAAAAGACAATATTCTTGTTAAAATGAAGAATGGAGAAAAGAAATGGTTTAAATTTGATGAGGTTCTCAAATAATAGCCAAAGATGCTTGCTTAATGGCTTGAGAAGCAAGTATTTTTCAGAGAAGTAGAGGAAGATAAATTATATTGATGTGTTTTATTTTGTTTAAAATTCAAAGATTAAAACTCTATTCTAATTTAATATCACTTATCTTATAACCATATAACCTACATTTTTATCAATTATTCATTAAATTATAATAAAATTTCAGGCAGGAATAATGTATTCTCAAAATAAGTTATTTCATCAAATTCATTAAGAAGTTCAAATTCAAAACATTTAAATTAAGTAAACTCATTTAATAATTAAACAATTTCATACCATTATTTAGATCTTTAATTTATTTTTACAATCAAAATATGCATAATATAATAAAAATCTAATTCATCATATAAAATCACATTTAATTTAATCTTATCTAATAATAAATTCAATTTTTGTAATTTATTATTATACACAATACTTTACTAATTGAATTCACTCTATTATGTTAATTTATTACATAAAAATGATAAAATCTTCATTTAATAATTATTTAGTATATTAAAAGCAATTATAAAATTATATTTTGTTTATTAATAAATATTTGTTAAGATTATTACTTTTTTAAGTAAATTCCTTTAATAACAATTATATTTCAAAATAAAACCTACAACAATCTCTAAATAATATAGTCTCAATGATTAAGATACAAAAAACAATAATTTATATGTTGCTTAATTAATTCAATATATTTGTAAATTGACATTCAGAGACTTCGATAAATTAAAAGATAAATTAAAAGAATATACTATATCAAAATTTATGTTTCTTTTTAAATAATATCATTCAAATATATATCAATTTATTAAAACAACAAAAAATCCTAGTATGAATTAAGAATAGAGTAGAATCCCTGATAAAAATTAACCAAAAAGTGCATTAAAAAAAGAAATCAAAAAAGGAAATTAGAGTATTTAAGATCAAAATAACTTAAGTTAAAAGGTTTGATAGAAAGGGGCAAGAAATTAAATAAGGTTCAAAATACGAGATTACAATCAATGATAAAGCCTAATTCTTCACTCTTAATAATGAAGAAAATGAAATTGCTAATTTAGACTTATCTAATTCTTCCAAATAAGAGAATTCAGAAAGTTATACTAAAACTTACTATAGGACCTAAAGAAGTCTAGAACTTAATTCAAAAGAGGAAGCGTTTTTAAAGATGCTGAGTTATAATTTCGAAAAAAATAAGAAAAAAGGAAAAAGTAAAGAATGCTGTATTATTTGGTGAAACCATCATTATTATATTTGTAATCTAATTTTATCAATTATATATTAAATAAAGACAAATATATTCTAATACTAATTATTTATATATAATTTTAAAAACTTAAAAAGAGCAAGCGACTTTGATTTTAGAGCTAAAAGGCTCAACTCAAAGTTAATAATTCTGTTCACTATATATTATTAACATTTCAAAAGAAAGTTGCTCATAAATTACATTACTTAAATTTACTTAAATAATTGCAATACAATATTTATTGAACAATTTAAATTTAATATATAATCAAATCTAAATCAGTTAAATCATTTTACTTTTCATTATCAAGTATTGCTCCCTTAAAGTTTCATTTTACTAAACTTTGATATATTATCTATTTAAGTAAGCTAAGTCTTCTGATATCATCTATCCTATATTCATTTTACAATTCAAGGAATTTGTTGAGACATTAAATGTTTATAAATGTAGAATTTAAGAAAAATGATTATATCATCACTCATATCACTTCCTGTATTTAAGACATCATCCATTTTATTTATTGTATCTATTGCTATAATCCACTAATTAATGCAATCTTTTCTTCCAATTCATTTCTAGAGACTTCAGAATAATTTAGAATAGTCTTTTTTGGTTCAATATCAAATGACTCTTAAAAAGAGTCTTGATTTTTAGACATTTTTTTCAGTACTCTCAACTTCCTTATTCGTTTTTATGTTTATTAAGGGGTCAAGAGCTTCTAAGAAACAGTACAAATATTTTTCAATTGCTAACATATTGATTCAATCTTTTAATTTTCTGTCATACACAATTCTAGAGCTGAGTTTTTCATAGTCATGTCATCTTTGATTATTTGCATACTAAATTTATGATCAGGAAAATTTTTGGAAAAATTAAATTATATTATTTTCAATACAACTATTAATTAATCCGTTTTAATATATTTAGAAATAATGGAAACATACAAAAAGAAGCTAAACTATGATTTCTGCATTAATTATAAATATTATAAATATTATAATTATTATAATTAAAAAAAATGAGTTATTGAGTTTATTTTTAAGCTCTCAAATATTAAATAATAAACAAAAAATTTATTAAACTGTTTATTCAAAGCCAAAGCATCAATTCCTTACTAGAATGAATGCATTTTTAATTGAAAGGATAAAAACTTAAATTTGGGTCTACTAGATCATCTGTGAACAAAAATTTTCAATTCTAATGAAAATGTTATGTATGAAGTATTTTAAAACATTTACATCTATAAAAATGAAAATTATTAAAACTAGAAAATAAAAAATAATTATATTCCTTTTAATCTCTGTTAATTTTAATGGTATTATGACCAAAGTGGCAGAAAACATCCTTAAATGTCTTTTAAAGAGGATATTTTTTATTAATAAAACTAGAATTGTATTCTATTAAGATCTATTGATAGGAGTTAACTATTTAAGTAGATTGGTAAACTTGATTTTTAATAATTAATTAAAAAAATAATTTAGATTAAAAAATGTTCAAACTCACTCCCTCAGCTAATTCTTAGAGATCAACACCAAAATCAATGAGACGATTAAGTTCACTAAGCCATTCTAATGGAGAAGTGCTTATGAATGACTATTTTAACTTACCTATGATATCAACTAAGAGTACATTAGGAAATTATGGAATTAAGCCTAATACAATCTCAGTAATTGGAGATTTCGATGAAAGCACTCATCATATTACTTAAGACACTAACAAAATACCAATATAGATTTTAGTTGGTTAAGGAGAAAAAGGTCTAGAGAATTCTAACTACGATATTCTTGAGAAGTATTATTAAAGCAAGGCCATTAATAATTAAAGAAGGGTAGAAGCTAAAAAGTTGATTAAATAAGAAAATATAAGAGAATAGAGACATTAAAGCATTTAAAAAAGAAATGTACAAAATTTAGACAAATTAAATGAAAATTAAAAATATTGTTAAGGAAAAAATTTTCTAATTAGAGAAAACTAAATTAAGTCAAATAATACAGATGCACAATTATATTTATTTTAGAATATGGATAAAATTGGGTCTTAATAAAAAACAAGTACCATAGAGATGGTTTCTAAAAGAATTGAGAATTTAAGAAGAAAACTTAAAATAGTATTTCTTTGTGTGTTTTCATCCATGATGATTTCGAAAAAATATAGATTAGTTAAAAAAGAAGAAAAATAAACTATAGCAATATTAAATAATAAACTTTAGAGTTGTTAGAAAGTCATAAACTAAAATGGGGTTAGATTCATTGAAGAATAATAATCATAATTCGTTTAAATTGTTTCAAATAAAGTTATTTACTACTTAAACAATTAAACTTATATTAATGAATGCAATACAATAGATGATGCATCTAATCCTGTTTAAAGTATGGATTGGAAAAAACTAAGAGTTTAGAGCTTTTCAAAATTAATTTATCAAAATTTGGAATTACTCACTAGAGAATGTAATTTTCCAGAATTATTAAAATGCCAATTAATAACTAGTCTTTATAAAACCTCAAAATAATAGACTTCATTCTTTGTAGGAGAAAGATGTCATTTCTATTAAGCAAATAGAATCCATCTTTAAAGAGAATAAAAATTAGCAATAGCTATGGAATATTTACTTTTTTAAATAGTTATTCCAAATTTACTTTAAATAGTTAATAGTTTACCAACTTACAGTTAAAATCATAAAATTTAAACCTAATAAATAATAGTAATAATAGCAAGTCTCTTACATCAATAATTTGTAAATAGATTTTAAAATATGAAAAAAGTGAAAAATCCTAATGGTTATATGGTCAATAAAAGATTGAATATGTAATATTTAGAAAGTGGTTTATTTTGTAATGAGATTAATATTGCATATAACACTGGTGATAATAATGAAGTACTTGGAGGATTAATAGAATAAGAAAAACTTTTATAAATTGAAAATTCGAAACCTGTTTGGAAATAATAAATAGATTCACTCTTTGAATAGATCCTGTCAAATGTCCAAAATTTAATAAACTTTTGATATATTTACTTTCTCTTTATATTATATTAATATTAATTTTTAAATCATTGATTTTTTTTGAATTCTATTATTATATAAGTAAAGAAGAAGAAACATGAATAGAAGAAAAAGTGGACTTTTTATCTGAAGAGGAATTATTAATTTATAACAAATGTTCTAATGGAACATTTCTAGAAATTGAAAGTGGTATATAACCAATAATATTGAGATTTGAGAATGATTTGGAAGACTTTGATGGGTAGAAATGTCTTAAATTAAAATGAAGAACTTAATAAAGAAAAATTAAATGAATAGAAATATAAGTATTATAAAGAAGAAAATAAATATAAAATAAAAAAGAAAAGAAGTTAATGCTTATGTATAATTACTTAAGTTTTGAGTTTAAGATGTAATTTGATAATTAGTTGATTAGAAAAAGTGATTTAACTACATATTTGATTATGATTGAGTATATATATATAATTAGATCAGTTGCTTAATTTAAATATAGAAATGAATAATTAGAATAAATTAGTTTGATTAAATAATTAATTATTTAATTATATGAATTAAGAAGTGGAAAATAAGGAAATTAAGGAATAGAAAGATTAAATTGAATAGGAGTCTGATGACAATGAGAAGAATGAGAAAAAAGAATAGACATAACAATAGGAGTAGAAGAAAAAGAAGAAGAAAAATAAAAAGAAGAAGAAATGGGGAGAAGAAGGTATCTTAAAATGAAAATATTAGAGGAAATTATGACTGATTTTGATGATGATTGGTAGAATAAAGTGAAATTGTCTAAGATATTGCAAGACCCTGATTTACCTTAGCATATTAAAGAAAAATATGCAATTTATGAGAATAATCCTTATATGATGATAGTATCAAATGTGCCTTTAAATGTATAATTGAAAGAATTGGAAGAATACTTTAATACTCTTATCACTTCTCTTGATCCTAAAATTAGTATTTATAAATTATATATTAGCCGAAAGACCTATTAAAGCTATTGAATATGGGGCAACAAAGTCTTGGGTAGTATTAGAATGTAGTTCAAAAGAAGCTAAAAGAGCTTTGGTTACTTAAGATTAGGTTCAATTTGTTAATAATTGTAAAATAAAAGTAGAGAGACCAAGAAAATTTTTAGAAAGGATTTTAAATCCATAAGCAAAGGAAGGTGAATTGAATGCTGAATAAAAATAAGAAGATAATACAAGATTGTATTTGGGAGGATTACCAACATATTTGAGAGATGAGGATGTGATGAAACTGATATAATCTTTTGGAACAACTAAATATTTCAATTTAGTAAAGGATACTACATCAAATACAGAGATATCAAAAGGTTATTGTTTTTTTGAATTTGAAAACACTGTCTCAACTGCAAAGGCTTTAAAAGCATTGAATAATTTATAGATAGGAGATAAGAAATTAAAAATATGTAAGGTTTAAGGGGAACCTTAATAAAATAAGAAAATTAATGGAAGAGATTAACCTTCTAATTATGCTGGTTCATTTTTGGCTTCATGTGATTTGTTACGTATGCCATAAGTGTAATAAATGTTAACAATCCCTTAATCTGCTTTGATTCCAAGTAAAGTGGTGTAATTTTTGAATATGGTATCAATTATATAATATAATAAAAGTGTTCAATTGAAGATCTATATGAAGATGATTTATATGAAGAATTAATGGAGGATATTAGAAGTGAATGTATTCGTTATGGATAAATAGAGAAAATAGAAATACCAAGACCAGATAAAGAATCAGGGTAATAAATAAATAATTATTATAATAGATTCTGTAATCCAGCTGTAGGAAAGATCTTTGTGAAATTTTATTATTAAATTCCTGCTAAAAAAGCTAAATTTCATCTTGCAGGACGTACATATAATAAGAGAACTGTTATAACATCTTTTTATCCTGAGGAACAGTTTGACTATAAGGATTATTTGATAAATGGATGATTGCTTGAGTTATATGATATTATAATTATTCTATAATGGTAAATTGATTAATGATTTTAATCATCCTCCTCTTCTGAATCTTCTATCTCTTTTAGGTAAATCTGCTCCATTACCTGCACAATTTTATTCAGAATATGTATTCAGATTAGGATATGGTTGTCTACCTGAATACTTTCTCATATCTTCAGTCGATTACTCAGCATATTTTGTAAGATGTTTTCTTGCTTATTCTGCATATGTTGGTTCATGTTTTTGACCATTCAAATCAGTTGCAGGTAAACAATCTAAATTCAATCTTTTTCTTTACTTGTTTCCATATAACTAATCTCTTTGGTTGTTATTACAAACACCAAAGCAATCACTAGTAAATACTTCATGATTGAAAATCAAAAAAACGATATAATTAATATTAAATCATTTCTTTTCTGGTTCATATCCTTATCTTTAATGAGCAACTTCTCTTGCTTTAACCAATCCTTATTCTCTATAATTTTACCATTCATATCCATGATATTTTGTGAATGATCTTCTATATAAATCTGAAGTTGCTTTTGCAAACCCTTTTAAAAACTTTACTAAATCAGCTCTACATATTATTAATATTATTTTATACCTTTCTTCTGCACTCTCTAATAATTCTCCTCTTTATAAACATTTTGTTCCCTTACACATAGCTTATGGATCTTTAGACCACATAAATAGATTATAACTATTCCAAAATATTTTTGAATCCAATAAAGCCATTGTATATTCTTCATATACTCTCTAACTAGCTGCTGGTTTATTATAAATTTAAGCTAAAGATGGTCCACTAGATTCTTAAAATGAAAAATCAGCTGCATATGGTTTTCCTGTAAATATTTCTAAAGAATGACAAGAAGCACATGCACGCATAAATACTTTTGCTCCTTATTTTAAATCACCATCAACTGGTACTAATTTAGATTTATCAGCATTTGTATTAGGATTTGTTAAATTTCGATATGTCTTTTTTGCTTTAATTGTTTATAATAAAGCTTCTCTAGTGATTGCTTCATCAATCATTTGTTATTCTTTATGCATAGCTCTTATTTCATTCTAAACATCATCTTTACTTTTTCCATAAGGATTTAAAAGAATTTTCTTCCATTTCTCATTTGGATCTTCTGACATTCTATTGTTTAATTTATTATCACATATTAAAATTCATATTTTCAATTCATCTTTCAATCTCTTTTCCAATTCTTCATCAGTCTCTTTTCTTACTACATCTTCTTAATTTTATACAATTTCCTCATAAATGTATCCACTCACATCTTCTCCTGTAATAATATCCTAGAGTAACTTTATATTTGGAATTTCAGCATTATCTTTTGTTACTAATACCCTCAAATCTTCATATAATTTACTATCATATTTTGTCTCAAATTATATAACATAATTTGATTATCTATATTTTTCATTCTTTATAATACATTTATAAATTACCACTTCTTCCTCTATCTTATTATTTGATACTTATATCACATCACTAATATTTAATAATTCATTATCTGTAACATTAACTTTTAACACATTTTTGTTTCCTAATTCAATCAAACATTTTTTTTAATCCTTCTCTAATGTTATTGATTAAACTAATTTTCCCAAGTATTTTCTACCCTTCATATATGATGATATTGTTTAAATTGAAAAAAATACAGGAATCAAAGTTACCCAAGGATTTATATACAAATAGGAAAGTCCACCTACCATACTCCATATAGTAATATATATAGAGGCAGATCTATTCAATTTGGTAGAGAATCCTTTTTTTTAAGCAAATTCTAAGTACCATCTACATTTAATTTATTTTGGAAAACTTTATAATTGTTGAATATTTTATTGTTCTGAGGATTAAAGGCAGCTGCCATCTTGTCAATTTATTCAGTCAGATAGTCTTCATGATCTAAAATTTTGTTTATCTTCTCTTTTGAAAATCTATATAAGACTCTTCTAATCAACATTATTAAAATTTAATGAGAATTGCTACATACAATATTAGAAATACTTAGGATTAATACATTAAGAGAAGAGAGAAATTATAAAGTGTCATCTAAGGATTAAATGCTGATGTAATATCTCTTTAAGAAGTGGCCCTTCCAGAGTTGGATTATTTGGCAGGTGATTATTAGAAATTCTTTGCCCCTATTCAATTATAATTTCCGTTAAATCCTGACCCAGAATTTAGAATAGATGGCAATGCTATATTAGTTAGGAAAGGAATTGAAGTTAAGTTACATGAATTTGTTCATATAAGTGTGTTTAGAAATATATAACATATTGTAATTGGAGATGTGCATATTTACAATACTCATTTGCATCATGTAATAGGTGATGATCAAGTTCGAAGTCATTAGATAGATAACATCTTGACTTATCTATTGGGATAATTGAATGAAAGAATCTTTTTAATGGGAGATTTCAACTTTACTCCTGAATCTTAGGAATATAAAAAAATGATTCAATATTTTAAATCATCTAATATGTTGGCTAATCAAAAAGAGCCTGAAATAACATTTCCAACAGGATTGACAGGACCATTTATGGATACTGATCCAGCTGGTACATTTGATTACATATGGATAAGAGGAGATAAAATTGAAGTTAAGGAATGTACTTTATTTGGATCTGATAAAATCTCAGAAGGAGTATATCCAAGTGATCATCTAGGAATTCTAGGAGTATATAATTTATGAAGAATATTATTAATAAGATATTGTACAATCAATTAATAATATATATCTTCAATTTATATATATATGTAATATTATCTATAAAAATGGAAAAAATAAGGGATTTGATATAAATATTTATCTAAGGGATTGTAAATTTAAATAGAAATATTTATATAATTGAAAAATGATTAACTAAAACTTTAATATTATTATAAAAAAATTAGATTAGTGTCTCTATAATTATATCATTTAATATATTTAAGTAATTTATCAGCTATTCTACATGTATTTATATGTTTACAATTGATTGTTATATCATTTAAGTATTTATTTATTAGATATTGTTTCATAAATTTCAATATGGGATTATCACTAGAATCATGTTACAAAACAGCAAAAGTCACTATATTAATAAATATATTACATTAAATTAACAATTTACTTAATGTATAATCTTGCAATTCATACATTTATTTATATTAAGATATTAAAAGAATTAGCAATCCATTATTAATTAAATGAGTGGATTGTTCTTAGGTACTGTTTGAGCATAAAAGAAATAGAACTTCTAATTAATGATAGATAACTCGTTTATCCTCTAAATATTAATAGATATATTTATTACTTTCTTTTAAAACTAATAACAAAAATTATATTGGAATTTAATTCAAATAAATGTTCTAGATTATGAATTAAGATTATTCAAATAACAATTATTTGATAATGATGGATGCTTGAGTTCTTATATATTTATCATATGCTTTATTATTTTATTAATGATGATCAATTATAGTAATTAATTATAAGAATATGTCTGGTTGTTTTTCTATGATATTAGATTTCAATTGTTGATCATTTAATTTTATTGACTCAGATATTACTTACAAAGCAGTTTACCTTAATTTTTATTATTTTTCAACTATAAATGCTAAAGTTGTGAGTATTATCCAAAAATTATGGTAGACTGTAAGATTAGTAGTGAATTGAGATTTGTCAATAAACTATAGAGCAAATAAGAGTATTCTATTTAATAAAGAATGTTTGTTCTCTGAATATTTTACATTATTTTCAAAATCAAATTCTATATCTAAATAATTTATCCCTCTCAATTTTTTGCATAATTTATCTAAAATTGACATCAATTATTTAAAAATTAAAAATGGAATTCTATTATTAGATTTAATAAATGTAGTCATAAGAAAAATTATAGTTGACATTATGTATTCATCTGACTCAATCTCAAGATCTATTATCTAATTTAAACTTTGTACAATTTTTAATTATATCATTTTAGCTTAGCAAAGCAATGATGATTATGATAATAATCCTAGTAGATAAAGTTATTCATCTAAGTAAGCTAAATTCTATTCTTTTTCACACATAGACAAAATTCTTGATCCTAAATGATAATCCTCAAATAAATTTTCTAAATCCTCCATCTGTTTTGCATCTTTAAGTTTCTTTACAATCAATTATAGTAATAATATTGTTTAATTTGTTAAATCCCTTTCTAATATTGATTTCAGAAGATCAAATTTTTAAATGTTAAAATTTTAGTCTATTTCTATTTAATTTTATAAGTGAATTATTTCATTATTCATCTAATCTTAATATAGTTGAATATCATTTTTTAACATTAATTTTTTCCTATTTTAATTAAAAATTTCATCCAATCCTTATTTTCTAATTTCTTGTCTAAATTACTCTTTTTTTTATGATAACATAAATTTATTAATATTATAATTAAATTAAATGGATTAGATTGAACCACAACCTATTTTTGATGAAATTCCATCAAAAATCAATATTAATCTTTTACCAAAACATAAGCCATAAAAATTCATTGAAGCAAGCCAAAATAAAAGTATAGATCCTGTTTACGAAGATGGTCATGAAATTGGTTTTATGATCAAAGGAGAAAATACTCTTTATGAGTTGGATTATGAAGAAGGGTGAGTTTCACTTTGCTTGACAATAGATTTTTTGAGCCAAATGGATGCTACTATTCGCGCGATTTTGTTCCAAAAGGATGGTGGGTATTAGATAAAGATTCATAGGAATTCTTCTATAATATAGATGGAAAATTAGATGGAGAAGATGAAGAAGAAGAAAATGAAAGTGAGTAATAGATAATATAATAATGATATTTACAAATTATAAGATATAGATTATTCTTATTTCAATTATATATATATATATAAATTCTTATAATTAATATTTATATTAAACAAACCTAATCATTTCTTCATAGCATTTGCCATCCATTCCATTCCTTCACTTAAACCCAAACCTGTTAAAGCACTACATTTAACTCTAATATTTAAATTATTATTATAATTTACATTGTCCAATTTCTTGATTTCTCTTCTTCTAATTTTAAGAACTCACAAATTTCTGTTTCACTCAAGGCTCCTTACATATCCTGCAAAATTATAATTATAAACAAATTAAAACTTGTTTATTTGCCAAAATTAATAATGGAACATTTTTAAGTTCTTCTTCTTATAATAATGTCATTAATTCTTCTTTTGATGTTTTGAGTCTACCTTCATCAAAAGAATCAATCACATATATAATACCATTTGTGTTTGGATAATAAGATCTCCAATATAATCTACACGTATATATATTTTCATTAATACCTAATAGCATTTTGACCTCCCAAATCCCAAACTTAAAACTTTAAATTTTTATAAGTAAGTGTTTCTACATTAAATCCCATAGCTTATTATAATTATTATATATTATTTACTTGGTGCTGTTTAGATCACCTCATTCAAATGCAATTTATCTTAAAATATAGATTAATAATGAATACATAAAATAGTTGTTTTTCCAGAGTTATCTAATCCTAAAATTAGAATACGCATTTCTTTTTATCCTATAAGTGAATTGAATATTTTAGAAAATACAAATCCCATTATTAATTTAATGAATTAACTCAATTTCGATAAATTGCTATATCCAATTATGATGTCCATACGAAGTCTTCGAACATATTTTAAATAAGATGATGAAAATAATCGCATAATCCTAGTATTGATTCTTAATTGATTAAGGATTGTCAAAATAAGGTGGAAACATTTGTTCTTTCCATTATGCACTTTATACTTGATTTAATAGTTAATGGTTCTAATCATACAACTATATCTTTTAATAATAATGTTCCTATACTTTAAAGAGAATTAAAGAACAAACTTGAATGTATTCAAAACTTTGTACAAACAAAAGATGTGACGATATTAAAAAAGAACATTTTGAAATTTTATGACTTAAGAGAAGGCTTTAGTGAAACTGAGAGTGAAGATGAAGGAGTTAGTTTGCAAATCAAATTGGTATAACCTAGGTCCTCTTATAAGGCAGACGGGTAAGATGAAGGAGTTTAACCCTGAAATACAGTAACTTCGACTTGAATTGGACCAAAAAGAGTCCACCATCCAAGCTTTGAAATAGAAACTCTCTTATCGTTAGAATAATATGGAATAAATGGTTCATAATCATCATAAAGAAGTTTCTGTACTCAAAGCATAATTTGCACTAAATCCATAACCAGATGATCATTCATCTATTTTCAATATAAAGTATTTTGATTAAACATAAATGCTTGATCCTGAAATGGTAGTTTTAATGAATGAAAAAATAGATGATATTAAATCTTAATATGAACGTTATGTAAAGTAATTTAAGGATTAATTTCAAAAATAACGATTACAATAAAACTATGAAGAAAATATAAAGAAACCATAAATAGATGATTTTACATCCAAAGATCTATTGAAAATTGCTCTTTAAAAAGAAACAAATCCTTATATTTTCTTTAAGAATATTTAAGATCTTAAATCTATTAATTATATTATAAATATTTTAAATAATTAAGAAAATGAATATGGAATTGATTATGATAAAATTAATAATGTATTGAAAACAAAAAATGAAGATTTAAAAAGAATAATTGATACTAGAATTATTATGGAAGATTGTCAAGCTTAAATGAGTGCTTAATATCTTGTAGATTTAGAGAAAAAGAAAGAAGAGATTTTTGAATTAAATTAAATGATTACTTAATAAGAGATTGAATATAAACACTAATTAAAGTTATATTTGGATTTAATATAAAATAATTATGAAAACACTAAATAAAATGAAATGATAATAAATTAATAATAAAAGATTGAGTAGATGAGATCTGAAAATCACAATCTCTCTACTATGTTGATAAATCAAAAATAACATTTTTAATAATTGAAGTAATAAAATTAATTTCTTATGAACAATTTAAAAAATATATTAAATATTCTATTAAAAAATAAAGGATAAAATAATTTAGGATTAGATAAATATGATTTGTTGAAAGAGAAATCTACCCCTATTAAAGATATACTTAATAAATTAAATAATTTAGAAGGATATGATCTCATTACTTTAATTTAAGAAGTAAAATTACTTCTTTATTAAAGTGAATCGTTAAAAGTTGTAAATTAAATTTCAGAAAGAGGAAAACTTAATAAACAAACGTAAACAGTTCCTATGATTCAATAATTTATAGAATAAAAAGATGAAAAAAAATCAAAAGAAAAAAAAGAATCAAAATTAATTATGAAACATTTAGAAAGAATTAGATAAGAAAATATTAAATAAAGTAAATTAAAGATAGCCTCTACTTAAACTGATAGTAACGATTTAAATTTATTGTAAGATCAAGAAACTATATATAATCAATAAACAAGGCTCATGTCATAAAGTCAAAAATGTGGAAATTAACCTTTAAATATGTTATTAAAGTAAGTACAATCTTCATTAGAAGAAAAACATAAAAGGTTTAGAGAATTAACTTCAGAGCCTTCTTTTGAAAAACATAACTCTATTTTCGATAAATTATATACCTAATAGAAGTTTGAAAATCCTAGATGGCATTAATTAAAGTCTTTAATTGAAAAACTAACAGATGATGAATTCCTTGAAGTTATCAATACTTTAGAAATATATTCATATAAATAATAATAATTAACTTAAAATACTACTCTAGAAATACCATAATATGATATTAGTAGAATTTAATAAACTATTAATTATAAAAGTATTAATAACAAAAGAAGAGATTCAAGTGTAGATTAAACAAAAAAGTATACTATTATTTTATTAAGTGTTTTTATTGAATTAGATGAATAGAGAGAATAAGCATCAAAATTATTTGAATAATAGAGGATTGATACTTATCGAAGAAGAATAAAAAGATTAGTTCCAGTTTAACCTAGTTAGTGTTTATAAGTTGAAGAAAAATTAAGGCCAAAAAGTTAAATTAGAAGTAGTTAGCAAAAGCCTAGTTACTGATTTATATATGAAATCATTTTTTCTATAAGAATTTAAGTAATTATTAACTTTAATTATTTTACAGACGAGTGTTTGATATCTGTCTCTACAATGCTTATAAACTTTTACCAACTTAATCAAAACTTTGACTAGACAATGTTTATTCTTGCTTTTACTTATTAATTATATAATAATACTCTAATTAATGGTGATTCTTTTTTTATTGCTTTATTATATTTATTTTATTTATCTGTACTTAAAGATTATTGTGATTGTTCATTTAACTTTTCCGATTTCTAAAGACGATGTCTTTTTTCACCTTTTGAATCTTTTGGTCTTTCTGTTTCTGTCAATTTAGGCTCTAGATTTCTTTATAAATACATAACATTACTAAGTTTCATCATTTGTTTTTTAATACCCACCTTCTTATTTTAAAGAAACTTGTTTCCTACCTTTAGAAAGAGAACGATCTTTTTCAGTATTGCATATTTTTAACAAAGCTTTAAAATTAGCTTCATTATTTGAGTTTTATAAACTTTTTTAGGATTTGTTGGAGACTAATTTACTCAACCTTTCAAAGGCAGATGGAGTCTTTTTATGAAGAATTTCTTTAGGTGAACTATCAAATAATTTTTTATGTTAATCCTATATATAATATTAATCTCCTTACTTTAATGACTTATTCTTAAGATTTTATTTTTTCTTATTATTATTATATAATAATATCTTTTTCAATAGTGATTTCATCTATTTTTTATATTAAAGCATCAATTTATAATTTCTATTATTGTTCTACCCTAATGTGAATTCTAATGGATGCTTCAAGTTTTTAGATTACTGTCTCATAATCATTGTTTAGATGTTCTTCTAATTATTCTTCAAATACATTTTTTACTCTTATGCATATTAATTACAAGGTTACCTATTTAAATAAGCAATGATTTAAAGAATATTGTCATATTATTACTTTTCTGATTATTCACTAATTTCCTTTAAGCTAATTTTATTGATTTATTCATATGTATCAATGATTTCCTACTTCAAAGAAGATATATTACATTATCTATTACTTCTGCAATATCCAACAATAATTACTTTATAGTATAACTTTGCATATATATATATATATTAATTAATCAAAATTGCAAACCAGATCTAGTTAAGTGAATATTACTATACTAAGGGATCGACCCTTTTAATTATAATATTATCTTTTTAGTCTTTCTCTGATCAACACTTATTTATTCATCTCTTTGTGTTTGTGAGCATGAATAATCTTATTTTATAATAGATTATTAAAGTCTGCTTTTTTAGAAGCAAATTTATCGCTTCTTGTTATCTTATTGTAATATTTTAGTATCAATTGATTTTCTCAAAGGATAAGAAGTTTTTCTTTAAGAAAGTGACCGCTCATCTTAATTTAGGAAACCAATTGTACTAAGTAAATTTTATTAAGACTTGTTAGACATTAATTTATTAATCTTTTCATAAGCTGATGGTGTTTTCTTCTATGTATTTAAATCTAATTGAGAAAAATGATTAAGAAAATTATTTTATAAATTTCCTACACTTTCAGTATGTTTATCTTATAATTGCAATTACAATTTATGTATTTTTTCTTCAAATTATTTCACTTAGATTTCTTTGTCTTTTATTAGTTCCTCTACTTTGCTATTTAATATTTCAATCTGAAGATTCAGTTAATATTATGTTCTAATATGTTTTCTAACAGAGGCTTCTAAATTTTAGATTAAAGTTTCATAATCATTCTTTATATGCTCATTTAATTATGATTGCAATTATTAACGCATCTAATCAATTGATTTAAAGAGCTATATTATATTGAATGATAATGATGCATCATCTTAATTAATTATTTACGACTAATCTATATCATTATCGATTATGCTCTCTAATTTATGTTTATTCATACATTGTCCATCTCCTAAATCAAATCAAAATACAATTATGCTATAAGTGAAGGTTTCTTATTCCTTTTATTCATTAATAATTTGTTAATTTTATACTTAAATTAAAGTTCTATATATTTATTTGTTATATTACTTTAAGTTATCATAATATAGATTGTATCCCAACAATTATATTCTAATTTCACAATAAATAATACAATATATATAAATAATAATAGATTTAGTACTTTTGATTAAAAACAAGTAGCAATTGATCTAATCAGATTCAAAATATTTTGATTACGCTATTCTTTAACAAAAAACTTTAAATTTATTTCAATTTAAATTTCCAAAATATTTTTATATAACAGAAAAATTAAAGAATGAAACTTATGTGTTATTAATTATTATTCTAATTTTCTAGAACATAGTATAGAAAAGACACGGCATACATATATGGTTTTATATATGAATATATTATTTTCATCCACTTTTAAAGAGGAGAATGGCAACTTATCCCATATAGAAATAAATGAAATGTTTTGTCTCATGTGTTACATATGAACCAAAGTTTCTACCAACAATACAATGCCAAGTTGGATTATATTTTTTGTCAAACTCTTTTTTGATAAAAGCCTAAGATTAAATAATTTGTATATACAGCAATATCTTTTTCGATGTTGAATTTTTCCAATGCTTAATTTGCACAATCAATTGCATCTTATTACATTTCCTCTGACATATCTGCATTTTTAACAACTGCTTTTCTATCAGCTTAAGCCATTTATTTTTCTTATTATTTAAATTTATTAATAATAATTTTCAATTTCCTTTTCCAATTTATATGAAACTTAATATAAATGTAGCATTTTCTTTTTTATTATTATTTCCTGAACATAAGAATTTACTTCTATATGTATTCAATTAATAATTCATATAATTTTATAAATTGAACTAAGGTTTCATTTTATTATTATTTGAAATTCTCAAATTAGAAAATAGTAATTTTTTCATTAAATTCCAAATTGATTATGATTAAAAAACTTGTCAAATTTTAGGAATGTTAAATACAACATTTATCTCATATTATATTTAATATCTTATAGTTATAAAACAACAGATATAATTATTACGGAGACAAATAATAATATGAAATTTAAATATAATTTATTTTTTTATTATTCCTTAAATTAAATCCTTAAATAATACAGAAGATTATAGAAGAATAATCCAATTTTTTTTAAAGATTATTATTTTATAAATTATAGCTCTATTTTGAAAACAATCAATAATTTATTTGAAGATATTAAAATTTTGTGTCTAAAAGACCCCATCATAACAAAAAATAGCTAAATAGTCTATAATATTATATTTTATTTTATTTATTTTACTTAATATTATAGATAAGAAACTAAATTTTAATCATGTTAATAATAAAAATTAATCAATATGGTCTTGGTACATTAATTTATTCTTAATATCTTTTTGTTTTAGGTTTAAGTTCTGAAGCTTTGAATTCAACTATGCTACTTGCTTCACTTATTGGCATTAATTATTATTATTGGATTATAGATTTGCTTAGATTAATGATGTAAGAATGAGTCATCTATTTTTCTTCTGGTATCTCTCTTGATTTAATATACTATTCATTTGAAATGTTAATTGAAAATAAAGAACAATCTTTAAATTGATCGAAACTTATGTTACATTTCTTTCCAAAGATAGCAAAAGTGAGTAAATCAAAATCAAAGCCGTCAAATTACACTTTATTGTTTTTCATATAACTCATAAGACTAGTACAATTGATAATATCATTATTGTCGCTCAGATTTTAAAAGATCTATAAATAAATATCTAAGAGATTACTTTAAATAGATTGAAATCGTCATTGTTAATTATTTATAATTTGCTATCCTTAATTTACTTAATCACTCTTATTTACTAGATGAGTAATTTTAGAAGCTGAACTTAAAGATCATTGTTTGTATGATCAATTATAGTGTTTGATTTATGAAGTACAAGTTTCGTTAAGTAATTCTAACCTTTTTAAAAATTAAAAATTACATGAAATTGTTATTTGCTAATAGTAAATCTATCTTTATCACCAATGAACCATATAAATTCAATAATATCCTTATAATTAATAGGTTGGAGATTCTAAACAAAAAAGTTTAACAAATTATTTTTAGTAATAGTATCTTCGCTGTTAGACAGTAACTCAAAAGATCGAAATATATTGTCAATATTATTAGAATATAAAGTTTATTTGATAGTTTATAGTTTCTGTTCATAATAGGAGATCATTTTCAGATAAAATGCAATTTATTAATCCATTATTAATTTAAATATATAAAAATTCATATGATCAATTCTTATTATTTTTATTATGAATGTTCTGTATCATTAGATTTTATATCAGAAATACACTTATCACTGGTTAGAGATTGTTCTAGTTTATCAAACTTGTTTAATCTCAATTTTAAGTTTAAGATTTTATCACTTAATTTTAATTACTCTTCTTTTGTGTCTTATATCTTTTTTATTAATTCTTATTTCTCCAAAATACAAGTTCTTGTTATTTCTTATATTTAGAATGTCAACTATTCTATCTTTTTTGTATATTCATCAATTAACAAGGTTTTTTCTTATAAAATTTCATCCGGAGTCTTTTAAATGATGGCCACAGCACTTGGTTTCAACTTATTTCTTTATGCTTTGGGCATCTCATTAAAATCAAGGTTTGGCTATTTTTACCTAATCTTTTACTCAGTCTTTTTATAATATTCTTCAAAAAGTTATATTTTTTTCTTTAGTTATTATTTTTATGCATTCAACTTTAAGCTCAATCCTTATTAAACTTCTAATTCAAAATATTAAACTTTATTCATATTATGTAGCTGTATAGTTTCCTATTTTAATTGTTATTTCTTTTCTTGCAATTCTTTTATTTAATTATCATTTAAATTTTCTTTTTTACCTTGACGTACTAATTGAAGACAGTACTCCTTAATAAGATCTTCTACATAATCATTCATTTGATCTCCTTCCTTTTTATAAAGTTCAATTTTTTTCTCAACCTAAGAATATTCATTTATTTTTTCTTATAAATAGTCCTATAGCATTTTAATTTACTGTACTAAATGTATCAATTAATAATACATCTTTTCTGCCTAATGGTTATAAAACTTATTTATTATTTTTATCTGAAATAATAGATTCCAAAGATTTCAACTTAGCTGTATTAAATCTTTAATAATCTATTCTACTTGAACCCAATCCAGTTGTTTTATTTGCTTATTTATCACTAGTCATAGATTTTAATTACATTGCTTTTTTAATTTAATTTATAAATAAAAATTTACTATTTTGTATAATATTTAATGTTTATAGTTTATGTATATAATTAATTAGTAATATCATTATTTTAGTTACATCTTTAGCATTCTATTTTCCTCTTTAATCATATTGCAACTAGCTTATTCAATATTTAGTAATTATAGATTGGTTCTTAGTTAATATTAACGGAATTCAAATTCTTATTCACATTACTATAATAAATTATTTTAATATTTTACATTCAAATATTAAAAATATTATTTTACTTTTTCACTTGTAGATCCTTCATTTAAAGTTTAAGAGTTGCAAAATCTTTTTACATTGATACTTTTAAAAAATTCATCCAATAATTCCATTTCCTTTAAAAGCGATTAATAATCCTTTTCTTTCTTTTCTAATTACTCTTTAATTTAATTAGTAATATTAATATCCTTTCTCATTTTATTGAAATCAACTGAATAAATTAGTTTTTCTTCATATTTTTTTTACATGATTTCTTTTTCATCTAATAATTATTTATAACATTTTTATAGTGCTGACAAATCAGCATTCAACTTTTAGTTTGCTTTTTATAAAAATAATACATTGTCAGATAATTTCTTTTATTTAATTTCATCTAACTCATTCTAAATATTCATTTACATTTATTAAATAGTCTATTGTAATTCATTTTTTGTATTGGACAATTCTATTTTAGCAGTACGAAGTCTTATGATAAATAGATAAAAATTACTTATCAATTTCTTCTAAGGCTTTTGCTCTTTAGGTTTATTCTAATTTCAGTTCTGATTTTAATTTAATAATTTCATTTTCTTTCATTATTAGCTTTTAATTAATAATATCAAAACTATCTAAGAATTTACCTAATTTTTCTTTCTAATACATAAATTCATCTTTTAATTACATATATTTTTAGACTGCCTCTTTATTCACTTTGTTTTTTTCTAATTCTAACTTCAATACATCATTTTCTTTAGAAATATTATCTAAAAATCTTTAGGTTTCATTATATAAATTAATATAATTTTCTTTTTCTTTATTTAATTACATGGTCATTTAAATTTCATTATTTAGTAAATTTTAAATATTTTCAAACTTTTGTTTAACTGCAACTTATATAGATTAATTAGTAGGAATAGTCTATTCAAGTTCCATTTATTAGTTAAGTTCTTATAGAAAATCAAGTTGCCTTATTTCTAAATTATGATAATTTTCTTTTTCTTTTTTGAGTACTTTCAAACTTTTTAAAAATTTCTTAGATTTAACATTACTTAATTTTCTATATTTGATTAACTCTTTTACCTATTCTTAAATTAAATTTTCCTTATCTTTAGATTGTTCTTATAAGGAATTGAAATTTGATTAGAGATTTTCTAATTCGACTTTGATTTATTCTATTTCCTATTGTAATCTTGATATTTCATCACTTTAAAACTCAATAGTTTATGCATCTGTATCCATTTAATCTTTATATAGTTATAATTAATCATTTAATTCTGCAATTTTATTTTCTAGTTCTTAAACTTATTGTGATTTATCTTCTTAAAATGTATCTAATTGATTTTCATACTTTTCTATAATTGATTATTAATTTTCCATTTCAGCTATCAATAATTCTTTGTCTTTTTGTACTTCTTATAATGTTTATTCTAACTAAGTAATAATTAATTATTGTTCATTTCTTCTATGTTTTAAGATTGTATCCTCTTAAGATAATTCTAGTATTCTTTAATTTAAGATCTCATTTTTATGTCTTAATTCTCTTTATATTTCAATAGCTTATTATAATAAAAGATCTCTATTTGAATGATCAATTTTAATTGATTCATTATTCTATTCATTATGCTCTTCCAATTCTACTATTCTTGATTCATAATATTCTTTCATTTATTTTAATTCTTTACTCAACTATTCCTAAAATAATTCACTTTCATTAAGTTAACTATTAAGACTAGATATTTATGAAATCAATTCTACTTCCTTTTATTTTTTAGGAAATATTTCAGAATTTGAATTTTATTATTAAAGTTCATTTTTTAATCTCTTAATTTCTGCTTTCAAACTTTCTAAATTTCCTCCTACTTCTTCATTAACAATTGCTTAATTTCTAATATTTTTTGCTCTAGATGCAAATTTTAATGTTCCTAAAGTTTCTTAAAATGATGAACTTGCTTCAGAAATAGTAGCAATCATAACTGTTTTAGAATTCCCTCCCAAACTTTCTCTTAATAAAAAAGTTAATTTGCTATCTCTATATGGAATAAATCTTTTTGGATTTTCAGCTAGAGAATTAATAACTAATCCTAAAACTGTTAATGACTTATTAATATTAGCTGCTTCCTTAAGTCTTTCACCAGTGGCAGCAGTTAATTTTTATCTTTCACTACCTGCTAAATCAACAAAATTTAATTTGCTTCTTCTTGTATACATTCCTTTAGTTCTTTGTTCAAATTAAATTGTAAAAACTGAATGACTTCTTGAACTCTCAAGATTCATTTAAGTAGCTGAAACATGTCTATTATTAATTCCTCTTTATAATAAAGAAAGAACATCATTATATGAACTTACTGCAATTTCAGTTAGATTCTCAACATATACTCTTTTTGAATCTTCTCTTATAGTAAGTGTTTATGGTTTAGCATCATTTAATAGATCTATTAATTATTCATTATAAATTTCTAAATAAGTGCATTTAATAGAACAAGTATTTTCTTTTGGTAAATCAAGGAATAATTTTTAAATTAATCTAGGTTGTAATCCTAAATGAATTTCATCATTTTTTAAGTCATCTAATCCTTTTCCTTACATTGTGTATGTTTTCCCTGCTCCAGTTTAACCATAAGCAAAGATACAACAATTTAATCCATTCAAAAATGATTCAAGAGTAGACATTCCAATTTTATCAAATACTTACTCTTATGTTGAGTTGATTCCCAATACATGATCATAATTGTATTCCTTCTTATTATCTAAAATAATAGAATTATTTGTTGTAGTCACACAAGAATTGGCTCCCAAATGTGTTTCTCTATAGTTAAGCGGTCTAACTCTGACCAACACTCTTATATTTTCCATTGAAAATAAATACAATTTAAATTATTTTAACGAATTAATTTAAAAAAATTATGTAATAATATGAAGGATTAATAGAGGAGAACACTTAATTAAAGAAAGCTATCATTTCTTCTAAAGCTGTGATAACTAGAAAGATTAGTAATTTAAATTTATAATTATTTTAAGATGAATATGAAACTTTATAGGCTATAAATGATGAATTGAAATAAAATCTTGATAAAATGAGATTAGAGAATTAGGATTTATTATAAAAGTATAAAATATCTATACATGATAAAAAATAAACAGAATAATAATTTGATAATGCTACAAAGAATTGGAAACTTTTAATTGAATAAAAATAAAGAGAAATAGAAGAGATTTAAAGTAGATTGACACCTGCTTTTGATTAAGATATGATGAGAATTAAATTATTGAATGAATTAGATTTACCACATAGATAATAATTGGAATAAAAGTAATTAGAGATTGAAAAGTTGAATGAAACAATATATTAATTAAAAAGAAAGATTGATTTGGAATTATCAAGAGTAGAAACTATATAAATAGATAAAGATAAAGAAATAAAATTATTATTAGAAAAACATAAATTAGATATGGCAGATCTTTAACATTAAATCACAGATTTAACAAGATAAGTAGAAGACAATAAAGATAGAGATACAATAAGAAGATTAAGAAAAGATTTGGAAGAATATAAATTAAAATTTAATATTACTGATACTGAAAATGAAGAATTAAAAAATGAAAGAGATAAAATTAGAGAAGAAAAGAATGATATTATGATTAAATTTGCCAGATAGCTTGATACAGAAAGAAATGATAAAAGATAATTTAAAAGTGATTTTGATAAATTATAAGTAAGAACTAGATTTTTAGAAGATGAATTTAGAAAAGAAAAATAAAGAAGAGAACAAGTTTCAACTGATATTGAAATTTTAAAAACAGAAAAAGATTAATTATTGACTGATTTGAGAAAAAAAGATGATACAATCCATTATTTACAAAGAAAAATTACAGATATGGAAGAAGAATAATAAGAGTAAGAATAAAAAGTTTAAGATAAATTAACACGTTTGTATTAGGATGAACATGATAAATTTTTACAGGAAAGAAATAAGGCAGTTACACTTTAAAAAGATGTTGATAATTTAAAAAAAAGATTTAGTGATCTTTAAGATGATTATAAAGTATTGAGAGATAGATATCAAAAAGAAAACATAGATAATAAAGATTCAATTAGGATATAGAATGAGGAAATTGAAAAATTGAAGAAAACACTATCTCAACAAACAAAAGAAATTGGAGATTTGGAAAGATCAAATAAAAATAAAGAAGAATAAATTCATGATTTAGAAAATGAAAATGAAACTATAAAGAGAAGAAATAGAGAACTTTAACATAGAATCTAATTAATTGAAGTAAATCCTATTCCAACATCAATCTAAACTCAACCTATTATTAATTAATCTTAACTTCCTACAGTTACATAAGTTCCTTAATTTGTATAGTAAAATCAAGAATAATATGATACAACTAAACCTTTAAAGTAATTAAATTCAGTATAATCAGAAAATGATCCCTAAAATTAATAATAAGTATAAGCTTAAAAATAATCTCTATAATAAATTACTGAAGAAAACAGATCTTTAATTTCGAAAAATAAAAAATTAAATAAAAAACTTAAAATAGCTAATGAAAAAATTCTTGAACTCTCTATGAAAAATACTATCTTAGAAAAACAAGTATAAAGAAAACTTTCTCAACCACCAATTTAAGATATTGATAGATCTAATTTTGGTTTACATGCTCATTCTTAATCTCCATTTAAATAAGATTCTTATTAATAGTTAGAAACTGAAACACATTAATAAAGACAATAATAATAAACTATTCATACTGATACAAGATTAGATAGATTTGATAAATAAGATAAACTAAATAAATAAGATAGATTCGTTTAATAATCATAAGAGAAATATAGACCAAGAGGTTAATCTGGAATAGATGTTCGTAGAACTTAAGGAAATCCAATTGATATAAGAGATGATGAATTATTAAATAAAGTTATGATGCTTACAGATGCTTCGGGATAGAATAAATAATTTTGGTGATTTTTTCTTTATTTCATTTTATATTTAAGATATGAATATGCATTGAATATTGATAATTTTATTTTATCAGGAATCTTCCCTTTCCCATTTTGAAACCACTTGCAAAAGATTTTCCATTTTTTATTTTTCATATTCTTCTAATGACATACTCTCAAATTCTTTAGGTATTTTACCATCTGGGAAATTGGATGCTTTAACTCCAGCTATAATTTTATTTATATATATATATACATTTTGTTAAATTAGGACTTAATTTAAGTAATGTAATACCACCATGAGTATCACCTACTAAAATAATAGGATCTCTTTAATTGAATGCAATATTAGTTAATCTTGGTTATTTAGATGGTTTTTATTCTGCAAGTTTTCCAATTTTATCAACATTCAAATCATAAACAAATATTTTATCTTAAGTGGCACAAGCGAAAACTAATAATATATAATTAATGAATACCTGTAGAACTATAAGGTGCCCACATAGCATCAACAACCTACATTCCTTATTCAAAACTCATAATTTGTGTAGATATTTTAGAATCCCATATTTTAACAGTCCAATCAGCAGATGCAGAAATGAAAGTTCTAGAATGAAAATTATTCCATTTAACTTTATACACTGCTAAATTATGTCCCTAATTATAAGAATTATTAATATACAATATATGTTTCTTAATATTATCCTGAATATGCTCTAGAACATTTATGTATTTTTCCTTCTTCAGTACCAACTAAAAAGATATGAGGTTCAAATTTATTGAAATCAAAACATAAACCACAAGCTAAACCAATTAAAGTACTTTCTTCTTCATTCTTACCAACCAATCTTAATCTAATGACTTCTTCAGGTTCTAATTTATTTTTCATCAAAACCCAATTCATAACTCTACCATCAGATGAAATTGAATAAAAATTATAATTCTTAGAGATATCTGGATTCCATTTAACTTGCCATACTGGGTCTGTGTGTTTTTAAGTTCTTACAGTTGATTAATAAATTGGTTTTTTATGTTTATTTCTGATATCATAAACTAAAACTGTTCCATCATATAATCCTACAGCTAATAATGCTGGACTTTAAGGATGAAAATCTAAGCACATAACTCCAGCTTCACATGTAAATGCATATTCTGGATGAGTTGTATTTTTAAGAGAATATAAACATATAAGACCCATTCTTTATTTTGAAAATTCATAACTACCAAAACTTACAGCAAATAGATCCATATATCTAGGATTCCAACATAATGATGTTACATGTTTCTTTTTTTATTTCTCATTTGAAAATTTCCAAATAGGTAATAAATGTCTAATTATTTTATAAATCTTTACCCTTCATTTTTAGATGTTTCTACTACTTCCCCTTGATTCCAATAATATTTATAATCATTATATTTTTCTTTTTGATCATTGTGAACAACTGTTCTTTCCATAATTTTTAAACATCTCTTGAAAGATGGCTTATAAACTGTATTATCTGAAGTATGATCTTTCTTTTTTTAACTTTCTTCTTTGGCTTTATTTTATATATAAGCATCAAAAATTTCCCATTATGTAATTTAACCTTTTAATGTATCACTAGGAGGAGGTTCTGTTGATACACCTCTTTCTCTAATTACTCTTCCATCAGTTTATGCTTCTCTTGCATTATAATTAAATTTATTTCTCATTGTTTATTTAATTGCCTCTTTATCCTTTGATGCCCCAGGATCTTCCATTTCTTAATTTCTTTCTGCTTCTTTAATCAATGCTAATTTTGTATCCCATAATTCCTCTTGTATTCTGGCCTCATTTGAATCTTTGTGAATGATTTCTCCATCTAATCTGAAATGAATAATCAATTATTCAACTAATTCATCTGTTTTATACTATCATAATTTTCAGTAGTTACTTTTCTTTATAAATAATCATATTAAGTTATATTCTTTGGTGCTTGAGGATTGTTAGGAATCAACATTTTAGATGGCATATCTTCATTCAATTCTTTCTCTGTCAATTAAGGTCTATCTCTTTCTCTCTATAAATATTTATTTATTTCAAAACTTCATGTTAATATTCTGATTCATCACCATCTGGTTCAGCTTCTTATTAATTTAAATTCTAATTGGCTATTTTAGGTTGTTTTTTCTATCAATTATAATTAATAACTTACAGGTATTGGTCTCCTAAGGGTTACTTTTTATTATTTGGGTGGCATTTTAATTATTAAATAAACTTAATCAAAATATGATTGTATTTATAATATATTCCATACATTTAATTATTATTTATTTAGAAATTGACATTCATACATGTCTTATTACATTAATATATATATAAAAAGAAAACCATAAGAATAAAATAGTATTATTCAAGATAATTCTTAAATTAGTTTAAATTATTAAAGCTTAAGAATAAAGAAGAAAATTAATTTAATTTTGGAATTCATATAAAAATATAAACAAAACAGTGTTTTATACTCTCATTTTCTATTAATTAAATGAAATATTTATTTAAACTTTTCTTAAATCTCTTCATTTTCAATTTAATGAGCTTCTCTTTTAAAATTTTCATAGAAATTTCTATTTATTTTACCTTTTTCATTTAAAATCTATTTTATATATATGTTTATAATTTACTTTAATACTAATTAAGAATTAATTTATGAATTTTTTCTCTAATAATTTAAGATTAATCATAGTTGACATATTTGGAATCAAATACATAATAACATTAATATCTATGCTTAGTTTGAGTGCCTCATATGATTCTGTTAATATTCTTGAGTATGGTCCTGACATTATTCCCTTTTTGAATAGCACACTTGTCATCATACATAAATCTTGTATATTTGCTGTTTTATATTCTTCACAATATAATTCCATACACTTTTCAACTAAATCATGAGTAGCAGTTGTTTATAATGCATGTAAACCAACAATCATAGATTATAAATTTAACCTTTTTTAATGTACTGCATCTTCAAAACAATTATAAATAGATCTTATAACATGATGTTTAGTAGGAGATTCTAGATCAGATTTGGATAATGTATGAATAATTTATGCTTCAACTCTTCCAAAATATTTGAATTCTAGTTTACTTAATAATTCATAGAGGAATTCATGCATATCATAAATTTCTAATTTTTAATAAGCTACTAAAGTTTCCATAATTATTTATTCATCATTACAATCAGATATTTTTAATTAAATAAGTGACATTAAATTTTTCAATGTAAGTTATGCTGCATTATATGCTATCAGTTTTTCAGTTTTGAGATCCATTTAAATATTTTTTCTTGCAATTTTAGCTAATGAATATGCACAATTTGAAAGTGCTTTGATATTCATTTCAGTTGATTTTTTAATAAGCAAATCACAAGCCTGACTTATAAATAACTCAGGATCCTAAGTGTAAGTTATATTTGCCATCAATGCAGGAAGGTTGTCATGATCTTATTCAGACAAATTTTCAAGAACATGAGATATTAAATTTTATCTTGATCTTAAAACAGCTCTATTATGTACTTTACGAACATAAGTTAATAGATTATTAACTGTTTTAGCTGATTAGCTTGAATGAATAGTCTAAATTTATGCTGATTTAATACTTGAAGATGATCAAAAGCTTTAAGCGATTCATCTAATGATATATTCATCTTTTTAAAATTAGCATAAGTAGGAGCAATTGATGTTAGTTTTGATATTCTTTCAATCTATTTTGTTTATTGACTAAAGAAAAAGAATATTTTAATCATGAATTATAATTATAATTGTTTTAATAAATATAATATATATCAAAAGAGACTAGAAATTCACAAGAGGCTAAATTAATGTTTTCAACGTGGTAAAGATTAAAAAGAGATAATGTGATAACACCTAAGAATGTAAATTAAAGAAAGAGGAAGTATTAAAGGTGGTTTCAATATTGTTATAGGAAAATAAGGTTATAGATATTTTCTAGTTACAAAAAAATTTACCATTTGTTTCTGAATTATTTTTTTAAACATAAAACTTTAGGATCTGAGTTGTATAATATAGTTATGATAGAATAATGTAAAATATCTCTTATAGTTATTATGGAAGTCAGAATTAGGAGTGATTTTAGATGAGGAAAGGGAATTAGAGAGGTTTAGCTTAAGAAAAGGAGTTGCAAAGATTTATTCAAGATTTATAAATTAGAAATAAGAGAAGAAATTTTATATTTTATCAAATGGGAAATATCAAAAAGCAATTATTTGAATTTCTATATGTATTTTATTTATATATATGTATTTTTGATCATATCTCATTTAATTCTTTAATCACTTAATCAAGGGTTTCTTAAAAGCAACCAGTTATAGATATATGAAATGTTTATTTTTTTTGATTTGGATTTTCCTCTTCAAAAATCTATTATAGAAAAGATTTAAGTTCAGTTAGATCATTTTTTTCATCAATCATTAAGGAAATTTAAATTTATGGACTAAGTTATATTTAAAATCATTATACAAGTCTGCTTTTTTTATATACTCTATTAATCCTTTTATTTCTTAGCAATTATATTCAACTAAACTTGTGATAATTATGGATGTAGGGTTAAATGTTTATATTTCATTTATTAATTTACCATAAGATTTATTCAAATTTGATTTATCAAAATAATGAATATAATTCTATGGTTTCAAATAGTCTCTATAATAAATATGATAAATAGAAAACTCAACAGTTTCATACACATATTTATAAGTTGAATTAGCAGTATCAATTTATTTTTGTTGGAGATTTAGCTAATATTAAAATAATTCAAATGAAGAATTTTACTTTTGATTGATTAAAGTAATATTATTTTACTCAATTAATTCATTCACCCATTGCTATTATATGGGCTATGGTTAATTGTGTATTTTTTCTATTGGTATTAAGATTATACTATTTTTCAAATCTAGAATTTCTTTCTAAGTATCATATAGAAAATTTGGTTAACCAAAAAAAACTTTAATTTTAGCTTATTGTTTAGTAAATGAATAAACCTATTTCAATCCAGTATTATCATTTTATTCAATTATAATATCAACAGATGGATATTTGGTAGTAATTTATTGAATTAGTTGACTAAATTAAATAAAGTTATTTTTTACTGTAAATTTTTACTTAATGATTTCTCAATAGAAATTTAAATGGTTTTCTTAGATTTTTCAATATCCTTTTCTAATTGTTCTAATTATGATTTTAATTAAAGTATTTTAATTGAATCTTTACTTATAATTTTCATTTTTGCTTATTTTTCTTCAAGAAAATCTATCAATTAATATAACAATATATTACTTTTACATTCATATTACTAGATCATTTCTTATAATTTATCCTTATAATCATTGATTACTACATTAAAATTAAATCCATTTTTGAAAAAATAAAAATCAGTTAATTCAACTTAAGGTGAAATTTATTTGATTAAGAATTATACAAAGTAATCAACTTATTATTGTTTACCTAATATGGTTATATAATTTTGATTGAATTTTAATTTAATCTAATATTTATTTAGAAGATTTGTAATTTCTTTTTCTGTTAATTTTCTTAAATAATTAATTTAGTTTATATTGTAAATACTTTATTTAACAATCTATAGATCTTCATTCAATTTCTTAAGAAATATAGATTATTAGACTCTACCATTAATGATAACAAAATAACTTAAGGCTTTTCCATTTATTTAGGTTTTAGACAATTAATAAACTTCATTTTCTAATATTATTTCAATATTATTTCTATCTAAATTAAAATTAAAATAATATTTGGCATTATTGCACAATTAAGAATTTTAAAAATCTAAGTAAAAATGAGTGAAATAGAATTACCAATAACCAATATTGCAGAAAAGATTCTACTCTTTATTTGTTTTAATGAATTTTATAATTCGTCTAAAGCTAATGTACTTTGTTTTGCTACTTCATAATCATAAAACTAATTTTAATTCAAAATTTCTTAAATTTACATTAGCTAGATTATTTCATCATCTAGATCTTTAAATTTAAGTATTCCACTTTAAATATTAAGAGTAGAATACTCTTTCATTAATATTTCTCCAGCTTTTGTAACAAGATGATGTGGTCCATATAAATCTATCTTAGATTTTTAAATTTATAATTATTACAATCTATTGACCTCTTCGCACTTCTACAAAAGTATATAAATGTTTTTCTATCCATTATTTTATTATAGGAACATAGTATTCAATAAATACATTATGAATATCAAATTGATGCTCATGTCTTACAATTTTTTTCTCAAAAACATTTTATTATTTAAGTTCTTTTTTAAATCCATAGATTGTATAAACTTTTTGAGTATTATTTTGTTAGTTCTATTTCTTATAACCTCTTAAAGGAATATCTTCTTAAGTTGAATAAACCTTGATTTAATGATAAGTAGTCAAATAATCTACATATTATTTAAAACTTGTTTATGTATAGAATAGTTTATCTAGAAATTAATCTATTTAATATTAACAATCAAGATGTGTTATAATACATTGATCTTATATAAACCAACTAAATTGAGTATCAAATTTCTAAGCTATATATTCTTTGAGATTGCATTCAAGTTAATTATCATTTTAGAATATATCAGAGAATTAATGAAGTGGTATTTTATTAAAATTGTCCACATTCAAAAATCGTTAAGAGTCTAACTTTTTAATAAGAACATCTGTTTATGGATTTAAATTAAGCACATTAATTTAGATATCAATATCTTGATCAATTAGTTCTGATAAAATGTAAGTGAAAACACCATATTTTTTTCTAATATTTGAGACTCTTAGATTTAATTTCATAAAATAATAATAATAATTCAAATCATGCTTACTGCAAATACACTACAAATACAATGAAGAGTATTTTTTTATTGTTCTTATTTTGCTTATTTATCTTTTGGCCAAGATATGATAATTTATCCATCAGCAACAGTATCCCACCATTAAGATGTTGTAACAAATGCTCCAGCTCCGTTTCTTTACATAATCATACAATGAACAATATATCTACAATTCCTATACATTTTCTTACTTGTATGGTTTTCCCAATTCAATTAATTATTGTGTAACTTTTTCACAAATTGCATTGATCCATCCTTAAACCTAGAGTAATAATATAGATTATATACTTTAGATTCATCATATTGAACTTCTTTTAAGACACTTTCAATGGATTCTTATGTTATACGATCTACTTCTTCTTATGAATAGGTATTTTCCTCTAAATTTTGATTTTCTTCCATTAATTTTATTAATGAAACAATAACTAAATTATACACTATGGATTGGTTTCCTCGTTTCAACTATTTTGATATATCTATTTTTCAGTTCAGGAGAATTTAGTTTCATATTAACACTAGCTTGTGGAATATAATGCTTTGGATTTGGATTAGTATTTGTTACAATTTCAATAACAAAAGAGACTAGTGGATTAAGTAAATAAACTTTTATTTGTTGTGCATAAGCATTATTAGCAAGATTATTTTCTATTTTAACTTTCGAAGTATATTGATTATAGATAAATTAGGGTTATTTACCTTCAGATGCTACAGGTGATTATGTGTATAGATTATTCGAAATATTATCACTTATCTTTTGCATATTGACTGCATTTAGCATAAAAAATAATAAGTAAGAATTATTCTAATGGTATTACTTCACTCCTATAATGTTGGTGACTGCTTATTATGTTCATCCAGGTTTGAATTCACATTCATTTTGTGACATATCCTGGGTATTTGCATTATATATGGAATCATTTGCAATATTGCCATAGATACACCTTTTTACAAAGAGAGGTTAGAATTCAACAATAATATAGAGGGAATAATTGAATATCATACATCTAATTTTGTAATCACTCAAGCTATCAATAAAGTAATATGTGTGATCTTTTGGTTTTATTCTTATGAAGAACTTAATAGAAGTGCAGATGAATCAACAATAAGTGTGGCACCTTGGTTAAGTGGTTATTTTGTGATGGTGGCTTAAATGATATCAATTGTAATTATTATAGTAAAAATAAATAGATCATAACAACAGATTTTGTGTATAAATATTTGCAAAGTTGGAAATAGGGTATTCCTTTGGTTATGTTACCTTCATGATGTAGAAAATAATCAAAATATTATAATATATATATATTATCATTTTGCAAGCATCAATTATTAATATAATTGTCTTTTATTATTATTAAATTTATCCTATCCTATAGATTCCATATCAAATAACTTAGGTTATAAACAAGGTTTAGGAATCATTTATTATGTTTATTTTTTGACAGCTTATTTGACTCTTAAAAATGGAGGTTCAGATTATTATCTAGGTTAATTTTTGATATTTGTTAATTTACTAACTTTGGCACCAACCTATTCATCTTCTCCATGAACATTAATACTTTCAGGTCTTAATATATTTTGAAGTTTAGGAAGATTATTAGCAGGAGTATTAGGTTTAAATGGAGCTCTAATTATATTATTCTTAGTTTATTATTATTATTATTATTATTATTATTAAGAAATTTAAGATTCTTTTAAATCTTTTTTCTGATTTCTTTTGATGTCTAAGATTCATTAATTTAAATTAATACTTGTTCCAGTCCAACTATCTTATAATGATGAAGCAAATTCAATATATTTATCATATTTTTAATAATCTTCAAGTGGATATATTTTAACATAATCTCCTAAATGTGTATTTTCATAATCATTCCTTTATTTTTCCCATTATTTCATTTATGAAATCTTTTCTTCCATTGTCAACTTTACTTTCTTACCAGTTAATACTCTTTACTAAAGAGATTCTTTTCTTGATGCAATTATTTATTCTTTGGCTTTTAAACTTACATTCATTAATTTTAATGTATCTCTAATCAGATTTTTCTTAATCAATGCATCAAGAGGAGTATCTGTAGTGAAACTAGGTGTATGATTAACTTCTAATAAGATAGGTTATAATTTATGATTCAAAAAGATATCAAAACCTAAAATTTCAAAACACATATTATTAGCATAATTATCAGGTTGACAAGATCGATAATGATGACTTAATATTGGTTAAACAGTACAAAAGGTTTTAATAAATAATTCATACATTTCTTACCAAAGTTTTTTAATGTCATGACCTTCTTATTCTAATTTACTAAATACTGCCTTTATAGATCTCTTATGTCCAATATCCATTCTACTGGCATCTTTATTAAATACAAAATTTGGATTCTCTTTATTAATAGCATAATTTGTTAAATGCATACACATATCTTCTAAATTTGATGAATTAGGAGGAACATATGGTTCAGTTGCAAATCTGACTAAACCATCTTAATATACATATATTCTCATAGGATCAGTTCCAGCCAATAATACATATACTCTCAAATCAAATTTTAAACCTTCAATTAAGAATGGTCTGTGTAAATATCTTTATGCTACATAATGATCATTAGGATTAATATCATTAATATTTCTAGTCAGAAATATACCTCTACCTTAACAACTTGCTTCTGGTTTTATAATAAATGTTTTTGCTTTTCCTTTTACAAATTAATTTTTAAAGTCACCATATTCAGCTGGCAATAACCATGTTTAAGGAAAGAATTTATATTCTTCAGTGAATTGTTTACGCATTTTCATTAGATTTCTTCCTAAATGATTCTTACGAGCAAGAGAATACATTCCAGGAAAATGATTAATTTTTTGATATGCTATGATTTATTTATAAAAATACGTTGCATTTTTCCTAGAGTTTCAGGTTAAACAGCTGCATCTGTCCAAAACATATCCCAATTAGTTACATCAGACTCATATTATAAAATCCATTTAAATAACTTTTTACCTACAAACTTCACAACATCATATTGAGTATCTAAAATTATAGTAAGTACTTCTAACCTGATACATTCATTATCAAGGTTGTCTTCTTCTTTTAATTATCTTCATTCTCACTTTCACTATCTTCAAATTCCCCATTAAAGTGTGGTTCTTTAACTTATTATTATTTCATATTAATATAAATGGACTTATATCACTATCTCTTTAAATTCATAATTGTTGGAGATACAAGTAATAAACATAATACTTAAATATTAAAGGTGTAGGAAAGAGTTGTCTTCTACTTAATTACACAGAAGGGAAATTTAAAGAGGAACATGATGCTACTATTGGTGTAGAATTTGGATCTTAAGCATTCAAACATAAGAATAAACAATTTAAAATATAAATTTGGGATACAGTATTATATTATAATTAAAGTTAGGCTGGTTAAGAATCTTTTAGATCAATTACTCGTTCATATTACAAGGGGTTTGTTATATTATAATTTATTATAGTTCAATAGGGGTTTTACTTGTTTTTGATATTACAAATCGATAGTCATTCCATAATATTGTTAGATGGTATAATGAAATATTGGATTGTGCTCATGAATCAGTAGATATAGTAATTGTTGGCAATAAAATTGATTTGGAGAGCGAGTAAATAAATAATATAAATAGACGCTAAGTTTCAGCAGATGAGGGGAAACAATTTGCAGAATAATATAGAATACATTATATTGAAACTTCAGCTAAAACAGGATAATTTGTAGATTCAGTGTTTTAATAAATGGCAATGCGAATCTATGATAAGATAGAAAATAAATTAATAGATTAGAATAATGAAAATTTAGGTATTAAATTAGGCACATTTTACAGAAATGATGAAGAAGATGATAAAGAATTATAAACAAGTTTAGGATAAAAGAAGAAAAAAAAGAATGATGATTGTTGTTGAATCTAAATTAAATTATGTAATTTTTCTCATTTTAAACGATTACATGCGTCTTATATAGTTTCTGTTGTCTTACAAAATGCCCATCTTACAAATCTAGAACCCAATTCTTTATTTTCAAAATAAGGAGAACAAGGAATACAAACTACTCCAATTTCATTAGCCATATAATATGCAAAAGCAAAATCTTTAGTAAGTTAATGACCATCTTAATCATCTTTAAAATATTTTTCTGGTATTTCTACATCAGTAATATCTGTAACTAAAAAGTATCCTCCTTATGGAACCCAACAATGTAAATTCAATCTACTTTCAATTAAACCCTTTAATAACATTGTTGATTATTCTTCATATAAATCTCTTATTTCTGTAAAGTATTATCCATCAATAGTTTATTCTAAACATTTAGCTGTAGCAGTTTATAATATAGGATTCAAACAAAAATTATGATAGGTTTAAGCAGATTTTATTCCTTTTATATATTTTTCATCTCCTATTGCAAATCCAACTCTTAATCCTGTAGCTGAAAACATTTTACCTGCACTTGTTACACATACAGTCTTAGATTTTAATTTTGGATGAGTTATACATCTAGGATATGAAAATGGTTAATAATCACCAAATACAACATGATGATATGCAGCATCTTCACATACAATTACTTATGGATGTTTTTCTAATATTTCTGCCAATCTATCTAATTCTTCAACTGAAAAAACTCTAAAAAATATATTACATTTATTAATTACTTTCCAATTGGATTTTATGGTGAATTCACAATTATCATTTTAGTCTTATCATTTAATTTTTATTCAAGATAATCATAATCTAAATGCCATTCATCTTCTTTTGAAAATTTTATTTTGCCATTTTCAAATCTGTTCAATATACTAGCTTTACTATTTAATTGACTTGGTCTTAATGGAACACCAACATGTTTAGCACCTTAGAATTCAATTAAGGGTCGATAAAAATCTTGATATCTTATTAATGAATACCAAATGCAGGGTCAAAACATATTACTTCATCATTTGGATTAAGTAAAGCTTAGAAAATACAAGCTAATACTGATTATGCACCAGAACTTGCCACTATCTCTTTTGCAATATCTACTTTGACTCCCATATGTTTATCAAAAAATTCAGAAGCTGCTTTTAATAGTCTTGGATGTCCAGCTGTTATTGTATATTATAAAGTTTCTGTTAATGCTTCTTCTGCAATTGCTTATCTTAAAAATTAAGGTGGTGGAAAATTTGGAAATCCTTATCCCATATTTACACAGGAATTCTTCACAGCCAATTATGTAAACTTAGCATACATCTATAACTAAAGATAAGGTGCCATACGATCAGCAATAATATTATCTTACATTCTTAAAATTTAATATGGATATTAAAATAAAATATACTAATGATTTGTTGTTTAATATTTTCATATTTCTACATAAAATTTATGTAGTAATTGATAACATCATTATATAATAGATATTAATTATTAGATTATTAATTTTTTTGGTTTACGTAATCAGATCACTCATTGCAATTCACCACAATCATATATAATAACCTTTTTTGAAGGTCTTCCTTATTAAGTTCCACAATATTCAATTGCATTTAACACTTCTAATCCAGAAGCAACTTTTCCAAATACTGTATGTTTTCCATTCAACCAAGGACATGGGACTGTTGTGATAAAAAATTAAGATCCATTTGTATTTGGTCCAGCATTAGCCATTGATAATAGTCCTGGTGTACTATGTTTTAATGTGAAATTTTCATCTGGGAATGTCCTTCCATAAATTGATTCACCTCCTGTGCCATTATTATTTGTAAAATCTCCACCTTAACACATAAATGATGGAATAATTCTATGGAATATTGAACCCTTATAATGTAGATTTTTTCCAGATATCTTAGACACAGTATCACCAATGCATAATTTTCTAAAATTTTCTGCTGTTTTAGGTGTGGCATCTGCAAATAACTAAATATATTAATATTCAATTTACTTCAAAGATGATTCTACCACTTGGGGCATTATTAATGGAGATATCAAAGAATACCTTTGGATTTTTAGTTGTGGCAGAAAATGAAAATCTAAATAATTTAGTATACATTTTTATTATTAGAAACAATTTATGTTGTTTTCATAAAATTTGCTCTTTTTATTTTATATATATTTATAAGAACAATATATATAGTTCTCTCATGAAATCTAAATAAGATGTATAATTATTATCTTGATCTTTAATATTGAACAATTCTCTTTATAAGATATTCATATAAAAAATTAATGAAATATATAAATATATGGAATTTTATTGATTTAAATAGATTGAATGAAAGAACTTTTTGGATTTTGTTTATTAAAAAAGAATGAAATTATGATTCATATTAATTCATATAATTATCATCTTAATAATTCTTTCTTTCTTCTTTTTTATTGAAAATTTTTATGTATTAAAGGTTATGTTAATATTCTTATTGATTTTTAATTAGTTTTAGAATTGATTAGAAAAATAAAATTGCTTTTCTAATTATATTTGTATATATTAGAATATTTTAATGTTATAGAGTAATTTTACATCTTACCTAGAGGGTTTAGAGAAATAAATAACTAATAATGAATTAGATTATGATGAAGCAACAGAAATGATCTCTAAATTAAATCCATAGAATTTAATGGAGAAAAAAGAGTTAATGTAAATAAAAAAGAAAGTATAACAATTGAAAAAAGATGTAGCTAAAGAGAAAATAAAAGAGAATTTGAATTCACATATATTTTTATTAAGAGAACTATTAGAAAAAAGTAGAAATGTCAATAATAGTATTGAGAGATATAAATTATTAAGTGAAGCTGAAGAATAAAAAAAAATTACAGAAGCTCTAATTTACACCTTAAATTAATATAAGGATCATATTAGTTAAAAATTTGTTGGGGATTGTAAAAAAGTAATATTTGAATATGAAGAAGAATTAAGATAATCATTTGTGTCTGCAAAAAGAGAGGAGGTAATATTCATAACAAATTAAAAAAGTTTTTCTTAATCTATGTTTGTTAGTGAAATAGAATAGAATGAGGGAGTAAATTAATTAACAAATAAGAGATCTGTAAGAGTTAAAATTTAATAATATTTTAATAAAATGTTTGGATGTTTAATTACATATAATCAATGAATTAAGAAAGAGTATAAATGTATATGATTTAATATATTATTTGTTTAATTATCTTAAAATTATTAAATTTAATATATCTATATATTTTTATAGAAAACAGAATATCATTAAGAATAATTATACTCTTTTCAAAAATAAGGAATTCTTTATAATAGTAATTCTATTTTTGTTTAAAATATTATTATTTTTTGTAGTAATATTCTTTAAACATTAGAATTTAAATGTTGATAATACAAATTATTTATAAATTGATATATCAAAATAAAATCAAATTGATTGAATAATACTTAAACAATTAGGAATTGTTTTTTTGAGTGATATTATAATATGAACATTTTTTGGTAGGTAATGAAAATATATAATATTGATTTCAATGAAATAAATAGTGAGTTAATAATTTTATAAAATGAAAGCACCCACTCATAGGTGCCTATTATCAAGTTTAATAGAGAGTAATGAAAAGACTACTCGTTAAGCTAAAACACATGAATCTTTTGAGAGATTAAAATATTCTTAACCATAAACTGCAACTCCTAAGACTTAAATGACTAACAGGAAAAGCAAATAAATGAGTTTAGTACAAGTTTAGCAACTAATTTAATAACCTCTTCTAAGAAAGAATCATACAGCTTTGTCTGAAGTACCACATACTTGGAATACAAGTAGAAGTATAGAAAAAACAGTGGACTTACTTGCAATGCCTTAACATAAACGTGTAAAGTGGCTTGAAAAATAAAAATCTTTGCTTGCTTAACAACAACCAGTAACTGAGCGTGTTTAAACAAGTAGAATAAAACAAATGGCAACAGCTACTAACTATAATAATTTTCTAAAGAAATTCAATGGGGAATAATAAATGATGATATTAGATAAAACTAAAACAACAACAGTACCAATTTAGAAATTACAAAATGAAATGTAAGAAAATAAAGAGAGGTAGTTTATTTTTAAGTAGCCATTACGTATAGTAAAAGGAATGAGTGAACACATGCTTAGAATGAAGAGTATAAGTAGACAACATGAATCAATACCTTCACCACCAAGAAGATTATCAAATCCTCGTTATGAATTGACTAATGCCAATAGAGTTCGCTTTTCTAAATATTATTAAGATGATAGTTTAAAAGTGTTGAAATCTTAGAAACGAGATCCAAACTAAATTTTTAAAGAGTTGCACATAGAGGATATACAATATACTGATTTAGATAGAGCATAAAATCATCCTATAAATATTGCCTTATTCAATATGTTAAAAGATGAGGAAATTATTCTAAGTAATTTATTTATTATATTCAGAGTAATAGTAACTTGAAGAAGCAGAAAAATATACTGCATAAGAATTAATAAAATAGAGATAAGAAATTGAAAGATTTGATGAATTAACTCGTTAAGAGTATCATCGAAAATGTTATGTAGATTTCAAATCCAAATCTATTAATTCAAAATATTAACATAAAAACTTGAATTTAGATTAATCCTTATTAGAAGTATTTCCAAAAAATGAAATAATAAACCCACAATAATAAAGAAAAATGAGAAGACATAAAATATTAAATATGATAAAGATGTTCTTATTTAGATTACATGAATTACATCTCAATCTTGATGATCTTATTAATCATAGAGTTTATCCTCTAACAGCATATAGTCATGAAAGATCTAAATTATTCTTTGATTTAGTCAAATCCAATAAGCTTGAATTAGCCCATAGAGAATTATAAGAAAATCGTTATTTAGTGTATGAATTTGATTCATCCAAATTAACTCCTCTTCATCATGCAGTCATCCGTAATCATGTTGAAATGGTAGAATTACTTATGGAATATCATTCTGATGTAAATCGTAGAGATATTGTACTTATTATTCTATTATCCAGCTTGGAAGAACTCCACTCTTCTTTGGTATCCGTTCTGGTTACAATGATTGTGTACAATTATTGCTGTATAATTAAGCAATTCCTTGGTCTAATAAAAAGAATCAATATGATCTTTATTTAGATATGCTGAGTGATAAAGTTAGAGATTAATATCGTAAAGCAAAAAATGTAATATATATATATTTAATAATCAAAGTACCATTTATAAATGCAAATGATGTCTTATACAAAAAGAGCTGCTTTCTGGATGGAACGAAGATATTATTTTACTTAATGAATAGTATAAATATATAAAAATTTATATATCTTTATATAAATAAAATTGTTTAAATTATATAAACAGAAGAAATTTAATAGGGTTCTTATACTCCTGATTAAATAATACTAAAAAATCTAAACACAATTCAATGTTTTTTCTTTTATCTTATCTTCTTATCATGTCTTTAATTAATTTCCATCTTCTCCTTCCTATCTTATGCTATATTTAAATCACCTGTCTTTAAAGCAATTAAATCTTCTCTATAATTACTATCAGATGCTAAAGGGTATTCTTCATATTTTAATTTGTAAGGGAAATGTTTAAACCAATTCAAAACCTCAACACCATCAATTATCATTCCTGTAGTCCATCTACCACTTATATTAGAAAGTCTATCCTATTAAGGTAAAGCTTTGATTCCTTGATATTTACGATATGTTTCTTAATTAAATTTATTAACATCTTTAACAGATCCTTTCATAATATATCCTTCAATAAAATCTTAAGGTGTAACTTTTTTACTAAACATTCCAGGAAAGGCTGTAACTATTATATCACAGAAAAGTTTATTTTCTAAATCAACTAACCATCCTACACCATTATAATAAAATTATCTATGTCCTATTGTCATCCCTTATATAACTCCTGGCATTACATTAAATATTATTGATGTATTATTTGGAAATGTAACTTATAAATATCCATAATTTTATCCTGTAATTGAATTAGCACTAAAATTTGCTTAAGATTCCAAATGACCAGTTAATTTAAAATTTCTACCCAAAACATATAATCCTAATACTGGTGGATGATGAGAAATCTATTCACAATACAATAAATTTCCATTCATGTAACCTTAGAATGTTTCTCCTAATATAGGATTGAATGGTTTTTCCATATTTAAAAACATTATATTATAAGCAAGAGAAAATTATGCTACCAATTTCATTTATTCAAGTGGATCTGATAATTCTCCTGCTTTTTCTAATAACCACATATATCCCAAACTATAACAAGCTCTTTCCAAATTAGATCTTCTTTCAAAAATATTAACAGGCAAAGAAATACTAATTAAAGATTTACCCATTAGTAAATTAGATCCTAATTTCTTTAACATAAATGTTATAACTTCTTTTTAAATTTCAAGTTTCTTTTTATTTATAAATCTCAAACCACCTTTCTCTAAGATTTCCCAATCACTTTATAGGATAATATTTTTATGTTCTGCAGTTTCTGTATAATAAATATTATCTGGTTCTAATGGTGTTAATTAATAATGATGTATTGCTGACCAATATATCATCCCAGGATTTTTGGCTACTAAATCTAATAATTACAGATAATCAGTTTTATTAATCAATTCTGGTTCATCATCTAATATTATTTAAGATTAAAATTATTTGCAATCTACATCAGATAAAGATGAATCCATCTAAACTTCAATTACTCTTTAAGGTTAATATTATTCTATTATTTCTACATTAAGTGGGTCTTTAGTAGCTTATTCAACTATCTATGGAATTGGAATCTTGAACTATTTCTAAATTAAATAACAATCTAAATTCTATAATTCTGAGACATAATGTAAAGATAATTAAGCATCATTTGCATATCCTCCATTTTTAGTTTCTGTTTCCCAAATTATCATAACTTATTGTTATTATTATGGAATAACAGCTATTATACTTAATTAAATTTATCCCTCAAATTGATATCCATTTTATATATTATTTTGATATGATAAACTCTTATCAATAATGAAAAAAGTATCTTTGTCTTTAAAAACATATCTTAAATAAGTATATGATCTTTTCAAATAAAGTAAACCATATTTTTTTCTCATTTCAGATATTATCATAGAATTATTATTAATCATAATGTCTAAAATAATTGTCTAATCTATTTATGTATTCCATTATTTCATAACATCTGGACATACCAAAGCTGACACTATTGGAATTATGTTATCACTATTTATATTTACAATAGCTTTTATTTTCTCTTACTATGTTTTATGTTATAATAGTCTAGTATTATTTCATTAATCAATACCTCAATTTATTTTTAAAGCTTATTAATTGGTATTCTGAATCATCCATCAATCTATCAAGTGAGAATAGTTCCTTATTAAGTAGGATATTTTGCAAAAGAGCTGGAACCTTATTATCAGGTTAAGTAATATTATTTTAATTTCCTTTTACATTTTAGACTGAGATAACTGAAACTGATTATTCCTTTTCTATTATTTATTACTTTTATTCAATTGACTTTTATGTATTATCATTAATTGGTTTTGTCACTTAAGATTAGGTTTTGTGATGTGTTTTTAATTTATCATCAACCATGTTTTAAGGCTTAGATTATATTATTTCTGAACGCTTTTAAGGATAAATATTAAGTGATTGACTTAAATCTTCAGATTATCGTTAAAATTATTTTTATTATCTTCATTTAATAATATTATTATCATACTTTATTTTTTTTAATTAGTCATCATCAATAAATGCACAACATTATCTTAAATAATTAAACCATCTCTCTGCTTATTATAAATCTTCACTTCCAAATAAAAATGTCTCTTTTCCACAAAGCTAAAAACAATACTTATTCTTCATTGATTCACACCTTAATAAATATCAGAATAATTATACCATTTTAGAGAAAAATCTGATAGTGCTAATTATTTATCTCTCTTCTTTGGATCATTCCTAGAAATCATAAGTTTACGATCCATCATATTTAACTTTAAAATCTTATTATTCCAAAACCATCCTGATTTTTTTTTCATTTCAAGACGGCCCTATACTTCATCTTCTGAATAGATAAATGAATTCACAATATCAATATACATTCGAAATTTTACAGGAATTGGTGGGTTTATTAATTATTATATCTCTTCTTCAGACAATAACTCCGTTTTCCCAAATTTATGATTGTCAATTGATGCTTATAGAACTTGCAATTTTTATTGCACCTTCCCTGGCACTCTATCAGGATAATCTAATTTAGTCATGCACACTACTTTAAATAAATCTTTGCAGCTTTTTTACACAATCAATATATTATTTTTGAACCTTCTCTTCCATTATATAATTAAGAATAAATAATAAATAATAAGGAATTCTATAAATTTACATCATTTATGTCTATTATTTAAATTATATACAATAATAATCATATTTTCATTTTTATTAGTAATATCTATTAAAAACTCATGCAAAATAATTTATTTTATTATGATGATTCTATAATAATATAAAATAATTCTCCATTTTTTAATTTATAATTTTTAATCAAATACAATGTTATTTCAAATAAAATTGAGACTTAGATCTGATTTTTATTTATAAGTTTTAAAATACATTTGAAATGAATTTCTTTTAGTTATTAAATGCCAATCTTATTTCAAAGAATTTTTCTATTCCAATAATTAATATTAAATTTGGACTTGTAAAAAAGAAAAAACAAAATAATCTTTGCTTTAATTTTATCTTCTAATTGAAGATATTTATTGATTAAAATCTATAAATTAACTATTTATTTAATGATAACTAAGAAATTTCAAGTAAAGAGTGTTAACTTAAATAGTTCATAAAATATATTATAAATAATTTGTTATTTTTTAAAATTCTCTCTAAGTATTATCAAAAAACTGGGTTTTGTTTTTATAAGTAACAAATTAGAAGGGTTCAAAATTTCTAAAGGTTTTACTAAAATATTAACATTAAAATACTTCGTATTAAATATTACAATATAGCTATTTAGAGTAAATGGAAAAATTAATATACTGACAATTAAAATATGTTATAACAATAGGGATAAATCAAGACTTTCTATTAATTAATGATAATATTAATACAATAAAACAATCATTTAGTTTGTTTGAAGTATTATAATACCATTAATATAAAATTTTATAATAATTTTTTTTTTAATGCTATTTAATAAATTATTATTCAAATAAATGTATTCCCAATAAATAAAATAAGCTACCCCTTCTAAATCAACATCATCTTATTCTTTAAGCATATTAATAATTTTTGGCTTGAATTATTTTACTGCACAGTAATAATATTATTTTTTATGAAATAAATTTTTGTTTTAAGCAGTTGAATATTAATATATAAGAAGTTTATATATAATAATTATCATTCGATTCACTAGTCTAAAATAATAATTAACAAATCTTCTTATAGCAAATTAAAATATGAAAAGTTATCTTTGAATACATACAAATTATCAATTTTTTAGATTCTTTAATGGCTCTTTTTATCTTTTAGATAAATTTCTAGTTGATTTGATTAATTTTTTTGGGGAATTGGATAATAAATGATGAAACCTATTACCAATTTCTTTGACAGCACCTTAAATTTTATTTTTTTTATATTTAAAAGTTGGTGTGTTGATTTCTTATTCTTGGTTTAGTTAAACAACCATTTAATCTCTTTTAACTGAAAAATTTATCTTCTCTAACTCTAATAGATCAAAATCTAGAGTTTGAGTTTTCAAAGATGTGACTGGTTAGTAATTTAAATGACACATTTTTGGCTTCATCATTATATTAATGTTTAGATAGTTATGAAAATGATTAATTATGTTTAAATAATTGATTTAAGAATTTAAAAGATAATAATTGAGAATAAGAAAAATAATTATTGGTTATGCAAATATTATTTAATTATTTAAGACTTAAGATTAATAAAGTATATTAATATTTAATACTTTATCATAGAGCATAGTAATATGTAATAAAACTATAATAACAATCATTTTTATAGTTAAAATTTTGGGAGCTCAATATTTTGTATACCATTAACTTTAAGGAGGCGCATATAATAACTAGTTTGTTCTTCATAAAGTTCTTTCCACTTTTTAATCTATAATAAAGATTTAGATTTAAATTACTAATAGGTCATTTTTTTTACGAATAGATGAACTTCTACTTTATTATTATGTTTGACGAGTTGGAACACTATAAAAGCGAGAATTATTGTTAATTTCATTAATTTGAAGTTAAGGTTTACGACTTTGTTTTTTATCTCCAAATGTGGGTGTTTATGGTTTAATGAGGAACATTTATATATATATATAATTATTTATTTGTAATGATATCAATTTTTCTTTACTTAAGCCATCTTACCCCATCCTCTAGCAATTGTAAGAACATTAGCGATTCTCTATTATGAATAATAAGAGAATTACTTTAATTTTTTTGGATGCACGATAATCTTTTAATTTTGCTTATAGATTGACTATAGATTTATGTGTATTATTAAGTAACCATGGATGTTTAAGGATTTTCTCAGTTGTAAGTCTTTTGGCTGGATCAATAGTCAATAAACCTTTAATTAATTCCTTGGCTAGAAATAAGATATTAAGATTTAACCTTCATTACTAATTTGATCCCAGTAAGGTGAAGGGAAATTAAAGTTTCCATTTTTAATCATTGAAAAGAGTTTGTCATTATCTTCATCATAGAAAGGAGGGAATCCACATAACCTTAAATAAATATTGTTTTTTACATTATATAGAGAATAACACCAACAGACCAGAAATCTATAGCTTCTGTGTATCCTTTGCCATTGATGATTTCAGGAGCTACATAACCTGGAGTACCACATTAAGTCATCATGACTTCTTCTGAACCAACGAAACGAGCAAGTCCGAAATCACTAACTTTTAATAAGGCTCCAGGTTCCATCGATGAGTAAAGTAGATTTTCTGGTTTGAGGTCTCTATGTACAATTCCCATCTTATGACAATAAGTAAGTGCATCAATAATTGGTCTAAGTGTAGCAGCTGCTTCTTTTTCACTAAAATGATCTTTCTCAACTATTCTTTCAAATAGCTTAAACTATGATTATTGATTACTTCTCCACCAGTCATTAATTCTAAGACCATATAAAAGTATGTGTCATCTTCATAAATTTCATACAATTTCACAACATTAGGATGATCAATCTAAATAATTATTTATTATACTTAAGTAAGAATTTCTACTTCTGTTTATAAGGCTAATAAGTCATCATTTGATAGGTTTTCCCTTCAATCAATATGGATCAAATACTTGTTAATTATTTTAACAGCGAATTATTCACCTGTGCTCTTTTTAACTGCTCTTTTAACAACTCCAAAGGCTCCCCTTAACTTATATTATTTCAATACTCTCCTAATGTTTTCTCCAAAGTGTATACTTTGTTAATGTCTTCGTTTCCTTACATTAATTATATTATTAATAAGTCTAATTTTATAAGGTAAGTTTCTACTATCCACTATTAATATGATTTTATTTATCAAAGTTCTAGAATTCTTATATGATTGAGAATCTTTAACTTATATACATATATTTACAATAACAAATTGAAAAATTTAAATCTTTTGATTTTTAAATTTGCAAATCTATACTAAAACAATTCAATCTAAAATATAATATAATATTCAATTGATAAATAATGTTGTATATAAAAAGAGAACTTAAAATTTTAAATTGATTATCATAGATCAAAAATATATAGTTAATGATAGATTATTTAATAATTATTGAAGATTTAAAGAAGTATTAGAAAATAAATTGAAAACTAACAGAAAATAGAAAGAGTAATAAAGAATAATGAGAAAATAAATAAAAGAAAAAATGAAATATTAAAAATAAATATATAATGGAAGCTAGTGAAGCATTACTAAGTAAAGCCCTTAAAATAGGATGCACAGTTACTCTGTGTTATAAGGATGATGATGGAAAAAACTACTTTGCTTGTTGTGAAGGTTTTACATCTATGAAACTGAGATTACTACCGGCATCTAAGATAAAAGAATAGGGACGATTAAATTAATGTCTATTTAAAGTTGTGCCTCCATTTTAATTTGTGGAATATAATAAGGGCAAGGAGGCATTCCATTAGAAAGAGACTTTGAACCAAGTTACTAATGTTGATTAAAGAGGTAAGGAAGTTACCATTATGAAATAGACTCTAGACTCGAATTTCCAAAGCAAATTAAGCTTATGTAGGATGAATCATTGTTGAACAAGGAATCTCTTGGGAAGATGAAAGAACAATCCATATTTTTTGGCTAAACAATTTAATTTATTCATTAAGCAAGCAACAAATACTTAAGTTATTTATAAGATTAAGGAAGTGATTATGAAAGTGATAGTTGGAAAGCTACATTGAAAAAAGAACATGGAGAGGATACTTAATTCAAATTTTAGGCTTCATTCTCATTTTAATAAGAGACAGGTGGTTTAATTTTTGATGAAGACACTGTTTATATAGTGAGTGTTTTAGATAAAAGTATTGAGCCAGGTTTACATGCCTCTAATAAGAAAAAGGATAAAGAGAAAAGAGAATTAAATGTTGCTCCTGAAAAGAGATCTTTTTGGAAAATTAATATATTTTCTAAATTTATGAAAGATGAATTGGGATAATTATCAGTTTTTGATGTAATTTGGATAAATTATTCTGAAACTAATGTAAATTAATCAATTGAGTTATTAGTTAAATATGATTGTATAAAAGTATTCCCCAGATGAAAAGAAGAAATATTTGAAATTTGAAAAAGGCCAAGATTCAGAATAGATAAATTAATTTATAGGAGATAGTAATGGAATGTATGTTATAGAGAATATTGATCCAGAAAAAGGAGATTTTTTAAATGGTGGTTATGTTGAATGGGTAAAAGAATATAGACTTAAACATTTAACATCAAATTATTATTTAAAATTAGAAGAATTTGCTGAAAATTAAGGTTCATTTAGATTGGTTGCAGTTGAAAATATAGCTGAATCATCAATTTTCAAATTTGGAATGATATATTCTACAATTGTAAAAAAAGATAATTAAGAATTTTTAACAAAAGATTCTTATTTTAGATTATCATCAAGAGATTAAGATAATTAATATTGGTTAAAAATAGATACTGTAGGTCCAAATGATATTTATAAAATAGAGGGTGATAATTTTATAGAAGATATAACAATACCTATTTTTGATTAAGATAAAAAGGATGAACATGTATTTAATTTAGCTTGTGCATCTTTAAATGAAGTTAGATTTATTAAGTATTTATTATCTTGCATGAAAATCTTAAAAAGAAGTAAAGAATATTTGGATGTTGATTTAAATAATACTAATTTTTTTAAAGAATCATAATTTCAAGATATTTACAAAAAGTTGGTAGTAAGATCATAACATTTAGAACAAGTATTAGATGATTTATATTTACTTTGTCATAATAAATTAGAAGGTTTTGTATCTTTTGATGCAGAATTTGGATTTCCACATTAACATACATAAAATCTTCTTAAAGAATAATATTTCTTTGAAATTTTAATTTAAATTTTAGTGATTTGTTTCCCAACATAAGAAAGTTTACAAAAGGCAGATGAACCAGTTGAATTAGTTTAAGTGACTAAATTATTATCAGAAGAATAATAAGTAGATTAAAATCTTGAAAAATAAATTATAGCTAGATTTGTTGAGAAAAAAAAGAGTATATGCACTAAGATCTTTAAATTATTACAAGCTATGGTAGTTGATAATATATCAAATTAAGAATATTGTTCTAAATATTTACCTATTTTATCTATGCAAGCTATGTATTTAAATGGAGCTATTAGTACTATTATTGCAATTATTCATAATTTTGAAGAACTTTTATTGAATCTAAATAAAGATGATAATCCACTTGATATGCCTTAATAAATTTTAAAGGCTGCCTCTATTAAAACTCCATTAACTAATTAAAATAAATAAAAGAAAAGAAGAAGAAATGAAATTAATAAACCAATTATTGATTATAATACTTAATATAAAATCATATGTAAATAGATAAAAGATTCAAATCATAATTAAATCTAAACATGGGATTTACTTATGTTTTTTACTACCATGCTCAAGAGTAATAATTTTAAATTTAACAAAAAGATTGAAATAATGTATTTCTTAAAAGAATCAGTTTGTTTTGAAGAAAAAGGTATCAATATTAATTAGGAATCGGCTTATAAATATATACTTTCATCATAAAGAGTATTTGAAGATGAAATACTTATAAGATTAAAAAGTGATGGACCTTAATTGAAGGTTTATAGAGGGGATTAAGAAAGTACTCTACTTGATTATTATCATAAATACTCAAATAATAATGATCCAAGATTATTGAATTTTATTCCTTATGTATAAGAATTGATGAGAATGTATTCAAGAATGTGTAATTCAAGAAATTATACATGGAAAAAATTTGCTGAAAATTTCTTTAATGTTGAAAGTTTAATTGAAAATATTTAAAACAATCAATATAATGTTGAAATTCGTTCAATTATTTGTAGTCTCTTAAATAAATTATATGTTGATTAAGAACCAAGAAGAATAATAATATGGCCAGAACTTTGTAAAATTGTTAGAACTAATAGAAAATAAAATAAAAATGATATTAATAATACTATGCTTTCAGAAGGTAAATAATAAAATAAAATTACTAAAACTGATCCAGTTGATATTCCTAAAGTATAAGAAAAGATAAATGGATATCTTGCTGATTAATTAATTTTTGTATAAAATTAATCAGATCTTGTGGAATTAAGTAAAGGACCTACAGAAAGACATGAAATGTTAGATATTGTATTTAAAAATGCACCTGAAATATATAATTAACTAACTTTAGAAGTTATTAAGTTATTTAAATTATTAATATAATTTGGAAAATATTCAATTGTTATTGAAGAAGATGAAGAAAAAACAATTAGAAAAAATTAATAGTTGTTTTCTAATATTAGAGCATTAACTGCTATTTTAGAATATAATTCAACATATCCAGAAGTTAGAAAGATTTTATCAATTAAAAGAAAAGAAGAGGAAAATTAAAAGAATAGCACAAATCTTTTTGGTTTTGGAGACAAAAATAAAAAGAAATAAGATGAATAAGGTTAAGTAAAATAATAGTATTCAGGTGAAGATGATGCAGAAGATTTATCAGAAGCAGAAAACTTTTAAAAATAAGTTGAATTTTTATCATTAAGAATGAATTAATTCATGTATTAACAATAATTACCTAATGATCCTTTAATTAAATTAGAAGTATGTGAAATATTAGATCTATATCTTGATAGTAAAATGGATTTTTATCTTAATAATTTGAAATTATAATTCTCATAATGGGTAGATAAATTAAATCTATTTAATGAAGTACTTAATAGTAATTTAGATATTGATAATCCATAACATAAAGAAAAAATTCAATAATAATTTAGAGACACCATCAAAAAAAATCTTGATAATATGTTACCAGCAATTATGAAAACTGGAACTAAAGTTGATGATGAAATTTTTAAAAAAAAAGATGATAATCAAATCTTTGGACTTATGAATATTGCTAATATTGCAAATATTGCAAATAAGTTAGTAAATACAGATGATAATTAATCAAAAGTAAAATCATTAGATGCTATAGAATTAAGTAATATCATTTAGTTTTCAATATTCCCATCATTGATATCTATTTTTTGTTTAAATTAGAGTCTTGATTTAGAAACTAAGATACTTCATATTTTAACTAGATTTTATAATTAAAGACATGAATTTGCTTATTTATCATCTAAATTGTTATTATTGTTTGATGATACTAATATTACAATATTTAAAAAATCAAAAAAGAAAATATTAGTATTGGCTAAATGTGTAGATGAATCAGAAACATGGGTTTAAAATTTAGATGAACCATAAAATTTAAAAACCTTAGAATTAGTATAATAACATTTTGAATTTTTCACTTAATTACTATTCAAAGGTTCTTACTTAAATGAAGCTTAAGAATTAGAAAAAGGACATGAAGGATAAGTTGATAGTATTAGATAAGATATGATGAGACATTTAAAAGTTGATAAATTAGGTGTTGATTTAATTAAAGATAGTGTTTTTATGGTTGAATAAGAAGATATTGATCTTGAATTATAATAAAAATTGAAGAAGATGTTTTAAGTTTGTTTAACATTCTTAAAATACTTTTGTATGAATAATCTAACCAATTAAAATGTTATGTCTTAACATATAGTTGCTTTAATATCTAAATTGAATACAGATTTAGGTTAAGTTGAATTACTCTGTGAAATATTTAGAGATAATAAAACAGTATGTTATGAGAGATCTTAAGAGGTTATTGATGATTTTGTTAGATTAATTATAACTAATGGTAGAAGAGTTAGATATTTAGAATTCTTTTTAGTAATAATGTAAATTAAAACTGAATACATATCATAAAATTAAAAAGCTGTTTTAAATTTATTTATTGATCCTAGATACAAAACTTAATTATTTTATATGTTACCTAAGGCAGAAGCTGATGAACATCCAATATTTGATTTTGAAACAAAACATAATGAAAATTCAAATTACAAAGATGAACCATATGATTATCATACTAAATTTATTGAAGTTTGTGCTTAATGTACAATAGGTAAAGAAGGATTATTGAGTTCAGAAAATAAATTGAAAGCATAAATTACTTTTAAATATGTTATGGAATTATTATTAGAGAAAGATGAATTTTCTGAATTTATTGATCCACCTAGTGGTTTAGAATCTGAATAATAATTTATGGAAATTCCAACTCATAAATAAAGATCATAATTGTAAAGTGGAATCAGTATAATACCATTAAATTAGGCTAAAGTGGAAGGAATAACTAAAATGAAACCATCCTTATTAGATTTATTATTTTATACATATTTAGAATCAGAAAAGATATCAGAAGAAGTATTTTCATGTTTTGACATGATTATATAATTCATTGCAAATGAGAAAGATAGAATTATGAGATGTAAAAATTTCATCCCTTAATTTTATGATTATTTTTTTAGTAATTTTATGTTAGTATTAAATGGATTGGTTAAAGTATTGAATAGAGAATTAGGATCTTAGGCATTAGTGTAAGGATCTAAATTATAAAAATAATCAACTGAATTTTATAGGGAACTTGAAGATTTAAGAAATTTCTTAACAGATTCATTTACTTCTAGACTTTAATTGAGTAATCGTTAAAAGACTTTATTATAATATTTTAAAGATAATATTATTATGAAGGAAGAATTGAATAAATAAAATTAAGATGATTAGAGATATTAATAAGAAAAAGAAAGATAAAAAAATAGATCTAGATAAGCTTCATAATATAAGACTCCAAAAAGATTATAAACAATATAAACATCAAAAAGAGAATTAAGTACAGATTAAATTTGGAAAGAATTATGGGATATATTTTTAACTGAATTTTTAGATAGTGAATAATTAATTGAAGCTATTAATAAAGAATAAATGGCTTTTGCATAAGCAATTTCAAAAGTTGAAGAGATATTTATTAAAGATAAAATAGTTCATTAATAAATTAATAAATAAATCATTTTTAAAAGATTGATTGCATTTTTAGAGAAATCTTCTGCTTCAGCTGATAATATTACAACATTTAAATTAATATTGAATGTATTAAGAAATTTTATTCATATTGAAGATGAATCAGAATTCACTCCTGATATGGATGAAGAAGAAAAAAAGAATATTGTATAAAGACAAAAAAAAGATAATCAGAATTTTTTAAATAGTAATAATGCTATGCAAATGACATTAACTTTACTAAGTGATATTTCAGATCCTATCAATTCTTAAAAGATTTTTAGTGAATTAATATAATTTGCTATTGATCTACTTGATGGAGGAAATTAAGATATTTAAAGATCTATATGGAATTATTTTTAAAATTTTACTGAAAGTGAAACTATATTTTTAAGATTACATAATGAATTTTAAAAAGCTATTAAAAATATGAAAAAAAATGATGAAATGTAATAATAATTTGGGTTCTAAAAATAACCAGATTTAATAAATTAAATTTTAAGATTACTTTAATTATTTGCAGAAGGACATTATCGTGAATTATAAGAATATATGTACTTCCAAAAATTTAATCATCATTCACATAATCTTATTTAAGATTTTATAGATTTGCTATAATCTTATATGAATGCTGTGGAGCCTGAATATTTTGAAAATATGGTTCAAAACTTTGATACAATAACTGAATATATTTAAGGTCCTTGTAGAACTAATTAGAAAGCACTTATTGAGGCTAATTTCTTAGATTTAGCCAATAAATTATATGAGATAGATGAAATAGCTTTAGAAATATAAGATGAAATTATTGAAGATGAAGAATTTCTTGATGAAGATAATCAAGAATTATTCACAATATAAAAACATTTACCCAGATGGATGATTGCTTTTCTTAAATATAAATGTTCTATTACTTTAATATCTTTATTAGAAGATAGAGAAGGTGATGAAATTATTTAAAGAATTCAAAAATCTTTAAGTAATGAAAACTTAAAATAAAACATCAATAATATTTTCTATATGTTTTAAATATATTCAAATGAGATTTATGACCTTAAAGTATTTGGTCATTTTGTAAATAGTTAACCAAAAACTTAAGAAGAAAGAACTAATTGTAGTTTTATAATAGAAACTGGATTTAATTTATTTTTCATTTACTAAATACATTAAAAAACAAAGAACAAAACTGTATAATAGAGTAAAAATGAAGAAGAAGAAACAGATGATGTAACATAATAACTATTAAACAGTCCATTCTATAAATTATTTTTACTAGTATAGAATTTAGCTAAAAGTTTGAAAGATAGTGTATTACAAGTTGCATAAATCTATAAAAAAACTGAAAAATAAACTCCAAAAGAAAGGATGTTAAAGTTATAATAAGCTAGATAATAATTATTTCCAAAAGCATATAAATTCTTTTTATCAAAAACTGCTAAAATAGAAATAATGTTGGAAAGCAAAAATGTTGAGGAAACTTATTTTTATATTCCTCCTTATTGTTAACTTGATGATGATGTAAAAAGAAATTTTAATGAAACAGCTAATAGGAATTCAAATAAAGCAAAAGTTACATCTTTAGTTGAAAGTTCAGAAGAAATAATAAAAACTATGAAATTAAATTACAAAATTTAAGTTTATTTAAATTAAATTAAAACACTTCAAGTAATTATAGAGAATATAGATTTACTAAGAGACATAGAATTTATTATTGCATTATTGATAAATGTGTTTATATTCCTATTTTATAAGAAAAAGTATGTTGGAATTGAAGTAAATCCAGATCTTACAGAAACAGAGATTTGGTTAGATGATGATAGTTTTGAATATTAGAGTCTTATTGATTCATTAGGGATTTTATCAATTGTACTTTCAATTTTGATTGTAGCATTCTTTTTAAGCAGAAATGCTCCATTATTATTAGAGAAGGCTTGGAGTGGTGTTGGATAAGAGAAATTAAATCCTATTGCTTATTTAATAAGACTACTTAAAACAGTATATTATTTATTATCTGATTTCTTTGCTTTATATTATATAATGTATGGCACAGCAGCAGTATTAGGTAGATTTGTTCATAACTTTTTCTTTTCCTTTCACTTATTTGAAGTCATGATAAGATTTCCATTATTATTAAATGTTGTAAAATCAGTATGGAATCCAAGGAAAATGATTTTATATACAGGACTCTTATTATTGATTTTCATGTTTGTATTTACAGTCTTTTCATACAGAATATTTTATGAAAGTTATGATGCTGGATTTTGTGATTCAATGTGGATATGCTTTTTGTCAACATTAGATTCTGCTTTCAAATATGATCAAGGTATTGGTGGTTTCCTTAAAAACCCATATGAAGTTTATGCTGATGATGAAGTCAAATTAGTATTGAGATTCATTTTTGATAATTTCTTTAACATTTTAGTTATTATAGTAATGTTAAATATTGTAGCTGGTATTATAATTGATACTTTTGGTGAATTAAGAGAAGAATTACAAGAATATAATCAAGATTTGGAGAATTTATGTTTCATTTGTGGATATGATAAAGAAACAATAGAAAAGGAATCAATCAATTTACAAAACTTTTCTGATCATATTAAAAAAGAACATTATTAATGGTATTATCTATTTTATATTGCTTACTTGAGAGAAAAAGATCCAACTGAGTATACAGGAATTGAAAGTTATGTTGCTGATAAATTGGATGCTGTTGATATAACATGGTTCCCATTAAATAAGTATATTTTATTAATTAAATATTAGAGCATTATGTTTGAAAAAGGACTTTGGAAATGAAGAAGAGAAAAACATTGTTACCTCACTTGAAGCTATCAAAGAAAATGCATAAGAACTAAAAAATATTTTAGTTGAAATCTAAACAGAAATAGAAGAGGAAGATTGATTATTTTATCTATATTATACATTGTCTTTTATATTATTAATAATATCAAAGAAATAGCAATAATTAATAATCAATTTATATAATTTTTAATAAATTTGATAAATTAAATGATTCACAAAAATGTAGTATTTGGAAATCATATCACAGCCAATAAATTGGAAAGATTACTAAAAAAATAAAAGATATTATTGAAATCTCCTCTAGATTCAAAATAAGAAACAAAAAATAGAAAAATCTGCAAGTCTAAAAGCTTCAGATTTGAAATTCATCCTCATGTTTTTTAGGTAAACCACACTTCTCCTTTTAAAAATTAACCACTTTTATAGATACCTATTGATAAAAGTCCTAATCGTCGTTCTTCTTTGAAACCTAATTTAGAAGTTTTTTCAAGAAGTTAGAAATCAATGACAAGCTTATAATTGAAAAACACTATTGTAGGTAACAAGTTGCAGAGGAGATGGAGTAATTATGAATTAATAAGTGAAAAATAAAAGCGTCTTAACAATAAAGCTCCAAAATCAGTAATTAAATATCAATATCTTATGACTGTAAAAGCGAAGAAAAAGAAAATATAAAGAATGAAAATGTAATACAGTAAGTTAGTTTAAGTATATAGAGTTTTTGGGGAAAAAGAATAATAAAGTTAGAAAAACAAGAAGTAAAACATTACCTTTAGATCCTGTTGTAAAAATGAGACATAAAAGAGCATAAACAGTTTAAGGAGAACATTATGAAGGACCTATTATTCCATTAGAGAATAGTTTAATTAGAAAAATTATAAAATTAATAATGACAAAGAAAGCAGCTGTTAAAAGATAAACTTGTTTTTAAATTCCAAAAAGAAGTATGCTTCTTTCAAAAGAAAAATTAATTAGATTTTAGGAATAAATAAATGAAAAATTAGTATAATAATCAGAATCAGATAGTTAAATGGATGGATCTCCTTGTTTAGATTCATTAAGATCATATCAAAGAAGAGTTTATTTTGAAGAGAAATAAAATTAATTAAAAATAATATCAAAAAAGAAGAAAAACCTTATCAAAGCATTATAAAATAAGCATTCTTTTAATATAATTAATTCTTATGTTTAATAGAAGGTTAAAACTTAAAATTCTTAAAATTCTCTTCATTAAAAGAGTACATAACAAACCCTTTGTGATTTTATGTCCAAATAAGGAGATAGAATGACAACAATTCATAGTGCACATGAGCAACCTTAAATTTAGTAGAAAACAAAACGATCAAAAATGTTAACTAAGCTCCTTCCTTATTTACAACCTTAGAAAAATTTTAATAAATGATATTCAATTTTCCAAATAACTTATACTTATAAATATAATAATAATAATGTAAATTTTAAGTAATTTTATATATAAAATAAAAAAGAAAGAGTAGAAAATGTTATATAAATTGTAATATAAATTTTAAAATATTTAATTCTTTCATGCCTTTATTATTAATTTGTGGTCCTCCAGCAAGTGGTAAAACACAAAGAGCATTAGAAATACAGAAATTCGTAAAGGAGAAGTTAAATAAAGATTCTATCATAATTAATGAAGAGAATTTACATTTATAAAAGGATGATGCATATAAAGATAATACAAGTGAAAAGATGACAAGAGGATTTTTAAAATCTAATGTTGAAAAATATATATAAGCTGGATAATTGGTCATATTTGATTCTATTAATTATATTAAAGGATATAGATATGAACTTTATTGTTTAGCAAGAGCTGCTAAAATTACAAATTGTCTAGTAATTTTACAATTTTTAATTAGTTATATTTAAATGTACCATTAGAGATTTGTTAAAAAAACAATCAAATGCGTGATAATAAATTCAATGATAATTTATTGATTGATTTATATAAAAGAATGGAAGTTCCTAAATAAAAAGATAGATGGGAATGTCCTTATTTTGAAGTTAGATTTTAAGAGAAAACACCTATTGAGGAGATGATTGAAGTATTATTTTTTGCAGAAAAAACAGCAAAAGATCCTGTTGCTACTAAAAAAGTAATTATATATATATATATATTTAAATAGGAATAATAAAATGATGGTAATTTTGTACATGAATAAGAAAAGAGAGTATAAGAAATTTTAGATTAAATCTTAAATAAATAAATTGAATGTATTTAAATTGGAAATGGATCTATTAAATTTTAGGGAACTAAATCATCCCTTATTTTAAAACGAGCATTAAGCATAATTGAATTAAAGAAATTAAGATTAGAATTCTTGAACATGTTAAGAATTACTCCAGTTAAAACATTAGAATAAACTAATGAAGCATTCATAAATTTTATCTAAGCTCAAGTTGAACGATTAGGATAATGAGATTTTCTTCTTTTAGATACATATTTATTTCATCAAATGTTATAATTTTGGAAGTTTTTAATTTCTCTTTTTATCATTTAATTAATTAAAATAAATGAATATATATATGATGTTATAAGAATCTAATACATCTTAATTTTTTCTCTATCTTTTATCATTAAGTAATGAATCTAGTATTAGACTCATAAACGATTGATCTTTTAACAAATTATGAAGACTTGCTTAATTCAACACTTGATTAAGGTCAACTTGAATAGATGTGTCATGAACTCATAGACACCTTCTGTATTTTTTTAGAAAATATATCTAGTTCTATACATAGAGGAAATTTAAAATTACAAAGGTGAAATAGGTCTTGAACTTAAATCAAAGTAAACAGAAATCGATATGCTTCACTTATAGATTTCAAAATAGGCAAATCAACTTGAAGATTAAAAAAGCGATTTAACTAGATAGATTGATATTTGCTAATAATTAGAATTATAGTTATAATTCTTTGAAAAGAAGTCTTAGAAATCTGAAAAAGAAATCCTATAAGTAGAAACAGAATTAAGAAAAAAACTTCATCAGCAGAATCAATAATATAGAGATTAAATTTAAATCTTAACAAGTGTATAATAAGAAATAGATAAACAAATTCTTTAACTCTCTAGAGAAAAAGGATAACTATAATTATAATTTGAACAACTCTAAAAGAAATATGAGGAGTAGTAATTCTTAATTACAAATCTGACTGAATAGTTGGCAAATTTATAAACAAGTTCAAGTTTCAATACTAAAATATTACAAAATAACGATGTAGTTATTGACAGTTAAGATGAATCTATTGAAATTAAACCTTAAGAAAAAAGAAGTTAGTATTCAAATTGTATTTCCCATAATTAAATTAATTTTAAATGGGAAAAAATTTAACCTAGTATATCATCCATTAGGAATTCTATGACTATAATAAATCCAACTAATACAAAATGTGACATATAATCAAAATAAAAAATAAAATCATTAGCTTATTTGAACTGTAAATCAGAAAACCAATGTGATCCTTATTATGAATTTTTTAAATTGGTATTTTTTTTATATTATAATTTTTAGATAACTTAATGTGTCAAATTAGATTTGGGATAAGCTCATATATTTACAATGAATTTTGATTATCTTTTTGAAAAGTTTAAAAATAATTGTATTCCATTCAATCAATGGTACGATAAAATATTAGAAGAAATTTTTACATGAAATATATACTAATAAATTTATTAGAAAATAACTCATTTATTCTTAATATAAAATCATTTTATATTAGTAATATTCTTTTGCAATAATTATTTATTCTAATAAATTTAGTATAAAAATCAATAAACTTTTAATCTTAGTAATAGAATTTTCAAATTAATAGAATTCTATTTATAACAATACAATCTATGAAAATGATATATTATTAATTAATTTAATGGAATTGTTTCTAGGATTAACAAGGTAACAATTAAGTGATGATTGTTATATAGAATTTCCAAAAGTTTGTAATGAAATAGGAACTAAGTGGCTAATTGGATATAATCATATAATAACAATTGATGAGGATTATGAAAAATATAAGGATGGCATAAGAAAGGAATAAGCATAAGATTTATTAATATAAGATATTAATACTTATAAGATTGTGCTTGAATATGAATATAATGAAAAATATGGAGAAAAGACTTTTCAATCATTAAATTTAGGTTGTTAATATCTACTTTTATCAATTTTCATTAATTCTGGAAGAGTTTTACAATTTTCTAAATTGATTTACTAATGCTAATAGAACAATTTTTATGAAGCCTTGAAATCTAATGGGAGAAATCATATTAAGAATGAAAATCAAAATATAAAATTAAATATAAAATGTTAAGAAGAATAACAATTTTTTAAAGAACATTTTGATGAATAAGGAATTCCAAAATAAGAAGGAATATGGAAAATTGAAATACCTTAAACAAATGAAGAAGATTTATATTATGCTATATAAATACTTGATGATAGATTTTACACCTTAGGTCTATGCTCTATATTTGCTATTAATACTGAATTAGAATTTTGTAATTACAAAAGTGTTTTATGGTTGGAATTTTTAAAAGATTAAGAAGGAAAAAAGTATAATTTTGTAAGTTACAATTAAGAATAACAAAGATGGTTTCCTGTAAATGTGATGGATCAAGAATATTAAATAATTGGATATTCTCATATTTGTAATCCTACAGAAGTATTAGCATATTAGGATGGTTTAACAGATGGATAAGTTAATTATTTGTTTTTAGCTGATTATGATTAAAATTGTTTAAAATTAAGGAGATTTTTAAATTAAGAATATTAAAATAAAGATTTTGATAATCTTACTTCCTAAGTTTAATTATTATTGATAGATTTATCTTTTAGAAATTGGCCATTAATATACTATAAACAATCAATTGATTTAGCATTAGAAAATAAAATATAAGAAGCTATTAATTAGAGCTATATTTATTATATACCTTCTGAATCAGTTAATTCTCATTATTTAATTAGAAAAGATGAAATTTATACATTTCTTAATTAAATGTCATCTACCTATTAATTGAAAACTGAAAATAATAATATGTTCTTATAAAATCCTAATTTAAATAACATAGTTGGGGTTAAAATAACTGAAGATAATTTTAGTTTTATTCTTAAAGAAGAAGCTGAAACTAAAATATAGATAGAAGATTTAATAACCTTATTAAAAGTTTATTATGATCCTATATAATAAGTAGATGATATTGCATTTTCATTAGAACCGGAAGATAATGATGAAGAAATGATGAGACCATTTCAAAATAAAATCTATTCTCCTGAATATTTAGATAGAACAAATGTTGGAATAGTCCTTTATGAAGCAGATTTTCTATTAAAATAAATGAGTTTAGGAATTGAAGTTTTAGAAAGAGAACCATTAATAACTAAACCTTTTGTATATGGAAATCTGGATATATAACCATTATATAAGTTAGATCCAGAATATTATGCTAAATTATTTCTTAAAATTGGAAAGTTAAAATTAAATATATTAGAAGATAAACACAATAATGTTCATAAGTTAGAAATTGAGAAAATAGATATTGCTGTTGAGGCAAGAATTCTTAATTAACAACTCAATGAAGAAGTAATCTAGGATGAGAATAATGGAGCTTAGAGGTTTGCTAGTTAATTTACCTAACTTTATGATTAAATAAGTTAAAAGTATCCTATCTTTATAAGATTAAGATAAATTTTAATGGCAAATTATTTAGCTAAGTATATGTATGAAAAAGGGATTCCAATCAATTATGAATTTATTGAAAATATATTTTATTAGAAACTTATTTCACAAGAATAACTATATAGAAAAAGTCCAACATTAAAGTTATATTAAGAAGATGAATATCATATAATTGATTTAAGAGGAGGAATAGATGGAAATAGCTCTTAAATAGATAATATTATGAAGAATGCTTTGAATCAGTTGGATGAAAATCAAAATTTGTAAGTTGTTGAAACAAATTCAGAAATTATTGATGCTAAGTTTTAGAGATGTGATAGTGTATCAAGTATATCAACATAAGCTTCATTAGAAGTAATAAATGAGTTAAAAAAGAAAGAAAAATGTATAAATTGTAAAAAAGATTTAGAATAATGTGAAATTGATTAAAATAAAATTTGTAAAGCTTGTAATAACTAAAAATGTTCAAAATGTTATAAAATCTCAAATGAAATTTTATTAAAAATTCAAAATGAAATATGCTGTAAGGAATGCTTTAAATGTTATCAATGTAATAAATAAAACCCAAATAAAATTTATGATTAAAAGTATTATCATCAAAATTGTTTTGAATAAGCAAAAAAATAATTTGAATTAAAAAAACAAATGATCTCATATATAAAGAAAACCTTTGGAACTAAATAAAAATAAGCAGATAATAATGATAAATAAAGTTATTTTTAAACTGAATTATATCCTTTTATTAATATAAGAGATTATTCAGGATATATTATTGGTTATAATCATCCAATTATTAAAAGTTAAGCTTAAGTTAATCTAAAATAATACAAATTACCATATAAAAAAGCTGAAGAGTTTTTAATAAAAGACTTAGAAGAATTTGAAAATTAATTAAATTAATTTTATAAAGTACATAACTATACTAGGGATAGTAACTTTAAAATGTTAATGCTGTTTATTCTATTTATTTTAAAAAATTTTGATTAAGTTCTTAATTTAGCAAATAAAAGTAATTACAGAGATCTATTTGTTGAAATTCCAAAATTATAGATTACAAATACTAAGGGTGTTCATGTATTAAGGGGTAAAATTGAAAAGGCTTTAGATTTCTTTAAATAACATTTTGATTAAAATGGAAATGCTATTTAAAATTAAGAACAAAAAATTAAAAATACATGAATTTGATTATTATTATAAATAATTATAAATATAATTAGTTTTTAATTGTATTTTTTAAGGAATAATATTCATAATTTCTGTATATCCAATAATAATATGAATTTAAAAACAATCTATGATTACTACAAATATTAGTTTAATTTTCATATACAATATTATTATTAATAATATATGTAATCATAACAATTAAAATAACAGCCTTAATAAATAAAAAAAATAGAGGGTTCATCTACAAGTCCTTATGGAAAGATAAAGTTTGAAGTTAATAAGCAATCTTAGAATTCTCCAAGCATACTAGTATTAATAAGATTTAATATTTAGAAAGAGATTGGTTAATATGTTTATAATATGAATGATATACTTGGGACTGGAGAATTCAGTTCAGTATATAAAGGTTAAGATTAAAATACAAATGAAACTGTGGCTATCAAAATTATTGATAGAAAAAGCATTTAGAACAATTAAATTTTTAGAAATTTATTAGTTAATGAAATCAATATCCTTAAGTCAGTGGACAATAAATGCTTGCTTAAATTATACAATTATCTTGAAACAATGAATAATATATATATTGTAACTGAATTTTGTTCTGATGGTAATTAGTCAGTGGATTTTAGGTGATTTGCAATCTATAATAGAAAAAAAAGGATATTTACCAGAACATAATGCAGTTAAGATTTTAAAACATCTTATAAAAGCATTACTTTATTTGAAAGAAAGAAACATAGTACATAGAGATATTAAGACATAAAATATTTTAGTCTCAAATTAAATACCAAAATTAGCAGATTTTGGATTTGCTGTTGATTTAAATCAACCTCAGACAAGGTATATATATTATATATGTAGAGAAATTTTATAAATAGGAACTCCATTATACATGGCTCCAGAAATATATTCTCATTATTAATATTCTTCAAAAACAGATTTATGGGCACTTGGTATTGTATTTTATGAAATGCTATTTGGTATGAAATTATGAAATAAATAGGAAAGGTACCATTCAATGCTAAAAACCCTAAAGAACTTGAATAAATGTTTTAAATTCATAGAAAAACTTAAAATATTTAATATGATAATGGTCCTTAAAAAATCACAGAGGTAGCCTAAGATTTTATTAATTCCATATTAGTGATTGATCCTAAATAAAGATTTGATATTTCATAGGCTGCTAATCATCCATTAATATAAAGTAATTAAGATATTTAATTTAGATCCACATCCACATGCAAATAAATAAAATTGATGTATTATTAATTATAATAAATCAAATATCTATTGAATATAATTAAAAATAAGTATGATTCTCTTTTCTTATTTAACATTTATTATAAGTTAATATTAATTTTTGATTAAAAAATAATTAAAAAGGATATTTTGTATGTATATTTAATTAAAGTTAAAATATATTAATATGTATTCAATTTAGAAACTCTTTATAGATGTATATATATTTGAGAAAATATATAAAAATTTATTTATATAAAAATTAATACAAATATTTTGATGATTAGAATAGAAATATTTTATTAATGTATTTAAAATATATTCAATCTCAATTTCGATCTATTGAATTTTATTTATAGTTTGAATAGATTATATATCTATTTTATTTTTGATTGTTATAATTAATATAAAATTTTAATAACTTCTAAATTACCAATTCAACAGGACTGAATATATTATTTGAATTAAAAATTTGAGTTTTATTTATAATTAAATATATATATATGTAAGATTGATTTAGACACTGAATTATCTCTTTTCTTTTTTTCTCTTATCATTTAATTTAAATAAATAAAATAGTTAAATCAAAACATGCTAGTCTTAATTACTCTCGTTATTACTTGTCTACAAATAGGACACTAAATTTATATATAAGAGAAATTTTACATTTTTAAGATTCTCAGTGCAATTAAAGCAAAGAATGAAATGGCAACATTCCATTAATACACTATCAATTTGTCTAATAAAACAGATTTTACATAGATGCTTTTCCTCTTCTCTTTGTATTTTATTGGTCAATTCTTTAACCTATTCTTTGAGAGTGACAACTTCTTCATCTTGAAGAATAGAAGAATCCTCTTAAGGATAAGTGAAATTGATTTTTTCAGTTTTTGTAACAAAAATAGTGTACATATCATTTAATCTTTATCCATCATAACCTCCTAATAAAAAGAATTGATTTTCTAGATTAACTAATTTATGAAATGTCCTTGCTGAAGGAATACTTCCAGATGTATTAATTTTAATCCATTCTCTCTTCTTAAAATTATATTAATGTAAATCATTATATCTAATTTATAAATGATCTACTCCACCAAATAAAAACATGTTTTAATTATAAACTAAGGCTTCATGTCTATATCTAGCTTTTGGTTTTTGTCCACTACATCTTCTAATTTCATAAAAAGTATTAGTAACAAAAGAATATTCATACATTTCATCTAAACAACTAGTACCATCCCAACCTCCAAAAATGAACATTGAATTTTAATATGAAACAGCTGTATGACCAAATCTACCTGTTATTTATTAATCATGATCTAATTCAACCCATGATCCCTTAAATTTCCATATATCATTAAAAATTTATTTATTTTCACCTTTTCCTCCAAATATATATATTCCATTGCAATATTCAACTAAAGAATGATCAGTTCTTTTTGCTGGATTAGTACCTTATTAAGTTTCCATAGCAAATGTATTGTTCTTAACATTAAATCTATATAAATCATTACAATAAATTTAGCTTTATGTTTGAACATAGCCTCCAAATAACATTAATTAATCATCAACTGCAACCATTTTTGCTCCAGATCTGGCTGATGGTATTTAACCTGAAGTAACAATAATAGACCAAGAATTTCCATCAAAACAATTTAAATCATTATTAATATTACCAGATTGATCTACACCTCCAAATAAATAAATTTTATTTTAAAGTACACAAGCAGTATGTCCAGTTCTAGGTGTAAAACGATCTTTAAGATCCAATTATATCCACATTAAATGTGGAGCTTATCTAAATTATTCAATTTATTATCTGCCATTTTCTGAATCTAAATTGATTCTATGAACATCATTTCTCCTTTATCCATCAAATCCACCAACCAAATATAAATAATTTCCTAATACAACACATTTATGAAAAGAACGAGGAGATGGTGGATTCTAAACAACTATTCTACTCCATATTGAAGTTTGAAAATCAAATCTTTATAAATCATTAAAACGTTCTTGATTTTAATCCACTCCTCCAAAAATGAATAGAAATCCTTTATAAATATTTGCTGTATGTCTATATCTTCCAGCAGGTGGATTTTATTATTTAACCATTTGGAAAGTACCATTACTATTAGAATAAACCCATAAATCATTTAATGTATTATTTCCATCCCATCCTCCAAATAAATAGAGTTCATTTTAATACGATGTTATTGTATGTCCAAGACGTGCACTTAATTATCTTACTTAACTTAATGCTTTCCATTCAAAAGTACTTAGATTTAATTCATGTAAATCATTAAATCGTTTTTATCCATTTGATCCTCCAAATATATAACATAAATTTTTTTAAATTGTGAATGAATGATCTACTCTAGCTGGAGGTGGTTAAGTTTTTGGAGTTATTTTATCCCATTAATTGTTTGCAGGATTAAAACGAAAAAGATCATTAAAATATTCTCCATGTTTCCAAGTATAACCTCCAAAAAAATAAAATAAATCTTCATAAACACATCCCAATGATCCAGATCTTGCTGATGGTATTTCACCTTATAATTTAAGTTTACTCCATCCTTTATGATATTTATACATATCATTCTATCTGTCTTATTCATCAATCCCACCAAACACATAAATACACTCCTTATATGCTATTACTGTATGTCCAGTCCTTGGAGAATAATCATTTACATCACTGGGCAATAATTCCCATTGCATTATTTAAATTAATAATTATGTATTATTAGACACCTACTCCTATGATGCCATTAGCTCATGCTATGAATAACCCTCTTTAAGTACAATAAGCTGTTAATATTCGCAAACCTGATTTCCCCCCAGATGTAATAATATGTGTTTTTATTCTTAGATGCAACCAATCTTTGTCATACCTTAAATTGCTCATATCAAATCTTAATTAAAACCAAAATGTAGACCATATGATCCTATTTTGGGTATTGGAAGAAAAGCAGAATGGATGTTGGATAAATTTGAAGATGAATATGAGTAGATGCAAAGAGAAGAAAGAGAAAAAGGTATATATATATATAATTATAATTATGTAGATATTGTTAAACCATCAAGATTACCATTAAAGATTCTGAAAAAATACGAGAAGAGAAGATAACATAGTGAAGAAGTGAAGAAAAGATTGTAAACATGGAATCCATTTGAAGATCCAAATATTACATCTGATCCTTATAAAACATTATTTGTTGGACGATTAAATTTTGCAACAACAGATAAAAAATTACGCAAAGAATTCGAAGAATATGGCCCTATTAAATCTGTAAGAATAGTGCGAAATTCTACTCAAGATAAAACAAGAGGCTATGCATTCATTGGTAAGGGGGTGATCATAAATTAAAAGAGTATGAGAGCAAGAACAGTGTTAAATCAGCTTATAAATATGCAGTTGATAAGCGTATTGATGGTCGTAAAGTGATTGTAGATATAGAAAGAGGTAGAACAATACTTAAATGGAGACCTCGTTATCTTGGTGGGGGATTGGGAGAATTGAGAAGATCAAGAAGTGAAGAATTATAAAAGAAGACTAAAGATGATTAAGTAGAAAAGGAGGAAGAAGATAAAAGACGTAAAACTAAAAAAGGTAATTAATATTAGATATATATATATATAGAAGATGGGAAATCATCTAAAAAACCTAGATCTCGATCTAAGAGTGCCAAAAAACATAAGAAGAGAGATGAGAGTGAATTTAAGAAGAATAAAAAGAGAGAAAAATCAAAAAAGAGACATAAATGAGTGATGATGATGATGAATAACAAAAAAAAGGTAAATTTATTTATGGTAAGTATTCTCTTTTAAAACATCTTTCTTCTCATTCATATGAATAGTTTATATAAAATATATTTACGATACCAAGCTCTCAAACGTGCCTTCAAATCTACTAAACTATATCTTAAATATGCCAAACTTAAAGAAGATTTAGAAGACTAAAAGCTTAATAGAATCTGTGTTGGAGAAGATCGTATGGGTAATAAGTTTTATCAATATTATTCATATTATGGATTACCCACTAGAAGAGAAGTAAATATACATAAAATTAACATTCTTAGATTAGGTTTAAAGATGATAAAGAAAGAATAGTTAATGATTTAGCATATTATGATTGGCTATATAAACGAATTGAATAACCACCTACAGAAGAATAAGTTGAATAATTGTATGATCTATCATTTCATATATAGCTATAAAGAAGAGTAATTGCGTTTTTAAAGAGCAAGAGAATGGGATGAATAATAAGAAAAAATGATGTTAGCATTTTATGAACAAAGAAAAATAAGAGAAGAATAATACAAGAAAGCTTATTTGGAATAGAAAAACTTTAATTAAAACCCTGAGGTATTTACAGAAATAGCTAATAATTCTGAATTGAAATAAGAGTCTCAAAATGAGTAATGGTAACCAAAATCAAAGCGTTGATTTCATAATATTAATTACATATATTTAGTTAAGAATTGTCAATCTATAGTTTATATAATCAATATTAACTTTTATATCAAACTATTTAAGATTTTTTAAATCAAATAAAATTTAAAGGAATATGATGTAGGTATTAAAATAACTAATTAAATATTCTACTAAATAAAGAATATAAGAAAATAATTACATATCTTTCTTTTATTACGATTTTCTTATTCAATAATATTTAATTAAATATATGTGTGATCAAATTTTATATTACGCATCATTTCACGATATATATATTCTGAAATGTATTTACAATTTTAATTATGATTTCAAGAATTAATAAATAGCTTTGGAAAACCTTTTGTTCAACTAAGCCTCCAAGTGAAGGTAAAAAGAACTAAATGTATGCAATGCCTCATCCTTTCTGGAACGAAGAGGCCAGGAATAATGTAAAGATCGATCACAAAGAGCCTTAAACTTTTGGTGATAGATTTGCTCATTTGTTTATTTAATCAATGAGAATTGGATTTGATGTTTTAAGTGGATATAGGAAAGTATTTCCATGGTAGAACAACATAATATCTGAAAAAAAATGGATAAATAGGGTTCTATTTTTAGAGACTGTAGCAGGAGTACCTGGATTTGTCGCAGGAATGCATAGACATTTGAGATCCTTAAGAGGTATGAAGAGAGATTTGGGTTGGATCCATACATTATTAGAAGAGGCAGAAAATGAGAGAGTACATTTGTTGACTTTTCTTACAATTAAAAAACCATCATTAATATTTAGAACAGGAGTTATATTGGCCTAATTATGGTATGTTGCATTGTTCTCAATTGCTTATATGATCCAACCAAGAGTATGTCATAGGATAGTTGGATACTTGGAAGAGGAGGCAGTGAAGACATATACTCATATGATAGAAGAAATAGAAATTGAAGGTAGTTCAATTCATTCTTGGAAAACGAGAGCAGCACATCAAAATTCAATAGAATATTGGAATTTACCAGAAAATGCAACTTTATTGGATGTTGTTAAGGCTATAAGAAAAGATGAAGAACATCATAAAGAAGTAAATCATAAGTTTGCTGATGATTATACTTAATAATCAGAGAATCCATTTCCTCCAGGATATTGATTTTTTATTATTATCTAAATTATTATTGATGTTTATAATATATTATAATGATCAAAATAATTGTACTGGGGATTTGATGGCATTTTTAAAATCATAATAGATAGTAACAATAGGAGCTGTGTCTTGAGAATTTGATCCTTTGATTGATAGAGCATCTCCTATTTTTTTATTAAATATATATTGTAATCTAATTGTGGTTTAATAATATTACTGATTTTGCTTTTCAGCATCCAAATATAATCTAATATCTGTAATACCTCCATGTCTATCTTACAATTCTTTATTGATGAACATGAGTGGATCATTGTAAGCTACAACAATTTCAAAATTTGGATAAGGCCAATCTTTTTCTAGTATTACAAATTTAAGTTTGATGTATTAATGTTATTCACTGTCCATTTCGAATGATGGCTAAAAAAGGGATTTTGTTATTTATGTATATGTACATAGATATTATTGGCGTTCATTTTAATTTTTAATAATGAAATATACTATCATAATTCTTCAAAACCATCTTCAATTTATCTATTATGCTATATTGGTTATGATTATTTAGGTTCTGGTTGATCTTATTAACCTTCTGTTTGTTTTTTAATCCATTCTCTTGTTTTAACAAAACGTTCAGGAGTCTTAGGTTCAAAATTTAATTATCTAAATGCTTTTTCTCTTCTTAGACGACCTCCAAATTTAAAAAATTATTGAGACCAATGTTTTATTGCATATTAGAGATCTACAACAGTTTTTGGTTCTTTCCACCAAGTAACTACTTTAGTAGCACTGTTCTCTTAAACATAACTAAGAAATTCATAATAATCCACAAGCATTTAGAGTAACTCATCTTAAAAATCAATTTTATGATTAATGAGGTCTTGTATCTATTTATGTATTTACAATTTCAAGAAGTTAATCTGCTCTGAAAAGTCTTTCACCATGAAAGAAAGTGAGATAGAGAGTATTGATTATATTACTTAATCACAAGTTTAGAGTGTTGGATTATTGAGTGAAAAGTTACGACTTAAACTAAGTTTATAGTTGGTTTCTTGATTTATAAGAGTTTCAATTTCCACTTGAGGATCTATCATAATCTCATTCTGATTTTACTCAACATGGACGACCTCACTATTTGAACGAGGGCACAAGGCACCCATTTAATTAATTATATAAATGCAACACATTATATATATATCCATCACAGTATATCTGATGGTAAAGGCATCTCAAATATGAAATGACTAGCCATTATGCTAGCAGCTTCAGGTTGATCCATTGGAACCATATGTCCAGCATTTCTTACAGAAACAAAGGTTAAACCATCAATTTCCCATACATTACCAGCATTTTATTGTTCTGATCCTTTTTCTCCTGGTTTATACCAAGGTCTCCATTCCTCAATAGTTGGTAAGTCTAAAATATAACAATTATAATAGACTTAGTTCCTTCTACAATTTATCAATCCAATACAAAGTACCAGTGATGGGAACTATTGAATCAACATCTCCACTGAATTTCAAAATCCTAATTCCATTCTTGAGTAATTTAGGATATAAATGATAGGTAGCTCCTGGATCCTTCTTGTAATCAATATTTGAACAATCATTCCAATAACCAGCATCATCTCTAATATGTAAAGCCTAGAATATTAATGAATTTCTAACCTTTCTAAATGCTGCATTATTTAGATAAAGGAATAAGGCTTCTGATTCAGAACATTCATTGATTTATCCAACAACACCTTCCTTCATTGGATGTAATTTGAATCTCTTCTCTTTAACTCTTTCTCCTTTTTCATTGTAAAATGGTAATTGATAACATTTTCCATATACATTATATGGATTAAAATAGTAATCACTATGATAATAACTTAAATAATATTACTCATCTCCATTGATTTATTCCATTACTTCTCCATAGATCTCTATGCATTCTGGATATGATTTCATATGACAGTAACTTGTCATATTTTCAATTTTATGATTTAATTTTTCACTAATGAATCCATGATTATGAAGGAATTTATAAAAATGAACAGGGAAATTGAATCCTAAATCTGTGCATTCTGTTGGATCTGTACATCCATTACCAATCATTAAACCCTTCAATCTGATCCTATCACCAACTGCTGCTTTGGCATTATAATCAATAATCTCATTTGCTAATGTTGGAATGTATATTCCAGCCCAACTCTCTCCAGCAATATAAAAGTCTATGCTTTTATATTCTGGGAATTTCTTAAAGAATTCAAGCACTGCCTTTAAATTATCTTTTGCTGTGCTCTTATCATCTGTTGTTGTATTTCCAAAAGAAAATCCTACTCCTGCTGGACTTTCCAAGTAAAACATGTTAGCCTATCAAAATATATATTCATTATTACAAAATTCAACCAAGTGAATAGATTTTATTTGAAATTATTTGTACCCAATTCTACTGTGAATGGCCCATTTTCCACCATGGCTCCATAAAGAGATGAGCATCCAGGACCTCCATTTAACCACAATACAAGTGGAAATGTAGCCTATAATGGTCCAGCTAAGCTAAAAGCTGGAAATGCAAAATAATGGAATTGCTTTTTACCAGCGTCATCGATTGGCAAATACCCAGAATACCTTAGAATTGTGACATAATCCTTACATTTTTCCTGCATATGGAATTTTGAACTTAGCCCATGTAGATCCATCTACTAAGTCTTCTGCTGGGGCTCCTGCTACATATCCAATAAAATAGAGTAGTGACAAAATCATTATTATGATAAATTATATTAAGTCATCATATTGATATTTATTAATATCTTTATAATTAACTCGAACAAAACAGATATGTAAAATAATTAAATTGTTAGTTATTTCAACATTAATGTCTATCTCAAGTGATATCCCATTTACACCAACTCAAACAAAAACTACTCTTCCTGTTCCTCGTTCTGCCAGATCTCTTATAAAAAGGGAAAAGTAATATAAATTAGATGTCCTTTTGAAAAACTAAAAAGGAAAGTAAACAATTAAGAAAAGAATCAAACGTAAAAGACTATTCTCTGGATTAAAACGTACAGTTAGTAACTATAGGGGTCGAATTCCATAGTCTGAAACTTTTACTCTTAATGAAGATCGCTTAATACTCTCTTCTGTAATAAAATTAGGACCTAAATTCAAAGTGATTTCCTAATATTTTCCATCAAAATCATTAAGTGCAGTCAAAAATCGTTACTATAAGTATTTGAGATATCGTTGGATTCAAATTATGGGCAAGTATTTATTTTTGCTAATAAATAAGGGATTTTGAAAGTTTATTAAAAGAAAGCTAATAAATTATAAGACAAGATGATGAAATTGTAGATACTGCAGAGCTATTCCCAGAAGTAAAAGATATATTAAAAAATATGATAACAAATATCAAATCTTTAATTTAATCATGAATCTTATTAATTCTAATTATAACATAATGATTCTCATTTGTTTATATAAACTATACAAAATTAAATTCTTGTTAATAAATAGGAGTAGCATAAATAATATAGAATTAAAAAAATTGGACTAACTGAAAATGCAACTACAATTATTATTAAAGTACTAATATAATATTAATATGATATGATTTTATTGAGTTTCTATATCTATCAATTAGAAACATATTCTTTTTTCTTGATTAATTTTTATTTTTCTAAATTTTCTTTTTCTGAATCATCATTGTACTTTTAAACGATTATCATTTAATTTTATTTTTTTTTAGTTATTTAATATTAATTGAATTCTTTATTTAGGATTTTAAATCATATCCTAAATGTATAATATGCACTATAGGAATAAATATTCATGAATTATTTTATATCTATAGACTTTTGAAAGGGTATTTATAAAAAATTGTTAAGATTGATTTTAATAATAATTTATTATATGATTTTCGTTTTAAACTATATAAATTAATAAATTTGATGTAATATGCATATAATATATGAAGTTTTCCTGAAATTATTTTTTTCTAATTATCAAAATTTTATATATTATACTATGATTAATTGTTATTATCTGTTTCTAAGTAACAAATCATAATCTTAGTGTTTATTCTAATTGTATAAATGGCAAATATTAAGTTAATAATAAAAATTAGATTATTAGAATTTTATATTTGGATTTCTACGTATAATTAATTTTAATGATCACCAATAGAATCTAGATGTACATGTGAAAATTACTCCAAAAATATATGTCTTATAACATTTCTTCTGGAGTATATAAAATAGAGTAATGTCTACTCATAATTATTTAATATAATTCATCTAAATGTTTTTTAGCCCCTATTCTCAAAGTGAGATTAGATCAAAGAGTTTCGTTCATTTATTTTTTGGTCTTAGCTTGGCTCTAGTGGCAATTAATATAATCCAATCCAATCTTAACGCTTATTTGGATCAGGTTAAATGCATTATGTTATGAATGTCATCAAATTCTTAGAGTAGAATTAATCTAACCATTTTAAAGGATTTTCGAAAGCTTAAAACAAAGTGAGACATTACAAAAGTACAATTCTATATAATTTATTATGATTACCCAAAAGCAAATACATCTACTTTGAATGGGTTAATTTATGCTGTTTCTAATAGACTAGCTTCTGAATTAATAAAGGGTTTGGTTTCTGGAGCTAAAAATACTTAAATTTCAGGATCCTTTGTTTATTAATATTTAATGAAATTGCCCCATCTACCACCAATTAATTCTTAATCATAAACTCTATATAGAAGATACTCCTCATCAAAATAGATTGTCTTAGTAGTAATCATTCCATGAGGAATATTATTATTTTAAAAGAAATGCATAGCTTACATTACCCCTTTAATAAGACACCAAACTTCTGGTTCAGGTATCAAATATCGTTTTGCTTATCTTCTTTCTGTTAATTCATGTAAAGTTAATTGACCATATTCAAAAAAAACAAAAATCTAAAATACTTCTGTCTATCCAAATTAGCCTGGTTTCACTGTTTTTTGGCTTTCACTTTCAATGCAATAGAAAATATGCGGTTGTTTGATCTTACAACGTTCTTTATATTGCTTAAGTAACTGTTATTATTGGTTAACATCCATCTATTAAACTGGAACAGAACACACCAATTTTGAAACCATATATCTGTTAGGAACGTACATTTGTACTTTGCAAAGGGATGAAATCTAAATAATCGTAATTGTCCACGTTATGGGCAGTAGATGTTGTCTACAAATTTCAATTCCTCGAAATTGTTTAGTACAAGTGTCTTTGGATCACCTTTCTTCGCCATTCAATTTTAATGTTATAATTATATATTAAATTTACATACAATAATAATTGTTATATATATAATTGAATCATAATCAAATAGGATCTTCAAGAAGTTGGTTTTCTTCTGATTCTTAAACTGCAATACTTTAAGTTATTTTGAGCATATCATTACCTATTTCATAACTTCTTATTAATAAGACAATGAATGCAAAAATAGTAGAAATTAATGGATTTACACTAGCTAAACCATAAGCATTTAATCTTCTATCTCCTCTTAGAGTTTCATTAATTTTTCTTACTTTTTTCTCTGTTAAATCATTAACTGTTGCATTTTATAACTTATTTTAAATATCAAAATCTGTAGCTAATTAATCTCTATTATCAACATCAAATATAAGCATAATCAATCCTAATACTTTCTCTACTAATTTATTTTAATCATATTTTGCAATAAATTTAAATTGTAAATACTCTTTTTCTGTTAATGACTCTAATATCTTTTCTAACTAATAAGCTATATTTTTTAATCTCATATCTATAATCAATAATTAAATTAATTTACTTAAATCTTTTAATTTTTTCTATTCTGAAATTGGAGGTAATTAACTTTATTATTATTATTATTATTATTATTATTAAGATTTCTTTGGTGGTTTAAATCCTGGATTTTCTGCATAAAAGTGACCTGGTCTATTTTGTAATCTATCTTCAGGTTTTGCAAATTTTGCTTATTAATGAAATTATGGAATTTCTAATTAAGTTTTAGGCAATTTAGCTTAAACTTTAATAATCTTACCCTATGCTAAACTTTATTAATGCAATGCCTCCTATTATTTCTATTCTTCTTCTTCTTGTTAAATTACTTTAGTATATAAATTATTCAATAAGTCTTTTGATCTTTCAACAATAATTCTATAGTGAGATGGTTCAAATCTATACAATGGATTATATTATTGAATGGCTGATATAATTAAGACATTTTCAACATCTATTCAAATTATACTAGAATTCATTACTAAATTTTTATAATAAATGCAACAATTTTTCTCCACTTCCTTCTAAAGTTTCATCTTCATGAAAACCTTCTATTATTCTATTTTCTTATTATTCTTATCCTGGTTTATCTTGAGTTACAAAAAATTATTGTTATTCATAAACCCTATATGCATAACTGAATCTATTATATCTCCTAAATTTTTCATTTGTTTTAATATAATCCATAATGATATTGATCTAATCTTAATGTGCAATGGCAGCACAAAATGATCTAAAATTACCATATGAATTTTAGACTTGATTTCCAAAAATAATATTCTTGAATAGATTGTCATTATTATTATTTTCTTTTTAATCCATTATATATAATATATTGAATATAAAAAAGTAAGAATAAGTAAATATATTTATTTTTATATTTACTTATTATTAATAAAAATCATAGAATCATTAGACTATCCAATTATATTAACATATTTGAATTTTATGTTAATAGTTTATTTATTAGATTATGAATAAATTTAAATATTTATTTAATATTTTCAATGTAATATAATGGTCAATAATATTATTCCTAATTATATGGAATAACTATTAGGAAGATCATTGTCATCCAATTCATCACATACTACACATAATTTTTAATCTTCTGACCATCTATAATTGTGAAGTGTGAATGTGTTGCAAATACTCTAAACTATTTTTGAAACATCATTTCCTTCTACACATTTCTTTGTATCACTATTCCAACTACAATAAGTATATTAATTTCCACTCCCACTAACATAAGTAATTAAACAATCCGATTATGTAAAGTCAGAACATTTCTTTTCTCTACAATTTCCATTCTCAAAATAACAACCAACTTCCAAACATTAATCTTCAAAATCTGCTAAACCTCCACAACTTGGAATGTTTGGTAAAGAATTACAAGTAGAACCCTTACTCCATTAACAATGGGAATCCATTGAATCATAACTTTCATTACATTCATCTTTTGTTGTCTTTGATGAACATTTCTCTACTTATAAGGTTGTACATTTCTCATTAATAACCTTACAAAGTCCTAATGGACATTATTTATCTGTATATTCTGAACAACTTGTAAATTCTGCACATTCTTAATTCATATTCCAAAAGCATCCAAGCTTAGGTTAGCAAGTTATGGCTTCTGTGTAACTCTCACATATAGCATATATATCAATGCATTCTTTATCATTAGGATCCCATTGACACCATGATTTTTAGTTAATGCAATCAGTTTCTGATAGTAGACTACATGAACAATGTTTGGAAGAATCAAAACTTATACCATTGACTACTATAGCACTTAAAGTAACAGTAAACAAGATCTTAAACAACATTTTAAATTATGAAAATTAATTTCTTGACCCCCATTAAATAATGCAAAAATTAAAAAAAGAATTTAAGTCATAAATAAACAAACAGCATTTTGAAAGTGGATTATTATCATTTTACATAAACTTATATCTTAATCAATCATAATCATTATTTTGATTTACCTATTTTTAAATATATTTTTAAATACTCAAATAATATTATTGAAAAAAACCTAAATATTTATACTAAACTCAACTCTTTCAGTTATGAATAAATATTTTTTTTATTTGTTTTTTTAATGCAAACTTAATCTATTTAAATTAGATCTTGAAATGAATGATAAGAATTAGAATTAACCTTATTAAGAGATTATATTTTTATATATTAAGATTACCAGAAAAAAGTTTTTATGATATTATTTTGAATTAATATTATTTATCTGTATTATATATCACACGTGCACATGACTTTTCATTCTTCAAAATTTCATTATTTAGTTACTATATTTAATTAGATATAATACTTTGTTTAAAGGTAATACGGGAATCACCAAATTGTCTTCCATTTTATTTCAAAATTAAGTACATAAGATTTTCATTCTATAAAGTAAGTTATCCTGAAGGTTTTTAGTTAGGTCTTTTTAATTCTATTTCATCAGCTTTACAATTAGTTTGACTAACAATCCAATTAATGAATTCTTGATTTGCTTTTTTAGTATCTAGATTTTCAAAAGCTATTTTATATCCATCATCTTCCTATTCAACTTATTCCTATTAATTATTTTTAGAATAATTAGAATTATTTGAAAATTGTTTTCCATTATTGAATTTAGCTTCTCTCACAAAAATTTATATTTCATTACTTGTATATTTGCCATCCTAATATAAACAATAATAATTACTTTCTCCTACAATCTAAATTTTCTACCTTCCAAAATTAATAATTTCTAAACTTTATCTGCCCCAGTAACAACTACATATCCTTTTGTTGCTTATTTCTATACTTTTTTACATTCTTCAATTTCACCTTATTTCAAATCACATCTATCCAATATATAATTAATAATTTGAATGGGTACTGTATTTGGTGGTAAATTTTAGATTTCAACAACTATGAAATTAAATTATAAAAATACCAAACTTTTATTTAGTGTTATCTGGAACACTGTCAAGGTATTTTTATTTTTTCTTGATTTCTCTTTCAATAGATTTTCCACCTTTATAACCACCAGGTATTCTGAATCCATTCATATCATAGAAATTATAATCTTAATCAAAATAACCAGCAGGTTCTCCATCTCTATCATAATAATTTAATTCTTTATCCACCCAACCACCATAATCATCAACAATATAAATATCAGTTGAGCTATCAGATTATGCAATTCTAAATCCTTCTCCTTCAGGACCATCATATTAAATGTACTAATCAAAAAGAGCTTAATTATGAGATGGTTTTCGTGTCATGAATAAAATAAATAAATATTATTATTATAATAATAATACATTACAACAATTCTAAACACAAATCTAATAAATCATAATACTATCTAATTGAATACATAAATGTTTATAAATATGATTATACAATTATTTTTCATATCTAATAACATTAGTACTGATCATATATATTTTTATAAAATAAATAATATTAATGAAGTCTAAATAAGTGATACCCAAAGGTAAGCATGCTTTCGATTGTAATGGGTAGAACTTCATTGTTGATGACAAATATTAATTTATTAAATAAATTGGACATGGTGCATATGGAGTAGTGTGTTCAGCTTTAAATAAGAAAAGTCAATAATTGGTGGCAATCAAAAAAATAACAGATGCCTTTTCAGATCTAATTGATGCTAAAAGAATAGTGCGTGAAATTAAATTATTAAGTATATAGCATATAAATATTATTCATTAGAATTCTTTGATCATGAGAATATCGTTTCATTACTTGATTTACAAAGACCAGAACATCCACAAAATTATAAAGACATATATATAATTACTGATCTTATGGAAACAGATTTACATAGAGTAATTTATTCAAAGCAAGAATTAACAGACGAGCACATTTAATATTTTTTATATTAAGCCTTAAGAGGATTATTATATATTCACTCAGCTAACATTATACATAGAGATCTTAAACCAAGCAATCTATTATTAAATAAGAATTGTGATCTAAAAATCTGTGATTTTGGTTTAGCTCGTGGTTATGAAGATGAAAGTGAATTTAAAACTGAGTATTAATAATGGATTTATTTAGATATGTAGTTACTCGATGGTATAGGGCACCAGAAGTCATCTTGAATGCTTCTGAATATAATAAATCAGTTGATATCTATGCTTTGGGTTGCATTATGGCAGAATTATTAGGTAGACAACCACTCTTTCCTGGAGAAGATTATCTAGATTAAGTATAAAGAATTATCTAAGTATTGGGTACTCCTACCAATGAAGATGTTCGATTCATTGGAAATAAGAATGCACTTACTTATTTAAAGAGTTTACCAAAGAAACCTAAATAACAATGGAAGAACTTGTATCCTCATGCTCAACCATTGGCCTTAGATTTATTAGATAAGATGGTCACTTTCAATCCAGATAAGCGTTTGACAGTTTAAGAATGTCTAGCACATCCTTATTTTGAGGGTCTACACAATCCAGAAGAAGAACCTATATGTGAATGTACATTTGATTGGGGATGGGACAGTTTCAAACCTACCGATGCTCTACTAAAATAAATGGTATATGAGGAATCATTGTCATTTCATCCACTTAAGTGATTTATTTTAATTAATATAACATGGATCTGAGTTCCTAACTAGATTAGATGAAATTTATAATATGTCTTGATTTTAGACAAAATTTTATAGATAATCGACATTTGGGGTAAGGCTACAATATAGTATATAATTTTGTAATCAATTCATAAATGTATGCAAACAATTTTATTTATTAAGTAATTAATAATAAATTCGCATAATATTGAAAATTAATTCGGAATTATGTAATCATTATCCCACTCTTCTAATATTATTAATCTAATTGATTATATGATATTAGATACAATCTCTGAAAATAAACATAATGAAAATTAGTAATTTGCATATTTACTGATGGAAAAAGAAGAATAGAAACTGGAATAATATTTCAATAAAAGAGCAGTCATATCTAGAACTTGAAGAATTGTATAAAATATTGGAATAATTAATAAATAAATTTGGATACATTAACAAAAGAACAAAGAGATATAAAATTTGTTAATTTTCTAATTATGAAACATATGATGTCGAATGCAGTTCTGAAATTTAAACTATTTAAACCTGTATAAACAGAGTCTTACTTAGACACTGAGTTATTGAATTTTGAAACTCATAGACTTAAATATAAACCCTTGAAAAGTAAAGTATAATCTTTGGGATTGTGTTTTCTATATATAGTCACGATATAATTATCTTAATCAAGATAGTTATTAAGTTAAAGTAGAAATAACATTAGATTATTAAAAACATTAAAAAATAAGTACTGCTGATGATAATATTATTATTTCAATACTTTAAAAAATAATATAAATCAATACTATCAATTACCTGATTTTATTAAATGGAAATGGATTTCATCAAAAATTATTGATATATAACTGAGAGATTCGTAAAAATAAGAAATTAATTTATCCAAAAGAGCAACATTTGAATCTTTTGGATCACCCAAAAAGTCTTCTTTGTAATTTGATTATATTTCACGTGGTATTATAATAAAGAGATGTAAAAACATATATGAATTACAGATTCATATATTAATTTAATGTATTCAAATTAATATTATAATAGTGAAATAAAAAAATTAGATATCTTATTTAATTAATATTAAATAGTAATTAAGATAATTATTACAATAATTTAGATAAATCAGACAAATGTTAATAAATCATTAAATTATTGTTACACAAATTGTAAATAATTTCATATTAATCTAAATCCAATTTAATATCTGTTTGATAAAATTTAAGTAAGTTCCTTAGAAGTGCATACTTTTTTAATTGTACTAGCTTTTAATTAATCATAAATTTCCAATATACAAGGTCTGATAATAATAAAAAATAATTACTCTATTATAATTTACAAATCTTTATTATTAATTTCAATATCTTTGGTCCATACATTAAATAAACCATTGTTAATTTATTCTTCTGTAATTTCTAAAGGTTATTCAGTTATAATAGGTAAATTTAATTGAATTTTGGTTCCCTTTTTAAAATCTTTATAATTAAAGGCTTCTGGAGGTAAGTCAAAGATAGGTACAACATATTCATCAAGAATCTATTACATGTTTTTACTATTCAACAAGACAAATATTGAATCTAATTCTTTGAGAGTTGGGGAATACATTTTAATTATTTGTTATGATTTTTTCTCCCTTATTAAGATTTATGTAGGTAAAAAATCAGTTGTATAATAATTATTATCCAAATTTGTAACTTATTTTATCCATCTTTGTGTTAAAATCTTTTCAGGAAATTCATGTTTTTCTAATTAAATATAATAATTTACAATCAATAATGAGAATTGTTAATTCTTTATTAACTGGCAACCCAGTTTAAATTTTATTTTATATTGCATTATCTTAACCAGTTTAAATGTCTGATTATGATGTTTGTTATTGAGGTTATGGCTCAATTAAATCTTATAATATTAATCCATCTTCTTATTTAGTTTGAATATACAATTATAATTTTTCATTATCAAATTATTCTACAAATGAATGCATTTCAAAGAAATTATTTTTAACAATATCATAGAGTTTTTAGGGAGACAAATCAATTGTCTATATATGTTAGTATTCTTATTAATATAATTGAATAATTGGATAATAAATTCTAAAGAATCCTTAACCTGATTAATTCTTGATCACAATCACTCTTTGGAATTCTTCTGTCTCAAATTACTTAACTTTATACTTTAATCTATTTAAACCCTTTTATTTTAATGCTACAGTATTTCTCTCCAGTAATTATAAGTTTTTTTGAAAGAAATCTAATGAATCTGAATGAGTATTTAATATTGCTAAAGCCATTTAAAATGTTAATTATAGAGGTTTTGTTGATTTCTTATTTACTTCATCTTCGAATTCTCTTATCCACTCTATTTCGAAAGATTTTATTAAAGCAAGTATGGGCATCTTTTGATATTTGTAAATTTTCTTAAAATATGTCCTCTCCTCTTTTGGAATAGATTCTGTGTCTTCTGTATCAGTTAGTTCTGTAACAACATTTCTATTTAAAGGTTCTAATCGTGCACTAGAATGACCAAATTTTTGAGAATAATGAAATTTAGACAAACCTTAAAAGCCTCTATCACAAGCAGCCCCAAAATGTCTTGAATTAAAATCAAGACTATTAACAAGTCCTTTGATAAATAGTCTATTTACTTTGAACAACTAATTGTTTTATGTTTGGACTTTATTATTAGATGGAACTTCGTTGAATAAGAGGTAACATTTTGCTTTCATTAAGACTAAATTTGCTTCGAGTATTCCTTAGATAGGCTGGTTCAAGCAATTTGTGTTATGAAGTCATAATCTTAGGAAGAATATCGAATTTTGTATGACTATTGTTGTTCATTAATATAATAATCAAGGAATAATGCCATTTGTCAATTTTTAAAAATCGTCATAGTATTTTGTATATTTATTGTTGGCACTTTGGGTAACTAGTTTATGTACATGTTCCTCAAGTTGTTATTCATTAAGTTCTAATTTGAATCTATCTTTGAAGACTTTCATATCAAATTTTTCTAAACATGGTAATTCATTATCAATTTTCATGGCTTCTAAGATAAATGCGAATTTGTCAACATTCTTTCTTAATTCTAAATAACCTAATAATAGTTTGCTTTTGAATAATTAAAACATGCAACTTTCTTATCCATCAAGTAATTCAATATATTCTTTAGTTAATTTGAATGGAGCTGATTCAAATTTAAATCCACCAGGTGCTATAGTTAAAATGAATCCAAAATCAATATGTATTATATGACCTTGGTTATCAATTAGAATGTTTCCATTGTGTCTATCTTTAATTTAGAATAGATATTAGAGTAAACTATAGGAAGTTAAACTTAAGACAAAATTGAGTTAAGCTTCTTCAAAATTATCTCCAAATATACTATTATAAATTTCTTTAAGAGTCATGGAAGGCATAGATTTTTTAAGTTAATCCATAGACATAGTATCATTACAGAATTCTAAAATTCCTGAATCGACTGAAGTAATAATTATATCATAAGATTTGACATATAAACCAACTTAGGTTAAAATCTAAAAGAATAATTTTTATATTATTACATCTTCTGAAACTTTAATAATTTGCATCATCATTTATTCTTGTCTCAAATCATCCCCTCCCTTTATTAATAAACTTCTTAAATTATAGGATTTGAACTATCCATAAGGAGAATTAGATTAGATAATTTATCTTTTATCTTCCCATTATTCACTAAATGGACCGTTTTTTAAATCATTTTAGGATGGAGATTACAATTATTATATTTCTTATTATTAGACAATGTTTTTAGGATCATTTAATTATTTTTGAATCTTTTCAATGATTAATTTTTTATTTGGATATTCTAAGATATATATATATAATAAAAATACCATTAGCAATTTAATCAAGAAATGTAATATTATCTAATTCTTTATCACTATGTTTTAATTTATCTTCTTATTTAAATAAATCTTTAAAATCTTTCTCATATAATTATTTATTAGTATATGATTAGATTTTATCAATACAACTTCTTCTACGTATAATTAATTCCTTTTTAAGAGGTGGAAATTGTTAATCAAATCTCTTTTTATTTTAATTAATAATTTATTACCTAGCTAACTAAATAAAAAAACCTATATCAATACCTTATCTTTATTTTCCTATAAGAAATCTTCAAATACAGTATAATCAAATTAATGCATAACATCAAATTCTAAAAAAGCTTAAGAATCTATTGATAATTGTTTTTATAGAGTGACAAGTTATTGTTCACGTTCTTCATACTCATCCATATCAACTGTTTCAACCACTAATTTATATGGTACTCTTTTTTTAGTATTAAATGATTATGCTTCTGTATCAATAATGCGAACAACCATTTATGACCTACCTTTAAAAGGTAAGATAATTCCTTTGCAGTATTTAATGCCTGGATTATTACGACGAAAACTTTCCAAAGCTCTATTACCTTTAATTAGATTTCTTCTCAAATATAGTTATCTTTCATTCAAAGGTACATTCTTAAGATGTAATGATAAGACAGTCAAACAAGTCACAAATCTTTAAATGGAATTCACATAATTTGATCTACTCTCTTTTTCTTGAAATTGATTCTCTGAAATTTGATTTACCATTGCTTCTTCTATTTTTTAATCAAATACAGCCACACTATTTTCAGCTTTTTGTCTCTCTTTATAAGTATAAGCTTCATAAGACCATTTGATCTAGTAATGAGAAATTTGAATATACTATCTCATAAAATGCTATATGTTCTGCACACATCTTCAATAAATACTCACCAAGTTGGGGCCATCTCTTTCTTGTGAATAGATAGCTAACTAAATGAAATCAAATCAATACACCAATCCTGATAAGTATTTACTAGTTTCATCATAATTTAATTAATTCAGTCTTTCTAAAAACTCCATCAAAGTTGATTCTTAAACATCCTTACATATAATCTTCCTAAAGGATTCATCTATGCTTATCTGATTACTTTAATTCATTAATTTATTTTTATATAATTAAATGCTCCTATTTTTTATAGCACTTGCTCGATCTCAATCTGCCTCTTCAGCTGGAATGAATGAAGTACATATTTTTTGTTTTAGGACTCCAAAATCACATATGAAACATACTATGCCTAATTATTACCATATTACATTGTAGATATGTCATTCCCAGAATATTTCCAAATTTCAATGAAGATAAGTGGATGTGAAACCTGTGATTCTCCTTACATTGAAGGAGGACCTGATATGATCATTGAACTTAATTATTCCCTTTATATAGTAAAATGCGATTAGATATGGGAATTGCATGGAATATGTGGAACCTACTTAGAAGTTCACAAGTAAGTGATATTAATGCTATTCATAAGACCATTAAATAAAGATATTATATACGAATAATAGATCAAGGGTAAAGGAACTCTAAAAACATAAATGTTAACTAAATCATTATAAAGTGGACGCTATGAAATTTGGGTTGTTGTTCGTAGTAAAATTGGATCTGTCATTTAATATGTGAAATCATTTTATATAACTATTGTCAATTAGTGAAACATTATATTTATTATTGAGATAAAATAGAGATTGGATGTTACTAATATTATTTATTATAAAAATAATATTAATTTGGTAAATCTATTATTTATTATTATTATTAAAGACTCTCTATTAGAATTTTAATAGTTTGAATTAATAATAATAATCTTAATCATTATTAAAGATAAACTATTATGATCACTTTCACATAAATCACATCTAACTTTATCTAAAATATTTATACCTAAATCAATAATAATAATTTCTAATAAATTTAAGTATTTCATTTGATGTTGTAAATTATAATTTATATATCATTATATTACATAAATTCTTATTAATAATTTAATAATATATAGTTATTAGTAATTCATAAATATATAGTGAACATAAAAATATATGAGTTTATCAATAAGTGATATTATATTATGTAAAATATGATAAAATATTCATTTTCAGATCTGTGACTATGGAAATACATCAGGATACTAGAGAAAAATAGATTATATATAAATACCTATCCAGGTCTATAAGATGCTGCATTAGATCGAACTCCTGATTTGGACAGTTCGTTCTACTTTTTCTTTAATGAATCTAATTCTGCAGTAGCAACTACCAATTCTTCTTAGACTTAATGATATTCTCTGTTTAATTCTTAGAATTTATTCTTCCAAATTTGAACATCATTTGTAATTTTTGTAACTTCTTCATAACTTGTATTGTTATTTTAATATTCATATTCTAAATCTTGATACATTTTATCTAATTCATTATATTTAGATTTCCAATCTTCAATTTCAATATTCAATTATTGAATTTGACTTCTAAGTCTATCAATTTATTCTTTGTCTTCATTATTAGATTGAAAAGATTATTTAAAACTCATTTAATTGCCTTTAAGAGAATCATTTTCTTATTTCATTTATAAAATCTTATTGTCTAATTCTGTAATCTTACTATTTAAATATTTAATAGTCAATTCTTATTATTAGATTTATGATCTTAAACGATTAGTTTCATCATTCTTTTATCTCAATTCATTCTATAATCTCTCAATTTCAAGTTGTAAATTCTATAATTTACCATCATTTTCAAATTAAGAATTTAATTTAAGTGATTCAATTTCTCTATTTCGATTATCAACCATTTCTTTTAATCTCCTAATTTCAACCTCATATTAAGCAGAATCTCTTAATTATGCTTCAAGTCTTTGATATTTTAATTTCCATTCTTCAGTTTCTGCCCTTTAACTGTTAATGGAAAATTAAGCTCTATCAATTTCTTATCTTAATTAAGAGAGAGTAGCTTCATATTCTTTAAGTGACAATTGATGTCTACTGTCAGCCATAGATAATTCTAGAATACGATATCTTTTAGAGAGTTCTTCATTTTAATCTCTAAGTCTAACAATTTCAGCATTTAACATAGCTTCATTCTCTATCATTATTGCTCTCATTTTATCAATATCTATTTCTGCTTATTATCTTGCTTATTTATCAGTTGTCATATATAATTTATGTTTATATTGATCTAATTCTAAAGACATATCCAACAAACACTTATTTAATCTATCAATTTCTAGATACAATTAATTTATCTAATAATGATTTGAATTCTTATACCTTTAAAGTATCTTCAACATAAGTGATTTTTTCAGTAGCTCCAATTCCTCTTAATCTCATCACTTCTGTTTGACATTCTGTTAATGCTTACTCTAATTATGAGCATTTAGCTTTCCAAACACTCTCAATTTCATCTCGAGTAACTACTGTAATTGGTGCTTCTCGATGATACATTTCTCTAACATGTGGATGAGTAACTGTGTGACTTTATGCATTATCGTTCGGTTTGTAGGATTACTTATTATTTAATAAATGGAATACATAGGGTGGTCGTACTGATTGTTATGGTTAAGAATACCCATATGCTTATCCATATTGTTATGAAGCTGGACTATATTTCATTACGTACTGTTAAATAATTAATATAACAGAAATTCATCTGATAATGTTTATATTGACTTAAAATCCAAATCCTTTTCAATGTTATATACTTTTAAAGACTCTAAGAATTTCTTTTTCTCATTTACTTTCTTTAAAACTTATAGTAATAAAAATATATTATTTTATAGTCTTCTATGTTTTCAATTATCGAATTATAAATTAATATAATTATGAATTTTATCATAAATGAACATTCTCAATCAGATTGCTCTTAGATTAAAGTTTTATGCCAGGACCAAAAATTTATGAGATTATTTCTCATACAATTATGTAAGTGATAATGGTTAATTTATACATTCTTAACTATCTTTCAATATGATTTTATCACCAGAAAAATCCTCTTTATTATAAAGTCTAACTGCATATCCTTTAGGAATTTGAATGGATTTAATGTCATGGTCAAAATTACTATATTTATTAAAATCAATACTCGATATTTCTTTGAGATTCACATAATTGAAGTTATTCTCCTTTAAAATGACATTATGAATAGATTACAATACAATCAGAATTTAAAACATTCTATTCAGTTTCAGCTATTATTAAATAAAACTATATTACAGTTTTTGTTAATATCTTACTAAGTAAGAGTTTAAGTACTTTAAGTATCTATCATATCTATTTAAGGTATATCATTCACACCCTCTTTATTACAAGATTATATACTTAGAGTTAATTTTCATTGTTTGACAATGATGTTATTTCTTAAGTAGGAATGGTAATACTCTAATGGTCTAAAATAAAATTATTTGGATCTTCATTAGATTTATTGTTTTCATTGTTTTAGGTTACTCCTGTATTGGAAGAGATGAAATTGCCATCGAAATCATAATATCCCTACTCTGATAATGTTTAATCAACATTTCTTTGATTTCCATCAAAATTAACAATAGAAGGTATAGGATTGGTTTCAATCTCACTGAATTCCACATTAGATTAAGCCAGCACTAAGGCTGGAATAAGAATAATTCTAAACATTAAAGCCTTTATTGGCATGGTAAAACGGATTAATTAATATTATATAATGTTTCTCATATAAGCTCAATCTCAATTATATTATCTTTATCATTAAACACCAATACACCAGGAAATATTGTTTAACTTTATTCGAACACCAATCCAACCAAGGCACATATCACATTTCCAACTTTTTATTTAGTAGTAGGTATTATTTTAACTTTCAAATAACTATGATGATTTATAATGTTCATAGTTATTGTAAATGTATTCTTATCTCTTATTTTAGCAATTTATGTGACTTATACATTTTGATAATTAAGTTTATCACTAGATAACAAATAAAAAGAATTATTATGATAGAAAGAAAAATCAAATTAAGAATTTGGATATTTTACAATATTCTATTAAATTTCTGTTATTTTTGATTCTGAAAAATACAATTCGTTAACAAATCCAACACCTTTCTCTTATATATTGTTACCCACTAATATCATTGACATATCATTAATAACAGCAAACTAAGAATTTTCATTTAATTATGGAATTCTTATTTTTTCATCCATAACAACATTCTGATTATTTTAATTATTCAAAATTATTGAACCTACATCTAATATAAATAATAATAATTAATAAATACTTCCAATCATTAATGTACAATTTTTAAATTATAATAATCTTGATTCTCCCAATAATGTATAATTCGGCATTATAGTAACATAAAATATTGGTTCATTCTTATTATCTTCAATAATTTGATCAAAATCTCCTCTATATAATTAATTCAATTTATCATATTAAACAACTAAATAAATAATATTATCAATTAAACAGACTTAACTTACATTCATTTGTACAGATTTTAAATCACTAAATTTAATTAAATTATTTTTATTTGTATTATCACATATCTCTAATTCTATCTTTATTGTTAATCCATGATAAAATAGAATTAATTTAAAATTTATTACTCCTATCAAAGTAGGTTATATTTTCTAACTACATTTACGAAATATCTGAAATATTTCCTTATTTCTCTAATATAGAAATATATATTACTTAAACATTCAAATTTTCTAAATATTACAAATTTAACTCATTCTAAATATCATCATTATTAACTAATTTACTATTAAATTTTTATTGCATTTCAAATATTTCTTAATTCTTACTAAATATAGAATCAAAATAACTTAATTTCTATGTCTTAAATATCTTTTGATCTTTCATGTTAATAACAAATTAATTTTATAATTTCTCAATATCATCATAAAAATACTCATTATCTATTTTAAGTTAACCCTTTACATGACAGACAGGACATTAAACTTATTTTGATTCATCTTTCTATAATTCAGTTTATATTAATTAATCCAATTCAAAATAATTAAATTGACAACCCTTATTTACATGATAGTAAGGGAATGTGAGAGCATTTAGTGTTAATTGAGAGTATTTGAGTATAATTCTATAATCCTATTTCTTCATTAAGGTAGCAATAAAAAATTAATTATAATCATTATAAAATTATTTTAATTCCAAAATCATCTTAAATTTATTCAATTATATTCTTTGTGATGAATATTTAATTTTCAGATCTCTTAGACTCTTTAATAAATAAATATCATCTTTAAATATCAAGTAGAATTTTTAATTTACCAATTATATATATAGATTAGCATTTTATGAAATTATTATATAAGAATAAGAAAGGAAAACAACAAATAATTGATGATTAGAAATACTCTATTAAATTCAGGTTGTATTCTATCCAAAAGATTACTATATTCTACTTTTTATTTTATTTTTCTAAATTATGTTTATAAAATAATCATACTACATATAGTTTTGAATTTTAGATATTATCTTAAGTTTAATTGATAATAAAATTTAAATAGATAACCTTTAATGATCTATATATAAAGAAAAAAATGTAAAATAATTCAAAGAGTTTAATTATGCCCTTATTTTAGTGTAATTAATTCTTGTTTTAATTTAGAAATATATTATAGAAGAATTCTTTCTCTACTTTTGTATGAATCTAAAATGAGTTTCATTTTATTATAAATAGCCTAAAATTATACTATCTAATTTTAGTGTTTCTTTTTTTTAATTTTATTTTGGGAATCTTCTAATTTTGAATAATCAATAGATCTAGTAATATATTTTGGATCAATAAATTTTCTATAGAATTTTGATGATTGTAAATTTGATGGTTTTTAAGACTTGGAAAGTCTTGGTTTATAATTAAAAAAAGTATCAATACTCTTTGGTCTAGTTGTAAAATTGAAAAGGATACTAGAGTGAAATCATAGCAGACATTTGAATTTTCTTTGCTGTACTATTATGAGATCGAGGTTTCACTAAAGGTACCATTTCAGAATCAATAGTTTTTGATATGCAATCAGATATTGTAGCATATCTCTACCTTACTTTGAACCTAATATCTTCATTGTAGTTCTTCAATTTCATTTTCTGTCTTTATAATTAATTTTGTATAAAACAGAAAATTATTAATTAAGAAATACACTTAATTTGATAATCTAATAATCAATAATAAGTATATCATATTATTTCTTCTATAAATTTTAATAGTTATGATTTAGTATTTATATTTCTTGTAATATTTTTATGAGTCATTTATTATAAATATTATATAATAATTTTTAATGTCAACTTCTTAATTAGTTAAATAAAATTAATTAAGAAATTTATACTATATTAAGCACGATATTAATTAACTTATTTGATAAATTAGATGAATACTATAGAATTGAGTATCAATGAATATCTTGATCAAATAGATATTTAAATAACTGATCCAACACTAAAATAACAAGTTTATTTTGAAAGTATCAAACACAATTTACATCAAAATAAAAATAATTGTCTAATATCTCCTTTCATTTTAAGAGATGTTGGAAATAGATTGATTACATAAATTCATCATAAAACTCATGAACATATTAACTTTTAGAATCATGATAATAATAGAATTAACCATAACTACTAAAGACAAGAAGTTTGATTAAAACACACTATTTTGTATTATTTATTTTATATGAATCAAAATGATAATTATTTCCCATTATCTTACAATGATCACAATCATCCTCTTTAGAAATGGCGTTTACATAGTAACTCTATGCATAGCTAACCTCTTATTAAAATTGATTTTGATCATAAACAAAAAATGGTATACTAATTACCAGATGTTTTCATGACAAGTAGACAAAATTAATTAAAAGTAATTTAAACATATATATATAGTAATCCTATTTAGAAATTCCTAAAAAAAGCAGAAAAACAAGTAAAGTAAGTTTGAACAGTTTAGAGGTTTCTCCTAAAATTCCAAAATTGAATAATAGTAAAGATTAAAAATATAAAGAACTTTCTGAATTACATAAGAGTTATTCTTAACTTAAGTAATTACTATAATCATATTTTAAAATAGAAAATCACTTAATCGAGTTAAGAAATAACATTTAATTGTTGATAATATTTGTGAAATCAATACAATTAATCCCAACTCATCCTTCTACTTAAATGGTGTCAAATTACCTTACAGTTTGTACGTTATCAATAAGAATCGTTAAATGGCCATTACTAATTTAATGAATCATGCAAATCCACATGCTCATGAGTAATCGTAATAGTAGATCTAAATGATTGACAACTAAATAAAAAAAGTTCGTAATATTGGCCCTTATTTCAGGGATCGAAAATTAGAGCAAATAAAAAATGAAGGAATACAGAAGTCGATCTTATTTACAAAATGCATATTATTCAATGTTATGTGTGAACTCTGATTCCAAGAAGAGATTAAAGAAGATTATACATCGATAATTCCCTTAAGAGTCTCGTTTCTAGCAGTTATGAAGAATAATTATAATTATATATATATATATTAATATTTGTTAATTTATGATTACTACACCTAATGTTATTGACTCTAAATTTTATGAGTTATAAAATAGCTGTCATGCATTTAAATCAGAAAATGAAGAATTCAAATAAATTTTATTAAGATTATGGATATAGATCTCGAAATCTTTTAATGAAGACTTTGAAGAAATCTTATAATTGGGTATCAATTCAGATATCTAAGATGTTATGAATGCTATACTTATTATTGAGGAGGCAAGATTAGAGTAAATTAAAGTATAAAAATATATTATATTTTAAGAGTGATAGATAATAGATTTAATTACTTGAAGATGAATTAAAAGCTATTAAATAATCAAATACTACTAATATTAAAAATGAAGAATTAATTGAAACATAAAAATAATATAGAGAATTAAGTGAACTAGTTATTTAATTAAAATTATCAAATGAAGATAAAGATCATTAAATTTTAGAATAAACTAAATTAAACAAAAAACTCTAAGATGAATACAATCTATTAACATCTAAAATTAATAATTTATCATTAGCATTAGTTTAATCAAAAGAAGAAAAAATCTAATATATGGAACAATCATAAAAAGAAATTAAATTATTAATGGAAAAAGAGTTATAGCAAAGCAAAATGATTTAAATTTTGTAGATATAGAAAATTGAATTAGAGAATATTATAAAAAAAAATAGTCAAAGAAATTCAGTTGAATCATCAAATCATTAAACTTCTCAAATTTTTAAAGATGATGAATAAACTAGAATACTAAGTTGTTCACCAAGTACTATTTCAAATTATTATAAGGAACCACTCATATTGATATATCAAAAATTGTTTTATAAAGTCTCTAAAACAAAAAAGCTGAAATGGTTTCAGGATAGTCACTTTCATAAATTCCATATAGATTTGGAAAATGATAATCAATTATAATTGTTAAATATGGATATTTTTCAATCGACTTCTTTTTCAAATGAAATTTTTATCTTAATGAAAAAATAAATCCAGTATGTTATTTTAAACAATTTAATATTTTTATTACATTAAAGTTCTAAGTATTTATTTATATAGAGAATCAAAAAAATTTATTCATTCCAATCTTATATGGTTATAATTATATTCTTTATTTTTATTAATTATCCAAATTTACAACATCTTAATCTTTTTTCATAGGTTTTCTTTTTTTAGCACCTTTCTTTCCTTTGTTATCCTTCTTTTCCTCCTCTTCTTCCTCCTCTTATTAATCTTAATCAAATAAACTTGCTTATGTTTAACCATATCTAGGGAAGGTGTCATCTTCTTCTATTAAGAATGGACCTAATTAACTATTTTCTTATTATTTGGATTATTAAATCTATTTAGATGGCATTATCTATAAACTATTATTATTTAATTTATTAGTTTAATTGATACTAGCTCTAGATGATTCAATTCTAAAATCTTCTTAAAATTTTATAAATATTTAGCTTATATCATTAGCAAAATCAGTACAATAAAGTGATTCTTATTTTGTTTTACCTTCAAAGTTTTTTATAATTGCATCACGTATTAAAAATATAATTGATTCTTAATGTTCTCTCTACTTTTTTACAATTTATAATATTCTATTATTATATTAAGGAATTATTTTTTCTTTAAACTTTTCTATAGTCTTTGGATATAAATCATTAAATAAATTTGACTTTTCCTTATTAGTTGATGATAAAAAGTTATCTAATATATTTAAGAAATCTCCTTATTCAATAATTTAGAAATTTTATTGATATAACTTTTGAGATAACTAAAATAGAATATAAATATATACCATATTTGTGAAATCATTCATCATAGTTTGATTCTGAGAATTAATATCTACTTTATTTCTTAATATATTATCAAATTATTGATTAAGTAATTATGCTTATTCTATTCTTTTTTGTATTTATGCTTGTAGATTTGATTTTTTTTCCCAAAATTTAAATATTTAATCTGGATTTGAGACTCTATCTGCAAATTTAGTCTCAATATATCTCATCCTCATTAATTCAAATCCAGAATATTCTACTTTAATTCTAAGTAATGGTTTTTTCTATCTATATTAACTAGTTTAATAATAATTAATTAATTCTTTTTCTACAAAATCAAATAATAATTTTTCAGCTAATTCTTAATTACTAATCTTTAAATTATTATCACTTATTTTGATTAATTCATTTAATTCAATATTTTTATAAATCATAGGTCTATAACTTTTTTCTAATTTAATGCTTTCAAATTTCATTTAATTCTATGTAAGTGTAAATAAACCTGCTTATTTAATTAGAGATTCATATTCTATAATTGATGTTGCTACAGTACTTCCAGGATAAAACACTTAAAAATGTTCACATGTATCTAAAGTATAAATACTATAATAATTAAAATGAATATATACGCTTCATGTTCATGACCCCAAATTAATAGATCAATTTTATAATTTTTAAAATAAATTGGATCAATAAAGTTCTTTTCATCTTGAAAATGATTACCTTTATATTTATTTTAATGAATAATTAATATATTGAAATTATTTTCATTTAATGATTCTAAAACTAATTTACCATCATTAATTATTTTATGTAATTAATAATCCTTCATGTAACCTAAACCATAGAGTGCAATCTTTTAATTATTTTTAACAAGAACAATTGGTTTAATACAAACATAAGATTAATCAGTTATTTTTCCTATATAATTTAAATATTTAGATTCATGTAATATATCTAAAATTGATACACTTTCATTTCTTTCTGTAACAATATCATCATGATTACCATTTATTATAAAAATTGGTAATTATATATTAAAATTAGAACAACTAAAATTAGGCTAATAATTAAGTGAATTGAGTTCCATTTAAATTCCTCCAAAATTATCTCCAAATACATGTCTTTAAAGTATATCAACACATTTCAATAAACAATGTTCTGTTGGATGTTTCTCATGAAATAAATCTCTTAAAATTTAAATAATGTTATTTACCCTCCCAAAATAACAAAATCAACATTTTATTATGTAGCTATTTAAAGGACTTCTTCAAATGCTTCAAAAGCATCTTAATATCTATTTGATTTTGGTCCCACATTTTCATTTGCTCCAAGATGATTGTCAGAAGCAACTAAAAACTTAGATATAAATTTAAAAGTCAAATACTTTAATGAATTGATTTCTATTAATTTACATATAATAATATTAAAATTTTTTTTAGAATTGATAATAAAATACATAAGTATCTTTAAATCACAGTAAATTGCTACTTTTTAAATGAATAAACTTTTTATATTGATCACTTCCTTATTTATAAGATGTAAGATTTCTATATATAATATATATAAAGAATAATACCCAAAATTAATGATATTTTCATTTCCTTTATTTATTTATTTAGATTAATCTATAATTAATTGTTATTTGATAATTTGGATGGATTCTTCATTTCTTCTTGTAATTTATTCCAATTATTCAAGTTTTTGGAGAGATTAATAACCATACTAAAATCTTGGATTTATAAAATACATCTTATTATTTTTTACTTTCAGTCATAAAATCACAAAGTTGATTTTGTATATTTCTATTGAATTAATCTAATTAATCTTATCTCATTTTGATATTGTTTATATCTTTCTAAATTTTATTCATTTGTATTTCTATTCTTCTATAAGATTCTTATTATTCAATACTTAATTTATTTTTACTATCAACTTTAAGTATAGTATTGAATAATGAGTTTGATAATTAAATTTTAGATTTCTATTGTTGATCAGATTTATTTTTGGGACTATTAAATTCTGCTTTATTCTTATCTGGTGTTAAACTAGAACTATCATTTTTATTCTTTGATTATATTTGTTTCTTTTATAATTCATTGGTGAAACTTAGATGTTTATTTTTATCCTATCTTTCACTATTTAAAGTTTTTTAAGTAATTTCCTTTATGGGATGATCACCTTTAATCATATATTAGATATTTGAAATAAGATTAGAAGATGATCCTTAGTTTTTAAGGTTTTCCTTTTATTCTTAAAAGTGATTATTTTTATTATTATGTTCAATGAATTAATTCTTTTTGACTGATTACATTGATTATTCAGTTGATGATGCTATATCGGTCTATTCAGGTATTTAGAAAAGTACATTGCCAAAGCTTTAATTCTTTTACATTATTTTGTTTATATTATTTTCTTAAAGTAATCCTGAAATTTTGTAATTTATAATTTGTTAGAAATCATTATTAGATAATGCCCTTCTATGATTATTCTTTGGCTTATTCATTCAAATTCAAAATAAATAATAATCAATTATATAGATTAAAATTATGTTTGGATATAAACTCTTCACAATAGTAAGAGAAAAATCTGTTGTAATAGTAGAACAATTAGGTAAATACCACAGAACTTTACAACCTGGATTAAATTTCCTCATTCCACTTATTGACAGAGCAGCATACACCTAATCTTTAAAAGAAGAAATCTTACCTATTGAAAAATAATAAGTGATAACTAAAGATAATGTAGCTATTCATCTTGATGGTATTGCATTCATTCGAATTATTGATCCATTTAAAGCATCTTATCAAGTATATACTATATTTATTTAAATAGGTAAGTGAACCATAAAATGCTATTAAATTGTTGTGTCAAACAATTCTAAGATCAGAAATTGGTAAATTGAAATTAGATTAACTTCTATAAGAAAGATCAGCATTGAATCGTGCTTTATAAAGTGGTCTAAGTAGAGCTGCAGCAGAGTGGGGTTACACAAGTTTGGGAGTTGAAATATTATAAATTGATATACCTGAAGAAATTAGAGTTTCTATGTAAGCTTAAGTTGTGGCTGAAAGAAATAAGAGAAGAGAAATTTTAGAAAGTGAAGGAAAATAAATTAGTGAAATTAATATTGCAACAGGTGCCAAAACTGCTTCCATCAAAATTGCAGAAGGAGATGCTGAAGCTGTTAGACTTGTTTCATAAAATGAAGCTAAAGCCTTAAATTAAATCGGTGAAGCTCTATAAGAATAATCAAAAAAAAGAGTTTTGGATTATATTCTTTTATAACATTACTTAAAAGGATACTCAAGCATTTTGAAAACATCTAAAGTTGTTGTTGTTCCTAAAGCAAAAGAAGGATAAGGAAATGATTTTATGAGTTTAGCTGCAATGATGATGTTTAATAATTAAAATACTTCAGGTTAGAAAATATTTGAAGTTACTTCAAAACCTAATGACACAACTAACAACTCAACATCATCCTAATAAGAAATTAGTAAATTGACTTAAGATTAATTGGATAATCTTATAAAGAAGAATGTCTATTATAATGACCCAAGGTATTCATTTAAAATATTCTTAGATTATATTCAGATGATGAAGAAAGAAGAACAAATTGATAATTTATAATCATACAAAATAAATTTATAAATATTTTTAACAAACATACAACTTTTAATTTCAAATTTTGATGCGATATTCATCATCATAAATTATGAACAATTCTTAAATAAGAACAGAATCTCCTTCTTTTTAAAAAATGTAAGCACTTGCAGATAGATGGAACTAACTCAAAACAGGAATTGATAAGGGTAGATTCGAAAAAAAAGAAATTATTGAGACATCAATTTTAAAAATAGATAATTTATTAAGTTATGATAAAATGAATGATGATGAAAAATTCAAAGTAAATTCTATATTTTTATTATAGACAATTAAAGAATAATTATTTAAAATAACAGAATAGATTAATAATGAGAGATTTGGAAAGGAACATTATTAACGATATTAAGAATAATTACATATTTTTGAAGAGTAGATTAATAAATAAATGGATGAAGAAAAAAATGTATTTGAATTGCATGAAATTAGAATAAACGAAGAGTAGAAATATAATTATTAAAATAAATTGAAGATAGATTTGAAACAGTTTAAAGTATGTTAGAGAAAAACAATTCTATTTATTATGATAAATTAAATAGATAAATTGGAGATATTGCAAATTAATTAAGTAATTTAAAATTCACAATTGAAAATGAATAATAAAATAGGTTAATATATATATAAATATATTTTAGAGCAGAATCTTAGACACATTTAATTGAGTAAATGGATTAGGAACTTAATAAATTCTAAGAAATGATGACAATTGAAAAATCAGTTAGAGAAGAAACAGAAAAGAAAATATTTTCAATGATAGAAGATGTGCATTAAAAAATATAAAATGAAATTATTAATGAAAGAATCTCTAAAGAAAGATCATAAGAAAGTATCTTAAGATTGTTAGAATCAACCTGCTTAAAAATTGATGAAAGTTTTAATTCTTGATTTCAACAATTAAACTAAATTCTTATTTTTAATTTTAAATAATTTTATAGAATGTTATCTAATTATAATGATAGAATTCAGGAATTAGATATATATATATATTTTAATTGATTGTTTTTATACATTAAAATTATTAAATGATTCAATCAGATAAACTAAATATAGATGAAAAAACTTTATTAGAAACAATAGATAGAATCTCTGCATAATTAGATTATTTTGAGTAAAAATTGCAGTCTAATTTACAGGTCTTACTTCTAGTTGGTAATACAGGATCAGGAAAAAGTACAATTTTCAATTTTCTTTGTGGAGCTAAATTCAAATATGTAGTTACTGATGATGAGGAATATTTAGATTTAGCTAATAATTCTGATTTATATTCAGAAATGAATAGTGGAATGAAATCAGTTACTAGAGAGCCTAAATACTATTATCATGAAACCATTAATCATTTATTAATTGACTTTCCAGGATTTCATGATACAAATGGAGAAATAGATTAGTTAATTATTTAGATGATTTTCTATAAATTTATTACAAGATCTAATGTAAAAATAGCGTATGTTATCACTCATCCCCAAGTTAATTTTTTTGAGAGAGGTCATGCATTATAATCATTTATTAATAGTGTTTTTAAAGAAAAAAATGTTGATATCTCTAAACTTGCATTAATTTTAAACCATTATAATGATAATATGAAAGAAGAGAAATTAATTATTAATGTTTAAAAATAATTAAAAGAAATAGAAGTAGCTAAGCATGAATGGATTTCTGTTATTAGAAGAATTAATAGTTAAGAAAAATTAGATGAAGTTTTCTCAGTTGATAATAGAGAAAAATTGTGGTGTGAATTAATTACTGTTAATGAGATTTAATTTTAACCTTAATTTTTACCATATAGTGATAGAATTAGTACTTATATTACAGAAAAAAGTAGTTTAATATTAAATTAAATTTGTTAATAAATGGATTATAATCTATCAATAAAATCAAAGGAATTAAATGATGAGTAATTCATTTTATTGCAAAGTCTAATAAATTCTATATCACATATACTTTCATAAACACCTGAACATATAGAAGATTGGTTCAATAAATTTATTAATGTTTCATTAGAATTATCTTCAACTTTCCATTTTGAAAATGATATAAGTGAAAAAAGTACAAATTTCCTTAAAATTTTTAATTTCTTTTCATTTTTCTCTGAATTCATTTATGGATATTCAGCATTTGAAAAACATTGTATATAAGTGCAATAGAAATGTACTTATTTCTTAGAAAATTTATAAAAAAAGATTGAATTACAAAGAGCTTTTGAAGAAAGGAATAGAGAATAATAAAATAGAATTAAAGCAGAGTAATAATTTACAACAGAATCATAAATAAGAATATAAAAAGAATAATTGTATGCATAAGAATATGAAAATAGAATTAAGTATGAATAATAATTAAAAATGGAATAATAATTAAGAACTGTTTTAGAATAAGACAAAAAAGGAATGGAATAATAATATAAAGAATATTGTGAAAAGTCTCTTTAAATATAATCTAATTTATAAAATTTAATTTAAACAGAAAAAATTGAAAAATAATAAGTAGAATAAGATCTTAAAAGATAATTGTAAGAATTATAAAATAAATTAAATGAAATGGAATAAAGAAGAAAAGAATGGCTAGAACATAGAGCTAAGGGACCTCATTTTGGACATCATGGACATCATGGTCCTGGACCTCATGGACCAGGACACCATCCATGGTTTAAAAAATGAAATTTAATTATATTCAATGTTTTTAATTAAACATTTCAATTAATTTTATCTCATTTATTCACTCAATTTTTTACATAAATTTTATAAATATAATAATAAATCAATTAATATTTTATTTTTATTAAAATTAGAGGCTGAAATCTTTTGAAAAAATAGATATAATCAACTTTTTCATACAGATTAGATGTAATAAGTTAATTAATACATAAATATAGATTTTTTAGCGACACTATTTTTGAATTCTTTACAAAAAAATAATTATTGTGTAAAAGCAGGCTTTTAAGAAATGTGAAAATTAATAAAATTAGAATAAATGTAAACATCAAATAAGAAATAAGCAATCCATTATAAATAATTGGCAAAGGTTTATAAGCAATGTGCAGAGACATAAAAATTTATAGATGAATTTGAAAAGAAAAACAAGGTTCATGTTGATAAATTTGTTCCACTTGATTATTTAGAACTTCCTACTAAGATTCCAAATATTATTTCAATATCTTTAAAAAACAAAAAGAGATTTGCTTTGGAGAATATTATAAAAGATGGAGGTTAAAAATCATCGAAAAAAAGTAGTAATTCTAAAAGCAAATAAAAGGAGAAAGAACCATAAGTGGTTAATACTGAATGATCTATATTATTAAACAATATAAAAAATCATATAAGTACATTATAATTAATTCATAGCTCTTCTCTTTAATTAAGAATACTTATAAATAAGTTATTTATATATATTAATGAAATATCAATTTGGAACTATTAGAGGATGATCTTTTTAAGTTTTAATTTAATTTATTTATTCATATAGTTTTTGTATCATATGGAAAAATCATTGATATCTGTTGGACTCTTATTATTAATAGGATCAGGTTTATATCTAAAATAGAATGGAGAAGACCTATATGAATTACAGAAAGTTAAACAATTTAATGATTGGAAATTCTAATACAACAAAAAATTTAGTAGTGAACAAGAGGAGATGTATAATTGATAATTTAAAAGTTTAGGTATCGTTATTTAGTGTTCTAATAAAATGCTTAATTAATTGAGGCACATAACAATGATAAATCTGGTAAGTATACATATACTTTGGAGACTAACTAATTTGCAGACTTGACAGAATAAGAATTTGTATAAAGATATTTGAGTTTGAAACCTAAGAATAGTAATAAATCAAAATCATTTGATTATGTTCCAAATGGATAAGCTAGAGATTGGGTTGAAGAAGGCAAAGTGCCACCAATTAAAGATTAAGGAACATAATGTGGTTCTTCATGGGCATTTGCTGCAGTAGGTGTATTAGAAATCAACGGCAATATCAATTTTGGATTATAATCCTCACTCTCTGAGTAGGATATGTTGGATTGTTCAGGTCCATATGGTAATTAAGGTTGTTCTGGAGGATGGATGGATTCTGGATTTGAATACGTCAGAGATCACGGCATTGCAAGTGCGTCAGANTAAAAGCAGGCTTTTAAGAAATGTGAAAATTAATAAAATTAGAATAAATGTAAACATCAAATAAGAAATAAGCAATCCATTATAAATAATTGGCAAAGGTTTATAAGCAATGTGCAGAGACATAAAAATTTATAGATGAATTTGAAAAGAAAAACAAGGTTCATGTTGATAAATTTGTTCCACTTGATTATTTAGAACTTCCTACTAAGATTCCAAATATTATTTCAATATCTTTAAAAAACAAAAAGAGATTTGCTTTGGAGAATATTATAAAAGATGGAGGTTAAAAATCATCGAAAAAAAGTAGTAATTCTAAAAGCAAATAAAAGGAGAAAGAACCATAAGTGGTTAATACTGAATGATCTATATTATTAAACAATATAAAAAATCATATAAGTACATTATAATTAATTCATAGCTCTTCTCTTTAATTAAGAATACTTATAAATAAGTTATTTATATATATTAATGAAATATCAATTTGGAACTATTAGAGGATGATCTTTTTAAGTTTTAATTTAATTTATTTATTCATATAGTTTTTGTATCATATGGAAAAATCATTGATATCTGTTGGACTCTTATTATTAATAGGATCAGGTTTATATCTAAAATAGAATGGAGAAGACCTATATGAATTACAGAAAGTTAAACAATTTAATGATTGGAAATTCTAATACAACAAAAAATTTAGTAGTGAACAAGAGGAGATGTATAATTGATAATTTAAAAGTTTAGGTATCGTTATTTAGTGTTCTAATAAAATGCTTAATTAATTGAGGCACATAACAATGATAAATCTGGTAAGTATACATATACTTTGGAGACTAACTAATTTGCAGACTTGACAGAATAAGAATTTGTATAAAGATATTTGAGTTTGAAACCTAAGAATAGTAATAAATCAAAATCATTTGATTATGTTCCAAATGGATAAGCTAGAGATTGGGTTGAAGAAGGCAAAGTGCCACCAATTAAAGATTAAGGAACATAATGTGGTTCTTCATGGGCATTTGCTGCAGTAGGTGTATTAGAAATCAACGGCAATATCAATTTTGGATTATAATCCTCACTCTCTGAGTAGGATATGTTGGATTGTTCAGGTCCATATGGTAATTAAGGTTGTTCTGGAGGATGGATGGATTCTGGATTTGAATACGTCAGAGATCACGGCATTGCAAGTGCGTCAGATTATCCATATGTAGGAAAAGATTAAACATGCAAAACTTCAATTTAAAGAGATTTCAAATATGTTACAGGTTTTATTGATGTTGATGGTTGTGAGGAACTCTAAACTGCTATTCTAGATTAAGCTATTTCTATTGGAGTTGATGCTAGTAATTGGTCATTTTATAGTAATAATATTATATACCATTTATTATAGAGGGTGGAATATTCAATAATTGTAAACAGAATTTGACATCTGGATCTATCTTGGTAGGTATTGATTAAAATGGAGTTTGGAAAGTAAGACATTAATGGGGATCTAAATGGGGTGAAAATGGATATATTAGATTGGCACCTGGAAATACATGTGGTGTTTGTGCAGCGGCTTCATATCCAGTTTTACAGAAAAAATGATCTTTATTATATATTTGAACAAGATATATTTAATTATTATATTAAAATATATAATCAAAATAATGAGATATTCATTAATTAAGGTAATATAAATATATTTATACAACCTAATATTTATTTGAAATCTGTCACTATCTAATATATCATCAGAATCAAATAATTTAAATTTAAATATATAATAAACAATTCAAAATTAAAGCTATTTCATTGAAATTCTAAACTTAAGATATTTTATACTAAGCAATTATGTTTTGGTATCAAATTAAAAATATAAACAATAGTTATTCTTACAAATTTTAAGTAGAAATTGTGAATTATGAATTAAATAAGTGATTATTATATAATTTTAAAATGAACAAATTACCTTATTAACCTTTGGGTTTTGTATTAAAATTTGATCCACCCATTATTGGATTGTTATATCATCCTGTAGAGAATAAGAAAGTGAATAAGAAAAAGAAGAAGTGTTATGCTATTCATTTGAATAATTTGATCTTTTTAGTTGAACCTGAAGATATTGTAGAGGCATTGTTTAATGAGCATCAAGAATTCCTAGATCCTGATGTTGTCAAACCACAACAAGTACATTTGATCACTTAAAAAGGTCTATAAATTGGTGTTGCGATTAGTTGCTTATAGAGATCATTAGTTAAGAAATATGTAAGAAATGGGTGAAGATATGGGTACTCTTATTTCACATAATTAAAGCTGACGGTTATTATGAGGAGGAAGAAGAAGAGCCAGTACAATAGCCTAAAGGTAAAGGAGGGAAAGCATAAGCATAATAACGAAGAACTAATGATAATAATAGATCATTTTGATTTTTTATATTATAACGATAATTACAATTTGAATTTAATTTATGAGGAGATAAAACCTCAAACAAGATCTTTATTCATAAATCTCGACAATTGGATAATCATCCTCTTCAAAAAGGAGCAACCTTAATATTGATGATTTGATTTATTAGTTTAAAATGAGGAAATCTAATTACAAATTAGCAAAGCAATACTCTGAAATCATTAAAATATTTGATAATAAACAATCTCCAAATTATGAATATTAGAGTAGTCAATTATAAACTAAAGTTAGATTAAAAACAGAAGAATCTTAGGAACTACTTCAATTCTAAGAAACTAAATAAAGATTATCACATTAAATAGATATTCATCAATTTATAAATGAGACATCTCCTATTAAAATTACAACTAGACTTAATTATGAGAATTTTAAAACATTTTAAGAAACTGAAAGAAAATCATATGAATCCAATAATTATAATACACAATTAGCAAATTTTGGTCCTTTATCATCATCAAATTAATGTGAAACTGATGAAGAAATCAAATAAATTTCATAAAAAAGTGTTTAAAAATTATCAAAATTCAGAACTTTTGAATAAGAATAATTTTAAACTTGTTTTGATAAAATTAGTTCTCAAATCAAAAAATTGAATTTTAAATTTGAGAAGTAAGGATTCATGATGATTAAATTATTTTCTAAATGGACTCTTAAGGAAAAGGCTACAAAAATGTATTTTAGATTTTTTGAACACAAAATTTAATCATATTTTGATCTTTTTTAAATATATGAACCTTCTATTGAAGAAAATAATGATGATGATCAAAATAATAATTAAAGAATTTTAACAGATAATATATTGACTCCAATTAATTTGAATATCCTTAATTTTTAAATTCCTACTATTAAACCTGTTACTTAATTTGGAGCAATTAATGTAATCTATATATTTAAATATTAATAGTTTGAAGAATATCTAAAAAAGAAGAATCAGAATATCGAATGAATTGTTTTAATATTGATTTACTTAATTTATTATTGTTATTTTTATAAGAATTTTTACAGTTATTATATAATTTTTTTGGTCTAAAAATAAACCTAATTAAAGATCTAATATTCAGTCAATCAAACTAAGATCTAAAAAATATTATTATATTAATAATTGTTTAATCTATTAATTTAATGAGAAATTATAAAAAATGTTCAAAAGAATTTCAATATAAGTCTAAAATATCAACAAAAAATTAATATTCAAATAATCCAATTTGATCCATCTTCGAAATATTTTTATATAAGTTTATTATGAAATCTTGGATATTCAAAATATTATTCATATTCAAAGATATTTTTTTTATTTGGATATAAACATTTAAATTATCCTAGTCTCAATTATTCTTCTAATGATTGTAAAATTAAAATTTTAAATATATATCTATATCATAACATCTAAATCTTCTTAATTTACTTTCTATCTAAAATTTCTTGTATTTATGGTTTAAATTTCATTGATATTCCTTTCATATAGTTTCTTTTTTATTTGTATCCTAAATGCTTTTTTAGTATGATATTGTATCCCTATCAAATGCAACATATCTGATATCAATTTAGTTTTAATTTATGCATCCAATTCAGATGATGAATTTAAGGAAGGACTTACATTAACTTCAAGCAACCAAGGTTTTAATTTTTCATCTATCAATATATCAAATCCAAATAATTCAAAGTAATTATTTTTATGTTCCATAGCTAATTGATATGTAAGAATATACTTATTCTATTTTCAAGAAGANATTTTAAATTTGAGAAGTAAGGATTCATGATGATTAAATTATTTTCTAAATGGACTCTTAAGGAAAAGGCTACAAAAATGTATTTTAGATTTTTTGAACACAAAATTTAATCATATTTTGATCTTTTTTAAATATATGAACCTTCTATTGAAGAAAATAATGATGATGATCAAAATAATAATTAAAGAATTTTAACAGATAATATATTGACTCCAATTAATTTGAATATCCTTAATTTTTAAATTCCTACTATTAAACCTGTTACTTAATTTGGAGCAATTAATGTAATCTATATATTTAAATATTAATAGTTTGAAGAATATCTAAAAAAGAAGAATCAGAATATCGAATGAATTGTTTTAATATTGATTTACTTAATTTATTATTGTTATTTTTATAAGAATTTTTACAGTTATTATATAATTTTTTTGGTCTAAAAATAAACCTAATTAAAGATCTAATATTCAGTCAATCAAACTAAGATCTAAAAAATATTATTATATTAATAATTGTTTAATCTATTAATTTAATGAGAAATTATAAAAAATGTTCAAAAGAATTTCAATATAAGTCTAAAATATCAACAAAAAATTAATATTCAAATAATCCAATTTGATCCATCTTCGAAATATTTTTATATAAGTTTATTATGAAATCTTGGATATTCAAAATATTATTCATATTCAAAGATATTTTTTTTATTTGGATATAAACATTTAAATTATCCTAGTCTCAATTATTCTTCTAATGATTGTAAAATTAAAATTTTAAATATATATCTATATCATAACATCTAAATCTTCTTAATTTACTTTCTATCTAAAATTTCTTGTATTTATGGTTTAAATTTCATTGATATTCCTTTCATATAGTTTCTTTTTTATTTGTATCCTAAATGCTTTTTTAGTATGATATTGTATCCCTATCAAATGCAACATATCTGATATCAATTTAGTTTTAATTTATGCATCCAATTCAGATGATGAATTTAAGGAAGGACTTACATTAACTTCAAGCAACCAAGGTTTTAATTTTTCATCTATCAATATATCAAATCCAAATAATTCAAAGTAATTATTTTTATGTTCCATAGCTAATTGATATGTAAGAATATACTTATTCTATTTTCAAGAAGAAGAGGTTCAGCTGCAATACAAGTCTTCAATACTACATCTTTAATTGATTTAAATAATAATTTATGATTAATGCCTTAAGCCATTAATTATTATTTGTATTCCTTATGCGACCATTTAGAGGCTTTTACTTATTATTCCATCTCTTAATTATTAACTATGAAATTTGGAGATTATTTATTAACTGAGAAATTGGTTAAATGTATGAATCTCTTCTTAATATCTTGACTTTTAAGTGAATATTCTTAAGTAGCAAATCTAACCAATCCATCTTTATACATATAAACTCTTAATGGATCAGTAGAAGTAATTAAAACATAAACTCTTAGATCATATTTAAAATTATTAATTAAATGAGGATTTTAAATATAATCCATTACTAAATATCTTTTATCAGCTGTCAATTTAGTTTTTTTGTCGATTAATTTTATACCATTACCTCTAGCAGATGCAACTGGTTTTTTTATCCAAAAAGTCTTCTTTGGAGCAGATTCTCTAATTCTTTCAAATCTGTCAAAATCATATTACAATAAATAAGTGTTTGGAATAAAGGAATATTCATTTGGAAATCTTCTTTTAACTTTAGATAAATGAATCCATAAATTATCTTTTCTACCTATACTCCAACAACCAGGAAAATGATTAGTTTTTTAATACTTTTTCATTTCATCTAAAGTTTCCTTACTAGCTAATCCCCAATAAATTAACCAATTATCTTCATCACTCCTTTCAAATCCAGCAGCCTCAAAAGCACTCAAAACACATTTAAAAGGTACTTATCCTTAAAGTTTATAATATAATGGCTTTTTAATTTGCTCTACTAAAAATTGTTAAGATCTTGTTTGTTGAAGTAATTCTAAAATATTGTATAATTTTACATGGATATGGAAAATAAATAGTATATATATGTGGTCTATAAGGTGATTGCCAAACAAGTTGAAATTGTTTAATACTAGTAGTTGTTGATGGTTCCATTAAGGAACTATCGATTTCTAAATTTCTCTCAGTTAATACTTTATTAGTACAACTATCAGTTTATGATAATATTTCTTTTTATATTTTGTTTCTTGTTTTTAATGATCGGTTGCGTACTTTTACTTACTTTTAAATGACTTTGATAATGTTATGTTATGATTATGTTTATGATTATGATTAAGATGTTAGTCTAGAATGAGTTGTTAATGAGGATGCAGCTAGAGGAAGATAAACTGTTTATACTTTTCTACTCTCGATTTATACCCTTTTTTACATTTTATTAATTAAAATAAAATCATTAATTATGCAATGACGTTTTATGCCATGGTAAATCTATATTATATAAACGTTTAGTAGAATTGGAAGAACCATAAAATACAGTATTTTAATTCTTATTTTCTTATTGTTCATTCTAAAATATTTCAATTTCTTCATCTAATATTTATGGAATCTTAAATAATTAAAAATTAATTAACTTTTGTTTATGATAATCTTGGTTTTTAATGTTCTTGATTACTTATAGCTGTTATAGGTCTAGATACTTTAGTATATGTTGGCATCACTAAAGCAGTTGATGGTCTTAAAGATTTTTAAGATTAAACTGCACCACTTGTATTTTTTCTCATTGATGGTTTTGTACTGACTGCACTAGATGTTCGTTATAAATATTCAGTCATAAATGCTGGATCTTACATCATTTTTTTATGTTATTAAACATCTAATCTAATATCTTCTATAGCTTCTGATATCTATATTTTTTATGTTTATTTTTAGAATTAAGGATGTTCCTTTAATTATTTTATTGTAGGTATGCTCTTTCTTGATTCCTCTTATTATAATTATTTATTGTGTTAACCACTTTGAGATTACAAAAATTCTTTTGATCCTGCAAATTCTTCTAATAATTATACTCTCAACATCTTTCCATTTAATTTAGAATGATTCAAAATTTATTAAGCATTTTTTAATTTGGATTTTATTTCAACATACAATTCAGGATCTCTTAAGAGTTTTTTAAATTCACCAATACCAGCATCCTTGTTTTTCAAAAATTATTGATGTTTTTATGTTCTTTTTTAAATGTAATATTCATTTCTATCTTTTAAGGATCTTCCCTTAAAGACAGCCTTATCCATATTATATTGATAATTCATATAATGTTGAATTTTTGCATCTGGATTCTTAGCAGTTTTATATCCTGTTTAATCTACTACATAAAAATTGTCCTAAAATTAGTAAAAATAATTAAACCATTTTTGGATCTCTTGTAAGATCCATTTTAGTTTTAGGAATCTTCTCATAGTAAGCCCATCTGTCAACTGTATTGGCCATAAGGTAGAGAAACTCAAATTCTTGAATAAAACCTTTAATCTATAGAAAATCAGTGCATCTCTTAATCCAATCTTCTAAAACACTACTGCTTATAGCTTTTCCTATTGCCTGTAATAAAGAAAATGATATAAATGTTTTTACCCATAATAAATTGTTAATTTCAGTTGCATTACATGGTACTCCTTCACTCATTAATTCTTACTCTCGAAGATGAAATATAAGACAGGCATCTTTAATATCCTTCATCCTAGATAAAACAATATGCAATTACGTAAGAAGTCCATCATGATAGAGTTAAATGGCTGCTTTTATATTACGAACATTAAGGTGTGTTAAACGTCCATTTAGGAACTTATATAGAGAATAAGTAATATACTCTTGGAACTTCTTGTAAAAAAGAAAGGGATCTAAAAGTTGAAAAGATGGTTTAGATATCAATTTTGATCTTTTCAACTATCTAAATTTAATGTTCTTGTTCAAGGATTTGAACAATCAAGAAGAAGACAGGTTACATTTACATATAATCTGATATGAGCATTCTAAGATCTTCATATTTGATTTGACCTCTTGCACTAAATTCACTTTGAATTCCATATATTGTAAATTCTTCTAATTGTTATGCTTCAGTCATTTATTAATAAATAATTTAATCAATAAAAATGGACTATGAATAGAATAATTATTAGGCATTCGATATTGAGATTGTAGATACTGAGCAACAAAAAATTGAGTATGCAAGATTAAGCTTCATCAGAAAGGTAAGATATTGCCTAATGAGGTGTTTCTGATAATCTTATTTCAAATTGGATTTACTTTCATTACTACATTGATAGCATATTCCCAATATACAATAATTGATTACCTTTGCAACAGACCATTCTTATTTTGGATATTTATGGTTTTATTGATCTTAGTAATATTTTTGCTAATCAGTTTTTAAAAGTAAATTTATATGTAAATCAAGATTAGCCAAACAACATCCCTATAATTATATCTGTTATAGTTGTTTTACACTCTCTATCTCATACATATTTTTTTACACAACCCATCATTATCATACATACTCAAATCATATCATTTCATTGATTACATTACAAATAGGTATTATCATTTCACTCCTCATTTACTCTTATATAACAAAATAAGAAATCAATCTAAATAAAGGTTTAATATATATAGTTTTTACTATTGCTCTGTTATTTATTTTCTTATTCCTCTACTTTAAATTATCACTCATATTTTTATTTATTTTGTCATTCCTCAACATCTTATATGGAGTGCATATTATAATAGATACACTTCTAATTGTAAATGGAGAAGTAAGAAAATGATAATTATAATTAGAAACATGAATTAGATATAGATGACTATATTATTGCAGCCTTGATGACACAAGTTGACATTATTGGACTCATTTCAATACTTTTTCAAAAATTGGTTTCATAAATATCAAAGATATAAATCAACAGTAACTGATAATATAAAAAATCATTAATTTCTAGTATACTATTGTTTCCATTCTTCACATTCTCTATTCTTCATCTCTATTTAATATCTAAGAGTTCTATTCTCACTCTCTAATATCTCAACCTATGATTCCATCTATCTCTTAATTTATTCAATCTAAGATCTCTTGATTTCTTCTTTTACTTATTCTGATACTTCTTATTATTTCTATATCTCAATCAATTTCTATTTTTAACATTCTAATTCTACTTACATTCTTTATATTAATAACTAATAATTAATTTTAGAATAATTACATTATTTTCATTATTTTTTAATGCTAACTATCCCTTTTATTATCTACATTCATCATATTCATTTGATCTTTATTCCAATAATTCAGTTAATTGATTTACTTATTCATTTAATTATTCAATATCTTAATTTTACTCTTATATATCATTTTCATATTGTAATTACAATGAATCATAATCATTTTATACTTATTTTAATTAAGATGATGTAGTTTAATTATGTTAATTTAAGTTTTCTAATCCAATTTATAATTCTTAATTCAACTACTAATTTTCTTGTATTTATTTTTAACATTAATCCAATTATTAATTCAATTTTTAAATCTCTTATAATAATTTATTAATCTATTATTAATATTCCATCTTTATTTCTGAAATTGATTTTCTATATTTTTAATCTAAATCTTTAGAACTCAACTAATTCTACTCTTGTAAATTACAATTCTATTCTACTTGAGATTGTATCTCCTCTTATAATCCTTAAATTAAATCTATTATATTTATAATTTATAATTACTCTATTATTCTTATATTTATTAATTCAAAATATTATTCTCATATTAAAGTTAACTAATTTTATGAACTAAACACTCCTTTTCATCTAAAAACTCTTTTTCTTATGATTTAATTTATTATTCATTTTATTATATTAATTTATTTACTTCTCTTTTCTTTTCCTCTTACAAATCCTAATACTTTAATTTTAGAGCTTCTAATTATTAAATTAAATTCTTTTCTCCTGTTTTAATCTCATTTACAATCTTATCCAATTATACAATTTCTTATTTCTAAAATTCAATAGCTTAATTTCTTCTCACTAATTCATCTTGTAATTTCTATATTTGATCATCCATCAATTATAATTATTCTAAATGTGCTTATTAGATCTCTTATAAATTTTAATTATATTTCTAATCTTTTTAAAATAACTAAATAGAAGCATCCTTATCCATATTTACTTTTTCATGTTATAAATACTTTAATTCAGATTAATAATCATTCAATTATTATTTCTAAATATCTATTTATTTATTTAATCGTATTAATTAAGTATCTTTTTCTCTTAATTTACTACTAAATTCATCATTCTATTATATTGAATTTTTTAATTCTTTAGTCAATTAATCTAAATGTTTTTCATATTCAAGCATTGTTTAAGTCTGATTAGATGAAATACACTAATTTAATATTTAGATAATACTCTAGCTTCTGCTTATTCATAACGACGTTTCCAATTGTTTATTTCGTGTTATTATAATTCCACTAAATTCATTAATTTCTTAATCTCAAATTCTGGATTTATAAATGTATTGCTTTATTTCATATCCATATCAATGCTCTTCTCAAACTTACTTGTGTAATGGGAATTCCTTAAACTCTATTATGATTTTTGTAATGTCGATCCTAAAACTAAATTATATAAGAAGAACCTTATTATAACTCAGTGTAATGTGGACTTTTAGACTATGTATTTGGAGATATTGTATTTCTAGATTTTGGTGGTGATGATGCTTATACTGGTTTTAAAAATTATGACATCTCTTTTTTCTTCTAACAGACAATTTATAATATTTATTAATCTCATTATATCAATATATAATTTATTCTTTAATCATATTTTATTTCCCTAATAAATTTCATTCTATCCAAATAAGTGATCATTTTATAAATTTATTTCATTGTCAATATTTCATTAATAACCTAAATGCCTTAAAATCTTAAGAATTTATTGATATCATTCATTCATAATTATATAATCTTAATAATAAAAATAAAATTACTCTCACCTTATGTAATAATGAATATTTTAGATCTATATTTTATTAATTATAATTAGAAGACAACTGGTATATTAATTTGTTTATTAAATGGGCTGTTAGGTGGTCAAATAAGCTTAAATAGTGTCTACCAAATAGTAACAATTCAGAAATAAGATTAATCCCATGTCATGATATATTCAAAAAGTATTCATCTCTTTGTTTAACCAAATATTGATGAATCTAATTAATTATTTTTTTATTCTTAAATAAATTTAGAGTTATCGAAAATTATAGATAAATATTTGAAATGTTGAAACAAAAACTTTTTAATTTTCTAACTTAACTTATTAATTAATTGAAGTATTTTTTGCAAAGAAAACTTAATAATTTGCTAGATTTTATAATAAAAGATCTTTTACTAAAATGGGTTTATTTAATTTTTATTATCCTCTAAATCATACTTAATTAATGCTAGCTAATAGCTTTGATAAAAAAGTATTTTATTAAAGTCAAAAAAATAGAAAATGAGTCAAATTAGAATTTGCTCTTGATTGTTGAATAAATTTATCTTTTTACCTCTATTAAAAACAATCCTATTTATCTTAGAAGAGTCAGTTCATTTACTTAAGCAGATTAGAGTTATGATTTGTATTGATAAAATATTTATAACAAAAATACCTATCGTTTTTATCTTTTTTATGTTTTACTTATAATAATATATAATCAATTAATATGATAATAATATTCATTATAGATGATTATTTATAACTTTAATTTCAAAAAATATTATTTATATATCAAAATAACTTATTAAACTTTTCAGGATGTTTGAATTATAGAAAATGGCTGGTATATATATTCTTAAGTGGTTTATCTAATAAATTAAACAAAGGAATTAGAATGTACATGTAGAATCAATATTACTTTATAAATATTAATAGAATTAAGAATTGTAATAGTATAATTTTTATATCAGTAATTATAAGTAAATTATCATTTACAAAAACTATTAAAGGAAATAACAATCAATTAAATTTATTATCATTATTTTTATTATATAATTAATTATTTTTATTATTAGTGTGTAAATTCTATCATAATTAAATTTTATTTATCTTATACTCATAGAACTTATGACACAAGATTAAATCCATCTCTTATGGAAGTCCTATTAGAAAAATTAGAAGTAAAGTGGAGGCTCTTTAGTGATTCCAAATTCGAAACCCAATCCAAAACTCTATTTCAATTTTAAAAAATCTTTTTTTACCTTCTTCAATAGAAATTAATATAAAATTTCAGTCAATTGTGGAACTAGATCATTTTTGACCGTATCCTAATTCTAATTCTCATCTAAAATAGTAATTCTATTAGAATTTTTAATCTTATTCTATTACAGCAATTTATAATTCGAAATTCTATTAAGAACTTTAGATAATTATTTATGTTATAATAAATTAAAGACCCTCAATAAAGATTGAATGAGATATTTTTAAACTTAAAGTTCATTTAAACTCAATCTTCAACTTCTTATATAGGAGTATCAAGTATTAAGTAAATTAAAAATTAATTACTGAAGTAAACCTATAAAATTTAATCAGCTATAAGATAGAGTAAATATAAAAATAAAAAATACTGCTCTTTTTTGGGTTTTAACATGAAGATGTAGATGGATTATACGCTCATTTCTAAGATAAAAATGCTATTGTACAAGATGAATATATAAAAATTGTGAAACTAAAAAAAGAATCAAAAGTCTCATATCTTATTAATACACCATACTCCTTAGAGGGTATACAAGATATATAATTATGTCTTAAATAATGTGTTACCAGAATAATCTTAAATAAGATTCTACTTCAATTTAAAGATTGTTCATACCACATAATTGTTAATTTTGAAAAACTTTAAGGAAATACTCAACAAGAATAACTTAATTAGATTACTGATTATGGATTATTTAATTATGGAGAATTGGAGTTTAAGAATGTATAAGTTTCATTGATATTAAATATTAAAAATAACTAAGAAATTTCGTATGCTCTTGTTAAAGATATCAAGAAATGTGTTGTATACATTCAACATATTTTGAAGTAGCAAGCTTTGAGACTAATCTTCAGTAAAAATTAAGATATATTTTACAAAATACAGAATGTGTAAGAGTTATATTATGGACCTATGAGTTTGTTTTTGTCAGAAAAAATGGAAAATTATGTTGTTTAAATTACTACAATTTTAAGAAGTTATTAGGATTAACTTTTGTATTTGTAATAAATTCCGAATCTATAAGATGAATAAGATTTAAATAATTGTCTAATCAGTCTTATTGAGAAACTAAATAACATTTTTTTAAAATAATCTAATTAAAGTTTAGAATCCATATATGCTCTGTTTAAAGCAATAAATAATTAAAATTAATAGCATCTCGAATAAATTAATTAATATTTAAAATAGATAAACATTAAAATAATAGAAAGTTTTTTATAAGATAAACGAATTTCCTTTGAAAACCTTCTAATACCAACTCTAATAGCAAAACCATCGGAAATAGAATTTATCAATAATATGTTCAAAAAATATATACCCAAAGAATTTACATCAACAAATGTAAATGAAATAAAAAATTTAATCCTTAATGTTAAATGCTGGAATTCTTATAGCACTTTAATGGTTGAAAGCATCATCTAAAATTTTAAATAAATTACTTAACACATATAGGAAGGACCTGAAAATGAAAGAGAAGTGGGGGTATTTCTATTTGGAAAAAGCAGAGTTGGCAAAAGTACTTTAATAAATTTACTCAAAAATCCTGAAAGTTTAACAATAGAGAAGAAAATAAGTGAACTTTGTTATGTAAGTAAAGATGAAACATAATTTAAGATTGAACATGGATGTATGAGTGAGACATAAAAAATTTCAGATATGCAAATAGGAGATATTTGGTTTTATGATTGTCCAGGATTTGATGATAATATATCATAATAAATTAGAATTGCACATAGGATTAGCTTATATAATCATTTGGTTAAAACTAAAAAGGTATTAGGATTTTTTATGATTGATTCGTCCAATAAAGATGCATAAATTATTAAGGATACATTTGATCCGATTTATCTATTGTTGTAAGATAAAAAATAATTAACTAAAGAAAATAATAAATGGGCTTCTTTGGTTTTAGTTAAAACAAAGTAAAATACAAGAAAAGATTATATTGAAAATTGGGAGGAAGCTTACCATGGCTTGCTGGAAGGAAAGTACACATTTTATAGAGAAATGTATTAAAATAATAATTAATGTATTGAATTTCCTAAACCTAAAAAAAATTTATAATCAGAGTAAATTTTAGAATAAAATACTTAAATTCAAAAAAAAATCTTATAGATAATTAATGAAAATAAATAAAATTAAGATTTTTAACTAAAACTAAATTTATAAATAGACTCAAAATTATTTTATTTATATGAAATTGTTCTTTCAATGCTTTAAATTAAAATTGAATAGATTGTTGCCCTTTTGAAAAATTAAATCGATACTTATATTTTAGAAGATGAGGATAAATTAGAAAACAAATAATAACTAATTTAATAATTCTAATGTTTTATTGTCAAATAATCAATTAAGACAATGTGAAAGAAATTTTGGGTAAAATTTTAGAATGGTGTTAGTTGAATAGAAGATTTAAAAATAATTCTCTGTTTTTATAAAGAGCAATTGATGATGTACTGAAATGTTTAGAAATTGACCGTTATTGCAAAAATAGAAAAATTTCGGCAATTAAAGTTGATACATCAATTCTCGAAAATAATGCAAAAAAAATTATAAATCTTATCCAAAATATTTCAAAATTAGAATTTGGTCTTAAGACAGGATTTATTATACTTTCTATTGGTGGTGCAGTGGCATCTTGTGGGGCTGCAATAGTGGCAGAAGGCCTTGGAACAGCTGCTATTGAAGTTTTAGTTTCACAAGTTGCCAGAAAAGTAGCAATCAGAGCAGCTATTACTGGAGTAGGAGGAACATTAACTTCTACACTTACATTTATCATATTTTACTTTAGGTAACAAATGTTAAAATCGCGATATGAGTCATATTTAAAAGAATAAGAATAAAAAGCCAATAACTGAATTAAAATAATAATTTAATATTTACAATTATTAATTCAATATGTTCTAAGATTAATTTTATTTCTTTATGGGAAAGTGGTTTTTACTGAAATAACATTATTAATTAAATAATTTTTTATTTAAATTCAATATAAGAACGAAAAAGTCAATAATTTGGTCTCATGCATGAATTAAGAATAATTATAAATAATTTGATCATAGTAAATTTCTCTAAAAGCTAAATTAATAATTCTTAAATAAATTAAAAATAATAAGGAGATATTAAATTATAAAAACTTAAACATATCTTGGATTTAAATTTTTGTCAATAAGAAAATTAAAATTTGAAGAATATAAAATCAATAATAACCTAAGTTTGAACTACTTGTGCTTACTTCTAGGTTTTTTGAAATTTTAGAAAATAGATTATTACTTATATTTAACAAGGTTTAAATCAACAGGCTTAAATGCAGTATTACAAATTTTTTTGTGCATAATAATTGATAAGACAGACTTTAAAAATTTTGATTCTTATCAATACATTTTTTTGTTATTTTTACTAAAATATTCTATATATTACTATCTAATAATTAATTTTACAGTATTAGCAAAATCCTATAACTTTCTTTAGGTCTGAAATACTAAAAAGACTTTATCTAATTATAAGTTTCAAAATAAATCAATTTTATAATAATAATAATTAAAGTTTATTCAAATAAATTAAAGTAAAAAATAAAAATATTCAAACATATTTGAATGTTAATTCATAAATTTATTTTTCTCCTTTTGAAAAAAAGTAATTAAACATTATTTAACACCGAACTAATTTCATTACATTGAATTCTGACTTTTTTTTAATTCATGATATAAGTCATTTTCTCCCCAAAATTAAACTATTAATTAGATTCAAATATTTGAATACTGATAATTCATACCAATAAAATTTAAATGAAATACTTTTTTAATATCAGAATAGCTCATCATCTATTTTATTAATTGTTTTGTCAAAAATCTATGCTTAAATCTATTCTAAAATTTCTAAATATTTATTATTTATCACAATTAATTAGTCTCTTTTACAATTGTTTTTTTTATAAAAATGGGTGCCACATGCAGATTTAGAGAAAGAGATAAATTTATTCTTACTTTAGACTCCCACTCAAATTTTCCAAACCAAAGCTCTAACTCTGAAAACAAACTTAATTAAAAAAACAAGATGTATGATTTTAGTAAGAAATCCAGGAATTTCATTAACTTTCCTATTTTAAACTGGACAATATTTCAACTATGAAGTAAAATAATTTAAGTTTCAATTTTTTTATTTCACACTCATAAGAATAAAAGTATTTAATTTATTATCATTTTTATTCTTTCTTTTCATGTTTCAAATCAAAAACTTGATACTTTTTTGACTTTAAATAAATAATAGGGCTATAAATATATACTTAGAGTACATATTAAATAAAATTATCAGTAAGAAAAGGATTTAATATGAATTCTTAATAATGGATATGAGGGAAAAACAACAAATATAACCATAATTAAATAAGTGAAATATATAATAGAAAATTATAGTAACTTATGAATTTTAGATCATTATGAGATTATGCTTATTATTATAAGTATAGATAAATTCATTTGAAATATAATTAGATAAAAAATTAATTTTAAGCTATTAAATATTGATATTATATTATCTAAATTAATTATTAAAATTACTTAGTCTACTTTATGAATCATCTATTAAATGATTAATTAAGATTTTTGAATTGTTTAAGAAATACTTACTGGATAGTGTTCTTAGATTAAATTAACTGAATGAATCTTTGGAAACATAAAATTAAATAAATTTGTATAACTATAGTATTAATTACAATATTCTGTTTATTTATTATCATTCAATAACTAGATTTAGTGATAAAAATATAATATATGAAAAAATCTCTTAGGATTATTTTTTAATATATAGTAATATTTATGTATTCATAATCTTGCAAAGAACCTGAGTGGTAATACTTGCAAATTATTTATCAAATAAGCTAAACTCTATTTATTAATAAATGTTTATAATTTGTAAAAAAAATAAAAAATGGATTAATTTTAGACATGTGAAGGCAAGCTCTTGTTTATAACTTATTATTTATATAAATCTAATCGCATTGGAATAGAGTAAAAAAGTGAAATAAAAGGTTACATATATAATTGATTCATAGATATGTTAATAGCAAAAGATTTTAGAATATAACAAGTGATGTAAGAAATAAAGAATGAAACCAATATACAGAAAATTGAAAGAATGTTAGAAAACATTAATGTATCATATATCAATAAACAATAGCCAGAGGAACATAGTCCCAGAGACATAGATGACAATTTAAGTCATACTTATAAATAAAAAAGACCTAAGCTCTTTAAATTCTAAAAATCAAATTTCTCGAAATTTATAGAAGCAAAAGCAAATGAAGATACTGATACTTTCTCTTCAAATAAGTAATTAGAATTTAGATAGAGATTATATTCATTAGCAGCAGATTCTTGTTGATGTTATTATATAAAAATATGAATCATTTTTTCAAACAAGTAATATTAGGATAATATTTCTGATTGGCAACATGAAATCTAAAATGAATAAACTTGCTGCTTGATACTGATCTTTCAAAGTGAATTTCGATGACTATGAATATTAATATAATTAATTTACTGTAGATACAAGTGATGTATCCCAAACAAAGATCAAGAAGATTCCAGATAGAACAATACAATTTTAAATATTAAATATCTAATCTCTGAAAACCATGGATAAAATGATTCCGAAAATCCAAGAGTACATCTTCCTCTTTGAAATAACAAAATGATTCTCTGCTACCTCTTTATAATCATCCTAAACAACAAAAAGGGATTATAGTTTTTATTCGATTAATTATAAAGCTGATTAATTATGGATAATATATCTATTATTTTCCTAAGATTAATTGTATTTTTTACTTTGAATAAATTTGTATTAAGATGTAATAAATATACTTAAGTATATAAAATGAATATAATGTGAGGTATCCAATTAGATTGAGTTAAACCGAAAAAATTTAGTATTTCCTTTAAACAAATGATAATAAAGGAATAATTAACCAATTTTTAAATTGTAGATTTTAATTCAAGTTACCATTTCAAGAATTTTTGATTTAAGTAAAAGAATGTCACAATTCCTATTTAATATAAAATTAGTATTCTCAAATTGTAAAAAATGTTCTTATCTAATAAAATAAATAATAATAATACTTTCTGCCTGTTTTATTAAGTGAGAACAAACTTAAATAAATAGACTCATGGATGGATATTGTAAGTAGTAGAATATTTTCTATTTGTATTTCTAGAATATTAATAGAACAAAAAGCTTACAAATAATTAGCAATTTCTAAATACTGATTAAATAATCAATAATGAAGGTAAAAAGATGAGGGAAAAGTAATATAATGTTGTGTATACAATGTAATCTTGAACTACTGAATTCTTCCAAACCTCATATTGATTTTAATCTTATTAATAATATTGTGAATTATAATAGTAATAACTTTATCTGCATTTTTCATATGTTTTACAATATTCATCAAAAGTGATGTTACTTCTTGGATAAGTTATGATTGTATTGAAGAAGTACTTTTTAGTGGGTAAAAAGGTTGAAATAAAAATGACTACTAATTATGCTAATATTAATCGATAAAAATATTTTTGCTCATCTTTATTTTTAGTACAAGAATTTCCATATGCCCTTTATTCCTATTATATCTCATTTGCTCTTTCACTTGTTTCTATTTAGTCTTATATATCTGTCATAGATTTTTAAATACTTAATATAATTTATATAATAGAGTTTAATATAATTAAAGATTTCAATGACGTGGCAACTTGTTAATAGAAAAAGAAAATTCAAAAATGAATGAAGATTTGAATATATAAATAGTTAATGGTATTAAAAATTGATATATTAATTAGCATTCTTCAATCATCACTTTAAGGAGCTTCTTAATTTGATTCATCTTTTGGTACTCTTATTATTAAAAGAGGAACCTAATGATCTTTAACTTATTCAAATTAATTCAAATTTCTTTGATTGCATTTCATTTGATTGATCCATCTACCTAAAAATAATTAAATACCTTAAATATTCCTTTTATACTATTGTATATTCTTAATAAGCAATTTAAAGATACTTCAGATTTGATGCTTTAAGTCCTGAGGTCTCAAATTCTAATTCAGGGAATTTTCTAGTTAATATTTTCATATCTTATTATTTAGTAACATTATTTGGGGATAAACATCTATTTGATTATTTTTTTGGTAATCTTCTTCGATTTTCTTCATTTTCTTATTCTTATTCAACTTCTTAAAGTATTTTGTTTAGATCAATAAAAGAAGAAAAACTCTAATAGAATTCAGAATTGATTGGAGTGTTATCAGGTACTTATTCATCCTCTACTTTTTGATTACCATCATCAAGTGATTTCATAGAATTATTGGGTCTTTCTGCAAATCCTATAGCACTTTAAGCTTTGCTAACTTAAGATTAGAAACTAATTTCTGGTAGTTCACTTTTTCTAGATGAATTCTTAAGAGTAGTTGAATCTTATTCATTTTATTTTTCATTTTGTAATAATTATTCTTTTTTTTCTTTTGCTTTTTTTCTTATGAGTTTAGCTTTAAGACTTCTTTCTTAAATAACTTTTTAAACATATTGTTTCCCTCCATTATACAATTAAAATTATTAGTAAATCTTTCTAATAATTTAAATGATATATGAATATTTGAGATAGATCATATCATTTATTAATTGATCTCTTTCTTTTTATGAATAATCTTTAAAGAATGCATATTATAATTCTTTATTAATATCTCTAATTTTTTCGAATCCAGATTATAAAGATTTATGACGATGTTAAATTCTATAAATTAATAAATGTATAAATGTATTTCTAACTAAAGGACTCCAATGCATAAATATTTTAAAAAATAAATCAGTACTAAATAAGAAATCACATAATTCTTTTTTTGGTTCAGCTATATTTATATTGTTTAATAATTGTTACTTGTAATTAAATGGAAATTATTATATAAAATTTATAAGCTCTTACTTATGGAAACAGCATGATCACCATTTAAGATTAATTTAATTCCCTTGAAAAAAAAAGAATAATCAAAATTAGTAGGTAAAACATGGTAATTTTGATTAACTTTTTATAACCAAACATCTACAATATTTAAAGTATTAAACACTTATATTGCATCATATAATTTTGTTTAATTGAATAATATATGAATAAATTTACTAAGCAACATAGAATTGTTGATAATTGCACATGATGCTTCAATAAATTTATGATTTTTTAATTAGATATTAGATAGTAACAATTCTACAATTTCATCATATCCTTATATATTTTACCAATTTACATTAAATCCAAATTTAGATTAAACAAAATTAACCCATTATATAACAAAAGGATAATAAAAATGTACAATTTATTTATTAGGTATATCTAATGTTAATGATTCTAATTCTTTTTTTAATTATTACCCTTTTTCATTTTAGAATGCTTAATCATAAAATTTATGAATTAAGATATTTTCTATATTTGGAAACAGAGCTTGTTTAAATTGAGGTACTCTGAAATAGGAGAGTACAGCAAATTTAACAAAAAAATCATGTTCTTTATTTGAACAAGAAGTATCAACAACTCTTTATAAACAAAGAGGCATAACTTTAATCATTAAAGTGATAAATAATTAAGCATTATGAATACGTTCTATTTAAGTATCAATACTCAAATGATCTAAATCCATATCATCTCTATAAATAAGTTCACTAAGTACGGTAAAACATATTTCTTTAACCATTTCTGTTTATTATTTACTACTCTATTCTAATAAGTATTTCCATAATTTTATTTATACTGATTAACTATGTAACATATCATCAACACTTTAATATTTAATATTGTGATTTTCAGCCAAAGTTGATAGAATTTCATTTCTTATTTTTTCAGATTCTTTAATCTTTTTATCTCTCATAGTCTAAGATAATGTTTCTACTTTTATTTATAATCCAATTAGCCAATCTACTTCTTTATTTGTATTATTATTAGATTTAGCTTTCTTTAATAATAAAGTAGATTAATTAACTATTCCTGTTTCTGTTTTCACTCCACTACATTAACTAACATATTGATTAGATCTAATAATAAATGTTCCTGTCCAATTACCAATATATGTACCATCAGAAATCAATTGTTCATTTAATTATGCTTCTTAAATTAAGAGTGTGTCAGTCTATGCAATTTAGGCTGTATTATCATAAAAGAATTTATTAAAACTAATATATGTACTACCAATTCTTTTATATTCTTCTTATTTTGTTTATTTATTAGCATAAAGTACAAAAACAAATGTAGTAATTTAAAAATCATTTCCAAAAATGTCAAATTCCATAGATGGGGAATCTTCTGTTCTAAATTCCCAAAGTATTTCATTTTTTGCTTCTAATGCTTTTTTAGTAGAGACATGTCTTTATGAACCACCTTTAATATGTTGATATTTATATGGAATATCATCATTTTATGAATAGGTTGGATTCATATATTTAGGAGAAATTGCTGATTGAGATTCATTTTCTTGAGATTTAATTTTTAATAGAAAACTATAGGCTATATCACCTAATTGTTCTTCTAAGATACAACGAATATGTTTTGTATTTATCTTAAAATGTAATCTTTAAGCTACTTTAATATCAAATATAATTGAGGATTTGTTCTAAAATAGCAAAATAGAAATTACACTAAACATAATATCATGATGTTATGGTCCACTAGCAATTTCATATATTGTATATTTGATTCTATAATGAATTTTGTCTGAATCGTCGAGGATTTGCTTGGGAGGATATTTGAATATTGTACTAGTGTAAAGAATTGAGTCTGCATACTTTGAGGATCTATATGTAAATCAAAAGTAAAAGTTTAAGGCCACTATACTAAAGGAGTAAGAGTACATGTGGATTTTTAGTATATCTGATCATGGTGGTCTTATAGAGATGTTCATTCACTTTTACTATCACATATGCACTTTACTGTTGTATATTTTTAACCTTGATACCAGAAATTACCATCTTAAACATTAGATTCTATTATCCAAATCTAATATCATTTAGATGCTACTTTCTTGTCTAATGAGAATAACATGCAGTTCCCATTATTAATTTATATTATATTTTGAATTACTCAATATTTCAATTTGGCGAATTTTAACACTATCTACTCTTCATGTACTTCTTCAAATCTCTATCTAACCATCTCTTCAAGTTGATTCACCAATTATATTTCATTTCTTCTTGATTAAGTACCATAATTATATTCAGTCTAAAAAGTTGAACACAAGGCTTGAGCTTATTCTAATAATTATTGATTTCTTTATTATTTAGATGAAGCAGAATTTGATACTGCTGATTGAACTCCAATACAAGCTGATAATTTATCTAATTTAACTTATTATCTCTCATATTATTATTATAATCTTGATAAAACTTTGTTTACCTTCTCCTTTTATAAATTAAATAATGCAACACTTTAAACATTTGATTCTGTAAATTAATTATATGCATCTTCAATTGTGGATCTCAAATCTTTAAGTAAATGTTCTACTTATTAGATTGAACTCAAATCAACTGATTCTCCTTGATTTGCCAATTAAATAAATCTATTAAAAATAGGAGTATAAATTGGAGTTTTCTTAATATCAAATGATGTTTATAACATTCTTTGACTTACTTTACTTAATTCAGAGAAACTTCTATATCCAGATGAAATTCCTTCCAATATTGTCAATGCTTCATCTATAGCATGTAATGAATCTTCATATTATCTACCTCTCTTCTTAAAATAGCCTGATTCTGTTTCAGCGGTAGTTAAAATGGTATTTAGATGTTACTAGAAGGTATTTTCTTATTATTAATTGACTTATTATTATTCAATTGTTCTTTATTTTGAATATTAACAAGTGCTTAATTGAGCATTAGAATCTCTGAGAGTACTTTTGGCGTTTTGAATTTCAGCATTTCTAAATTCATATTCAGCCTAACATTCATTTAATTCCACATTAAAGATTTAGTCATGATTGACTTATTCCTCATTGACAGAATCTCTAAATTATGTAAGTACATTCAAAACAGAATCTAATGGAGAATGAGATTTAATCTTCATTTCCACCTCAGCCATCACAGAAGTGATCGATCTCTACTTAGTGTAATTGAGTCTATGTTGATGATTAGTACCAGACACTATAACTAATATCAGCAAGAGAGCAAAGATCTTCATTAAAAAAATTAGGCAAAAACGATTTAATGCATTTCAATAAATAAATCAAATCACTTAATTTTTTTTATAATCATCTTTTTATTCCAATATTGATTATCCAACATATAAAGACTATGAGCATACATATTAAACATATTTCTCATGTTTTTGATTACTATTATACATTGCATAGATAATTTAAAAGAATAAATATACATTTTTTTATAGTAAAAAGATTCTTAATTTGATTCAATTAATACGCCTTGTTAAATTTACTTTATATCACACACACTAATTTAAATATTTACCTCAAATATGTCAAATCTATAAGTATAACTAATTAAGAAGCCTGATGCCAAATATCCAAGAGTGAATGATGTATTCTAAGTTAAGACAACTTCAACTCCAACTGTTAATCAACTTAAAGATGGTGAAGTATTGTTGGAAAATTTATACTTCTCAATTGATGCAACAATGAGAGTATGGATTAGTGGGTATTCATTATCATATTAAATTGTATTTAGTGCCAAAACATATGTAGATCCAGTCCTTCCTGGTAATACTATGTTTGGACAAGCTGTATCAAGAGTTCTAGCTTCAAAAAGTGAAAAGTTCTAAAAAGGGGATTATGTGATTGGTCTTGTTAATTGGACATTATATTAAATTATTAGTGATGCCAAATTGCATCTTATTAAAAGAGGAGGTGATATTGATGATTTGACTGGATATTCATTCTTAGGTCCTTTAGGAATTAGTGGATTGACAGCTTATATTGGATTTGAAGCTATTGGAAAACCAAAAGAAGGAGAGACTGTTGTTATATCTGCTGCTGCTGGAGCTGTTGGAGAAATTGCAGTCTAATTGGCTAAAACCTATTATAAGTGTAAAGTAATTGGAATTGCTGGTGGTCCAGAAAAATGTGATTATGTAAAGAAATAATTGGGTGCACATGATTGTATTGATTATAAAAATGAAAATCTCAGTAAAAGATTAAGAGAATTAACACCTAATGGAATTCATGTGTATTTTGATAATGTAGGTGGAGAAATGTTAGATGAAATATTGATGCATATTACAGATCATACAAGAATTATACTTTGTGGAGCCATTGCCACATACAATTAAACTGGAGGTATTATTTATTATCATTATCTATATAGAACCATATAAAGTGAAAAATTACCCTAGATTAATTATAAAAAGAGCAGTCATGCAAGGTTTCCTTTATTTTGATCATCCTGAATTATTTAAGCCAGGATAAGCAACTATAACTTAAATGATCAAATAAGGATAATTAAAAGTAAAACATATCATAATATTTTTAGATAAGATATGATGTTTAAAATGGTTTAGAATAAGCTCCAAATGGATTGGCTAAACTTTTATTAGGTTAAAATAATGGTAAAGTTGTTGTCAAAGCTAAATCAGATTAACCAAAACTTTGATTAGTTGAGTATATATAACAAATGTTGGATTAATAATATTATATTTATATTCTTTAATATCAATTAAAATTAATATTGCGTATTAAAATTGATAAATATTGTAATTATTATGTTATATTAATAATCAATATTAATTACAATCAAATTTAAAAGAATTACAATTAAATTTTTATCAGATCTTAGATACTTATTATATTTAATATAAGTATAATTTAAAATCATTATATTTATACTTAATAATTTTAAAATACTATTAAAGATACTTACTATTGCAATTAAGATTAAATATATGAATATTAATTATAATAAATTAGTTAAATTAATAAAATTTTTTTTCTTTTCTTAATTAAATGATTTTATTATTATAATTAGATATTAAATTGAAGATTTTATGGTTTAATATTCAAATATTATTATAAAGATAAATTATAACTAAATCTCTCTATTGTAATAATAAAAATTGCAATATCATTTTTGTTGATATTTTTATGATAATCCTAATCTTCAAATTAAGAGAACTTTTAGTTGATTTTATTATTATATATAAATACATAATGTGATAATAAAAATATGTATGTTTCATGACATCATAAACCAATTATATATAAATAAATAAATAATTGGATTGATAAATTTTCATATAAAAATTTGATTAGATTAACACTAAGTTGATTATGTTTTCATCAATTGAAATACTCACAAAAAATGAAAGATAGAACTCTCGTCTAGGAACATAAAGAAAAAAATTCAAATTAACCGGACAGACCATTTTGAATGGTGACCAACCTTCTAATTATGATTATTCTAAAAGACACACACATGAAAGTAAAAATATTAAAATATATTATAGATGATAAAGGAGATCACTAAAGTTTTCTTATGAAGATGGGTTATTCAGTTTCAGATGATCCTAATTATTAAGAATATCAGAAGAAAAATAGAGGAAGCTCAATTTCAACAGATTAGTAATCAAGATAAAGAATAACAAGTCGTTAATCTAATAATAATTCTGTTGCTACTAGAGGATAGAGTATAGAACTTAATAACAATTATGATAATATGAACTGTCCAAGAATAAGTCTGTACAATCCAAGAACAATACGAAAAACATTTTAATGTGATGATTCTGATGGTGGACTTGAGAACTTTAGTGATCATTCACACTATATTAGTGTTGATAATACTCCAAAACCAAATAAAACTACTAGTTTTACAAAAGAAACGATATCAAAAATTCCAACTTTGATTTAATTTAAATTTCAAAGGATTAGAAGATGTTTTTAAATGATTAAAGCATTATTAAGAATGAAGAATCTTTGCAAGTATTATTATTTATAAATATTCAAGTTAAAAGAGAACATCATGGTAATTAAAATAAGAGATTTTAAAAAGAAATTAGAAATCATTGAAATATAATGAAGGTATTACTGCAATCAAAATTAAATAATGGACATAAATGGTATTCTCCAAAATGATTTCTATAATTCAATAAAAAAGATTAGATAAGTGCAAACTTAATTTTATTGTAATTTTTATATTTAATATTTTAGGACAATCCTGAAAGTATGTCATAATTAGAAAAAGATTAAGCAATTATATTTGTATCAAATATTTTCACTTTTGCTATGTCTAATTTAGTGATAATGACATCTAGCACTAATTTATTAAATGAATTATAAGTCTTAATGTACTAAGAATAATTTTTTGAATACAGAAAACAATTTAGTAAATTTGTTAGTCAAAGAGCTAATTATATCTGTTAAGATTATTAAGTATTAACAGANATAAAAATTTGATTAGATTAACACTAAGTTGATTATGTTTTCATCAATTGAAATACTCACAAAAAATGAAAGATAGAACTCTCGTCTAGGAACATAAAGAAAAAAATTCAAATTAACCGGACAGACCATTTTGAATGGTGACCAACCTTCTAATTATGATTATTCTAAAAGACACACACATGAAAGTAAAAATATTAAAATATATTATAGATGATAAAGGAGATCACTAAAGTTTTCTTATGAAGATGGGTTATTCAGTTTCAGATGATCCTAATTATTAAGAATATCAGAAGAAAAATAGAGGAAGCTCAATTTCAACAGATTAGTAATCAAGATAAAGAATAACAAGTCGTTAATCTAATAATAATTCTGTTGCTACTAGAGGATAGAGTATAGAACTTAATAACAATTATGATAATATGAACTGTCCAAGAATAAGTCTGTACAATCCAAGAACAATACGAAAAACATTTTAATGTGATGATTCTGATGGTGGACTTGAGAACTTTAGTGATCATTCACACTATATTAGTGTTGATAATACTCCAAAACCAAATAAAACTACTAGTTTTACAAAAGAAACGATATCAAAAATTCCAACTTTGATTTAATTTAAATTTCAAAGGATTAGAAGATGTTTTTAAATGATTAAAGCATTATTAAGAATGAAGAATCTTTGCAAGTATTATTATTTATAAATATTCAAGTTAAAAGAGAACATCATGGTAATTAAAATAAGAGATTTTAAAAAGAAATTAGAAATCATTGAAATATAATGAAGGTATTACTGCAATCAAAATTAAATAATGGACATAAATGGTATTCTCCAAAATGATTTCTATAATTCAATAAAAAAGATTAGATAAGTGCAAACTTAATTTTATTGTAATTTTTATATTTAATATTTTAGGACAATCCTGAAAGTATGTCATAATTAGAAAAAGATTAAGCAATTATATTTGTATCAAATATTTTCACTTTTGCTATGTCTAATTTAGTGATAATGACATCTAGCACTAATTTATTAAATGAATTATAAGTCTTAATGTACTAAGAATAATTTTTTGAATACAGAAAACAATTTAGTAAATTTGTTAGTCAAAGAGCTAATTATATCTGTTAAGATTATTAAGTATTAACAGAATAAGAAAAATAACTAATATTATCTGAATGTGTAATCATTAATAATCTGATTCCAAGTTTGATAAAGATGACAGAAAGCTTGGATATATTAAAATGTAATAAGCCAAGCATAGAATTTTTAATTAGATGTTTAATTTCCTTAATTCAGTATTTTTTTATATAGAACTTTTCTAATATTCCTAAAATTGAAAAGAAAAAATAAAAAATTAATTTCTCTTAATATCAATTAGGCAAGAATGATTCTTCAATGATAATTATTTAAAATACTCAAATCAAGTCAGATGAAATGATTTTTGGTACTTACAATGAATAACAATTAAAAGATTTCTTATCTAAAGAAAATTGGTCAGAGTCCAATAAAAAGAAAATGAACTAAGTAACAACTAATTTAATCAGTATTTTCTGATTAAAATCTTAATATTTGTATATAATTTTGATTATAACTTCAATTATCATTGTATTTTAAATCAATTATAAAATAATTTATATGAATTGTTAGTATATTCTATTCTTTAAATATGTAGTTATATATTGAAACATAATAAAAAAATATTAAGATCCATTACTAGCTTTAGCAACCTAATAAATATTGCTCAATTATTTAAATTAATTTATTTTAGTTTATTTATTTTTAGGTGTTCTTTTTTTGATCTCCAAAGTTTTATAAATTGATTACACTAAACTCTATTGATAGCCATGATTATCTTAGATTTTGCATAGCTTTGTTTTTTACAGAAATTCATAACTTTAAAGATAGAGATGAATTATAAGTATAAACATCATGTAATATTTCAACTATTTTTGGAGACTTCATAATTCAATTAAGTCTTTAAATGAATGCATCACTTAATATATTATCAATAATTGATAATATTATAGAAAATGATCCAAGTATTTTAGTGACACATTATTCTAATGTAAGCATATTAATATAAAATGAAATATACCTAATACTTACTGAAAAATCTAATTCCTGAATGGATTAAATTATATATCAACTTCAAATATCTAAAGACTCATTTAGCTGTTGTCACAAAGTTAAAGTAGTTGTTGAGAAAAATAAAAAAACTTAAACCAAAAGATGTCTATAAATAATTTAAATATGATGTCGTTGCAAATAAATAACTATTTGAAAAATTGGAGTAAGATCGCAATCATTTTATGATTGTTTTTGACAATGAAACAGAATAAATTTATAGTTTTACAGAGTGGAAGTATAGAGAATTACTAATATGTTTTGAGAAATTAGACAAATAAATTAAAATAATGGAGTAAATGGCATATTATACGTATAAAGAATAGATAATAGTAACATGGAATATGGGTTAGAATATAAAAGAATAATAAAGAGAAGATGCTATTGAAATAACAGTATATTTGAAATAAAAAGAAGAACTTTTAGAAACAAGTTTTAAATTTTATAATGAGTGTGAATAACTGTAATCATATATTATTTTGAATTCAGAAGGAATTCGTAAGATTCTTAAGAAATATAAAAAGCAAGAACTTAAAGGGATTAGAAATAAGGAAATAGAAATTCAATATTTTGGCAATGTATAACAATTATAAAAGAGACTTAAGAAATATGAAACTAAAGTTAATATTTTGAAATAAAATACAGAATCTCTTATGATTAATCATTTTTATGCTGATGAGTATGTGCTTTCTTTTTATACTAAATTAGTCCTAGTGAATGTAGAGAACTTATTAGAAAATACAGTGAAAAAGGATAAATAAATTTGAAAACAGTCTTTTATTTTGGATTCTTTGCAGGAGCAGCTATTATGATTATTCTAATTATATTGGGAATGCGATTTGATGGTCTTTTAGATCCTAATTCAGATAAGGTTTTCAATAAAGTATTTCCATGTTTTAGAGGCATGGCATTATTTATAATTTATTATTGGTTTATTACTTTAGATCTAGCAGGTTGGAATTATTTTAATATCAATTATAAAATCTATTTAGGTTTCAATCATCATTTCTCTACAGTTTAAGAATTATTATAAAGAGTTAGTATATTTACTGCTATATTTTTAATTACTTTCTTATGGTATTGTATAGCAGTAGAAGACTCTTTAGGTGATTTATCAAGAGCTGTCTAATTATTTGATATAAGATATCTACCAATAATATGTTGGGTTATATCCATTATCTACGTATTCTATCCAACAACTAAATACTTTAATCCTTAAGGTAAGAGATGGATGTATAAGATGTTTTACGGTGCCTTATGGGGTCATTTTATAAAGTATGAATCTAGATATACATTCTTTACAGACTAATTCACATCTATGATTACATCAATGAGAGATTTTGATTATACTATCTGTTATTATCATCATTTTGTAAATATCTATTTTTAAATAGATATTTTTGGGTAATGAACATAATGGAGAATGTAATTTTTAAAGAAGGTTTACAGCAGCTTAAGCTAGTATAATACCTTATTTATTAAAATGTATTCAATACTTAACTCGAGCTAGAGACAAGGGGAAGTTCTTGTTTACAGATGAGATGTATAATTTTATTAAAACTACTATTGCGATGTCAGTGGGAATATTAGCTTATTTGACTAGATTAGATATAGGTTGGAAATATTATTGGATAGCAGTGGCATGTTTTTGTTCTTGTTTTGAATATTATTGGGATCTAAAAAAAGATTTTATGTTTTTTGAGAAAGGAACTAAATATAAATTTTTAAGAAATGATTTAGGTTATAATAGTCCTTACATTTATTATACTTTGGGTGTATTGAATTTCTTTTTAAGAATTGCATGGGTATTAACAATATCACCTGATATGTATATGATAATAGGAATTAAGAACGAAATGTTTGTATTATGTTTTGGATTTTTAGAAATGAGTAGAAGATTGATTAATAATTTCTTAAAAATGGAAAAGGAACATATTAATAATTTAAGAACTTTAAAAAGTAATTCAGATTTAAAATTTCCATTTAAAGAGAAAAAAGATATGGAATTAGAAGAAATAAATAGTGTATTTGATATTGAATCTATATCTACTCTTCCAAGAATTAGTTTTGGTGAAAAAAATAAAGATTAATAGGATTCAAATAACTTAAAATTATCAGAAATAAATCCAAAAAATTTATTAAATTAATAAGATTATTCAAAAGAGGATATTCATAGTCCAATTAAAATGTTATAATCTCCAAAACATTCTATGTTAAGTAAGTAAAATAAAAAGGTTTCATTTTTAAATTTATAATTTCCATTACAAGAAGAAATTCAATTATAATAATAATAATCTAATATATCTAAAAAATAGAGTAGTATTATAGATCATTAACTCTAAGATATTAAGATTCCAAGAAATATTTCTTTTGAAAATTATTTGAACTTTAAATAGAGTTTAAGGAGAATTAATTCATTTAGATTGACATAATTTTTAGAATAACCAAAAGATACTCAAATAAATATTCATGATTATATTCATATTCATCCTAATATGGATTTAGTAGAGAAAGCAAAGAGAGAAGAAATATAAATGTAATAAAAATAAAAAATTTTGAATAATGAAAACAAATAATATTTTAAAGTAATTATATTTAAGTTAATAAAATAGATAATTGAATAATATTATGAAAAATATGAGATAAAGTAGAAACATTAATGATGTTTATAATTATTATATATTAAAAAGGGATTCTTTTCCAAATTCTAAAATACATCAGTATTCTAATTATTTAAATTAAAATGTAAACAGAGAAACCTACACCAAAAACAGAGGCTGATTATTAAGCCTAAGCAGCATAATTATCAGATACATAATTATAAGAGGAAATTAATAAACTATAAAAAAGAGCACATGAATTAAGAAATCATTGTTCAAGAGAAGTGAATCAAAAAAAACAATATGAAGATTAATTAGAAAGTACAAAGAAAAGAGTGTATTAAATTGTTATTATTTCAAGGGGTATTATGACAACACTTCCATACTTGGTATCAAATATTGTAGAAATCTTGGACATAGAGGCAGAAGATAAAGATTAACAAGATCAATCTGTGACTGATGGTTATGCTACAATCTCTGGAAAAGGTGTAGTAATCAAGACAACAACTAGATAAACAATCTTTTTACCAGTAACTGGCTTATTGAATGCATCATAATTAAAACCTGCAGAATTGATAGGTGTCAATAAAGATGGTTATATGTTATATGAAAAATTACCTACCGAATATGATGCAAGAGGTAATTCAATACATTTAACATTATAGTTAAGACTATGGAAGTAGATGAAAAACCATAAGAAGATTATACAGATATTGGAGGATTAGATAAATAAATTGAAGAATTAAGAGAAGCTATTGTTTTACCTATTGTACATAAAGAGAAATTTGAAAATATAGGAATTAGGTATTTATATTAGATATATCAAATCAAATAGACCACCAAAAGGAGTACTTATGTTTGGACCACCGGGTACAGGTAAAACTATGATGGCTAGAGCATGTGCTGCTTAAACAAAGGCTACATTCTTGAAATTGGCTGGACCTTAATTAGTATAAATGTTTATTGGAGATGGAGCTAAAATGGTTAGAGATGCATTTTAATTGGCTTAAGAAAAAGCACCTGCCATTATTTTTATTGATGAATTAGATGCTATTGGAACAAAGAGATATGATAGTGATAAGAATGGTGATAGAGAAGTTTAAAGAACTATGCTTGAATTATTGAATCAACTTGATGGTTTTAGTCCTGATGATAGAATTAAAGTAATATTTAATTATAATCTTAATAGGTAATTGCTGCTACTAATAGACCTGATATTTTAGATCCAGCTTTATTAAGATCAGGTAGATTGGATAGAAAGATTGAATTCCCATTGCCAAATGAAGAAGCTAGAGCATAAATTTTAAAGATTCATTCTAGAAAGATGTCTGTTGCTAAAGAAACAGTTAATTATATAGAAATTGCTAGAAGTACTGATGAATTTAATGGTGCTTAATTGAAGGCTGTCTGGTATAAATTAAATATATTATAAAATAGTGTTGAAGCTGGTATGATAGCATTGAATAGAGGAGGAACATTCTTAATTCATGAAGATTTTGTGGAAGGCATTGCTGTTGTACAAGCTAAAAAGAAAAGTAGTTTAAATTATTATGCTTGAATTGTTTTTCAAAATATCAATATAAATATCTTATATTTGCATTTTTGTGCTTTGCTAACTAAATTGCTTCTTTTTTAATGTGTATTGTTAATCTGTATTAAAAATCATTATTTAATAATAATATATATAAATATATGGAGAAGCAATAAATCAGCAAATCATTTACCTACATTCCAACTGAAGAAGAGAAACAAAAAGATCGTGAAAAATAACTGGATGTTCATTAAAAATAACTATTACATCCTAAACTTAAATGGACAGCTATATTGTTAGCATTACTTTCAGTTATTCTATACTCAATAGGGTTCGTATAATATACCAAATTTTAAGAGCATTCATCCAAATCCATTTTGAAGAAGACTCTACAGCCCTTTATTTGATTGCCTCCATCTGTCTATTACCTCTAACATATTGCTTATTCAAAGTATGTAAAAAGAAAGAAGATTTGTGACTTATCAATTTTACTTATTATTTTTGTTCTTATATTTCCAAATCAACAAATATCATTTCAGATGATGAATATGGTATAATTTCAAATGATTTAAGACTTTTAAACAGAAAATCAAGTAATTATTGGTAATATTAATATAATAAAGATATTAAATAATATTATTAAATTATATCATCAAATATATTAAATAAACAATTATGAAAGAAAAGCCTTAAAACTATAAAACTAATTCACATATGAATATATTTAATATAAGAAACTCTCTTATAATAAAGAATAAATGATATCTTCATCAATTAATATACGTATAATTAGTATTATAATAAATCAATCATATATATAAATTAAAATCTATTTGAAATGTTAAATCTATATTATTACATATAAATAGGTTTAATACTTTAAATATAATATAAATATTAAAACAAATTAATGTCATTTAATAAAAAAAAGATTAAATAAAATAAATTATGATAAAAGTAATTAAATATTCATAATTATAATGTCTTAAAATACATCTTATTTAATTTAATCTATTTCCATAAACTTAATTGTTTTTTAAAGTCTAATTAGTAAATTTGAATAAAATTTTTACATCTATTTATATTACAATCATATTAATGAGTGTTAATAAAAATAAAAATAAAAAACTCCGAAAAGGCGGATTTGAACCACCGACCTGGGGATAACTGATTTAACACTACAGTCCCTCGCTCTACCAACTGAGCTATTTTCGGATGCTGATATAAATCATTCATAATCATATAAATTCTAGTAATTTTTATTATGATAAATCAAAATTAATAGGTATAAAAAGTTATTCAAAATTAAAAAGATCATTTAATTCAATTTTAGTTGTAGTAATTATTCTAAACAATTAAAAATTGAGACTCTATTTTTTTTTAATCTTTAATACTATTATAGATTTTATGTGATTAATTTGATATATATATAAATTAATTATTAGGAATTTGGTACCTTAATGATATTATAGACTTTACTTTGATTTTCAAAATTTAAAGAGTTATTAATAGACTTTTTATTCTTATATTCCAAATTTAAAGATTTATTTAAGTTGAAGTTTAATTGGAAATAACTTAATAGTAATTTATATTCATTGAATAAAAATATAAGGATTAGGTTTTTTATAACTTATTTTGTTATAATTGATTTATTTAATTATAATATATATTTTATAATCATATTAATTAGAAATAATGAATAGAAGAATGTATGATTGTGGGTAATAATTAACATTTATATTATTTTAGTATATGTTAGATGAGATTTGAAGATATTACTAGTTATTAGAATCATAAATAGAATGTAAATTTAGTTAATAATTCAAATTAGTTTTGTAATGGAACTAGTTTCAATGGTAATTTTAATGAATAGTCAACAACAATGAATTTAGGGAAAAGTAAAAGTAAAAGTAATTTTAGGGTAGCATTAAGAAACAAATTAATCATCTACAATGCTTTTAAATAATACAACAGAATAATTGGAATTGAATGAGCAAGAATATAAAATATTAAGAAGTCGTATACTTGAAAGAGAGAATAATAGCAATATAAATATGAGTCAAATGATGAATAATTCATTGACGTATTTAATTATAGAATCTTTAATAGATATGATAAAGATTAATTAAGTCAGTTATAAGAATCAATGAATGCATCTGTAAGAGTAGCACTTTTTGGGTAAGATTAAGAAAGAGAAATGATATTAAAAGAATTAAAAGATAGAACATGGAAAGAAAGAGAATATCTTAAAGATAGAGATACAATAGATAGAGAAATAAAGAAAGCTAAGGATTCTTAGAGAGTACAAGAATTAAAATAATTGGGTTCAGACAGAGATATATTATTTGAGAGGTATTAATTATAAATATTATAAAAGATATAATAATTTTATAGCATAATGTAATGAAATATTAAATAGTAAAAGTGGATTATACAAGAAAGATAATTTAGATAGAGTGATTTAATTAAATAAAATAAAAGAATCAATAGAATAAGATAGAATGAGAATAATGAGTAGTGTTTTCAGTGATTTAATGAATTAAACAGGATATAGATCTAATGATGCTTCAAAGTATGCAGCATAATAGATATTATCTGATAATACAAATTAAAGTGGCGCAGGCGCTAGTGAAATTGTATAACATTGGTAATTCCCTGATGATTAAAAAGCTATTGAATATGATCCTTAATAAATAAAATATGATTAAGATATGATTGAAAAGAATTTATAAACAGCAACTCGTTTATCATAAGAGATAAAAATGCATATGGTTGGAATGGATCCTGCATTAAAAAGATATGCAGAAGCAAATGGTTATGGTAGTTTGGAGAGTATATTTGCAGAAAAGAGTGAAGATTATAGTTCAATGACACCAGAATAAAAGAAATTAATAAATTTATTGGCTTAAGAGACAGATGCAAAAAGAGCATTAGAAAGATTACCATATGGATTAGATTATTAAATTATGTAAAGTAAAGTTGATAAAATAACATAAATGAGATTAGAATTAGAGAGAACTGTTTAAGAATAAAAATATTATAAAATTAGAGAGAATTATGAATAAACAGTAAAAGATTCAGATTAAGAAAGAAAATAGAATATAAGAGATAGACTTATACATTAAATGGAATCATGGAGAGGTGAAAAGAAATATAATCCAACTGAAGGTTTAGTAATTCATTGGGATTGGTGCTTAAATGTACCAAAAAAATATGATAGATGTAGATTAACATGGGGAATGTTTTTAAGAGGATAAACATTAAATAAACCATAAATTGTTGAAGATCATATGTGTGTTAGTGATGGATATAGAGTTAATTATTGTATGTTTAATGAACATTAATATGTTTATGATGTTATACCAAATAAGGATATAATTGTAGTAATTGAATTATAATGTTATTATCAAGAAGGTGGTAGAAAGAGATTAGATATATATGGATGGACAGTTTTAGAAGTATTTGATATGAATATGAATCTTATAAGAGGTAGATTTAAATTACCATTTTATCCAACTGGAACAAATCCAAGTTAATTAGTTTCATCTGATAAACCATTAAAAAGTGTTTCAAATACACTTTTATTTTGTAGAATATCATTCCCTTTTGATAATGAATATTCTAAAATGGAACCATTAAATCCTAGTACAATGACTTAAGAATATTATATTACTGGTATTCATAGTAGAACAATAATTAAACATGATTATGATCATGTTCCATAATCAATTAGAAAAAGAGGATATAATCCTTTAGCATTTGATGAATTATTTAATTAAAAGAGAGAAATTGAACCAGAAGAAGTTGAAGTAGTAGAAGTAAAGGAACCTGAATGGTAATTAATGGAATTAGGTGAAAATAGAAGAGGATTATATATAAATATACATGAATTACTTAATTATTTTGTGAAAACTAAATCAAAAGTTAGATGCTTTTTAACAGATGTAAAAAGAGGAGTATTGAAAGATGAAAAAGATATACCATGTTCATTTGAAACAGATCCTTATGAAATGAATGAATAATAATTAAAATCAGATTATTTTGGTGGTCCATTTGTATTTATTGAAGAAGAATATTAATTTTTTGTTGATATTGTTACATATGCTCATAATAATAGAGCATGGGATGATTTATATTTAATATTTTAAGTATTTGATTATCCTCCAGAATAAGTAGAATAAGAAGATGATAAAAAAGATAATTAATCTGTAGTTTCTGAGAAATCAGTAACAGATATTAAACCAGTTGGTAAAAGATGGTATGCATTTAAAATGTTTGAAAATAATATACTTAAAATAGGAAGATTTTCAGAATTCATTTATGAACCACCTATTAAGAAACCTCCATTTGATCCTTTTGAATGTAGAATAACAAATTCTTAAATAGATTTTAGTATCAATTTATTTGATTATAATATGAGTAATCTTAATGAATAAATTGAAAAATTTAAATAATTAAGATAATTAAAAAGAAAATAAAGAGGACATGGAAAACCTAAAATAAAACCAAAGAAAGAAAAAAAAGAAAAATAAGTTGCTTATGATTGGTAGAATTTACCATTAAGTGATAGACCATTTATTGAAAATATTAAATAATAATATTAAGATAGACCATTTGATAAAGGATTTGGAATAGATTTTTATATCGATTAAGCTAGATTTTTACCAGATAATGTTACTGTTTGTAAAATCCTTTTAATGTTCAAGAATACTAATTTAGAGTAATTATATCCTCCTAAATCAGTTATACCTGATATTGGAGCAACTACTTATTCACCCACATTTAATTATAAAAATGAATTAAGAAGTCCCCATTTTGATCCAACTACTATAGCATTCATGACAATCTTAACTAAAGATAATATCAAAAAAGAAGTTAGAATTGTTGGATATTGTGCTATTAATTTATTTTTATCTAAAGCTACTAAAATGTAACCAACTAATCCATTAGAAAGAGATGTAGTATTAATGAATGGTTTATATTAAATACCAATACATTGTTAACATCCTGCAATGATTAAACCTTTCAATATGAATAGAGTCTAAAAACTTGATAGATTGCCATGCTCTACACTACTTGTACGTATTTTCTTAGCTCCTATGTCAGATGATGGATTTAAACCTTTATCTATTAATGATTTTAGTTAAAAAGATTGGGAAGCAAAAAAAGTATGGTAAAGAATGCCTCCATATGGTACTGGTCTTTATAATACTTAATTTTGTCCAATCAGAGAAACTGAAAAACTTTTATATAATATTAGAGTATAAAGAGAAGATCCTAAATTAATTGATTTAATGAGAAGATTAATGTCTTATGAGAATATCTAATAAAATATGACAGGTGCTTAATTCTTATCCTGGTTAGATAATGCATTGGTAAGAGATGCATATACTGATATTATTGAATTGACTTTTTTTGCTAAATATAGAGGATAAGTTGGATTTAAAGTATCTTTGGATGGTTTTCATAATGTACCTGATACTGATCATCCATATGTGGCTATTTATTCAATTAATCCTCCTGGAAAATTGTATGAATAATAATCATAATAATTATAATAAAGAGATGCAAATTTAGCAAATGAAATTATAACATGTACTTCATATAATTGGGAATCAGCATTATAATCACCATAATTTAATGAAGGATATTTTAAATTTAAAGATATCCCATATGATAAAAATACACATTTAGTATTTGATATAAGAAGAGTTAAATTTTCATAGAGAGGTACAAAATCTATTGTAGAAAAGGTTGGATGGACTGTAATGCCTATATTCACTGCAAATGGATTTGTTAAAAGTGGAATATATTAATTACCAGTACTTGCAGGTGAAATTACTTATAAAATGATAGAAGAATTTTAAAGAGGGGAAGTATGGGAATAAATTGAAGAATTAACAAAATAAAAAAAGAATGCACTTAAATATTTAGATAATATGTCAATCATAGTAAGAATATTAGATGGACATAGAGAAGGTCACTTTTAAACTCCATTTGATCATACAAGAATGATATATTCATATTTACCTTAAAATAGATTATCTTCTTATGTATATAATGCAGGAGTTGATGCTAAATTAAAAACAGCTAAAAAATTGATATCAATAGCACCAAATAAATAATAATTAAATGAATATAATGAAAAAATTGCTAATGCTTTATATGATGTAATTATATAATTTATAAATTTAGTCTTTGGGTCTTAAACATTAAGATGTAGTATCTGCTAAATTAGTACTAAATGAAAATCCAAATAATTAAACAGATTAGGTAGATTAATAAATAATATGATCAAAATTAATACTTTATTATTAATATGAGTTATATTTTGATCAAATAGATAAATATTTCTAATTATTATATATATATATATTATATAATTATTTATTTGTACATTTTTTTAATTAAAATACAAAATTGATTATTTTCAATTATTTCTCTTAAATAAAAAGTCTGTATTCTATTTCATAATTAGATTTTCTTTATCATCTAATTGTAATTTAAATTTAATAAAATAATTATCAAGAAATTCTTGATGAGTTTATTATAAAGATTTCTTTTAGGCGGTATAAAATGATCCCTCATTTTCAAGTTTCTTTTATTTTTCATCTATTTCAAATGAATCTACAAAGTTATTTTAGCAATAGGAATATTAAGAAGGTTTTGTTTTTTATGATGTTTCACTAAGACTTTAATCTTATTTATTAGCATACTTTTCATTTTTCTTAAATTAATATGATTATTTCTTATTATTTTTTTTAATCATCTATTTCTATTAAGATTTTTTATTAGTTCTTACAAAATCAGGTTCTGTTTAAATTTGTTTATCAACAACTATTTTCTTTTTGATTAATCTTTATTATTCCATAATCTGAATAGTTTCAATTTTACAATCTTCAATTAGTTTTATAGGTTCTATAACTTATATTTGTTATTTCTTTTATTACAAATATTTTAGGGATAATAAAACATTTTTAGGAATTGAAATAAGCTTTTAAAGTAATTCCATTTTATATTATATAATAATTTAAAATGATAATTTATTCTAAAATTCAATAATATGTATAAATCTAAATTTATTTGTTTATTCATAAATAATATTAATTAGTTTAAAATGGAAACTTAAATTCCCCTATTAATAATGAAAATAATTTATAAAAATATTACTTAAATTAATGTTATTATATCATTTATCTATATATTAAGATTATTATTATTTCTATTAGCTTGATTATCTAGTAAATTTAGTTTTCTAACTAATTTGTGATTTTGAATCACTAATATTTTTTTCTGACTTATTTATTTAGGAATCTGTTTCTTTATAATTAGATCTCTTTATAATTTTATTTGGATTCTCTGTTATTATTCATAAATATCATTACCTTCAGGTTTTGGAATTGAGGGTACTTTAATGCCAATAACACATTAAGGATAATTTTAGAGAAACTTTTCAATTCCTCCACTCAAAAGATAAACATTTTCAAAACCTTTTTCAGCAAAAAGAGTAGCTGAAGGAATTCCATTCTTTTCATCAAAATGATATATAATAATGTGTTTATCTTTTTAATTTTTCTAATTAAATAAGTAAATGTACAAATCTATGAATTTATTAAGTTAATTTATCTTATCTTAAGTTTGGAGCAGGATAATTGATTGCCTCTTTAATATGATATAGTTCAAATTCATCAGGATCTCTTAAATCCAAAAGTAGAAATTCTGATTAATCTGTTATACCCAATTATTCTGTAGCATAAGTAATTGCAGAAACTTATGAGATTTCTGTAAATCTAGTTTTTTAACTATATTGACTTTAAGTATCAAATTATTGTAATTGCTCTTATTCTTATTATTATTAATCTGCTAATTTATAAATAGTTTCTTATTCTGTATTTTCCTTTGATTATATATAAAGTATACATTAATATAGTTAAATACAGTAGAACATTTGATACGTTTAAATAATTCAGATCTTTTTTTAGCTATTTTTGCATTACTTACTACTTCAATGTCTCTTACAGTTGGTCCTGTATTAAATGTTTATTTGATATGATCATATTATTTGTTTTTTGGTACTTTTTTATCAAGAGGCTTAAGAATTCAAATTGATAAATACATTTCCTTTTCCTTTAACATAACCAATTGGCAATTTATCCATAATAATTAATTCAAATATTCTGTTAACTAATATATTAAATTTAATGAAAACATAATAATGATTTTTAAGAATAATTGTAATGATTATTTATATAAAAAATAGATTAAATAGATTATCATTAATACTTTTTGAGTATTTGAATTAATTATAATTCTTTGATTGGTTTAACTAAAAAATCTGCCATACCAGAACTAATACACTTTTAATGTTCTTATTAATCTGTATAACCACTACAACCAATAATAATCTAATTTGGTAAACTTTGTAATATATTTTTAGTAGTTTATTAGCCATTCATTCCAGGCATTTCAATATCCATAAAAACAATTTTATATCCTTAACAAGTACTACAACATTTTTTTGTCTTTATTTTTGTTATAGATTCATTTCCAGATAAGGCTGAATCAATATCAAATTCACTAGTAAACAAATGTTTTTTATTTTTATATAATTCTTATAACATTCCTTTAAATGCAAATATGTTAAAACAATCATCATCAACTATTAAATAATGAAGACAAATTTATTAAGTAGATAAATCTTCTTTTATGTTTGAAGGTATTTTTTTAAAACTAGTTATTTCATCAACTTCTTAAGGTTATAATGAAATTTCAGGTATTCTGAAACTTGATACTTTCTTTTATCTAAAGTCATCAATCAATATATCAAAATAAAAATAACAATAATGATTATTTTTTTCATTTTTTGAATCTATATTCAAACCAATAGAACCAATATTTTAAGCTATTTAATTACTTATAACTAAACCCAACCCAACTCCTTATTAATTGAGTTTTCTGCTTTCTTCAGAATTTACTTTTGAGAAAGCCTTAAATAATTTTTATTGATCTTCTTCTGAAATTCCAATTCCTTCATCTTTTACTCCAATTCTTAATATATTTGATTTTAGTAATTCAAGTATTATTTTAATTTTACCACTTTAAGTAAATTTAAAAGCATTACTCAATAGATTTACAATTATTTACTTAATTCTATTTCTATCTGAAAAAAGTGTTTTAGGAAGAGTAGAATTGTAATTAATAGATAATTGAACTCCTCTCAATTTAGCTTTTAATTCAAACATTCTTTAACATTCTTCAATTAAAGTTTACAAATTAAATGGTACCTTTTCTACTTTAAATTTACCATTTTTAATTTAAGCTAAATCTAATAGATCATTAGATAAATTTAAAATATAATTTGAATTATCTAAGGCTATTTGTAATTATTCATTTATATCTTAATTTTTCTTAATTATACTTTATTTAAGTACACATTCTAGCATCTAAATAATACAATTTAAAGGAGAACGATATTCATGACTAACAAATGAGAGCATTTTTGACTTTTATTTATCATATTCTTTTAAATATCTAATTTTTTATCTATGAGTTACATCTCTACAAATTATGATTATATTTTAATTTTTACTCAAAGTCAATGTTAATTCTAATAATTAATTATTTTCTGAATTAATTTAGGTTTGAGATGATTATATTTATTAATTTGTAAAAACTGTATATCTTAAATTTAATTGTGTTTAAACAACTATACATTCTTAATTTTTTTATTTTAATAACATGTCTATTATATATTTTATATTATATTTTTGACTCTTTTCTTAACCCATTGACATATCTAAACTAAGATTTCTTTATTATAAATATGTTTAATCTTTGATTTCAGTCGTTTATTTAAAAAGATATAAAGATGGTTACCTTTAAATCTGTGAAACAAATAATAAATCATCGTTTGGTTCTCCATTAACTAATTAAAATGTATTTAATCCATCAATAAATTAAAGTACTTCTTGTTCAGTCTCTTTATTGAATAACATTTTTGTAGCTTAATTTAAATATTTGATATAATAAGGAAAATTAGAAGAATTAGAATCTGGAACTAATAAAATAACTCCTTCTTATAATAATTCTAAACATTAAATAGCTGATTCATAAATATTATTCTCAGTTGTTGCTGATGTATCCCTTATACCTGCAGAATTTGGATTTTAATCTAAATCAAATTATGAGACACCTCTTTTTGAATTCAGTATTTCTTATTTGTTTGTATTTGTAATTTCAGTTAAAATCGATGTAATTTTAGATGGTTTTTATTTTGTTAATGAGGAATTGAAGTATATTGATATTATTAAAGATATCAATAATTAAGGTTATTCTCTATCAAATTCAATTTTTAAATATGAGTAAACTAGTAAAAATACTGAGATTATTGCTTATAATGCAAATAATTGAGATTTTAAACACAACTTAAACTCTAAAAACAAGTCTTTTATTAATATTTAAGCAATTATGATTTATGAAAAGGGTATCCTACCAAAATTGTGTACATTCATTATTATTAAACAAATCATATCTAATTATATGCATATAATAGTTCCTTGTAACATGAACTTATTATATACATGTTATACTAATATTAATGCCAAAGTAATTGAAGTTATAATTATTAATTGTATCAAATTGAGTAGACTTGCACTTTCGAATTAATGATAAATTGAGTATGAGAGAATCATGCTTTGTAAGAGATTGACCATAAAGCATTTTTGATTTAACATAATTTAATATAAATACACTGTTTAAACTAAATTTCTATAATTTCTTTATTTTAGAATATCAAATATCTTCAAATACTTATCATTCTCCTTCTCTACATTTAATGTCTAATTAATCCTTATATACTATTTAAATTAATTAATTCTATCCAATCAATTACAATTAATCATTCCTCAATATTATATATATAATCCTTAATAATAATATACATTCATTAATTATTCATATTTATGAGTATAAGAATTCATTGTTATAAATAACATTTTAATAACTCCCTTTTATTGAATTTCATTTAAATAGTGACTTTTTGGTACATTATTTTTTAGAACTTTCATTTTTGTCTTTTATTCTAATTAATTAACTTTGTTACATGACTCTTTTCAATTGATAAAAATATATAAAACAATATAACAATATTTACTTAATGCATATTTGTAAAATAATAAAATATGATCAAATAATATAAATATAAATCTGAAGTATTAATAGGCTTTAAATTAGTATTCCTAATAAGATGTAAAATTTACTTTTAAATCCTATATATTTATTAACAAAACGAATATGAAGTAAAACTAATAATTATTGTATTTTAAACTAATTTACTATAATATTTTGATATTAAATATAAGAACTATTATTAATTCATTTAAATAATAAATTTTTGTACTTTTAACTACAATTTGATTTCATAATCTTGATAAATAATTTAAGAAGTTGCAGAAAGAATAATTTATTTGATCATCATTAAAAATGAAAGATTTCAATATTTAGTTCAAAGGATCACAACCAACCTAGTCTGTAAGTATAAAATTTTTATAAGCTGTATTGATACTACAAATAAAATACAAGACAAGTATTTTATAGTAAATATATTATAATAAAATGAATTAAATTTCATGAATGTATTTTACGTTACTTTTTTATTTATATATTATATACATGTAATATATTCATAATTCTTAATAACACTCCCTAAATGAGAGATATAATATAATGTAAGTTAAAAGTATGTGATTAGGTGTTATTTCAATAAAATAGCAAATCAAACTGATTAGTGATTAAGTCTGAGAAATTGAAGATTAATGTTTACATTAATAATAATAATAACCAAATTCTTTCAAGGCATCTCTATCAATTAAATCATGAAATAATACTTTAGTTTTAGAATAAAATTCATATACATATTCATTACAAAGAAATAAGATGGATAGCATGTAATTAATAAAAAAAAGAACATTTCAAGACTTAAAATCAATGTAGATAGTGTTTACATGATGTAATGACTATCTATATTGATAATTTCATTAATCTTAATGATTATATTTATTTAAACATAATTCTTTCTATTAAGTAAAATCAAAGGAAAAAAGTGAGAATTAACATTACCTACCTGTATGTTTATTGATAATAAACAATAATCTATTTATTATGTTAGAGAAATAAGTAGATTGTGAATATATATTGTATTAGATATTGAATAATACTCTAAATATAATTTTATGATATGAGACCTCAATACTTGAGTAGAGAATTCTTAACTATAGTCTTATTAGCCACATGACAACTCTTCTACTGGATTTTAGAATTATAAATATAGCATACAGAGTCTTTTCTCAAAAAGTTATTACTAAAGTCGTTATTAAAATCAATATACCCTAAAATCCTAAACATCTTCAAAAAGTCCTCTTGATGAGTATATCTAGTGATGTGGGCTATATTCCTTAGTTTGTTTCTCAATCGGTTCATTAATTTCAGAAACTCTTGTGCTCTTATTTCTCCCAAAATCTAGTAAATTAGATTTCTTTATCTACATGCAAAAGATACAATTGCTTTTGCATAATTTTTTTAGATATTGGTAGATTTCACCAAATAATTAGGCTTTTGTGATTTTTTTAAGAGATTATTCTTTTTTAACTTTGTCTGAACATGTATCTCTTTAATTTCTTCATGATTGCTTGTTGAGTCAAGTTTGCTTTCGGTTTCCGAATAGGTTTTGTACTATACAACTTCTATAGAATGATTAGGTTCAATAGATGATTTATTTTCTTAAATTTAAGTCTAAGTATAGTAATGCTGTTAATTTTGAACAGGGAATGATTATGGCAAAATCAAATATTGATATCCATAGGGATAAATAAGTTGATGGGGTACAAAAAAAGCATTAAAATTTGTATTAAGCATATTATTATTATATAATTTATAAAAACAATGTAAAACTAAATATTGTCGATAATAAATCAGTTTATTCACTTTAATGAAATATAAATATCAAATAATTTATTAAATGGAATTATATGTTGAAAGATTAGAAAGTTAATATGATAGATTCATTTATTAATGAAACAAATAATTATATAAAATTATACTAAATCAAAAATGGATGTAAAGTTTTGTATATTATTATGATTAATTTGTCCCTTAAATTAATCATAATTTTTAATGTTTTCATGTATAGTTTAATATTGATAGAATGGACAATAGTCAATAAAGGTTTTTTTGATATTTTTTAGTTTAAATAATTATGAAGAGATATGAATAAAAAATATAAATAATTAATTATTTATTTAAGAGATTAATATGATGGTAGTAAAAATTAATTATTCAATTGTATTATTAATATCTTAATAGTTATTATTCTTTTTCTTATAAATTCCTTGACATGACTAATAATAGATTTTATAAGTCTCTTATTTATGGATTGTCTTTCAAATTTCTTTTATAATTTTCTAATTCTCTATGTAATCTATCAATTTCTAAATCCTTTAATTCTAAATATTCCATAGCTTCCTTTAATTCATCTTCTTTATTGTTATTTTATTGCATGTGTAATTTAATTTCATCAATTTAATTAAGAACTTCAATTAATTGTTAATCTTTGGCTTATAATTCAATAGTTAATTCTTTTAATTTCTTCTGTGTTTACAATAATTACTATTTAAGTTATGAGTTATTATAAGTCAATTCTTGAATTTCAAGAGTTAAAGTTTCATAACATTTAGTAGGTCTTTTTTAAGATCCACTATTTTTTCTGTTAAGCTTCTATAATTCTGTTTCATATGTTCTATTCATATTTTAACACATCTATAAATTGATATCTTTACTTTTTAATTAATCATTAAGACTAGATAATTCACCTCTTTTTTATGTCAATTCTTTTTAACATTTCTGTAATTATTTTTAATATTCTTTAACTTGTTAATCCTTCTTTATCAATAATGTTTCAGCCTCTGTTGATGTTTCTGTCAAAATTTGTATTTTATTTTTTAAAGTAGCCAATTCTATCATAACATCTTATTTAAAAGATGATTCATCAAGTTTCTTAAGACCTTCAAACTTCTTTTCTAATTAAGCATAACGTTGTCTTTCTTAAAAATACATCTTTTCATATTGATCATAATCAGTTTAAATATTAATAGATTTCATTTCTTTATTGTATTATTAAGTTTCTTTCAATTCAATTGCTAATTGTTTTAATTCATACTTATATCGTTCAATAATCTAATTAAAATATTTAAATACTTTTATTTCTCCTTCTCTCAAATGATTAACTAATGTCATAATTTAATTAAGAATTGTGAGTATCTCTGAAGAGTTACAATCCTCTTCATTCTCTAATATTACAGGTAAATGNTAGTCAATAAAGGTTTTTTTGATATTTTTTAGTTTAAATAATTATGAAGAGATATGAATAAAAAATATAAATAATTAATTATTTATTTAAGAGATTAATATGATGGTAGTAAAAATTAATTATTCAATTGTATTATTAATATCTTAATAGTTATTATTCTTTTTCTTATAAATTCCTTGACATGACTAATAATAGATTTTATAAGTCTCTTATTTATGGATTGTCTTTCAAATTTCTTTTATAATTTTCTAATTCTCTATGTAATCTATCAATTTCTAAATCCTTTAATTCTAAATATTCCATAGCTTCCTTTAATTCATCTTCTTTATTGTTATTTTATTGCATGTGTAATTTAATTTCATCAATTTAATTAAGAACTTCAATTAATTGTTAATCTTTGGCTTATAATTCAATAGTTAATTCTTTTAATTTCTTCTGTGTTTACAATAATTACTATTTAAGTTATGAGTTATTATAAGTCAATTCTTGAATTTCAAGAGTTAAAGTTTCATAACATTTAGTAGGTCTTTTTTAAGATCCACTATTTTTTCTGTTAAGCTTCTATAATTCTGTTTCATATGTTCTATTCATATTTTAACACATCTATAAATTGATATCTTTACTTTTTAATTAATCATTAAGACTAGATAATTCACCTCTTTTTTATGTCAATTCTTTTTAACATTTCTGTAATTATTTTTAATATTCTTTAACTTGTTAATCCTTCTTTATCAATAATGTTTCAGCCTCTGTTGATGTTTCTGTCAAAATTTGTATTTTATTTTTTAAAGTAGCCAATTCTATCATAACATCTTATTTAAAAGATGATTCATCAAGTTTCTTAAGACCTTCAAACTTCTTTTCTAATTAAGCATAACGTTGTCTTTCTTAAAAATACATCTTTTCATATTGATCATAATCAGTTTAAATATTAATAGATTTCATTTCTTTATTGTATTATTAAGTTTCTTTCAATTCAATTGCTAATTGTTTTAATTCATACTTATATCGTTCAATAATCTAATTAAAATATTTAAATACTTTTATTTCTCCTTCTCTCAAATGATTAACTAATGTCATAATTTAATTAAGAATTGTGAGTATCTCTGAAGAGTTACAATCCTCTTCATTCTCTAATATTACAGGTAAATGATTCTAATCTGTTTCATCTGACAATTATTTTACTTCTTCCCAATATTCATTTTGATCTTATTTGAATTCTTCTAAACGTTAAAAGAGAATTTGCAATTATTATTCCATAAATTTATTTATGGCTTAAAATTTTCATAGCAATCTACCAAAAGACTTTGAAGGATTTCTCCATGAAGTCAAATCAGTTGTTTAGGCTAGACAATAAGCATTGAATGAAAGTATACAATAAGAACAGAAGAAGTGTATTGAAGGAAAGAAAGAATAAGACTATTTGAAGTGTTAAACTCAATTAGCAAAGAAATTAGAAAAGAATGAAGCATTATTTTGTATGTCTACATGATTTATCAAAGAGTTCAAGATGATATATTGGAGAGAGACATCAGTATAATGTTTCAAGACATAAGAATAAAAAGGTGCAGGAACTGATTAATGTAAAGCTGATTCTAAGAAATTGTTGGAGACCATCTTTGATTCCTTTAAAATATGAATATATAGATTAATGAGTTTATTAATATTTAGACTTATTGTTTTATTATTTTATACAATAAAAATTATAAAATTAATATAATAATTATCATTAATCATCTTCATCAATTTTAAAATTATTATTAGGATGAGGGGTAGCTTATCTTATTCCATGTGTTTCACTATTGATTTCTCCTTAAAATTTCTCATAATTTTTAATTTATTCTTAAAATTTATTCAATTAAGATTATGTTTTTTTTCTATAGCATGCAAATACAAGTATACTTAAAATGAGAGCTCCTCCTAAAGCTACACAAATTATAACCAAAATATTTTATTAATATGACAGAATATCTTCAAGCACTTTTATGTATAATTTTGTTTGAAATTGACAAACAATTAAATCTTTACTTACAACATCATCCTTATATTAAGTTTTTTAATCACATTCACTTAAAGTAGCTTAAACATCATAAACAAAAGTCTTTTAATAATAAATAAAACAATTACCTAACCAATTAATGTTTCATCATCTGTTTAACAAATAATTTAACCTTCAAAATTTTACCATTGATATAAGACAATTTAATAAGGATCAACTCCATATAAGATATTTTTAGTTGAATTCTTATACCAATTATGAACTGTATCTTCTTGATTTTCAATGTTCAATTCATGAAAACCTAATAAGACTGCATTTGATAACATAAATGGATAATTGTTAAATATTCTCTAAATTTAATGATTATATTATTACAGTGAATATATTAGGTAAAGAATGTCTGATTATATTATGAGTATCTACTCCTTTTAAAATTGCATATTTATCATTAATGTAAACTTCTTCTGCATTAATTTTAAGTTTATGTTAACTCTCTAGAATCCAAATTCCTTTATCAAGATTTATTTCAATATCAACAAAAATAACATGTTTCTATGGACGAATTAATATGCTTAAACTTTAATCATTATCCTAATCAAATGCAATTCCATAGTCAATAGGAATCATAGATAATTTAGAATGTTTATTAAAACCATAATCTTTTGTAATTTGATAAATATGAATTCCATCATTTTTTAATAAATATAATATTTCTCCATTTTCTCCACCCAATGCAATATCAATAATATGTTATTTATCTTCAATAGTCTGTTTATAAATTATTGTCTTGTTGATTACATTAATTTCATAAATTACCAAACCTTTATTAGTTGCCAAATATAATAATCCTAAACTACTTAAAACTTCATTAATTTCCATATAAGTAATGTTTGATGATACAATAATATTTGCATCATCTAAAATTAGAACATTTTTTGTATAGAATAAAATAGTTAAATTAGTTTCAATACTATAGATTCCTGATTAATAAATTTATGTCTAAGACATATATTAGTTTAATGCTATTGTATTTTTAATGTCTAAAGATATTAAATCATATTCTATATAATTATTTTACTCTGTAATAAATCCCATAGTTGTTCTTTTATTGATTGCAGCAACAATCTAATCTGAAAGAGTAGTGTACATCTCCGAATCTTATTTTATTATCTACTTTGATATATTTGTTGTTATTGATATATAATCATGACTCACTCCACATAAACTTGTTTTATTATCTGTACTTATTGAACTTTTTAATATAGATCCCTATGGATATTGAAATAACACTGCTTCCTCATTAATTTCTAAATTATAATGCTTTATTTCCTATGCTAATATTATAAACCATTCAATACTTTGATTTAAGATTATTGCATAGTCACTTAGATTTTTAATATTGTTTCCAAAGACATTCACTATTCCTAATAAGAATATAATCATTTTATATAATTATGAAAAATAATACAATTAATCCAAGTAAGTAGAATCAATGCATTTTTGATCTTCTTCCTGAAGCATCTCCAACATTCTAAACTGAATTCAAGAAATAATAACCTATTAAATAAGAAACTTAAATTATGAATACTTAAGATTAAACAGATAAATATGGTTTTAAATCATAAAAAGAATTAAAATAGAAAAATGATCCAAAGACTTTTAATGCTAGAATACAAAAATGGAGAATTATGATTGATATATTTGATAAATAAGAAAAACCAGATAAAAAATTACTTAAAAATAGAACAAGGAAAGTATTAAACTACTTATTGAAAGGGAATTCCCGATGGGTTCAGAAATTTAGCTTGGCCATATTTAGCTGGAGTACCATAAGCAAAAATAGATTCCATTCTTTATTTAAAATGTGGAAAATATGATGAATTCCTCAAAAGTCAAGAATTTAAATTCGAATAACAAATAAGATTGGATGTTTTACGTACATTTCCTGATAATGTAAATTTTCAAGTATTAATAAATATAATTAAAAGGATTAAACTGTTTTATCAGAATCTCTTGTAAATGTTCTTAAAGCCTTATCTGTAGCAATATCTGATATGGGTTATTGTTAAGGCTTAAACTTTTTAACTGCTGCTCTAATTATGGTGACAAATGATGAAAATGTAAAATATCATTTGAATAATATAACATTAGGCTTTTTGGATATTATTTCGTCTAATGACTAAATATAATTAAGCAGAAAAATATAAAAATCCAAGTTATCTTCTTAGAGAATTCTTTATCTTGGATAGTTTAATAAATCAATATTATCCAACTACTGCCAAAATATTTAAGAAGAATAATATTGATTTATTTTATTTTGCAACTGAATGGTATAATATAAATATATCTATATAATAGGTTTATTACTTTATTTGCATCTACTTTACCAATAGATCTTTTCTATAGGGTCTTTGAAATATTCCTATTAGAAGGTGAAAAAACTCTTTTTAGATGTGCTTTGACAATAATTCATTTTAAAGAATAGAAATTAATTTAATTATAAAATAATTTTGAAAATAGTTTAAGACATTTGAAATCTTTAGATGATTTTTTTACATTAGATAATGATCAATTTATAAATGTCATGTTAAATAAATTTAAATTTTCAAGATAACTAATCTAATAATTAGATGAAAAATATAAAAAATAGAAAAAAAAATGATAATAAAAATTAATTAATAATTAATACTTAAATATATATGTTAAATATACTAAATTACTCATTATTTTTTAAAAATATTTAATTTACCCCAGAATCCACCTTTTTTTGGTTCTTCTAATGTTGGATATATTAAGTATGAATGTGCCTATTTTAATTAAATAATATAATTACAATATCTAATTATATTGGTTTAGGTGCAATTGGTTACATTAATGAAATTAAATCAGCTGGTTTATAAGATAAAACATTATCTATAGTAATTTATTCAGGAGAATCTAATAATTCAAATAAAGTCTTCTAATTAGATTTATCTTCTAATCCAATATTTTGAATTTCTTATCCAATAGTTTTTACTTAATCTTATTAAAGTTTTAATCCATTTAATTTACTCTTATTTTATATTTAAGTTGACAATGGAACAAGTAATTTCAATAAAGCATGAGGTTCTAATTTATTTTCTATATATTTTCTATCAGCTATTCTTGATAAATCATCATGATATTTCAATAAACTATAAGCTTCTCTATACTTTTCATTAGTAAAATAAAGACATCCAACAAAGAAACAACGAAGAGCTTTACAAAAGAATTCTTTAGCATCTAAAATTTTGAATAATGTAATATCTTTATTAAAACGTTCTTCATCCATTATTTATCTTAAAATTTAGGAATAATTATCACAATATTTAATAATTTCTTATGGAGTAGTTAATTTTAATTTAAGTGCCTTTTTAGTTTATAGATTTTAAAGATTATTGACTCCATCTTCTTTAATGAATTTTTCAGTATATTATTTAATATGCATTTCATTTCTATCAAGAGTTGCAGATTATCTTTAATAATTGATATACCCTAAAACTTTAGTATGTATTTCCTTTTCTTATTCAGATGTTGATTAATCTTTATCTAGCTTAACATATTTTGATGCTTCATCATAAAATGAGAATAAAGTAGTAAATGAATCCAAATCACCTATTAATTTACTTTCTTGAATTTTAAGAATCAATTTAATCACCTTTTCATTTTTGATGGGTAATTTAGAATCTTAATATTCTATTTCAAAAACACCTTATTGTTAAGTCATTTTAGCTTATCTCTATTCTTCAAGCATTTCTTGAAATTTAGCAATCATAATAGGATCACTTTGATCTTTTAACATCTTTGTTAATTCATCAGCAGATAATGTAGCCAATTTCTTTGCTTTAGCATTACAATATCTAATTTATTGATTTAATTATTCTAATCTTTCTTAATATACACCAGAACTAAATTAATCACATACTTTTATTATTTATTCATAAATAGTATAACATTTAGCAAATGATTCTAATGCTTTTTCCCATTTTTCAGTTTCAAAGTGATACAATCCTTATAAATACCATGTATATGCTTCTGATTCTAATGATGTTCTCTTTTCTGTTCTTTATTCACAAATAGTAGTTAATTATTTAGAATATTAAATAGCTCTTTTAAATTTCTTAACTAAATAAACTTTCACTTATCTTTTATTAATTTTCTTATTGACTCCACTATTAATCAATTATTTTAAAGTCATAGCATGTGCCCAATTCTTTTCTGCTTAATATAATAATACTTATAAAACACGTGGATCATTCTAATTTCAATATTTAGAATATACCTTAACCACATCTTAAATTACTTTCTTTTAATATCTCTTTCCATGAGTAAATTACATTTGACGTCTTAATTTGTTTATTTTATTATAACAATATGTCCTGTATCTTTAATAATCTCCATGTTATAGTCCATAATTTCTTTATGTTTCTCTAATTCTTTAGAAAACTTATTAATATAATATCAATTAATACCAAACAAAGAACCCAAATTTATTAATTATTCTTACTAATGTTCCTCTTCCATTTATTACATATTTATTTAAATAATTATATAAAATATGAAATAATTTAAATTCAACTACTCACTTAATAAATTTCATCTACTTTTTACACATTCATTTTATTGTACTATATCTACCTATAAAATCAATAATTATGAATACATTCTTCATTCTTAATTTTTCAGTCTGTATTTATCCCTCATTATAAAATCTTTTTTAATAGTTTGTTTAAGATCTAAAATCAAAAAGTATAATTTAATTTATAAACTTTCATTAACAAGTTCTTCTTGCTTTATATCAAGTATATTTATCTTTTCTTTAAAATAAGTACTGGAAATATAATTAGTAAATGCTTATTGTTGAAGTTACTTTATAATCATTTAAAATATATCAGTATTCTCTAAGTTTTTTTAAATCATAATTGTTTTCCTCAATAGGATAACTCTCAAATCGTTGTTAAACTATCCTATTATAATTTGAATAAAGTAAGTGTATTAAATATCAATATTAAAAATAATAATCAACTTAATTCTACTTTCCAAGGTTTAACAAAGAATTATTAGATTCTCTTATACTGGAGAAATAATAAAATAGTAATAATCACAATGAAGCAGACACTTCCATAAAAACATCCCTTCACCCATGGTTCTGTGTTTAAGTATGAATGCTCTGCAAATAATATTACTTCTTTAACAGCCTATAAATATTAGATATTAGAAATACAATTGTAATTCCTTCATCTGTAAAACAATTATATTTTTGATATTCATGAAATACTCTGTTCTAACCATCAATTCCTTTTAAACCATCTGTTTATGTGTAATAAATTATACCCAAAGCAATATTACTCATGCATATAATTAAAGATATAGTCAATTAATATTCAATATGTTAAAATTTAGTAAAATCTACACTTATGAAAGTCACATCTTTAAGTAAATAAAATAATAATGAAGTTATTAATAATAAAGTTGTTAATATTAAAGATATTTTACTTACATAATGACTATATGCAATGATAGTCTCTCCTTACAATCTAATTGTTTTAATAGTATTTGGATCAACAATATTACATTCTGGATTTGTTGAATTAATAGTTATTCTACTCATTAATTATAAGGTGTAAGTGTCAATACTATCAATATAATCCAAAAAGTATGGAGTGCTTTAAAAGTTTGTGAAATCATTATCATCATATACATTTAATTAATAATCTTAATCAATTATTTTTGAATATTTAAATGTATTTCCGTATTTGTCACATCCTTTTTCAGGAACAATTGCTAAAGGATAATATTTACCACTCTAAAACTTAGGTTATAAATTAGAATTTAAACACATTGAATTAGAATGAATACCAGGAACAATATGAAAATTAATTAAAGGAGTTGAACCGTTTCGATACTTATTGAAATATTTTGACCCAATTTTTATCTATTTTTCAGTTTATGTCTCTGTTTCAATTAAATCTGTTATTGGACATTTTGGAGTTGATAATGATATGCATATTCCATCTCCACATTTATAATAATCAGATGGACAATCTTAATTACCTACCCATTTCCATTTTTGTGCAAATTCTACACATAACATTTCTCCTTTCCAATATTAAAATTATTATCTTTTATAATAAGGAACACTTTGACAATCAGATTTAAAATGAGTAAAACAATAAGAGCTCTCTTTTAATTCTCCATTTTAACAAATACAACCTATGTAATTATAATTTTATACCTGAATTAATTCCTTCCCATGACCCTATATTAGTAATTTCAAATCCATATGGACAACTCTAATAATGTCGATGGAGTCTATTAATTTAGATAGTATTTTAAATATCGAGGATTGGGGATGAAGCTAGGTTTTATTAGAGAGTTTTCAAGGTGGCAGAAGCACTGATTGGATATTTTTGAGGTTGTTATTAATGGTGTAGTTGAATCATAAGAATAAGGATGAAAGTGGCATAGATTAAAGGTATAAGAAATATAGGAAGTGAGAATGGACTGGATTTTTCATTCAGTATATCTGTTGGTTAATCTTCATAATAGGTTGAGTCATGATTTACTTTAGAGACTGTCAACAGAAGGGTTGTGACTTTGTTCTTACCATTCACGTTTTTGAAGTTGTAAGGATCTGCGAATTGACAATTTCATCTTTTATTAATTTGTTATGTAAAAACTTAATCATTTTTTTAGAGAAGTATTGAATAAGAATAATTATCAATTATAAATATTTGAATTATTTATAGTCATATGGTTATTTGTTATTATTGTAATAGGAAATGTGTCATACCATGAGGGAAAAAGTAGAGTTAAGTTTGAATGATGTAAATAAGAAATTGTTTAACGTTATATATATAATTAATAAATTAAATGTAGAAGACACATTTTAAGAATCTCAAAGACCTACTTCAAAATAAGTACTCCTACTAAGAAGCAAAAACAAATTCTCGTACTTCTTCAATAGCTGAAGTCTTATAGAATCTCAAGAAAAATAAAGATTCAACTCCAGTCTCCAGTATGAAGGAGGAAATCATCAATTGTACTTAAGCTATAGGTTTTGGAATCTAGGCTCCTAGTTCTAAATCAAAATCTAAGGAGAAATAAGCATTACCTAAGAGTATAGAGAAGTAATAATATAATTTTTGATTTTAGAAAACCGATATTAAGTAATTTAGCTCCATAATCAAAGGGTAATAGTCGAAACAATAGTTCTTAAAGTAGAAATACTTCGGCTCATTCAATTATTAATGAAAAGTAAGTTGAATAAATATGTTAGCACAAATCGATCGATTGCAAGAGATCCAAAAATACCAAAAGGATTTTAAACAGGGAGAAGAGAAAGATAAGAAATGAATTCAATTTTGGATTAATAAAAAATAAAAATACTTAATTAATCACAGGATCAATAAAAACAAAATCTTAATAACAGCAATGTAAGTAAATAAGGAACCATAGATCTAGTTAACTTATTAAAGCAATAACAAAATCAAAAAAAATAATAAACTAATGAGACAATAAATGAAAGTAAAACTTTTGGAGAAGAGTTTTGTGGATTAAATAAAGCACATTTCATATATAATTATGTAATTGGAAAAGGAGGATTTGGAAAAGTATGGAAAGTAGAATTAAAGAAAAACAGATAGATGTTTGCTATGAAAGAAATGATGAAATCTAAAATAATTACTAAAAGAAGTATAAACTCTGTGATGAATGAAAAAGAACTATTATCATCATTGAGACATCCATTCTTAGTCAATATGTGTTATGCTTTTTAAGATAGAGATAATCTATATTTAATAATGGATTTATTAACAGGAGGAGATTTAAGATTCCATATTGGTAAAATGAAGAGATTTAAAGAACATTAAACAAGTATTGATATAATTAATTTAGAATTTTTTATTGCATGCATTGTAAGTGGATTAGAATATCTACATAATAATAACATTGTTCATAGAGACATTAAACCAGAAAATATAGTATTAGATAAACGAGTAATTATTAAATATTAATTAAGGGTTATGCTAGAATAACAGATCTAGGTATTGCTAGAAAGATAAGACCAGATAATTCTTAAGATACAAGTGGTACTCCTGGATATATGGGTAAATATTATTAGTAAATCCATTTAGCACCTGAAGTTATGTGTAGATAAAATCATGGAATTGCAGTTGATTATTTTGCTTTAGGAGTTATTGCTTATGAATTTATGATTGGAAAAGTAATCTTTTATTTTTAATTATTTAAAAGAGACCATATAATGGAAAGTCAAGAAAGGAAATTAGAGATTAGATACTAGCTAAATAAGCATCTATTAAAAAAGAAGATTTACCAAATGGTTGGTCTATTGAAGCAATGGATTTTGTAAATAAAGTATAATTTAATTTAAATTCTTAGTTATTACAAAGAAAACCATAAAATAGATTAGGATTTAATGGTCCTTCTGAAGTCAAGAACCATCCTTGGTTAAAAGGTGTACCATGGGAAAAATTGTATAATAAGACAATTGAAGCTCCTTATGTTCCTATTGTAATTGTTATTATAAATAATAGAATGTTGAGGATATGTATAGATAATAAATATCTGATGATGGAGAAGAATCTTAAGATGAATTGATAAAGGAAAATTAATTATTACTTAGGAAAAATAGTGTTTAAAGTATAAAGAATTAAATAATAAATTAGATTTATTTGCTGGTTATGGATATGATTGCAATTAAGATCCTACTTATAAAGGAACTAGAAGTACAGCTTCAACACATAATACAAGTCAATAAAATGAGACAATCAAATTTTGAAACAATTAATTCATAATATATATAATTATACATTCACAATAATAAAAATAATAATAAGAACTAAGAATTCAATAAAAGCATAATATGTCATCCTTTTTTAATAGTTATTTATAATTATATTTTGATTTTTATTTTCCTTATTTTCTATCATATCAAAATAAGTATCTTAATGTTCTATTTAAATAATTAGAATTTGATCAATTTTTATTCATTTTTTATCTCTAATGTTAGATTTAATCTATTTCTTCTTAGTTTTATCATTTTTAAATTATGTGGTCACATGGTTCAATAATCTTTAAATTCATTTTTTAATTATGAATAATTTTAAATATTTTAATGCTTATTAGAAGAATAATTCAAATAACATAATATGTATCTTATTTTCTATTTCATTTCTTCATTAGTTCAATCTACTTTAAAACTTCCATTAAATATTTCATATATACAATCACAAATCATAAATTAGTCTTTAGATGAATTTAAGTTACTGAGTAAATTTCTTATTCCATTTTTAATAATATTTAGATTGCTCTTCAGTCTTTTTACTATTGACAAAATTTTTTAATTATTGAAGCAGTTGGATAAATGATAAATCTATAAAAAATTGAAGAAAAACTAATAATCCAGAATAACGTCTGTTTAAAAAAATTAAGAAACATAAATTATTTTTGCTATTTTTACTGTAATTAAATAAATTTCAAATATAAAAACATTTGATTATCATTATTAGAATCAATTTCTAAAATTATGAAAAATAATATTGTTTTATTCATCAAAAAATATTATTTGAATATTCAATTATACCCTTTTTAAGAAAGACTCTTAAAAGAATTGAAAATTATATTTTAGATAGCTTTTAGTTGAAAAAACAAACATGCAGTTCTGTTATATACTAAGATTAAAGGAATTTTAAATTTTCTAAAGTTTAATGTTATTATAATAGTTTGTGTAAATTAGAAAAATTGAAAATATAGCAATAATCAATTATTGTTAATTAATAGTTTATTAGTAATCTTAGAGTTATAATTTAACTTTATAATTTTTTTGGGTACTTCATACAAATAATCAAAAGAAATGTTATTGTTCAATAAAGATGAATAAAGAACACTCATTTAATTAAATATTAAATCAATCACACCATTAAATTCTTTTACCATTTATCCATTATCCCTTCCTCTTTCCTTATTAACTATTAGTATACTCTCCGATACCATGTTATTTGCCCAATTCCCATTATCCAGAATATTATCGAGAATCAGCTAACTAAATTTCTAATACGATTACGCCATATTAATGTTCCAAACCCATTTTTTTTATCATTCTTATATTCTCCTTCATAAATGGTACCATCAGCCCATGTCATCTTACCCTTTCCATCCATTTAATCATTTAACCATTCACCTACATATTTTCTGCCATCATGCCAAATATATGTACTATAATATATATAAAGTTACAAAATACCCTTATCCATTAAATTAATTATTTTTAAACAAACCTTCATAAACAGAACTATCAGGAAATTTAAAAACACCAAATCCTTCATGCTTACCTAATTTAAATTAACCTGTATATCTAGATTAATCAGAGAACAATTCAAAACCCTATCCATTTTATAAATTTTCAAACCAATCCCCTTTGTACATGGCACCATCACTATGATAATACTCACCATATCCATGATGTTGATCATCAGACCATTCTCCTATATAATAATCTCCATCAGCGTATATTATTCTTCCCTTTCCATTAGCCATTCCTCTAGAAAATTAACCTTCATAAATTGATCCATTTTTCATGATTTAAACTCCTTTTTATTAAATAACTGTATTTTACCTTTCCCTTATTTTTTACCTTCTAACCATCCTCCTTAATATAAACTCCCATTATTTAATTCATACACTCCGTAAAAATAAGTTTCTAATTCTTCTACTTCATATGGGCCCAATCTATCTTATAAATCCTTCATAAAAAATATATTGTACTTTGACTTTTAATGAGGATGTCTAGAACAATTAAGATGTCAATCGAGCTTCCTTAATATCTGGTCGATGAATTTCTAAAATCAAAGAATCTTCCATTTATCTAGTTTTTGTTTATGATAAATTCTCCTCTAAATCTCCTTGTATCAAAGGTTCATCTGGAAGAGCTGCTATATCTCTAATGGTTTCAATTTTGCTTGTAAATGTCAGTGGAGGTGCTTCACTTAGAATTGTTATTTATTCAGAACATACACATTGTCCCATTATTGATTTATTTTATAAGAATATAACAATTAATTTTTCATTATTTTCTTCTCAAATTGGCGTTTGTCTTAACTTCTTATTCCATAAAATGTAAAATTCTTAATTCTAAGTTCTAGTTCTTTTTTACTTATTAATCTAATGCTTATTTAATATTCTATAATTCATCTATTTTTACTTAATAATCCTTCTCCTTTCTTTGAATAATTTAATCTATTTTAAAAAATAAAAATAATACTTAATTGATTCATTTTCCATTGCAACTCCTATATTTCTAAAGAATTATTATTATAATTATTAATATGTTCTAATTGTCTTTTATAATTGTCCATTTCTAATTAATTTTAGCTCATCTATGATTCTAATTATCTAAATATTTTAAATAGATTACCTTGATTTTGATTCATAATGTAATAACATTTATTCATAGTCTTTTATTTTATCATTTAAATTCTAAATTTAAGTTTCAAATAATGCCTTTTCTGCATTTGATAACATATTATGACTATCTTCTTAAATTTGTCTTTATTCTAACCTATCTCTCATTTCAGATATCTCCTGCCATAATAATTAGTATCTTGAATTTGTTTGTGATAATTCATTTTATTATGATTAAACCTATTAAAGATAAGTATTCTAATTATTAAATAAGAATATACTTCTGATTAATCTTTTTGTATTGATAATATACTAATTTATTCCTTTAATTAAGATACAGTGTTATTGAGAGAATTAATGGTCTAATAATTTTGATTTTTCTCTTACCTAATTTATTTTATATCTGTTTCTAATTAGTTAATATATATTATATATTCAGCCTTTTGAGATTAGTCTTGTAATTGTTTCTCAAGACTTTATATTTTTTGATTTAGAAGGTCATTCTCTTATTGAAGTGAATCTTTCTAATTCAAGAAGCTTTCTGATTTTATTTCCAAAGAAGCTATAGTTTCCTTCAATTATTAAAATGTTTAATGATCTAACTAAGTATGTTATAATTATTATCTGAGATTGTCATTGCTTATTTAAAGTGTCAATAATTTAATTTCTGATTATTCTAATTTATAACTAAGTTCTCTTTAAGTATAATTATTTTTTGTATTTGATGAATTTGGATAAGTGTTGATATGTATATTATGGTTAATATTTGGATTCATGTTCTCTTTATTTAATCTATTTTATGAAGACATCAACAAATCTTAATATCTTCTGTCTGATTCTGATATTTGTTATATTAGTTATTTATTCTCTTCTCGTTAATAATTAATTTAATGATTCAATTTTGAATTATCATTAACTAATACAGTTATTTTTTATTGCAATTATTCCATTATTAATTTCAACTTATCATATTCAGAATTGCTTTGTAATGAATTTAATTTATGTTTAACCTGAGTATTTTCATCAACTAATGAAATAGACAATTAAGCAGATGATTTTATTACTTAAATGACTTGATCAAATTGACTTTAAATAACTTTATCAAATGATTTCTTAAGATCTTCTAACTAACAAATAGCAAATCTTAATTAATCCTTTAAAATTTCAAAATTATTTATTTTCATTCCTTTTGGTATTGTGTTACCTTTTTTATCAAAATTACTTTCTTGTGTATAATTCAAGGTTGTATTAAAACTAGTAGAATCTAATAATTTATTAGGTTGGGTTTTATTTGGCATTAAGGTAGCAGTAGATCCAGATTTTCCTCTTACTTAATAGAATGAACTCCTTTAACTTTGATTGACTGTTAAATCCTTTATAGGTGATAGTTGATCTATTATGCTCCTTTGATATCAATAATGTTATATTACATTCTCAATTTCTAACAACTCATATAATTGGGATTGTTATGTAATTTCTGAGGTGGTGTAACACTAGATTAGCGTACTTAATATATTGTAGCGGGTTTTTGAGTGAGTTACATACTCATTTTGCTGTTATAAATATTTGAATTATTAAATTTATATTTTTTTTATGAAAATGAAAACAAGATCAAGCTTGGTTGGCAAGTCTTTGGTTTCTTTCGTGGTTTTCATCTTCAACTTGATTGAATCTGGCTTCAACCATCTCTTCTAATTGAGCAACTAATTAGATTTCATTTCTTCTGGCTTAAGTGGCATAATTGTATTCATTGGCGAAAGTTGAGCATAAGGCTTAGGCTTAATCCCAAAGTTATTGGTTTCTTTAGAGTTTTCCTGAGGCAGTTTATGCAATAGCTGATTGAGTTCCGATTTATTAGTTCAATGAATCAAGTTTATTTTAAAGTCTTTCGTTTTAGGCTTCAAGTCTAGCAAGGGTTTATCCAATTCTATCCTTTTAGTCATTGAAAGCAGCAACTGAAACAGCGTTTGATTCAGTGAAATCATTGTATGCTTCTTGGATGTTACCTCTCAAGGTTTCCAAAAGTTAAGCAACTCTTTCAAGAGCTGATTCATCGAGTTATCCTTCTTAGGCAGCCAATTAAGAAAAGGCATAAAAGACTGGGGCAAACTTGGCAGTTTCCTTGATGTTGAAGGCTGTTTAGAGCATGCTCTTTGAAACTCTGCTGATTTCAGCAAATGATCCTGATCCACTGTAGATGGTAGCTAAGATATCGGATGCTTCATCAATAGCATGGAGAGCATCTTCATAATCTCTTCCTCTTCTCTTGAAGTATCCAGCTTCAGTTTCTGCAGCACTCAAAACACTGTTTAAGTGTTCTTAAGCTGAGAAGTATTATTATTAGTTAACTTCTTATTAGTTGGTGGCTCTGATTTTTGAGGTTTAAGCAACATTTAAGGCAGCAGTTGAATCTCTGAGGACATTGCTGGCATCAGTGACTTCAGCTCTTCTGAAAGCATCTTCAGATTCACATTCTGTGACTTAGATATTGTAAATTTCATCATGATTAACTTATTCTGTGTTAACAGCATCTCTGAAATCTCTCAATACGTTCAAAATAGCATCAAGTGGTGATTTGTTCTTTAATTTGGCTTCAACTTCAGCCATAACTGCTGTCATTGATCTCTTCTTGGAGTAATCCAAGTTGAATTTTGTTGTAGCGCTGGCAACGGCTAAAATGACCAATAAGCACAAAGCAAGTCTCATTGTAATAATAATATTTTTTCTTATTTTTTCCGACACTTTTAACGTGAAATGTCAAAAACGGATTATTTAATTAAAAAACAACTAACTATAAACATTTATCATTTTATTCTCTCATCAGACACTTGACCAACTCTCTTTTGTCCAAGCTCCAATATCAAATTGTTTATCAATTTTCTAAGGTTATACACTCTTATTTCTTGTTCTTAAATTAATATTGCGTAATTCATTGTTAACATTCTGTTTACACATTATAGAACAATTTCTAATCTTCATAAATGTTATTTCATTTTTATTTTCTCTTAAATTTTTAATCCCACATTTATTTCCACAATCGATTATCATTCTTTTTAATTTCCGATCATACCCTTAGTTGGTCCTTTTTACCATATCTTACATTTTTAATTTATTCAATTATCTATTTTGACAGAAAAAGGAACTGATATCACAATCATCAGAAAATAAATTAAGAATTGGATTTTGTTTAAACATTTAAATATGGTAAAATATTTATTAATCATATTATTTAATAATATTATATAACACGAATAAAAAATCATTTAACAAACATTAATCCAACAATTAAAATTAAAATACATATTATTACAATCCTATAACCTATTTTAGTCTTTAAGGATTATTAAGCTTTAACTAATTCTTATGATGCTTTTTAAGTTTTGTTTTCTGCATAAGTATAATTGTCTTCAATTGTGAACATTTGATCAACTTATTAGGTAGCTACCTCATGTATTTTTTCATAGATGCTTTTGACTGTTTCCATACTCTTATGTACATTTTATAATCTCTGTTTTCTTTATGTTACATTATCTTCAAATAATTATACTTCAACTTAATGATTATCATGCAATAAACTAGTATCTTCATCTACATTATTATATTCCATTTCTTGTAATCTCTTATTTTATTGTGAATAATATTTCATTAATTTCATAATCTAATTCTCATCACCTTTTTTTATGCGTTTTTATATTTCTTTTTTAATATTTTCTGACATCTATTTGCATTTAATTAAATATTCAGATCGATGATTTCCTTCTACTTCTTCATCTAGGATATTTCGAAATTTTTCAATATCATTTTTTAATTTATCATCTTCATCTTAATTATCTTAATACATTTAATATATAAATCATAATAAATAATATTCTTTTATCTTAAAATTAAAATATTAACACGTATTAGATAATTCGACTAATATTTATTTATTTTATTCAACTCTATAACAAAATTAAGATGTCATTCAATATTTTTTTCACTTTTTATTATTTTTCAATTTCAAATTTTTCTAATTGTTATTTCACATTAAGAAATTTAATAATTAAATTGATAGTTCGAACTATTAAATTCACTCCTTGTAAAATTACTTTGAAAATATTACTTTTTTCTATTAAATTTTAATTTTTTAACTTCTTCTATTTTTTTTTTTTATTTTTATGTTAAAGTTTCATTATTAATCTATGTCAACTTATGGTATTTTTTTTTCTTTTGTTCTATTAGAACTATCTAAATATATATATATAAGGTTCTAATTATTTGCAATTTTTAGTTCCGTTTCATTAAATTTATTTAATCGCTATCTAAAATTAACTAAACTTTAAGACTTTCTTTGAAACCCATAATCCAAGCTGTTATTTTACTTTCTTAAAAAAACTCATATACTGCAAACCATTATTGAACTAAATCTAAATGATTAGGCTTTGCTAATAGTTATTTATTTTTATTAAAATTTATCTGGAATCTACTGGTGCATATCGGTTTTTTTGTTAATGCTGATTTGATGTGAGTTATTTTTTCTATGAAAGAAATTTTTCTAGTTTTCCAATTTAAATACTTCTTCTTCCAGTTACTTATTAATTCATTTAATTAAATTTCTTCTATTTCAATCTCTAGCTTTTCCAATTTTTTGTATAATCTGTTAATTCTTATGGGAATATCAATCTTAAAATTTTTATTTTGCTTTTTGCATTTTTTTTCATATTTTACCAAATCTTTTTACCTAAAATTTAATTTAAATATCATCTTAACATCTATCAAGACATTTTGAAGTCTTAAGCCTGTAAATAAATTATTCTTTAAATATATTTTACATAAAAAAATTAATTATAACATAAATTGCACTATATACATTGATTTATGTTATAAAGCACTTATAAGTATTTGATACAATAATCTTATTCATTTTAAGGAAACAAAATCATTAAATATAATATTAATTTATAGATTACTTTTTAATAAACAACCTGAAAATAAAATATATATGAAAATCATAAATTTTATTCTCTCATTTAGGTTTCTATTACTTTAATTTAATTTTACACTCTATATATTTATAATATAGGATTGAAATTGGTAACTTGTCTTGAAATTAGAATTTAATTTTTTTAAATAAATTTTATCTATTTAATAAAAAAATAAATAGAAATACAAAAAATTATTCTTCTGCTTCAAAATGGCAACAATTTTTTTTTTAATAGATAATGCTAATTGCAGTGAGTATTGATAATATTAGACATATGCCAGTAATGTATTGATGTCTGTCAATAAAATAATTAGAATACGATAAATTATTCCATTTAATTAATAAATAAAAATTAAATTATTATAATAGAATCAACAACATCCTCTCTTTTTTTAAGTTGTTATTATTTACTTATTAAATTAATTAAAATTATTATGTTAATTACTGCTTATTGTTGATAAATATTCTTTATTAGACTACTTCACATACTCATTATCTATAATATTGGTTATATATTTTTAGATTTGAGGTACCTAATTAAAATCATAATTTATCATAACTAAAAATAAAATTTCATTAACAGCACTAAAATAATTAGATAAATTAATACCTCAAATCTGCAATTGAAATGGTTTTATGATTATAGATGTATTTATATTTTCCTTCATTTAGAAAGATTTTAACAAAAAATTATAACAATTTATCTATATTTAGTTATTTTTCTTTTAATTCTTGTTCATTCAAAATCTTTTATGAATTCAGAACATAATCTGTGATTTATTTCATTTCATTCAGATGAAAATCAAGATAATTATCAATTAATGCCTTAAGTCTTAAATTCTCTTAAGGATAAAAGTCAAATAGCCTATATTATTCGCAAATGTATTTTAAAATAGCATGACTTTCAAAAAGTGTAAAGGTGCCTTATTTAATTGAGGGAACTGTTTGATTGGGATTAATTTTAGTATATTAATCAGATTTGTTTTCGGATTTCAGAATGTCTATAACTTTTTCATCAAAATCAATTTAAGCCAATAATAATAATGATCTTACAGCTCTTGATGGTGATGAAAGTGGATGAAAATATAGAGTAATTTGTTCTTATTTAAGTTATTTAGTCAATATTGATTAAATGAACTGATTTTTATATTTTTATTTCTATATTAAATTAAAATAATCCTTATGTGATTGATATAAATCTGTAATTTTAAACATTCTCCAAATATATTGTTCTAATACGGGAAACTTCTCAAAATCAAAATTGCAAATAAATAATGAAGTCAAATCACAGACTGCTCTTCAAAATTATAAAATTGATTACCTAATATCTGCAAGAGTAAAGTTGGGTTAATCAAAAACATAATTATATTGTCCATTGTTTAAGAATGTTTTGATAAAAAAATGCATAACTTCTTCTACATCTACTAATCTTGAAACTCTATTTTCAGGAACTTTGTTTCCTATCAATAATGGTTACAAATAACATTCTTTAGAGTAATCTAAAAGTTTAGTAAATTCATTTTAATGCCAATCTAAATACGAATCTATTAAAGCTCTTTGTTATAATGTCTTATAATAATAATATTTTTTACATTAGGATATAATTTGAAATCGGGTTTATTTATACAAATGTATTTCATTATAGCATGGCTTTCAAATAAACTGAAAAATCCTTCAGTAATTGCAGGGACGGTTTGATTAGGATTGATATTAGTAAAAGCCTGCTTGAGATTTTCTCCCTTTAAAACATCTATAATTTTTTCATTGAAGTCAGACTTAGTTAACAATAAGACTGTCTTAACAGATAAACATCTATGAGAATAAGGATTAAAATAAAGTGTTATAGACATTGATTATTAAATTAAATATTATATAGTTCTTAAACAATGAACTTAAATAGTTAAAAATATATAATATATTAATAATGAAATATTAATCATTGAGTAATGATATTAGGAGAGTAAAGCTAATTGAAAAGAATAAGGAAGATTAGTTGAATAAGCTAATAAACAATATTGGATAAGAAATCTAATAAAAGTAACCATTTTCATTATATAATTAGCATAGATGATCCGTATAAATATTTAATCAAAAGAAATTATTCAATTGAAGATAGAACTATAAAAAAAAGAGACAATGTTTAATAACGCAGACCATAAGGGAGTATGTCCATTGCTGAAATTTGGACAAAGAAGATGAAAAAGTAATGTGATAAAATTTTAGAGGAGATGAAAAAAAAATAAAATAAATAAATGTAAATCTAATCAATAAATAGACTCGATTTATCAAAATAATAATCAATAGATAATAGATAGATAGAAGAATCTATATAATGTATAAAATTATTTTATATATGTTAGCCCCATAAAATGCAAGTGTTATTATAGAATAGTTGGGACTTAAAGCTTTAATGGGTAAATCTAAATACAAAAATAAAAACAAATAAATTGTTTAGTCCCCACAACAAAAATCACTATCTTAATCTTAAATTGTGAATCAATCAATTGAACCTATCAGAAATAGATTTGCTTCCAATTTTAATTTTGAGCCTATCCAATATTCTCCTATTAAACAATATCATCATAACAGTTAAAGTACCAGTAGTAGTACAAAAAATTTGTATAATGTAATAATATTAGTAATAGAATCAATAGCAACTTTAGAAAGTACAGTATTAATAATGAAATTAAAAGAGAAGTTAATAAATGCATAAATGAATGCGATTCATTAATTCAAAATTATAAAGATGTTGATAAGTATAAATGAATAATTAAATTTTATAGAAAGTTGAGATAGCCATAGAAAAGCCGTTTAGATATATTTGTTGAAAAATAGAGGAAAGAAGCATTAGAAGAGCTAATATTTATTGAAAGAAATAAACCTAAAAAAATATATTGATCTATATTTTCATATTTAATTTTCCATTAATTTATATGATTCATTTTTTAGGAAAAAATGGATAATCCATTGAATTACTCTATTAAAGTAAATTAAATTAACTTTAGTAACAACAACTATTTACATTTTAAGTGATAATTATGATATGCTAATTAGATAAGATTACTCCCTGTTGATTAATATTATATTTAAAAAATCTGAATTTTAATATTGTTATTTATTGCATTCTATATACTTTAATATGTTTTAAGACTATTAAAATCATTTGATATCTTTAAAATAATTAAACATATAAATTTTCAAATGAGTACCAAATAAAGCTTTTAATGAAAAGGATAAGAACTATTCCTCATATAATCGATTTTTATAGAAAAACAAGAAAATTGAACTTAAAATTTATCAACAGGTAATTATTTATAGATAATATTTATCGCTTGATTCAATTTCATAATTATTGTATTTCAAATAAGATTTTAGGAGATATGTAATAACATTAAAATAAAGAGAGAAAATTATATGTTTATTTTTGCTGATTATATCATAATATATTTTTGGAAAGAAAAGAATAAACATTTTTTAAATAAATTCTCTTCTATGTTTAATTTTTATATTTACATTAAATATGACATATTAAAAATAAATGTATTCAATAGGATTGATGTTGCTAATGGCAAATTTGGTATTAGGGTAAGATTTTACTGCTCTTGATAATTATGTGGAATTATAAATATATTAGAAAAGATTTCCAGGAGCAGTCATTGGTATATAAGATGGAAATTATCAATATACTTTTAAATATGGAAGAACTGAATATCCAGGTGATCCAGAAGACTAAGCTCTTTTGAAAACATCAATTTTTGACTTAGCAAGTGTAAGTAAAGTTGTTGGATGCACTACAGCTGCAATGTTGCTTTGGGAATAAGGTTATAGATTAATTAATCATTAGGCAAATTAAATATCGAAGAATCAGTTCAATATTATTTACCAGAATTTCCTCATCCCACAGTTAGAATAAGACATCTATTATTACATAATTCAGGTTTGCCACCTGATGCTCCTTTAGGAAATAGAATATGGACAAAGGAAGAAGTATTGGACTGGTTATACACAAAAAGTACTTTGTTATAAGCACCTGGTGAAAAATATATCTATAGTGATCTGAGTATGGTTACATTGCAATAAGTAATCGAAAGAATTACTGAAACTACTTTGGATGTCTATTTAGATGATAATATTTTCAAACCTCTAGGAATGCAATCAACTATGTTCAATCCTTCTGCTGATTTAAAGTATTATAAAATGATTAAATTAGATATCGTATACCTCCAACTTAAAGAGATGAAGTTGTTAGAAAAAGATTGATATGGGGAGAAGTACATGATCCAACTGCATATTATCTAGAAGGAGTATCTGGTAATGCAGGATTGTTTTCAACTGTCTACGATCTTATCAAATTTATGTAGATGATGTTAGGAAAGACCTCATTGTTTAAATATGAAACATTACAATATTGGACTAAAGTTGAAGAAGGCTTACCTTATGCAAATAGCAGAGCATTAGGTTGGGATACTGTTCCAATTTAGACATACCCTCCATGTGGTAGTAAATTCTCTAAAAATTCATTTGGACACACTGGATATACAGGAACATCTGTATGGGCTGATAGAGATAAAGATCTCATTGTTGTTATCTTAACTAATAGAGTTTATCCAGATGATAAAACTAGTGTTGTTTAATTCAGATATGAAGCTACAAATCTAATAGTAGATATCCTACAAGACTAACATGAATTGACCTAATGATATTACATTTATACAAAATAAAATTCATGTTCAATTTATAATAAAAATAAAAAAATGAATAATCCTTAAATTGACATATTCAAAACTCCATTTCGAAAGTTTAAACAAGACCTTTATTTGATAGATTAATGTAAAGTATGATGAAAATCCCTACCAAACCTATTCCTTCATAAACTGTTTAATCATTTAACATAGCTTATCCTACTGCAGCTACTAATATTCAATTTAATCCACAACCAGGTCCTGGAACATACAATCCATCCAAGCCTAAAAGAAACAATAGAATTAAGTATCATTTAAAATATCCCCAGTTTTTCTGCCTCCTAAAGATAGCCTCTAATTTCTAAATAAAATTCTAATTTAGGACCTGGCAGTTTTGAGCCAAAAAAAATATCAGCAACATCTGTTAAAATTGGAACGTCCATAAGACCGCCATTAGCTATTCCTACTTCTGCTCCTTTACCTGGAAAATATGAATATTAATCGAAAATAATTGAAACTTAAGGTATTGTCTTCAAAGGAAGTTCCTATGACCCAATTACAAAAGAAATTCATTCAAGGCCTGGCCCAGGAATATATAATCCAGAAAAAAAAAGTTCATCACCTCAATATCTTTTCCCTAAAGGTGAAAGGTATGATTTCACAAAACAAAAACGAGGGATTCCTGGACCGATTTACAAGATTGAAGAACAACCTTAAACACCTTCTTATTCATTTGGAAAATGCAAAAGATGAACTATATCAGCTTTATTTTCAAACAAAAAAATCAAATTATACTTTCTAACATATGAATATCTCAAAATTTTATCAAGAAATTAATTTTTACGTACACCCTCTAATATTTAAATAAGTCTCTGCACTTGCCTTAGGAAAATTTCTAATATAATTGAAAACTATTGAATCACAATATTATAATTGAGTGATCGGATCTTTATATTTTGCCTAAAAAATCTAATTATAATTACTTCAAATCCCGTTATATCACAATATTTCTTAGCTGGTTTAAGTGATGGTGGCGCTTCAATTGAGAGATCTGAAATATAATTATTTTTTACAATTAAATGCTGAATTATTAATTTAAACTTAAGCTTTTATATTATTAAATTTTCTTGATTATGATTAGCGTCTTGATTTTAACTCTTTTCTCCTAGCTTGCCATTAAGAATTCTTAAATTAATAAGACATTTTTTTAAAGTAAATATATATTATATATTTATATATTTATATATTTATGTATAATGTGCATGATTATGAATGAATTTATTTAAAAAAAATTAATTATGTGTTGATTCTAAATTTTTAACATTATTTATGCCTAAACATTTTGCTTAATCTAGATTCAATTTTTGTATGAAAATAAATAATTTTATGAATAAATTTTATTATTTCATTGAGTATAAATTATAGTATTGGGATTAAAATTTAAATAAGATTTGATTTTAAAAAAAATATTCTGAATTTTTGGGAAATTATTAAAAATAAAAAATATGAACTTATTATTAGAATAATTTTATCTATTTTAATAAATATTTTAAAATAAAATAAAAAAATTAATAACATATTTTAAAATAGACTTTTGCATTCCAAAAATATTTTTATTTCATTCTTCTTATTAAATTAACTTTAAAAAAAATCTGGTTTTATTTAGTTTTCATTATTAATTTAAACTTACAATTATCTTTTATTTTTCTTTTTTATTTGTTCATGATGAATTTTAGTTTATCTAATTCCTAGCTATCAATTTTGTTAAATATCTAAGTAATTACTTGGGTATTTATTATATATTTAATATTTTGTTCTTTATGTTTTAAATCTAACTTTCAATTATAAGATAATTCAATGAATTTACAAAAAATGTTAATATAATTTGAATTCGCATTTATAAAACCATAAATACTTCACTAATTCAAAGAAATCAAAAGCAAATCTTTAAATCAAAAGGTAAAGCATCCAAATTAGATTCTTCTAATTCCTATTTTGTTGGCTCTTGTATTTTTGAGATGCAATTATAAAATGTAATTGTCAAGAAATTTAAACAGGTAATTTCTTAAATTTAAATATCAACCCATCTCAAATTAGTATTAGAATAGATTTTATTAAAATAATTTTTTATTTTATATTGAATATTTGTTTGGATACATTTCATTTATTATCATAATTCTATCTCAATCACTCATTACTTTGAATCTCTTCTTATATTTCAAAATTATGTTAGATTTACAATAAATTGTCATTATTCTCTTATCATCCTACTTCTATTTAATAAATTTCGTTCAAAGATGGTTTTAATTATTAGAGCTTTACTTATAAATCTGTTTGATTTTTGGTTTCTTCACTTATTTATGTTAATATTTTTTGAATTTAATCTTTAATTTTACTTTATTATTTTTCTATGCGTCACTCAAATGTACGAAGTAGTCTTTTTAACTGATTTTTGGTGAGTTATTTAAAATACGAATGATTTTGGGAAACAAAATAGAGCACATTAATCAACAATTCTCAGTCTGGTTGCTTTTGCGATGTAAAACCTAAGGCTATTTCCTAACCAACTAATTAATGCAGATTTCTCTATAAATCTATTTTTGTGGCTTGTTTAATTAGGTATGCTATTTTGATTTCTTTAGATTGACATATAAAGACTCTCATTAAAGCAACTCTCAATAAATACTCACTTATAATGCAGGCAAATTTAAATTTTTTTAAGTAATACCCTTGCAGCACAAGTCCTGCATATAAAGATTTTAAGGATACAACTATCTAATTGGCCTCTTCAAGTGTAATACCTTAATATGAGCACTATAAAAAAATAAATATGTATTTATTTTATAACAATTAAAGATGATAATTCTATATTATAAATTTATAATTTTATCCATTTTATTTAATGTATGAAAATTAGTTATGATATATTATGAGTATGTAATTTTTATATAATTAACTTATTCTATTGAATATTTTATAATACAAATTAAATTCTAAATTAAAACTTACTATTTTTATACATATACTATATTCAAATGAAAAATTATAAACCTCATATTTAATTAAATTTTAAGAGATTGTAGTCGATATATAATAATCAATTTAACATTATTTATAATATGCCAATTATTTATATTAAATTAACTTTAATTAAATACTATCCAAAATACTATAGAAATATATGAAAAAATGTAGAATAAATTAAAAAAGAAAAAATAGATTAGTGAATTAAAATGAAAGCGTTTTATTGAAATGAGAGAAAAAATCTACATCCACTATATACAGTATTTGTAAATAAGAATTAAACACTAATTTCAGTTCACAAGAATAAATTCTAACAAATAACAACATTGAGTGAGTAATTCATGATATACGAAAGAATGAATAAGTAACACACTTATTATTATGTACACTTATTATTATGTTATCTTTATTAGTTACTCCAATTAAACTTAATTTGAAGAAATATGAATAAGTTTATGGAATACTATCTAAATAATAAAAAATAAAGCTCGCTCAAATAATATTTATAAGAGATTAGAGGGAAAATATTTATAATTAGCCTGGATATAGTTTTATATAAAATTATTCTTGAGAAGCCTTTTTTGAAGAGTAACCTAAGGAGTTCATTCTTCGATTTATTTTATTTTATAGATATTACCAAAAAGATTAAATCTCCTAATTCACAGAAATATGTATTTAAAGCTATACATCTTAATTCCAAAATACTCCCTACTAAGGAAAAGCATACATTAATTTTATGGAGCTAAAATTAAATTTTCATTTTAAAATCAAGTCAGAAAATAATTATATGCAGAGATTTCAATAGTGCAGAATTAAATATTCCTTTATTTACAAACTCTATTTATATTGAAATTAATTCCTTTATAAATAATAGGTTAGACGAATTTTTATATCTAGAACTGATCATTGTATAACCAGAAGACAAATTTTATATGTAGTTTTAATAATCTTTCAGACCATTGTTTAATAGAAATATCCTTAAACTTTATCATAATCAAATCAAGGAGTATAGAATTATATATAATAAAAACTTAGCTTCTTTATTAAACTAGCAAGCTGATTATTTTACAAATTTTACTTTTTGGGGTAATTATTTAAGAAGAATGTAAGTCTTCTTCAAAAAAGAATAACTGTATCAAGATAAAAAAACCTTAGTGAACCATTTAAATTATGTCAAAAGTTTGTATCAAAGTCTTGTTAAACAGCTAATAGTAAAGACGCATTTAAGGAAATAAAATCTTTAGCAATTCTTAATCCCAATTAGAGAGTCGGAGGCTTATTTAGATGTTAAAAAATGAGAATGAAGACATGTAAAGTAGATAAAGATGTGTGAGTAATTGTTTAAAATTAACTTAGGATTGTATCCAAAAAAGCCCATTTTCAGCCTTTATTATCTATGTTGTTTTCAGGTGAGGTTTAAGAGTTATAAAAATTGATGTCCAAAGACAAAGCAATAATAAAAAACCCAATATCTGATAAATTTATCAAAAATATAAATTGACTTTTGAACCAATAGTACACTTGAGACTAATGATTAATCCCATTGAATAAATTTTTCCCTGACATACCAAATTCAGATCAATTGTTGTTATGATTCCTCTATTCATATTTCTTGAATTGAGATTTGCAACAAATTTATAAGAATATATAGTAAATAACCTCAGATACAAACAAGTAGGTTTTTGTCATGAAAGTGGCACATAAACAAATGTAATTGAAAAAATAAAAATTGCAAAGAAAAATGATAAATTAGATTAAAATTCATAGTTTTCAAATACTTATAACACATTTGAAAGAAAAAGTAATATGAAATACATAAAAATAAAAGAATACTTAATGATAATGAAGTAGAATCTTTGATAGCCCTGCATTCCTAATTACATTATATTGAACCGTTGAACAAAATGAGAAAAGTATGGCATGAGAATGGAGTATTGTAATGTTCTCCTACCATCATTATTTAATATTTATTTGGATGAATTTTTAAACGAATTTTCAGATGGATTCAAAGGATGCTGATGACATAGTTTTTATTATAAAAATATATCTTAAATACACTTGAAACTGTATCTTAAAAATGGAAATTATCGATTAATATTAAGAAATCGGTATATATTTCATTCTAAATTACATATAATATTAATTTTTATTAACTTATTTTTATTAGTTTTTTAGTATTGATAGTTATGTTTATTATAAGTCTACTATTAATGATTTTAATTATTTTAATAATATATATATATATTTTAAATTACAATATTTTTATTTAGAATTACTTTATTTTTGGAATAGAATTCTTTAAAAAAATAAGGAAAAAGTAAATTAAATGATTCTTCGATAGTGTTCTCATGAAATTATCATGTGCTCCAATCTATAAATCTCTTAAATTTAAAGCTCATTATCATTTTGAAATAATAAAACCTTGATGTGTATATATATAATACGAACAGGATTTAAATTTATAAAATGATTAATTTCCTTATATATATTAATTTATCAATCATACTTTTAAGTTTACAATTAATTCAGCTTGATCTTTATTAGCAAGGGATACTAAATAATGACTTTACATAATATTCCATTCTTCCCATTCGTCCATTAATTCTAATTTTTCTATTCTTTTTCTTTCTTCAGAATCTGTAGCGATTTGATACAACGTTTTCATATCGTAAATTTCAACATAATTAAACCATTAATTTAATCTATCTTTATGAGCCTATAAAGAGGGGAATGCATCAATTCCAACTAATGGACATCCTCTGTACTTAAAATTAAAGATATATTTACTTCAAAATTTCGTACCATCATTTTACCAAATTGATCATTTGGATTAAACATTTCATAATTCAAAAATGTTAGGTGTGGAAACCATTTTATTAATCCATCCAATAATCTATTTGTAGCCTCACTGTTGATATATGTTAATACGCATTCTGCATAAACTAAGGTTGGAATAGTAAAATCGATTGATTTTAATTATTAATATAATTGCTCAGTATTACATAAATCTTCTCCAAATAATAAATAATTCTTATTTAATGATTTTACAGATAATTTATTTTAAGATATAATATATTCTCCCAATAATGTTTTCAATTTATTTGATTCTTTAAGCTTCTTTATTTTTCGATCAACTACAACAGGTAAATCTACTTCAACATATGTAAATTCATTATTCTGATAGGTTTACCACATTATAAATGGAAGAGTATCGTAACCAGATCCCAATGATATTATATTGCATTTTTATTATTTGCTGATATAGGTTGAAACTATTCTATGAAAAATATTAAATCTGCACCAGTAACCTCTGTGGATTAGGACATCTTTTTTAGATGAGCCTTTTACGAATTCCTCAGAAAATTCATCTTAGAAGTATTTGTGCTTAATTGCAGAACTATTATATTGACTTTTATTACATTTTTGCCGCAGTAGCTTCTGCATTAGTGTCTTCAACATGTATTTATATTGAATTCTTTTATTGCATAGTCTTATCAAAAAATGTTAAATATTAAAATTAATTTTAAAATGAAGTCAAATGTCAACTTCAATGTAATCACAATTTTTGATCCAGGTTCCATCTTTTGGCTTACCTTCGGCATCAAATTATTGAGCTGAAATAGTTTATAAAAATCTAGAATGTGTCACACATATCACATTTTAGTTTCTATAAAATGACAATTCTTATTTTGCTTATTTAATCCTATTCATTGTGTCCATAAAGGTCTCAACAACCGAATCAGGTGGGTACTAAAATAAATAATCTAAAATATGTTTAGGTCCTCTTGAGTCTAAATATTATTAAGATGATAATACTTAAATCATCACATTATTATTATAATAAATATTGCTTCATTTATTATTTTTATTCTTGATTCCAAAGATATTCCATAGTCCACATATTAGGATATTATTATAAAAACTCTGTATTCAATATCCTGCTGTAATCAAATTAAGGAAATTCATTCATCGTTGTTGTCAAATTACCTCCTATATCACAAGAAGATGATAGCATTTCTCTTAAAAATGGGACAACTATAAATTTAGGCTTATTTGGATGATCTCTGAATAAATAGTGTGCCGTCTATATTGCTCTTCTTAATGGAGAGACAAGTATAATGTCGACTTTAAATGAAGACATTTTTTAAGCAGATTCTAAACATTATTGAATACCATATTATGTTAATCCACAATCAATAAGACTCTCATCTTATTTGATTTTTAGTGATTCCTCTTTAAAATTTGTCACTTCTTTTGATGAATTTACAGCCAACCTAGCAGCAAGGTTATATTCAGATTCGGCATGTCTGATTAGGATAAATTTAGATTTATTCATTCAATATGAATATTTATCTCAAATATTTTTAGCAAATAAAGAAATAAACAATTATTTATAAATATACTTATCAAATCTTATTTCTATGCTTTCATATTTTCATTTTTAAATACCAACTGTTGTATTTATTTGAATTTATTATTTTTATTTACCTTATAATATAAATAAATATTTTTGAATTGTTTAGAATTGGTTTATAATACTTAAATAGAAAAAATATATTATATTAAAATGACACACAAAAAATTTAGAAAACTCTTCAAAAATCAACATTAGATTATATTTATATTAGAATCTAATCAGAAGCCCCTAAAATAACCATTATAAATTGTTTATCATTAAGAAATTTTTTTTATCGATCTTTCTCATTCTGTTTAAGCATAAAAGTTTGAATTAGGTTTTTTGTAAAATTCTGATGCAATTAGAAATATGAGAAATAAATTTATATTTAACAATATTTCAAATAGTTCATAAGGAGTAATAATAATTGAAACAACATAAATGTATATAAAATTAATTAGATATAATTATTATAAGGGGAAGATAGGCAATAAAATTATAAATTATTACTAAATGAATATTTTTTATTTTTTGGATAATTATCTCAAGAATGTAAAAGCTTAAAAAATAGAAAATAATGTATTAAATAATATAAAAATTAATCGATATGAACTTAATTAATTAGAAATTATAGAAATTTTCATTTTTCTACAAGTAAAACTTAATTCTTAGATTAAAGATATTTAATAATAAGAATTTCTTTATAAATTAGATTTCCTATGACTAAAATAGCAAATCCAATTAATTCTATTAAATTAGCCAAATATGATGTGTTTTCCCAAACTCTAGAAGTAGTAGCAGTGACTATAAGTCCAATAGCCCAAATAAAAATTATTCTAATTGTATCTACAACACTTCTAGTTAAGGATGAAGCATGCTTAGTGACATTAACACCAAATATATTATATAATGAAATGCTAAAAATACCCAAGATTACAGACAATGTTAACCAAAGATCACTTCCTAATTATTAAAAAAATAGATCAGTGCTTTCAAAATAGCCTTTATTATTTCTAAATACACATCCATCATGAAAATTACAAGGAAGAAAATTTAGAATTGGTATCAATATTCCAAAAGTTAATAATCCCCATATTCCTTCCATACCAACAACGTAGAATACATGATAGTTGAATTATTAAAATAGCTTTTCTTCATAAATATATGAAATGGCTTAAGTAAATAAAGATAAAATGATTAAGAAAATTGAAATTAGTTTGATTTCCCAACTAAAATCACTTTTTTTTTATTCTCTAAATATAAAATTGGATAATCCAACAATGAATATACCTAAAATAGCCAAAAGAATTCCAATTAATTATTGTAATGATAATTTTTTCTGAAGTACGAACTTTGAAAATGCTGCAGTTACTATCATAAGCTAGATGTTTGTAATATTAATACTCCTCCTCTAATCATTTAAAAAATAGATGATGGAATAAAATTCAAAGCGAAATTCTACAAAGATGATGTAATAACATCAAACAATGCTGGAATTGCTAATCTTTTAAACCCTCCAGTCTATTTATTTGGATCTTATTCAGCTTTCATATTAAATAGGACATAAAACACTAAACAAATTGATTCACCTATAAACATGCATAATCCCTATGATTAAATCTTTTGATTACTTGCATGTAAGGGTGTATAAATGTAACTCCATCAATTATAGTAGTATTTTAATATTTATATATTAACGTATTAATTGTTCCTATAATAACCATTCCAATCAATAATAAATTGATATAAAGCCTATTTTTCTGTACATTTTTCATCATCTTAAATTTCAATAATATTTATTATTTGTATAATAAATATTAATTTCTATATACATCAACAATTTCTTCAGAGTTTATTTATAATAAACAATTTGATTTTGATTAAAAAAAGGTATAATAATGTCAGTTTTATGAATTGTTCAAGAAAACCATATCCAATATAGAATTTTTTATCACGAAATTTATTTTATTCTATTTTCTTTAACTTCCTCACTAACTGAATAGATGGATTCAATTTTATTTTATGAGTGAAACATTATAGAAGAATAGTAATATTTGAGTTATTGGTGTAATTCTAGGATTAGATCTTAAAATCTAATTGTTGATACAAATATATTAAATCTTAAAGACCCTAGAAATCAATTTTAATTTTATAAAATTATAGTAACAAAATAAATATCAATAAGGTTAATATGTTTATTAAATTTATTTATTATTTTAATGGATGAATAAAAGGTATTTCCAAAATAATAAGTTTTTGAAATATAAAAATAAAATAATCCAAATAATAAATAAAAAACATTAAAATTTAATTTAGGTTAATTTATCTAAATAAGATAATATTGATCAATCCGATTTCAAAAAGTAAAAGAATTTTAAGTTTAAAATTTATAAAATTGCTTTTATGGACCATAAATTATATAAAAATAAATTTTAAAACATTTAGCGTGCAATAAAGCGATAATAATATCATTTTGTTATGGATATTATTGAAAAGAAATTTATTTTAAAGATTAAAAATTCTTAAAATCATATGAAATAATAGAATAAACTTTTAATTATTTAATGTAATTAAGTGATTAAAGGGGAGGGGGGGGGGGGTAACCATAATTATTACTAATTAATGTTAGCAAACAAATCCTAATTAGAATAATATATATGTATTAATTAGTCTTTTCATTTATAAGTTTCGTTTTGTCTCAAGATGATTTGATATCAGTATAAGTGGTTTGGAGACATGGAGCTAGAAATTATTTCATTGTAATTGGAATTGCATAGCGGATTAGCCTAGAGGAGATGAAGCAGTCTTAACTCCAACAGGGATGAGAAAATAATATGTATTAGGGAAATGGTTAAGAGAGAGATACATAATTGAGAATTAATTATTTTTATCGAGCAAGTTTAATGAAAATGAGATCTTTAAAGAAAGTTCTGATGAAAATAGGTGTGCTTAATCTATATCTAAGAACTTTAACAAGTGCATATTGCAATTTATAAGGTATGTATCCAGATGGTCCTTCTATACCTCATTTTTAGAAAGAAAATGAATCATTATTGTTACCGCCAAATTAGGGTGCTTAGATTTCAAAAGAAATAGGTGATGATGCATTACCTCATAAAAATTAACTCATTCCAAGTCATACAAAATAGAAGCCACTCCTTTAGGAAATTGTCATTTAATGTCCAAAAATGAATGCAAAAAATAAAGAAACGCAGCTTTACAAAGAAGTGAATGATGCAACTGCACAACTTTATGATGACTTTAATACATAATTAAATTTATAAGGAGAAGAAACGGTTAATGATATTATAGAGTTTTCACATTGGAAGGATACATTTATTTTTAATAGATAAAATCTTAATAATTAAATTTTATTATACAATGGAGATCCATTGCCACCAAATCTGAAAGCTAAGACTCTATAATAACTTGATGATTTAGCAAACTTAGCATAATCTCTTGAAAGATTCTAAACTTTAGAGTACAAATGATACGTTATTCAATTAGTTAAGTGAAAATCTAATCAACTCCTTATTTTTAAAGATTAATTGAAAATTTTGACTCTGCTTTAAATGGAAGTTAATACTTTAAATATTTTGGATCATCTGCACATGATACTACACTTGGTTGTTTATTATNGGGGTAACCATAATTATTACTAATTAATGTTAGCAAACAAATCCTAATTAGAATAATATATATGTATTAATTAGTCTTTTCATTTATAAGTTTCGTTTTGTCTCAAGATGATTTGATATCAGTATAAGTGGTTTGGAGACATGGAGCTAGAAATTATTTCATTGTAATTGGAATTGCATAGCGGATTAGCCTAGAGGAGATGAAGCAGTCTTAACTCCAACAGGGATGAGAAAATAATATGTATTAGGGAAATGGTTAAGAGAGAGATACATAATTGAGAATTAATTATTTTTATCGAGCAAGTTTAATGAAAATGAGATCTTTAAAGAAAGTTCTGATGAAAATAGGTGTGCTTAATCTATATCTAAGAACTTTAACAAGTGCATATTGCAATTTATAAGGTATGTATCCAGATGGTCCTTCTATACCTCATTTTTAGAAAGAAAATGAATCATTATTGTTACCGCCAAATTAGGGTGCTTAGATTTCAAAAGAAATAGGTGATGATGCATTACCTCATAAAAATTAACTCATTCCAAGTCATACAAAATAGAAGCCACTCCTTTAGGAAATTGTCATTTAATGTCCAAAAATGAATGCAAAAAATAAAGAAACGCAGCTTTACAAAGAAGTGAATGATGCAACTGCACAACTTTATGATGACTTTAATACATAATTAAATTTATAAGGAGAAGAAACGGTTAATGATATTATAGAGTTTTCACATTGGAAGGATACATTTATTTTTAATAGATAAAATCTTAATAATTAAATTTTATTATACAATGGAGATCCATTGCCACCAAATCTGAAAGCTAAGACTCTATAATAACTTGATGATTTAGCAAACTTAGCATAATCTCTTGAAAGATTCTAAACTTTAGAGTACAAATGATACGTTATTCAATTAGTTAAGTGAAAATCTAATCAACTCCTTATTTTTAAAGATTAATTGAAAATTTTGACTCTGCTTTAAATGGAAGTTAATACTTTAAATATTTTGGATCATCTGCACATGATACTACACTTGGTTGTTTATTATCAGCCTTAAATTTAACAAGTGCTTAATGCTAGGCTGATATTTATTTATAAAAGAATATTAAATAAAATAAGTGTATGACTAACGAATTTATATTTAATATATTGAATATTATGTAGAATTTGTTACAATTTTGATATCTGAACTTTACAATAGCATAAATAATGGGCCTTTTGTTAAAGTACTTTATAATGGTGAGTATGTTCCAATATGGTCAGATTTTGCTAAAACTTGTGAATATGCAAGATTTCGTTCAATTATTACAGCATATTTAGTAGATTATAAAAAATAATGTTTATAATCAGATGAGGAGACCTATCCTGTATTTATGATTCATTTATATAATTAGACTTCTTATTAAACTCCAAAATGGGCATATATTGTTTTTATTAAAGTTATTCTATTCCTTATTATGGTATTAAGTGCGATACTATATTTAAGATAGAAAATAGGTTAAAAAGATTAGAATTGAACATTATAATAATCAAATAAATTATTTATTATTTAACTTATAATCAAATTACTCCTATTAATAATACGAAATAAAATAAGATAACACCACAAAAATAGATAAAGTTTTTTAATAAGAAGGATTATCTTTCTAAAAATAATTTCATTTTAATTCGATCTCTTTTTGTAAATAATCTTTACAATCCTCTTTAATAATATCTGAGATAAAGTATAAAAGTCAAAATTTAATATAAAGAAATCTACATTAGATGATCTATTTCTTAATATTATAAATAAATTTATCAATTATTATAAACAGGATTAAAGTTGAACCTAAAAATTTTTTATATAATGAAGGTTCAATCAATCTTCTCTCCTATAGTCTATGATCGAACATTCTCAAATATTTCCATTCAATTTTAGGATATTTATAAAGTCTTTAGTGCCATCATCCAGAGATAGAGCTTTTAGATCAAAAAAATAAAAACCAATTATAAAATTGAATATTGAGATTAAAGAACCATTGTCTCCCTAGCCAATAGGTATTTTGGTAAATCGTAACAAAAGTAATGTTTTAATTTAATCTTGAAAATAAGAAATTTTGTGAGTAGTCTCTAGTAGAATCAAATAAATTAATATTTCTTGATTGTTAATTTCGAAGAAGAAACATTGATAATTTTAGAAAAATTTAAAAGTCTGGATATAAAATCGCTTTATAGTATTCACCATCTGTGATTTTGCAATGTTAATTTGCTTCTATTTTTTAAAATGAAAATACGTTTTTTTTTATTGAAAATATATCTTAAATACTAGCTACTATTAATGAGATGGCAATTTAATAATTAGTTTTATAGGATGACTTTTAAAAGCTTTAATTTAATCATGTTATTGAAAAATTATTTGCAGGATATATGCCATTCTGTGTAAGCAAAACAAATGAAAAGAATAACTGTGAGCAATTTATTCAGGATAAAAAAATTTTCAAATTTTTCTCTAGCATTCTAAAATAATTAAAATTGGTACAAAATTAATTTTGAAATAATATTTTTTAAAAGATTAGCTCATAATAATATGAGCGAAATTGAAAGTTTAGAAAAGCTCTTAATCATTAAGTTTATTGCAGAGTATGATTTTAGTATTATAATATATGAATTAATTTAATTTATAAAAGGTCTGATTTTGCCATAATTTTCTTAAAAATAAAAAAACAATAAATTAGCAGATCTTAAAGAAAATACTCTTACTATACTATGTAATTTCTTACTATTATAAAGTACGATATTACATTAAAATATTTTATTTAATTAATAAAGAAATTATATCTTCTACTTAAATAAAAAAATCTCATATAGAATATGTAACATTCTTTTAATCAAGATTTATAGCTGTATTATATAATAAAAATAATATTTAATGAGAAATTTTGCATTTAAGTTTCATTTAATTTAAGATAATTACTTTACTATTTAAATAATTATTGTTTTTTTGAATGTCTTCCGCATTTCATATTCATATTGGAGGTGCTGGTGTAATGATTGGTGATATGTTATGGAAACTTTATGAAAAGGAGCATAATGAAACTACTTAAAAGAATTATATTTATTAATAAATTGATGACCATCATCATCCATTAGCATTATTTGCTGATTTAGATGACAGAATGATACATGAAGTACAAAGGAATAAATAAGTATAATTTAAAAAGAATTCATTTTTATATGGGTAAGAGGATGCATCAAACGTTTATGCTCGAGGTACTTATACTTTAGGAAGAGAGATTGTTGACAAAGGATTAGATTTTATTAGATAATAAGTAGAAATGATGGATCGATTAGATTAATTTGTAATTACAACTTCAATAAGTGGGGGGACTGGATCTGGTTTTTCTGAGCTATTATTAAGCAGATTAAATTGTGATTATGGAGATAAAGTAAAAAAAAATGGATTTATAATTTTCCCATCTTCAGAGATGTCAAATAATATACTTGGAGTTTATAATGCTATGTTTTCAATTTAAATGACAAGAGAATATTTTCAAAGTATCACAATGTTTGACAATTAGTCAATGTATAATGTTATTGATCATCAACTAGATTTAGATTTTGTAGATTATTCACATATAAATAACTTGGTTGCATAAATAATTAGTTAATATACTGGATTAAGAAGATTTAATTCTAGTGATAATTCCAAGTTTTTTTCAAATATGTGTCCCTATCCTTAAATGCATTATTTTATACCGTCTTTTGGTAAAATGACTTTAATAAATGATTACAATAGAAAAGAATTAGATCAAAGCTAATTCATTAAATATCTCACTAAAAAAGAGTTAAAACTTTATCAATGTCCTCAAAATCCCAGACATCTTTCTACAACCTTATTATTCAGATAAAAAGAAGTTAATCATTTTTATGGCAAATTTGATTTAACACTTTAGAATTTAGACCATTACTTTAACTAAAGCCCAAGAATTTTTTAATGTAATTCATCTAATTACTAAATAATACCTGAATTTGCAGAAATGAAAAAAACTGGAACATTTTTTTCAAATGATGCTTCAATTGTTAGTAGATTTAAATTATTAGGGGCCCAGTTTGATAAAGTATATGCAAAAAGAGCTTTTGTATGGTGCTATGTTACTGAAGGTCTAGAAGAATCTGAATTTTCTTAAGGAAGAGAGTCATTAGCTAATTTAGAAAATCAATATTATGAAATTAAAGGTGTTAATGATTCACCAAATGCCTTTTACAGCAATAATGAATTTTGAAATACATAATTATTTTATATTAGTAAATATTATTTAGTTCAATTTAAAATATCATATTTCAATTGAAATTCTTTCTCATGAAATTTATACTCCAAAACTCACTTTTTTTAATTAATAGATATTATTTAAATAGTGATAATTCATAATTGTTAACCAATTCTATTTCACTGATTATTTTATCATAAAGTCAAATGAAATTAATTTTCATTCAATCATAATCCAGTTTAAAGTTATATAAATCACATATATGTTTATATATAAAATAATAAAAGTACTCTTAAAACTAATATCTAATATCTTAATAAATTATTTTTGTTAAGGAATAAATTATACATTTCAATTTTGAAGATACAAGATTTGCAAGGTACAATCCTTGCATTTCTAAAATCTTACCAAACAGTTTCAATTCATGATTATTTTATTGGCTTGATTGTGACTTAGGTGTTATTTCATTGGATAATCTAAAGAAAAATTGAATATCTGCCTTTCATTATAAATTATTTGATTTTGTCTGAATAAAAATTCAAATATTAAGAAATGAAAGTTGCAAAAGTTAAAATCTAAGTCAGCATAATCAACAAGGTTATAATAATACTTTGAACTCATTAAAACTATTTTAGCCTCAATTAGTCTTAAGAGTGTTAGACTTTATTGAAATAAAAGAATCAAAAAATATAAAATATTTGATACTTTTCACATTTTAAAAAAAGTTTATAACATTAATCTATCATTAACAACAATTTAGATTAGGATGTAAATATCAAATAATATTTGAAAATATGAACTAAAATAGATCAATTCAAATATGCATATATTAATGTAGGTCATTTGTCTTAATTGAATAAATCTCCAGATGATGTTTCAAATTTCAATATCTCATCAAAGTGATTGGTTATGATTTAATTCTATTTTTAATTATATGGGTAGCAAGCTTTATAATATGATTATAATTAATTAAATATAAAATAATTTTTTATTTCCTTTATTAATCGTGATTAAAAAATTAAAAATTTTTGAATATTTTTCCTATCAATAAAGAGTTATCAATATTTCTGAAATAGCAATTACATTCTTTGTTAACAATAAATTATTTTTTTTCTAAAAATAACCGAAAATATTATATATTTCTATTATTATTTATAATAAAATGTTGTGCAATTTTCATCCTTAAATTCCTATTTCGTTGATTTGTGTAGCCCCCCACAAATGTTAAAGGAAACTTTGTGTTGAATGCCAATATGAACATAAAGTGGAGATTAGATAAACAGTCCCTATAAGTAAATTTAGAGAATAAGTGATTAAAAAATTCTCTGAATTAAAGATTGATGGAACATCTGAGTTAACATAATTGAGAATGAAATTAAAATAAATGCTATCTCAAACAGAAATTTAAATTAAAAATATGTGGTCAGATTTAACAGAATTAACAAAATAAATATACGATATGATAGAAAAAAAAGATAAATAATTCATCGATCTCATAAATAATAATGATAATTTTGCAGAATCATCGTTTACTGATTTAGATAAATTAGTTTAAATAATGAATGAAAAAATTTTGGATGAATGGAATATCGAAAAAAATTCTTAAATAACGAAATTAGAAGCAGTATAGATTTGGTTTGGTAAAGAGATGCAAGCTTTTCATTAAAAGTATAATGAACAAATGAAAGCTATTTTATAAATAGTTTAGTAAATCCATTACTTAATTATTTTCTTTTAGGACACAAAATGATGAAAAATTCATATGGAAAGAAGCCATATACCAGTAAAAAAGTAGTATTTGGGATTAATATGGACTAAAGTTTATTAACACAACATTTCTAATTAAATTTACGAAAGAATAAGAAATCTAATACATCAGAGATGGTTCAATCATAAAAAGGTTATTATTTAAATATAAATCTTAACAGCTTTCGTATTAACGATATTTCTGTTAAACCTGATGTTTTAACAAATTTAGAGTAAATTTAATTCTTAAGGTGGTTCGGAAGTTATGGAAAAAATAATTAAAAGGTTGGAAAATGGAAAGCTATATGGAAAGGAGAAAGTTTAAAAGATGTTGGAGGATAGTACTCTAATGAGGGAAAAAAATAAGGCAATTGGAAAGAAATAATTCCAAATTTTTGGAGGTAAATTTAAGTAATTATTTAATAGCAAAGCTTTGGCATTTGAAATTGGAGAATATATAGAGGGTTAAAGAAGAGGAACCTGGAAATAGTATTATAAAGATTAATAAATGTACATTATATAATTATATTAGTTATGGGGGAGAATATAATGATAAAGGAGAGAAAAATGGAATATGGAGAGAATTTTGGTAAGGATTTTGGGAGAAATCATTTGTAATTTATAATGGTGAATATAAAAACGGTAAAAAAGTGGGTAAATGGGAAATTTTATGGAAGACGGAGGATGAGATTTAATTTAAAAAAATGTATAGTTAAAATATGTTAAATTAAATTAGTGGAGGGGGATAATATAAGTTAGAAGATGCTGAGGTTAAGATTGGATAATGGATTGAACTTAGCGAGGGATTTTGGGATAAATCATAAGTAACCTATTGTGGGGAATATTAAAATGGCAAAAAAGTTGGTGGATGGAATATCTATTATAAATAAGAAAAGATGTAAATCTATATTTTATATCACACGTTAGTGGTGGTGGATAATATGATAAGAACGGAAATGAAACTTAGGTTGGGCAGTGGGTTGAGTTAAGTGAGGGATTTTGGGATAGATCATAAATAATTTATTGCGGAAATTATTTAAATGGTAAAAGAGTTGGTAAATGGAAAATTTTGATGGAAAATAGAGTGATGTAAATTGATAAATTAATATAAATTGTTTTAGTGGTGGATCATATGATGAACTAGGTTCTGGAAATAAGATTGGATTATGGATTGAATAAAGTGAAGGAATTTGGGAAAGATCAGTGATTACTTACAATGGTGAATATAAAAATGGCAAAAAAATTGGTAGATGGGACACTTTTTATGAAAATAAAAAAATGTAATATATAAAGTTATATGCACAATTTTATAGTGCTGGTGGATCATATGATGAATAAGGAAATGAATTGATGATTGGATAATGGATTAATTTAAGTGAAGGATTTTATGATGACTCATAAGTAACTTATTGTGGGGGATATTAAAACGGCAAAAAGGTTGGTAGATGGGATACTTTGTTTCAAAATAAAAAAATGTAAAAAAATATTAAAATTCAATTCAAGTGGTGGTGGATAATACGATTCACAAGGAGAGGAATTAAAGATTGGATAGTGGATTGATTTGAGTGATGGATTTTAATATTATTCATAAGTAACTTACTAAGGTGAATATAAAATTGGTAAAAAAGTTGGTAGATGGGATATTAATTTTTAAGGATCAAAGATGTATATATATGATGCTATAAAATATTTTAGTGGTGGAGGGTTATTTGATGAAAAAGGAGATGGAATTAAGATTGGTTAATGGGTTGAATTAGGTGATGGATTTTGGGAGAAATCATAAGTAACTTATAACGGTCATTATAATAATGGTAAAAAAAATGGTTAATGGGATATTTTATATAGAGGATCTAAAATGTAAATATTAAATTTTATTTACCAATATTTTAGTGGTGGCGGATCTTATGATTTAGGAGGTAATGGAATTAAAGTTGGGAAATGGATTGAGTTGAAGGATGGGTTTTATTAAATGAGTTAAATAACTTAGAATGGTGAATATGAATTTGGTAAAAAAATTGGTACTTGGATAGAAATGGATTTAAATCGGTGCTAGAAATTACATGAATTCAGTTATGATCATTGAATATTATAAAAATATTTATTATATAAGGTATAAAATAATTAAAAAAGTAAACATCAATTTTCTTAAGCAATATTTGTTTCTAAATCATCTAAAATTTTTTAATTATATTCATTCTAGATTTTTTGTTTCAACTAAGATATTTTTAATATATTTCTACAAAAAATTGGTCATTTATATTCTAAAAGATATCAATTATTCAAATATTCAAATATATAAAGACATCATGGCAAAATCAATTACAGATATTAAAAAAAAATATAATTCATGTAAATCCCTAAAGATGTGAATATATGAAAAATAAATACATTATAGATTTAATTTATTTTATAGGATGAATGTTCCACTTTGATTTTGCTTTATTGTTCTAATTAAAGATATAGTCAAGCAACATAAAAATTATCCTCAACAAATGAATTCACTAGTAAAAAGATGAATTATCTTTAAAGAAATTAGATCAGTCTAAAACTATACTGGAAAATAAACCAGGATTTCAAAAGAAATTATATAAATTGATTAAATTAAAATTAGAAATTGATTATGAAAAATTATTGTGTAAAATTCAAATTTATAGACTATTAATGTTTGATTGATATTTATTATTATTATTATAAAATTATTGAAATAACATATAACCAGTATGAGTGAATATACATATATGATTGAAATTCAACAATTAATTCTATAATTATCAATAGAGCCTATATAAGTTCTTTTTGATTAGAATAAAGCTGGATGGATATTTTTAGGAAATAATGATATTCTAATCATACTTATTGAGTAGTTGTTAACAAACATCAGGATAACAATCAGATTGGAAATCATGATTTTTGATGTTTTTGAGTGTGAAGGATATGATCTAAAATGAATGAAGAGTATACAATAATTGCAAATGCAATTTGAGAAGGTTCGTAATTCAATTTCCAAGGTAATGCCATTAATGATAAAGTATATATCAATCGAACTTATTCAGCTGATATTCTTTTTGTTTTTTTAATGTAATAGATTAGTTGTTCAATAAAATCCATTACAGTTGGTTTAGTTATTTCAAAATTTAACTTTTGTAAAATGTGTGTTTCTATTTTTGTAGACATCTACCATTTGCATCTCTCTTATTAATCAAATTTAGTTGCAATCTAAAGACTTGTTAATAAATAATCCTATGTTAATATATTAGTTCTTAAATAAATTGATTTGGCTAGGTATAATGTTGAGATTTTAAGTTTTAGCCTAAATTAAAATTATGATAGTATTTTAAACTCATCCAACATATCATCTTGTTAAAATATCAGAATTTATTGAGTGTGTAGATATGCAAGAATGTCCTTATAATAAGGATTCAATGATTCTGTTTCTGTATCACTCATTTTTAAATTTAAATTAATTATTCTCAAAATTAACTGCTCTATTGAATTTACATAAAATTCTTTAGTATGTTTAATATAAATAGTACAATTAATGTAATTTAATTGATTCTTCATATAAATCTAAGAGCAAAATAAATACGATTCTAAAATAAATAAGGATGTTCCTTAATCAATGTATCAAATTGATTAGATTTAAATATTTCTTTAATATAATTCTAAATCTACTCGTTCTCAACTTATTTCAATACTTCTCACAGATGTAGTTGTATTTCTACATTGATTGATCTAAATAAAACTATATAAATGATACTTACATTGAGTGATAACTCAAAAAACACCAGATTACTCAATATATTCATAAATTTTTGTATATTTAGTTGAATGAGAGTATTAATCTTTAGTTTTTTTCTATTCATAAACACTTAAACAAGTCTATGATTGAATTTTTGTGTACATTAATTTTATTTTTAATTATGATCAGTCAATTACTATCAGAACACAATTTTCTTACATCCATCACTCATCATAAGCATTCTTCGTTGGTTACTCATCTATCATCACCTCATAAAACATAGATAAAGGCTAATCGGTAAAATCGACATATAGATTGTCAAGGAGAAGTATATGATAAAAGAGATCTAATTAATGCAAGTAATGATAATCAATTGTTAAAACCTGAAACTGTGAGAAAGAATAATCGACTTAAATCAAAACCAGCAGTTTCAAGATTTATGAAGAAATTAATTATATCTAACTTCAAAGATAATAAAGAAATATTCTATTCTGTTACTCCTATGTAGCCAATTTATGATCAATTTAAATAAAGATATGAACAAAGGGAAAGAGATAGAGTATTTTAAAATCATCATTTTGATAAAGTTTATAAACATCATTTAAGTAGAGCAATACAATATATATTGTAATAAGTATTAAATTTTCTTTCATTTGATGATGTTTTTAAAGTTAATTTAGATAAAAGTGATTATGATAGATACTTATAGAGATAACCAAAATTATTAAGGAATTCGGTGAGTTCAATGGATTTATTAAATCTCTAATAAACCTAATTGGATAATGAATTGACAACTAATAGAAAAATCTAATTAATAGCTAATGTATTTTCGGATCCTCATTTCAATGCTAAAGAAAGATAAGTGTTGTATTAAGTACTTAGATTTTAAATTGCATAAGCTTAAAAATCAATTGTAAAATTAGAAAAAGCCAGCATAGGAATTAAAGCATTAAATCGTTTTTAGACTAAGAAAGAAGGTCATTTAGAATAATTAGCCTTCATTCTTGATTATATGTAAAATAATTATGATAAACTTGTGAAATTAATATGATTACATTTAATTATTAAATTAATTCTATTTTATTTATGAGAATCTAAAAAATATATATAAAATTTAAATGCATTGTATTCTTCTTAATCCAATCAAAAATTTAGTTTACATTATAAGAGTGTGCCAAATAATCGAAAGACAAAAATAAATAACATTAAAAAATGGCAAGAACTAAATAAACCGCAAGAAAAAGTACTGCGGGCAATAAAAAACCTACCAAACATTTAGCTACTAAAGCTGCAAGAAAGACTGCTCCAGCTGTTGGTCCATCTGGTGGTTTAAAGAAACCACATAAATTTAGACCAGGAACTGTGGCATTAAGAGAAATTAGAAAATATTAAAAGTCAACTGAATTGTTAATCAGAAAGCTACCATTTTAAAGATTAGTAAGAGAAATAGCCCATGATTTCTAAAAAGAATTAAGATTTTAGAGTTCTGCAATTTTGGCGCTTTAAGAAGCAGCTGAAGCATATTTAGTAGGATTGTTTGAAGATACCAATTTATGTGCAATTCATGCAAGAAGAGTAACTATTATGTCTAGAGACATACAATTAGCTAGAAGAATAAGAGGAGAAAGATTTTGAATAATATGTCTAAAATATGTGGCAATTATTCGAAAGTTTTTTTTTAACTACTTTATTTTAAAAAAAATTAAATTTATATAATATAATAAAATATGTAGGAATTAATTGAAATTAGTTTAAAAAAAGTATTGCCAGGAATTCTGTTTAATCAAATTGCATTCTACTCATTAAAGATATTGAAGAATAATGAGGTGTATAGTTGATGTAGCAATATTTTCACTCATATTGTAGCAGGATCTATCTATACATATCATTTTGATTAACATATTTTAAGAACAAAGTAAATTATTATTATTTATTTTGAATTTAAATTTGAATTATTAGCTTTGTGTTCTATTATAGAATTTTAAGAGGATTTAGAGATCCTAGATATGAAGTTATTTTTGACGAATATAAGAAAGAGACCTTTAAAAGAGATGTTGCTGTTTTGGATAATATATTTTCCAAAGATTCATTGTATTTGTAACTAGTTCTTCTTTGTATATCTTATTTAAGAATTAATTAAATCCTTTATCTATGGCAATTTTTGGAACATCTACTTAATGGATATATTTTGAAGGATTAGCTGGTTATACATATTCCTATCTATTATAGATCATCAATTATAATAAATTAAGGATCAAAAGATTAAAGTTCCAAATTCTATATTTTAGGAAGGTTTATGGAAAAAGAGCAGACATCCAAATTTATTTGTTGACTTAATGACTTGAACATCTATTGCTAGCATTAAATCAAGACATGATTGTTTAGCTTTAATTAGTTCATTAATATTATATACGTAATGGCTAAATTGACAGTACCTATTACAGAAAAATTAATGAAGAAAAAAAGAGGAGACAAATTTACAGAATATTATTATTATTGTTTAAAAACTAATAAATTCTTACCAATTTGAATATTAATTTCATTATTATTAGAGATATAAATCTCTTAAATTATTTCCAATTCTAATTCTAATTTAATCTCTATAGTTTTTGTTTCTCCATAAAAAATAATAAATGATACCCTTATGAATATTACATCCATAACTAATTTTTTTTCCTAATCTTAAATCATCCAATACATTTTTCACCAATTAATTAGGTTCTATAATTTCTGGTCCTTATTTCATAGCCAACATTTTAGTTCTTACTCCCAAAGGTGTGACACTTATAAAATCAGTATTCTTATATGTCAACCCTAAGGATTGAGTGAAATAATGAATAAATGATTTTGTACTAGAATAAACACTAACAAATGGACATGGCAAATATGTTAAGCCAGATGAAACAGTAATCACAGCTGATTTATTCTATCTAAATTCTAATTTGTTGATTAATATTTTTGTCATCATTAATGTTGATAAAGCATTGACTCTAAATATCTTTAGAATATTTTCCATTTTCTCTTAAACAAATAAAGATCCTTCTCCTATACCTACATTATTTACCAAAATTGAAATATCTAAATATCTTAAATCAGATTTCACTTTTTCATAAAATTCAATTGAATGCTCTTAGCTAAAATCTGCAACTATTATTTTGGTTTCAACTTGAAAATTTTATAATTATTAAGAGAGTTCATTCATTTTTTATTCATTTTTTGCCACTATTACAATATTGAATCCTTATTTAGCCAATTCGATACAAAACTCTTTTCCAATACCATCAGTTCCTCCTGTCACTACAGCCCATGAATTTCTTCCATACCTCTAAATTATGTTTCTTCTTACTCTTGGAATTGTCATCCATAATAATTTAGCAAAAGTCTTTATTAAATAGAAGGATGCTGATATTAACAGAAATCAATACCAACTCCTATAAAGAAAGATATTAATTTAGATCTCTTATGTAAATGCTAATAATAGATGTGAATGAATTCTTTGTGTAATCGAATAAGCTATTAGATGTTTAATAATTCCATTATTAATGAATGTTATTTTATGTTTATCATATTTTTGGTATAATGCATAAATGCATAAGTAAATCCAATGTTGTACAAATGGGGAACATACAAGCCACAATTAATTCATGCTATAACTGAAAGAAACATGCAAACCTTTAATCCACTCACCATCACCTTTTATTACTTTATGAACAATAATATAAGATGGGAGAAATCAATCAAATATAAAATAAATGAAAGAGGTAATGATGAACCCACATATTTTCAATATCTTTATCATGATGGTGAAAGATATGCAATACATGAAACTATAGATGGAGAATATAAAGTAAGATTCACAAATGAATTCTATAAGTAAATTGATTTTTTATGATTAGAGTCAATCCAGAAAAAATTGAAGATTGGGTTACAACAGTTGTTAATAACGATGCCTTAGTTGGAGATGAAGAATACATTAGTTTGGTTTACTCTATTGCAATTGAAAAATTAAATTAAGAAAAAACTGATTTAAGAAAATTATAAGTTGAAGAAGAAGGTGATTCTCTAAAAGTAATTATTATTTTAATCTAGATTACTATTACTACAGCCTAATAAGTAAACTACATTTATGTGACCTTAGAATCTAATGGTAAATAGGTCAATTTAAATCAAAACGATAATTTCGGATATTCGTTGCAATTTTAGAATCCTACCTTAAATTACAATTTGAGAACTCTCTTATATAGTGAATTGAGAAAAACTAAAGAAGATATTCCATTTAAATTTAATAAAACTATTGATTAAGAATAAGGCAATATTGTCTTTGTTTAATATGTAGCCAAAAGAAATGAATTGTTTAAATTTTAATTAAGATATATGTAAAGAGAGATATCAGTATCAAGTGATTACTTTTTTGATGCTAGGATATTAAAGAAATTGGATAATATGAATTTCTTCTCTTAATTCAATAGGACTTTCAATAAAATACAACTAAGTATCTATATAAAATTTATTGATTATAGAAAATCCATTCTATCTATCCTGCTCAATGAGTTCATTTGTAAATCTTATAGGAGGATTTGCCACTTCTTTTGGAAACATAGAATGTGAAGAAGCAAATCCAATCTGTTAATAATAGAAGATGATGTTTACTCCAACCCCTTCAAGATTTGGATTCCCTAGACCATTTCTATGGGATGATGGATTTCATAATATGATTGTTTGTAGATGGAAATCTCAATTATGTATATAATCTTTATTAGATTGGTTTGATACAATGTCAAGTAATGGATGGATACCTAGAGAATAAGCAAGAGTATTTTAATACCTTTATATTAAAGAGCCCAGAATAGAAAACAGCTGTACCTTAAGCATTCTTAGCCTAAAAATAAAGTGAAACTAATCCACCTACTTTTATATTTAATTTTCTTTATCTTGATTGTATGAGTTATAGTATATAAATTAGCTTTGAAAAATGGAGAAATATAATAATAGGTTCGAAAACTATATACAAAAGCAATAGATTGGTATCATTTTTGGATAAAATCTTAAGGAGTAAATGAAGGAGATAATTTCTTATTATTCAAATGGTGGGGAATGAATGATAACATTAATTTTGGATCAGGAATGGATGATTGGCCAAGATCCCATAATGGATTGAAAAGCAAATTCAATATTGATGCTAGTATGTGGGGTTGGTTTTTTGCTGATTCAATGCAAAAATTGGCTACTATTTATGATCCATAAAAAAGCAACCAATTCCATTAAACAGCAGAAATGATTAAGAAGTCTATTAACAAATATCATTTCGATCCAGATGATAAAATATTTAAAGATGTCTTAATAGATGGATCCTTTTCTCCTCATCTTGGATATCCAAATTTATTTCCTATTGCTTTTGGATTTATTGATCCTACAAAAACAGATATTTTAGATTCCTATGTAAATATGATAAAAAAAGAATTATGGACAAATCATGGTCTTAGATCTTTGAGCATTAATGATAATCATTTTGGAAAAGTTATCTATATTATTAAATATTATAGGGAGATAATTATTGGACTGGACCAGTTTGGATACCAATTAATTATTTAATTCTTAGAGGAATCTAAAAGTATTATCCTACACATAAAGGGTTAATGGATATCTATAAGGAACTTCGAGAGAATTTAATGAATACTGTTTGTATTAATTGGAGAGACAGAGGGTAATGTTAGTCCATTCATTTTTTAGATACTTCTTTGAACATTATAATTAAAGATAAGATGGATTAGGAAGAGGGTATCATCCTTTTAATGGATGGACTAGCACAATAACATTAATTATACATGAAATTTATGATTGAGGTCATTTTATAATTATATTATTTCAAAATAAAATTTGAATTTATTTTTTTATAGGACTTAAGGTTAATCATAATAAAATTATAAAATTACTATGATTTATATATTTATTGTGTATCATATTATCTTTCTATAAGATATCAAAAAATTACAGAATTATAAATTTAAAAGATTTGAAGTTTAATATTTCTGTAATATTTAATAAAATAAATATAATGTTTTTGTTTTATGTTTTTTTAATATTTAGGTCATACTAATTAATATGACATTTCGTTGCTATGTTGTTATTTCTCTTTTTTTTTGCAATATAAAACGACGATCACAATAATAATGATAATCAAAAGAATACTAACGGCAATGATAATTATGAGTCTTGATTTGAATTTTTAATTTGGGTTAATATTTTCATCATCGTCATCATTATTATCATCATCATTTTCATCATTTTCGTCATTATCATTATCATCATTTTCGTCATTATCATTATCATCATTTTCGTCATTATCATCATCATCATCATCATTATTATCATCATCATCATCATTTTGTTCATTCATAACAAAAATAGATCTTTAAAATTAGGTTTATTAGTTTTAAGCAAGAATCTCAATTTCTGCTTGCTAATCTTCATAAATACTGACATTAAATATTAAAGAATTTTTAATATTAATAATTAATGATCTATTTTCATATTACCCTGACAATAGATAATAATCTCCCCTCATTTGACAAAAAATTCGATAACTAGTAAAAATGGGTTATTTAGAACTTATGAATGGAACAACTTGCATATTTGAATAAAGCCTAAAATGAAATATATAATTTACAAATCTTGTACATTATACATGAATAAGTCAACAGATTAATTACCTTTTAGCTCATAAGCAGAATCTATCATAATTAGATTATTGGCAGTCTTAAATGAGTATTATTTTGAAAAATCTAAAAATAAAGACCCAGAAGATTAAAATCCAATAATTTTTCCATCCGTTAAATTAAACTAAATCCTATATATTTTAATATCGTTAGAGTATGGACAAGCTATTAGTAATTAACTAACTTAATCATTAATATTTATTGGTAATCCAACCTATTAAATAAAATCCAAAACAGATAAACTCGTTATTTGAGTCTCAACAAGCATCCATTCTTAAATTGAAAAATATACATTTGTAATTTCAGTATATTTGTTGCCTGAAAATCCAAAATATTATGCAATAGAGGATGGCATGCAAGTTTTTAGAAAATAAAATTTTGGATTTTAATTGGCTACAATTTATTGTGAAAATCCCAATATCTATAGGAATCAGTACTTTTTGATAAAAAAATCTAATAAATAATTTTAATTTCTAATTTTAATTAAAAACATTTAGATCATCCAATAACATGGATCCGAAGTAAAATTAGAGGATAATTTTATAATCAATTGATCTATTAAAGGAACTTATTAAAACCTAAGATAAGAATAAATTTGGGTTAATATGATTTAATTATCTTAGATTTATAAGTAATATTAATAGTAATTATAGTTGATATTATTTGAAGAAGCAATTATTTATAAAATGCCACCATTGTAGTATTTAAGGAAAAGTAGCGATAAATTAGTGAGATCATATTGCAAAATAGTTTGAGATGTCAGGTTATAACTATATATAATTGAATTTGAACAAATAGAAATTGGAAATTAAGAGACTAATTCAACAAATAGAGTAAAACATTTTTCAATTTTTTTAGGAAAATCGTATAATTTTGTTATTTATCCTGTTGAATATTCCATTAAGTATACACTTATGTTATTTTATATATAAAGAAATGTCTCATTTATTTAGACTATTCCTTGTAAATAAATGTTTAACTACCCTGAACTTTGATAATTAATTGGTTCAGTATAATTGAATTATTAACAGTTTTTGCAAGTTGCAGTATAATTATCAATATTCCCATTAAAAACTTCTAATGGATTCAAGGTGAATTGACTCTAATTCATTTATAATCCAACTATATTTTTTTCTGTATCATAAAGACGAGGCAGAATTACTTTTTTTTCATAAAGTATTGTTACATCTTATTGTTTAACATACGAACATTACTAATTTGATGAATTGTAACTAACTTATGTTTATACACTAAGCTAATTAGCTTGATATTGAGGGGTCAACGCAACACTCCAATCTGTGATCACATACTTTTTAATTTCATTTGTAGTATTGCATATTTAAAGATACTCGATTTCTTATGCCTATTGTTGAAATTCAACCGCACTAATAGAGCCTATATAACTCAAACTTGAAAAAGTTGATATCCAGTTTGATTAAACTAAGGCGACAAATGAAGATCCACTTCCTTAATATTAAGCCCAATAAACTGATGTGGATTTATATAAAATAATGTAAAAATGACGTTAAGTATATGCGGTCTAAAGATTAGAAAAAGCAAATTAATAGCCCTATAAATTCAATTCATAATATGTTTGGATTGGNTAACATGGATCCGAAGTAAAATTAGAGGATAATTTTATAATCAATTGATCTATTAAAGGAACTTATTAAAACCTAAGATAAGAATAAATTTGGGTTAATATGATTTAATTATCTTAGATTTATAAGTAATATTAATAGTAATTATAGTTGATATTATTTGAAGAAGCAATTATTTATAAAATGCCACCATTGTAGTATTTAAGGAAAAGTAGCGATAAATTAGTGAGATCATATTGCAAAATAGTTTGAGATGTCAGGTTATAACTATATATAATTGAATTTGAACAAATAGAAATTGGAAATTAAGAGACTAATTCAACAAATAGAGTAAAACATTTTTCAATTTTTTTAGGAAAATCGTATAATTTTGTTATTTATCCTGTTGAATATTCCATTAAGTATACACTTATGTTATTTTATATATAAAGAAATGTCTCATTTATTTAGACTATTCCTTGTAAATAAATGTTTAACTACCCTGAACTTTGATAATTAATTGGTTCAGTATAATTGAATTATTAACAGTTTTTGCAAGTTGCAGTATAATTATCAATATTCCCATTAAAAACTTCTAATGGATTCAAGGTGAATTGACTCTAATTCATTTATAATCCAACTATATTTTTTTCTGTATCATAAAGACGAGGCAGAATTACTTTTTTTTCATAAAGTATTGTTACATCTTATTGTTTAACATACGAACATTACTAATTTGATGAATTGTAACTAACTTATGTTTATACACTAAGCTAATTAGCTTGATATTGAGGGGTCAACGCAACACTCCAATCTGTGATCACATACTTTTTAATTTCATTTGTAGTATTGCATATTTAAAGATACTCGATTTCTTATGCCTATTGTTGAAATTCAACCGCACTAATAGAGCCTATATAACTCAAACTTGAAAAAGTTGATATCCAGTTTGATTAAACTAAGGCGACAAATGAAGATCCACTTCCTTAATATTAAGCCCAATAAACTGATGTGGATTTATATAAAATAATGTAAAAATGACGTTAAGTATATGCGGTCTAAAGATTAGAAAAAGCAAATTAATAGCCCTATAAATTCAATTCATAATATGTTTGGATTGGATTAGCAATAAACATAGACTAAATAGGATAATAATACAATTATGTATTTTACTATTAGTTAATTAAAGCTATATAAATGCCATTATTTAAAATGCCTAATTTTATTTATTAATAACTTAGTTATGGATATGCAATCTAATTTACAAACTAACAGGATGAATATCCATTATATGACAAAATGACTAAGTTTTATTAATTATCAATAAAAAGATAATTTGGATAATTTATTTTGTTTAAGTAGATTTAATTGAATTGGTAATTCTCTATAGTAAATTTTGGTGTTTTAAGATTGCTTTTTGAATATGCTGATAAAATATTATTATTAGTGATTACAAATAATGTCTATTCCAGAAATGCTGAACTTAAAATCGACTGATTGAATGAATACTAATACAAACCTTATTATTATAATCCATAATTAATAGTCTAAATAAGCACATAGTTTGTAAATTGCATAACGACTTCAATTTATAATAATGTTTAAGAACAAGTACATTGGACAAGACTTTCATTGAAATTTACTGGAACAACAAAATAAGTGTTAGACTTTGAAACTAATTAAGATTATGAGTAGGAAATTCTGATTTCACTTTAACTTTAAGAACATGTAATAATGTTAGATCTATATACAGCACACATAACTGAAAAGGATTCATTTGATTGTGTTGTATATTTATTTATGTTAGATTTTTAAACAGTCAAGTAATTTTTATCTGATGAAGTAATTGCTGTTGTAATGTTTGGGCCTAGCATCATTTAGTTAGCTTTGATTGTTTTTATTTATGGATAAACTAAATTAGCAGTAGGAAAATCATTAGAAAATGAGATGGGACATTAAGTTTAACTAATATCTGTTATTACTATATTTAAAGATAAATAATCTTCAATTTCACGCAAAAATTATGAAATTATTTTTATTTTAAGTTTGACTACCTAAAAGTTTTATGTTATTTATTGAGTTTAATCTAAATTAATCTAAATTTATGGCTTATTGAACAAAATACTTTAAAATTTAGTCGATTACTCACTTGTATCTATAAGAATAGCAATTTATCTTTCAAATTATATTAGTGCCATATTCGCTAATGAATAGTTCAAATAATTTGTAGGTTTTATTGATGAAACTGAGTCTAATTTAGTTATATAATTATTAGTAACTACATATATTGAATTTAAGTTAATTACTAGTTAAATTACTTTTTCATATTGATTCAAAATGAAATTTTTTATATTCTATGTCTACTCTTTTAGTTAAGTATCATAATACAATTATGACAAATATTTATTTTATAACAATACAATATGAAAAATATTTGTTGTTAATTAATATGCAGCCATCTTAGTGAAATGCTCATTTAATTTATGTGTCGTTGTTTTATAATTAGCTATTTCTCTTAAGTTATTATTGATTGATAAATTTATAAGATAAACTGATTTTTTACTCATCAAAAATAGATAAGTAAAATCTTCAGATAAAACAGCTTAAATATAGGTGCCATTATAAACTTATTGAGTTATTTATTACACTTGTTTTTAATTGTAACTAAAACAAATAACTGAAGCATTTTCTTTAGTGACATAAGTTAAATAAATATAAAATGTATTTTCATTAACATATTGCAAATTAATTTTTCTATTACTATATTTTTTAGGGAAGGTAAAATTTGTTGCAAATATTTGAATCGAAGAGTTAGAATAATTAGTGAATACAAAATTCAAATTATTTTTTTTAAGACAACTTATCATTCCCATACTCTCTGTTATTAAATTAATATAAAAACAACCTACAATAATTCATAGAAATACTTAATTAAGCAAGGCTGATTGGTACTATATTGAAGTTTAGACTTCCATTGCTCTCAAGCAATCCTTAATATAGATTATTTTTTGTTAGTGCCCAAAATTTATTAGAACTTAATTGAGATTCCGTAATATAATTGCTAGCTGATAATATTTTCCCATCTATATAAAATATATAATAAAATACTCAAATTTATTTTTCCTTCCTAGAGTGGCAAAGCAGATTACTAAATACTCAAATTAAATTCATTATTTCGTTCCAATTAATATAAGGGAGCCTAAAATTTTTAAGGTGTATAATCATCTAAGAACATGATGTTAGGCTAATTTGATTATAGTGGAAAATTATAAGTGTCTTCAGCCATCACTATCATTCCCCATAAGACTAAATTGAAAATACAATATGACATTTTTAAAAAATTTTATTAAATATCCAAATAGAATCTTTAATTACAGGTATTTATATTCATAGTATCTTATTCTTATTCAAAAAAATATTGGAATTACAATATCTATTAAACTTTGATAGATAATAATACAGAAATTCTTTGATAATTCCCCAATAGATGCTTTTTAATGTTAAATAGATAATCATTTTTTTATTTTTAAGAAATAGACTTAATAAAATAATATTTTTTTTTTTAATTTTTACTATATAGCATATAATAATCACCATAAAATATCTTGATTGTAGATTTAAATTTTGTACAATTTTATTTTCTTTATTCAATATATGTACAGATAAAGTTTTAATTTACAAAAAAATAAATACTTGATTTATGAAATTATATAAATTTCTTGAATTTAGATATCACCTTTGGCTCTAAAAATATATGACCAACTTACCTTAAACTAAACAAGTTTGTTTCATTATCTAGCACAAAAATAAATATATAAAACCTCATATATTAAATAGCCACAATAGATAAAAAAGAAAAGAAAAATTCCATATTTAGTGATTCCAGTAATGCGTTTAATACCTTAAATTGGAGGTGATCTTATAAAATATTAGAAGAAAGAGTGATTTTTGATCTATAAGATGCTAATTTATTTAAGCACTCCACAAAAACTTAATCATTTTATATTTATTAAATAATAACTCAGTTTACTTCGCTAGCAGGATTTCTCAAGGTTTACCACTATCCCTCCATTATTGAATATAAATCTTGACAAATAATTGCCATTAATCAAGAGAAATCTTAAATACTCCTTGCATATGGTTACGCTTATAATATTGATATAATAATTAGAAATTTTGAAACTAAATAATTTCTAATAGTATTTGAATAAATCTGTTAAAACTTTCTTTAATAATCAATAAGAAGAGGTCTTAAATTATGCATATTAAATATTACTTGAGACTCAAAACTAATTGTCTGCTCGATTATCCTATATCTTCTATTAGATAATAAAAATAGTAAGATGTTAATTCCAACAACATGGGCTAAATATTACCATAATGAAAAAATCTACAACTAGTGGTTAGTTTTCTCACAAAAAAACTCATATGGAGGTAACTCCAACTATAATTATGGAAGACATATAGCTTACCTCTTATATTTTATCCTTTCGATCTAAATTTAAAATATGATGATAGCAATCATGAATTTACACACCTATAGCTTTAAACAATTATGTAGATTTCCAAAAGCTTACCATAAATTTTACTGAAGTAACTAATACCAAGTTTTGAAACTTCGGTTACATAAACTGTAAATTAAGTAAGCTAAAATATGCAAAAGAGGAACCGTATAATACAGTAAAGCACAAATCAAAAATCATATGAAACAGCAGGTTTCAAATCATAAAGGAAGTCTAAACCAAAGAATTTTCAACGTTTTTAAGTAGTATACTAAAGTCTGATTGCGTAAAAACAGTCCTATCAAATATCACTTAAAATTGAAAAATTTAAAACTATAATGAAGAAATATCATAATAAGAAATGCAACAAGAAACGCCTGAAAAAATAGTTAGAAGCTAAAATTACTCAAAAATCCAAGATCGCACGAATCCGCTTTGAATAATTAAATAATGGGTCTTAATGATTAATATTAAAAATATATAATAATTAATAATTATATGGATTATTAAAAAATATAATAAATATAATCACTTTTCTTTATAATTCAAGTTTAAAAATATTAATTATTTATTTTCCTATTATCAAATTTTATTATCTATTCTCAAATCAAATTTTTAATATTTAGAAAATTTATATTTTTGCAAATTAAATATATGTTTTTTTACTTTAATATATATAATGGACTTTAAATGAAAATTGTTTAATTGTTTGAATTATATATAAAGTTAATGAATGAATATACAGAGAAAATCATTAGCCACCTCTCAATCTTAAAACTAAGTGGAGAGTTGATTCCTTTTAAATGTTATAATCTGAAAGTGTTCTTCCATCTTCTAATTACTTTCCTGCAAAAATGAGTCTTTATTAATCAGGTGGGATTCCTTCCTTGTCTTAAATTTTAGCCTTGACAGCGTCAATAGTGTCTGATGGTTCAACATCAAGAGTGATGGTTTTTCCAGTCAAAGTCTTAACGAAAATTTACATTCCACCTCTCAATCTCAAAACTAAGTGGAGAGTTGATTCCTTTTAAATGTTATAATCTGAAAGTGTTCTTCCATCTTCTAATTACTTTCCTGCAAAAATGAGTCTTTATTAATCAGGTGGGATTCCTTCCTTGTCTTAAATTTTAGCCTTGACAGCGTCAATAGTGTCTGATGGTTCAACATCAAGAGTGATGGTTTTTCCAGTCAAAGTCTTAACGAAAATTTACATTCCACCTCTCAATCTCAAAACTAAGTGGAGAGTTGATTCCTTTTAAATGTTATAATCTGAAAGTGTTCTTCCATCTTCTAATTACTTTCCTGCAAAAATGAGTCTTTATTAATCAGGTGGGATTCCTTCCTTGTCTTAAATTTTAGCCTTGACAGCGTCAATAGTGTCTGATGGTTCAACATCAAGAGTGATGGTTTTTCCAGTCAAAGTCTTAACGAAAATTTACATTCCACCTCTCAATCTCAAAACTAAGTGGAGAGTTGATTCCTTTTAAATGTTATAATCTGAAAGTGTTCTTCCATCTTCTAATTACTTTCCTGCAAAAATGAGTCTTTATTAATCAGGTGGGATTCCTTCCTTGTCTTAAATTTTAGCCTTGACAGCGTCAATAGTGTCTGATGGTTCAACATCAAGAGTGATGGTTTTTCCAGTCAAAGTCTTAACGAAAATTTACATTCCACCTCTCAATCTCAAAACTAAGTGGAGAGTTGATTCCTTTTAAATGTTATAATCTGAAAGTGTTCTTCCATCTTCTAATTACTTTCCTGCAAAAATGAGTCTTTATTAATCAGGTGGGATTCCTTCCTTGTCTTAAATTTTAGCCTTGACAGCGTCAATAGTGTCTGATGGTTCAACATCAAGAGTGATGGTTTTTCCAGTCAAAGTCTTAACGAAAATTTACATTCCACCTCTCAATCTCAAAACTAAGTGGAGAGTTGATTCCTTTTAAATGTTATAATCTGAAAGTGTTCTTCCATCTTCTAATTACTTTCCTGCAAAAATGAGTCTTTATTAATCAGGTGGGATTCCTTCCTTGTCTTAAATTTTAGCCTTGACAGCGTCAATAGTGTCTGATGGTTCAACATCAAGAGTGATGGTTTTTCCAGTCAAAGTCTTAACGAAAATTTACATTCCACCTCTCAATCTCAAAACTAAGTGGAGAGTTGATTCCTTTTAAATGTTATAATCTGAAAGTGTTCTTCCATCTTCTAATTACTTTCCTGCAAAAATGAGTCTTTATTAATCAGGTGGGATTCCTTCCTTGTCTTAAATTTTAGCCTTGACAGCGTCAATAGTGTCTGATGGTTCAACATCAAGAGTGATGGTTTTTCCAGTCAAAGTCTTAACGAAAATTTACATTCCACCTCTCAATCTCAAAACTAAGTGGAGAGTTGATTCCTTTTAAATGTTATAATCTGAAAGTGTTCTTCCATCTTCTAATTACTTTCCTGCAAAAATGAGTCTTTATTAATCAGGTGGGATTCCTTCCTTGTCTTAAATTTTAGCCTTGACAGCGTCAATAGTGTCTGATGGTTCAACATCAAGAGTGATGGTTTTTCCAGTCAAAGTCTTAACGAAAATTTACATTCCACCTCTCAATCTCAAAACTAAGTGGAGAGTTGATTCCTTTTAAATGTTATAATCTGAAAGTGTTCTTCCATCTTCTAATTACTTTCCTGCAAAAATGAGTCTTTATTAATCAGGTGGGATTCCTTCCTTGTCTTAAATTTTAGCCTTGACAGCGTCAATAGTGTCTGATGGTTCAACATCAAGAGTGATGGTTTTTCCAGTCAAAGTCTTAACGAAAATTTACATTCCACCTCTCAATCTCAAAACTAAGTGGAGAGTTGATTCCTTTTAAATGTTATAATCTGAAAGTGTTCTTCCATCTTCTAATTACTTTCCTGCAAAAATGAGTCTTTATTAATCAGGTGGGATTCCTTCCTTGTCTTAAATTTTAGCCTTGACAGCGTCAATAGTGTCTGATGGTTCAACATCAAGAGTGATGGTTTTTCCAGTCAAAGTCTTAACGAAAATTTACATTCCACCTCTCAATCTCAAAACTAAGTGGAGAGTTGATTCCTTTTAAATGTTATAATCTGAAAGTGTTCTTCCATCTTCTAATTACTTTCCTGCAAAAATGAGTCTTTATTAATCAGGTGGGATTCCTTCCTTGTCTTAAATTTTAGCCTTGACAGCGTCAATAGTGTCTGATGGTTCAACATCAAGAGTGATGGTTTTTCCAGTCAAAGTCTTAACGAAAATTTACATTCCACCTCTCAATCTCAAAACTAAGTGGAGAGTTGATTCCTTTTAAATGTTATAATCTGAAAGTGTTCTTCCATCTTCTAATTACTTTCCTGCAAAAATGAGTCTTTATTAATCAGGTGGGATTCCTTCCTTGTCTTAAATTTTAGCCTTGACAGCGTCAATAGTGTCTGATGGTTCAACATCAAGAGTGATGGTTTTTCCAGTCAAAGTCTTAACGAAAATTTACATTCCACCTCTCAATCTCAAAACTAAGTGGAGAGTTGATTCCTTTTAAATGTTATAATCTGAAAGTGTTCTTCCATCTTCTAATTACTTTCCTGCAAAAATGAGTCTTTATTAATCAGGTGGGATTCCTTCCTTGTCTTAAATTTTAGCCTTGACAGCGTCAATAGTGTCTGATGGTTCAACATCAAGAGTGATGGTTTTTCCAGTCAAAGTCTTAACGAAAATTTACATTCCACCTCTCAATCTCAAAACTAAGTGGAGAGTTGATTCCTTTTAAATGTTATAATCTGAAAGTGTTCTTCCATCTTCTAATTACTTTCCTGCAAAAATGAGTCTTTATTAATCAGGTGGGATTCCTTCCTTGTCTTAAATTTTAGCCTTGACAGCGTCAATAGTGTCTGATGGTTCAACATCAAGAGTGATAGTCTTTCCAGTTAATGTTTTTACAAATATTTACATTTCTATTTTAAATTAATAATTAAAAAGTATTATTTCAGAAATTAAGTATTATATTTACTCTGATCAATTCTGTCTTAAGAATGTGATTCTTTTATTTCGATAGATTCGATTGGGAATCTACTTTAAAGACAATAATTTCATCCATTTCCGTTCAATTTCAAATCCCTTTTTCACATAGTTATCAACTTTAGCATTCTGCAGAGATGATATTTTCCACAATTATGGTAGAACTCTCGAAATACGTCTTCTCCAATATTTGACTTTTTCTAAATTTGAGAAGGTTTACCATCAATATATATGTAATAGTTTTTATTGAACATTATGTTTTCATTTACCATCCTATTCAAATAATTGTAAATATACTATTTTTAAATAAATCTAACTATTTTCTATTATCATATTTTAGAATGCGATTATTTCGTAATATCATTATATCTTATAATTATAAAAATCTAACAAAATAGTAATAGAAATAATTTATTTTAAGCATTTAAAAATTTCATTTTCTAATAATATAATATTGCTTCTATTTACCAAATTATTAAAAAATTAAACAAAATAATACATAATTTTCTTTCCTATCTTTTCTTAGTTTCAAGTTAAATTACTCTATTGTATTAAGTTTTTTTTAAATTTTTAGTAATCATTTAAAAAGGACACCACCTTGAACAAAAACTAGCATCTAAAATTAAAAAATATATTATATTTCAATAAATTTATTTGGTAATCTTAGAAAAATGTATTTTTTAATTAGAATACAGGTCGAAAAATAAATATAAATAATAATATGCTTCTTTTAACAAAAATAATTGAACCATTTATAAACAACATTGAGATTAGTATTATCTATAGAATAAAAATATATAGATAGATATTACATTAAACGCCTTAAATTTTGAAAACACAAATGTTTAGTTCAAGATAACATAGTTATCATCGGTGAAATATAATAAGAAGATTATTGATATTAGCAAAATAACAATAAATACTAAATTAAAGATTAATTAAATCATAATTTTATTAATATTAAGAAGGAAATATTAAGGGATGAAAAAAATAAAAGATAAATGTTATACTAATTACTTATATTTATTTTAAAATAAATTAACTAATTTTATATGTAAAGTGCAAAAGAGTTCAAGAGCATAACAATAACAGAGACAAAAGGATAATGTGGGTTTGATGTCAGCGGAAATAAAGCATTATTAGTTTGGAATTAGAGATTAGTTGAGTATGATTTAATGGAGTACAAAAAAACCGCGGAAACTGTGCTTGAGTCAAATATGTTGGCTTTAGCGATCCATCCTTTAAATTCGCAAGTTTTTGCAATAGGAGATATGAGAGTAGACATATATGATGATATCTAAATGACAACGCCATCTCTAATCGTCACTTTGACAGGAAAGGTGATTTAGATAAAATACAATAAAAATGGGAAAATAATGGGAATAGCATCTGAAGAAAATTCATTAATATTAAACAGAGATAGCAAAATATCAAGATGTAAACCTGGACATGATGGGATGATATTAAGTTGTGCTTTCGATCCGAAGGATAGATTTGTATGTAGTATTGGTTGTGATGGTTGTTTGATAGTTTATCAATTATCATAAGTACCACAATTATTGTAGAGATACACTATTAGCAAATAAATATCTCCAGATGGATTCTAAAAATTATAATCAGAATTTCATCCTTCAGGTGATTCATTTTGGATAGCTGGAAAGATGAATGCTTAATACATTATCACAGAGGATGAACCTTAAGATTTATAGAATCAATACTAAATTTAGCATTCTAGTGAGATTTGTATTATAAAATGGATACAAGAAAATTGTATAGGATCATGTTCACTTGATGGTGAAATAAAATTATGGAATTTCAAATCTTTTACTGATTTATCATTGCATTGGCAATTTAATATCTAAAGCACCCCATTGTATATGAAAATAATATAAAATATTTGCTATTTATTAGATTGCAATGGAAATCTAATTGAAACAACATTAGATCCTCCAAAAACATAATACGAAAAAATATATTAAGATAAACTCAGTGCAATTTAAGATTTAGTTAATTAGAAATCAAAGATCAAAAATAATTAGAGAATGGAGGAGGAATTGATGGATGAAGAAATAATAGAGAATAAAGATGAGTAGGAGGGTTATAAAAAGGGAAATGAGATAGATAAATTATAAAAGTAAAATATAGATTCAGGGATGTAAGATGTTTTGAGACCGGGAGAAACACAACCATCAAGAGGTAGATAATATTTGTGTTACAATACCATTGGAACAATGGTTTTATGTAAAAATACAAATATGATTGAATTCGAGTTTTTTGATTCAACATTTTATAAAAAATTTAAGATTGGTAATTAATAAAGATATGCAATTGGCACATTGAATTATAGAGGATGTGTATTAGCATCAAAGGGACCAAATGATTTGGATGAATAGGGTTATTTGGTAGGAGATGGAAAATCAATTGTGTTTTTTTAATAATTTATAGGTGATGTAGATGATTTCGAATTCTCATTGCCAGAAGAGGAAGGAGCTGAACTTGTTGCTATTGGAAATGATTGGTTTGCAATTATGAGTGATCATGGAATATGTAGAGTAATTTCATTCTGTGGTTTATAAATATTAGAATTCAATACAAATAGGGCAGTTGTGTCAATGTGTGCTTATGAACATTTGTTGTGCATAGTATTTCATGACACTTCTCCAATGTTGAATTAATAAGTTCTTAAAGGGAGAGTTTATGATATTGATTTGTAGAAATAAATTGAAGAATTTGATATATTCTTAACTCCATTTTCATCACTTTCATGGATTGGATATTCAGATGAAGGATTATTGAGTATTCAAGATTCAAAGGGTGCAATCAAGATATATCAGTAAGGCAGATGGATAGAAGTCTTTCATAATTCAAGAGTTTGGCTTTATGGAATTCAAGATTACAAGCTATGTTTATTAAAAACAGAACAGCCATTAGCTTCAATGAAATAAGAGATGATTCAAGAAAGTTTTGAATAACCATTTGTATGTTCAATTTAGGATGAAAAGTTGATAGCAAATTACAAGTAATTTCTAAACCAATTAATCATTCTGAATCATGAATTATATAGATGGAGCGAATTTGGGAAATACTATTATGCTCGAAATGATGACAAATAAAATGATATTCTTTTGAGATATACATAAAATCTATATGATTCGACCAAAATTGAAGAGACACAAAAGTTGTTGCGAAAATTCCGAGTTGATTTATTTAAATAGATTTTAAATGAATCAAAGGATAAAGCTATTGAATTTTTTAAGTGTCATATTAAAGATGAATATGATATGAATTCAATCATCAGTTTGTTGGAATTGCAAAAAGAAAAATAGACAACAAATAAGGAATTCTAAAAGTTATTGAACCAAATAAAATTGCTATAAAGGGTAACATTTTATAACATATATAGTAATAAATAATAAAGCAATAGTAGAATTTTGGTATAGACAAGAGAGCTTAATCTCCAAAGAGACAAGGATTTGGTTTATAGAAATAAAATGATTAAGTGAACATGAGTTAAATAAAGTCTATTTTGGAACAAAAAGAATAGCATCATCAATAATAACAACACCATATATAATAATTATAGTCATAGAGAGTTGAAAGCCAATAAGATGAAGAGGAATTCAATCCATTTGCAAAATCTGCGAATAAAAAATAAAGTAGCATTTTTGATATGGGAGAGAAGAGGAAACCTACTTAAACATTTGGAATGTAAAATATTAAAAAAAAGAATTGATTATATTTAATTTATTTTTATATATTGATGAGTCGAAATCAATCACCACGGAGATTCTAAAATGTGTTAGATAAATGGCATTATAGCAAATGCTCAGAAATCAAGATTCATTTCTTTGTGAAGAATCTCTATATGGGGAATCAAACAGAGGATCAATTTCTTAATTTTGTGAAAGATAGGGTGTAGAAGGCGGTAAGATGATAATGATGACTAGGGTCCTTGCGAAGTGATTCAAATAACAGATAAGAATTAGAATGAACGGACTATTGATATAGCTATAGGAATGCGATATGACAATGATGCCAAATTGATATATATTGGAAAGAAACATATCAATTTGATATCTAAACATCAAAGTGAAAAGAAGATCACTCCATCGATCAGTGATATATTTTTGATGATGCTAAGGGTAATGAATGACATTCATTATGATTTTAGGAAAAGGGAGAAGCAGATAAATAAGCACTTGAAGAGAAATTGAGATAGCAAAGATTTGGGGAAAAAAAGAGGGATCGATCTAGTAGTTAAGAATCATCAAAATCAGAGAGTCCTGAGAAAAAGAAGAAAGAGAGTTCGATAGTCTTGAATTTACAAGTCATCCCATAATAGAAGACGATTGCTCCTCCGATTGTTGATATCCAACCTGTATAATTAACAAGTAATGAATTGATTGATGTATAAGTTCCAAAGGAAACTATTTATATCTTTGGGATTCCTTTAGAATTCAATTTATAAGAGTGTTTGATGGATATTAAAAATAGATTGAAATTATAATAATTACCAGATGGAACATTTAAAAGTGAATAACAGTAAGATCATATTTTTGAATATTTGGAAGTGCAATTGGAAATGTTGTAAAAGAATGTGTAAATAAAAATTAAGAATGTGCCATGTCTAATATGTTAGAAGAAAAAGAAGACGGATTCCTTTTCAGATATACTCAAACAATATTAATTATTCATCAAAACACAACACCCAATCAATACAAATAAATTATTGAGCATCTTCCAATAATATGGCGACATCATTGGATTATATGAATTACTAGTTAAGTAAGTAACATCCTCTATTTTCTAGTCAAGAAGAAACCTCCAATTCATATTGCATTGTTTATACATCTGATCAATTCATCAGACACTTGAAACCTCCTGGAAAAATTGAGATTCCTGATGAAAAAACAATTTGTGAATATAGAATACCTG